CTCACTTGGGAAATCCTAAACCCCGGTCTCGCAACAGCTGACCACCAGCTGGTCTCAGTCGAGCTACATGACAACCAAGCCCCAAAAATCGGCAGAGGTCGATGGGCCATCCCCCTATACCTTACAAATGACACAAACTTCCTACAAGAGGTCGAAACAATCGGCAATGAAGCCCTCAATGAGATAGCAAGGCATAATGATGCCCAAAGCACCTTCCAGGATTTCATAACAGCGGTGAGACTCCTTGCCAAAAAAATGACTAAAATAAAAGCCGGGAAACTCAACTCAGAAATAAGACGCCTCACACAGAGACGCGACAAAGCAGTGAAGAGACTAAACTCCGCAGACATAACCCTTGCCGAGATTACACAGATCCAAATACAAAACCTAACTAAAAGGATAAATGAGATTGAGAGAACTAAACAAGCGAAATCAAAAGGCCGCTCGGGAGCCAACAAAAAACTACTAAGTGAAACCACCAACAAATACTGGTGCAGCTGGGGAAAAGAAAACAAACCCCGCGACACCATACCTGAACTAAGAGTACCTGGATCTAATCCCCCATCCTACACCTCCACAACTGAAGAAATGTCCGCGATTGCAGCCAAACACTATAACGCCGTCCAGTACAGAGACCTTACATCCTCCCCAGACGAGCGGGACGCACACCTAACAATCTCACTTAACAAGATTCATAACCGAGTCCCACCTGAAACCTCCGAAAAACTAGCCTCCCCCTGAGCCAGGACGACATTGCCAAAGCCCTCTCCCAATCACCCAATGGGAAGGCCCCGGGCCTCAACGGCATCCCAACAGAACTATATAAAACTCTAGATATAAGATGGAGAAAAAGACCAGAGGATGGCAAGGGCCTACACATCGTGAGCCTTCTAACTCTCCTGGCAAACGACATAGAAAAAAGAGGCACCACCTATGCCCAAATATCCGAAGGCTGGCTCTGCCCCCTGTACAAAAAAAAGGACAAAAGGGAAATTGAAAATTACAGACCGGTGACCGTACTCAACGCGGAATACAAGATCATAACTACAGCCTTAATGAATAAACTCTCTCCCATAGCCCCCCACTTAGTCCACAAATGCCAAGCGGCCTTTATCAAAGGCCGAAGCATCTTCGACCAAATCGACCTTGTAAACCGCATGACTGACCTATGTGAACTCATAGGACAGGATGGCGCAATCATCGCTCTTGACCAGGAAAAAGCGTATGACCGCATCCGACATGACTACCTCTGGAAAGTCATGGAGAAAATGGGCATACCCCACTCCTACACATCCACCGTAAAAAGCCTGTATGCCACCGCTAAAACCAGAGTTATCCTAAATGGTGTAATAAGCGACGACTTCACAATATTCAGAGGAGTCCGCCAAGGCGACCCCCTATCGTGCCTACTGTTCAACATAGCCATAGAACCCCTTTCCATCGCCCTAAGAGACTCGCCTGCCCTCCACGGCCTTGAAATCAAAACCCCTTCCCTCTCCCAGAGAACAATCCTATCCCTATTCGCCGACGATGCAGCTGTTTTTTTATCCAAAGACGACGACATAACTGATTTATTCTCAATCCTGGACAGCTGGTGTACGGCATCTGGAGCGAAATTCAACCGGGAAAAAACAGTCATCCTCCCGGTAGGAACACCAGAACACAGAGAAAGAACTTACAATGAGAGATGTATAAACCCCCGCCCCAACAATAAACTTGAAGACTCAATCACAATTCTAAAGGACGGGCAAACTATGAGATACCTGGGGGCCCAATGCGGCAACAAACCAAACCACAAGGACCCCTGGCCCACCATCACGAATAACATAGAAAAATCCCTCACCCAATGGAATAAGTCCTATCCGTCCATTGAAGGCCGCCGATTGATTGCCCAGATGACTATTGGTGGAATGACGCAATTCCACACCCGCGCCCAGGGAATGCCCAAAGAATACGAGAAACGACTTGATAGAAGAATCCGCGAGTTCATATGGAATTCCGACAGCCCCCCCCCAATCAGCATGAACCAACTCAACCGCCCAAGGGACCAAGGTGGCAAGAATGTGCTAAACATTCAAGATAGAAACGAGGCGATCCACCTCACCAAACTCCAGCGGATCCTCGACAGATCCCCAAACAGACCCCCGGCCTCCGACGCTGCCGAAGCCATACTAATGGCCACCCTCCCCAAGAAACTACACCCTAGTGACCCCGACCGCCCCTACATCCTTGACGTGTTCACACAAAAGCCTTTCCTCAAAGCACGCTTCCACCATAGAAAAATCCCGTCCGAACTACGTAACACCCTGAACACGGGCGCTAAATACAACCTGAGACTCGCCCACCCCACTATCGACCTGGAAACTAAACTCAACCGCCCAGCCTGGGCCCACCCTGGCTTGGAAGAGGACATATCCATCAGTGACCGCTCAACAACGGCATCCTGTCTAAGAAAAACTCACAACTGCTTCACGGTCGGAGACCTCCTAATCCAAACAGACGCCCAAGAAGACCCAACCCACAGCCCCACAAAGAACCGATGCCAATGTCGACCCTGCACAACCTACAGACAAAACGGCTGCAAAAACCCGGAAACTTGTTACCAAACCGCGACAAAGATAATCTCAAACCTCACACCCCATTACAACCCACACAGCGACACACACATCACCCCTCCGCCAACCAACACCTCCCTAGAATCCGCAAGACTACATGCCATCGGCGACCCAAAAGACATCAAGTCCTTCGACCCGACCCCACACCGTTGCCGTCCACTCCACCACCACTTCAGGATCTTCGGGAAAAGCGCCCCAAACTCCCCAGAACCCCCGCCCCCCTCAACCAAACGTCCCAAGACATCGTCGCCTACACGGATGGATCGTGTGCGCAAAATGGCAACATCAACGCAAAGGCAGGATATGGCATCTGGTATGGCCCCGAAAACCCGCTAAACACCAGCAAAAGAGTCCACCCCCTCCTCCCACAAACAAATAACGCCGCAGAAATGCTAGCAATCCACCATGCCGCCACACACACTGCAATCCACTCTTACCTCCACATTAAGACTGACTCAAAATGGTGCATCAATACACTCTGCCAGAACCTGAGCACTCTCGAAGACCTAGACTACATACTCGCCAAACACCAATATGTCACTAAACTGACGGTAAGCGCCCTGAGAAGCAGAACTCACCCAACCTCCTTCGAATGGCTCAAAGGCCACGCGGGCATCCAAGGCAACGAAGAAGCAGACTCCCTGGCCGCACAAGGCGCCCAAGAAGCCCCGGACCCAGGCCCACCCGTGAATCCCCCCCCTCCCCACATACCCAGTGGTGCCCGCCTATCCTCCCTGACACAATCTACAGCAACGAAACTAATCTGCAGAGCGAGATTAGCAAAAAACGCCGAACACAGAGACAGAGCGGCCGGAAACATTACCCTCATACAATCAGCCCTCGAGAGCATAGGGAACAGTATCCCAACGCAAGATAGAATCTGGAAAATTCTGAACAGTAACCGAAGGGACACATCCCCCGAAATTAGAAACTTCATATGGAAACTCACCCACAAGTGCCTCAAGATAGGCGACTACTGGAAGAGAATCCCTAAATACGAATACCGTGGCGTATGCGAACCCTGCCAACAAACGGAATCAATAGACCACATTCTTTTCGATTGCCCACTGAACCACGGCAAAAGACTATGGGCTATCACCAAAGCGACATGCGACCGCAGGAAAATCGCTTGGCCAACCAACCTTGACGTCTCACATGTGATGGCAGCCCCGATCGCCAGAATAAACACCATGACCGGACGATCAAAGAAAGGCGAGACCAGGCTATTCAGAATTGTAGTTCTTGAGTGTGCATGGCAAGTCTGGAAAGCCAGATGCTGTAGAGTAATGAACCCCGATCAATCACCCACCACACTAAATGAAGTAACCAACGCTTTCAAAGCCGGCCTCAACGAAAAGCTCCAGCAAGATATTGCTTCGACGTGCCATAAGAGATTCGGCCGCAAGGCGCTACCAGCGAAACTCGTGTTACACACTTGGAGCGGCAACTTACAAGAGGAAGAAAGGTATCCGGACAACTGGCTATACAGCAGTGGGGTTTTAGTGGGTATACCGGACCCCCCGTGATGGGGCCGGGAGTCCCACACACGTGCGTAACGCATTTCCTCACAAGTGGCAGACCGGACCAAACCGATCCTCAGCCTAACGGGATTATCCATTTCCCAATACAAGCCCCAAATACAGTAATGTATCGCGAAAGCTACTGGGGCTCCACTAAAAAAAAAAAAAAAAAAAAAAAAAAAAAGAAATCGATATAACACTGTCCCTGTTCTGCGACAATGTAACCGTAATGCAAGTTCGTTGTGTTCGAACTGCATGACACGCTGTCACCAATACCGCTTCACACCAGGGAGGTTCTTCTGCATGGGTTTATTCCTAACACGATGACATCTTGTACCATAACTTGCATGTCATAGCGTCCCCCTCCCCTCGTGTACTATACTTAATTTCGTTGTACATAACTTCCGATGCTGATTCCTCTGATGTACCATATCTTCACTGTACATATCATTCAATGCACTTTCCGCGTTATCCTTCATTCTTCCGTGAATGCTGTGCAGGTCGTTGCGATGCGAAGCACGCCCTCTAGTTCGGAGAGCGCGCGGTCAATTGAGAATCATCTCAGGTTTGTTGATTTTCCCAAAGTCCAGAGGACGATCGATAACTTGGGCCATCTTACCACGATGCAAAGTCCCGCTGTCTCTAGTTCTCGGGCACAACCCAACTCCGACGCAGGCACCCAGAGAACTTACAAGCTCGCCACAGATTCCGCCAGGCACAGCAAATGCCCACCGTCGTTCCTGGGTTCCCACGTGTACACCCAATTTGCATTTCCCCAATCGCCACAGCTTAGCTGTGCCGCAGCTATAAATACTGCCACTGCGAGTCATCTACTGTTCATCTCGCATCCGGATTTATTGGAAGCATGGGATCTCGCAATGTCGCTGAAATCAACGCCACCGAGTTCGACATTGAGAACGTGACTGTTTACAAGGACAGAGCGGCGGTCAGAAGACGTTTTCCCGTTGACTTTGAGGTGGGCATACTAATCATTCCATATCGATACCTGCTTGCCTGAAGCACGATCTCCATCCCAGGCAGGTCAGAATGAAATCGTGATCAGCCCCTTGTCCTCTTTCCTTGAGCAAGATTCCCTTCGAGTCGAGACTGAAACTCCGCATCCCAACCAGAACCTGTCTGTCTTCGACGTCGTGGAGAGCTACAAAGACATTGACACTGGCGAAAAACCCGAAGCTGACCAGTCCCTTGTTGGACTTCGAAAAGAGCGTAACAGTCTCAATGCTCATTTTTCCGCTTTGGAGAAGCAAGGCGACATCCTTTCTTCCTACGCAAACAGTTTCGACAGCAAAACCACAAGTACCGAGCGATTGACCGACTTTCTCGATCGCTATGTTGACCTGGAAAGGACTCGGAACCAGGAATTGGATACCATTAGTTGTCGTCTTAAAGAAGTTGCCGAGGAGATTGCGAAGAAAGAGGCAAAGAAGAATGCGGGAGCAAATGAATCGAACAAGGTGAAGAGGGTAACAGTTATCGTGTCGGCTGATGAAAAAGGCTCAGCTGAGATCATATTGTCATACAGTAAGTTGACCTCGCCCGTCGCGTGCTCAGATTTCTGAATGCTCCACATTCCACCCAGTTGTCAAAGGCGCCTCCTGGTTTAGCTACTATGATATCCGTGCCACGATAAATCCCTCATCCCCTCCCTACGCCACAGAGAAAACTGCTTTGCGGGACATAGTATCTTTGCAGTATCGGGCTTCGATCCGGCAGATGACGGGCGAGAATTGGAACAATGTTGCTCTCACTTTAAGCACCGCATCTCCAATGTTAGGGACCGCTGTGCCTCAGCTCCAGCCCTGGTTCATTGGACCGAGCGTTTTTCCAATGTTCCAGACGCAACACGTCCAACCGTTTGCCTACTTTGGCTCCAACAATCTAATGTCGACTAATATGCCAACGTCACCCCCCAGCAGGGCCGCAGTGTTTGGTAGCACGAATCGCGCCGTCTCGGCGAACGAAGGTGCTGTCAGCTCTACTTTCGATGTTACAGGGAAATCAAACATCCCAAGCGACGATTCTTATCATAAGGTTTTCATTGCTGTGAGTCTCCCTCTCATCCCTCACGCAAACGACCCTTACAAATGAGTTCAGAGCCTGGATCTGGTGGCTGAACTGGAATGGATCACTATACCTCGAAAAACACCCGTTGCCATTCTCCGGTGCAAAGTCTGGAACACTAGCAATTTCTACCTCCTTTCCGGTCAGTCGATTCACATCTGCTCTCGTTTGTTCTACTTATATAACACTGAATGGGATACGTAGGCAGTACTAGCGTTTTTCTTGACGGGACTTTCGTCACGAGATCACGCATTCCCGACGTCCCCGCCCAAGATACCTTCTCCTGCTCCTTGGGTATCGATCCCTCCGTACGAATCACCTGCCACCCGCAACGTAAGGTAGTTAAAACGGTCGATACCTCCTCGATATTCGTCACCTCCGCTCAGAGGGAGAAGAACAAATTTCAGATTACAACCTTTTCTCAACGGATCACGATCAAGAACACCCGTACGACCAAGATAAGGAGGCTTATTGTCAGAGATCAAGTCCCACTTAGCGAGGACGAAAGAATCAAAGTCACCTTGATCAATCCCCCAGACAGCGTCGTGGGATCGCCCTTTGAGTCGTTGAAAGTTGATGATGGAGCAGCGACCAAATCCATTTCCAAGGCCAAGGATAAGGAGCCGCAATACACGTCGACTGATATCGTGCCCCGTTGGACACAGAAGAACGGAGATAGCGGTGGCCCGAAGGAAGATGGGATTCTGGAATGGATTTGCTTGGACATTCCGCCTTGTTCGGGCCCGCACGTCTCTTCATCCAAAGGGGATGCAAAGCCTGGAGTGGTCAACATTGAGCTGGAATACGAGATCACTGCTCCTCTGGATGTTAAATGGGATACCATCCGCAAAGCTTGATTATCCCCTGCTTGAGGCCGCGTACCTCTTCGCATCGGACGCTGTGGATTTTTATTTACATGAAGAAGGCGTCGATCTTCGCGAGAATGTGTTCTTGATTATGTACATATTGATGTCTTCAAATAGCATTTGAAAGTCTTGCCAAATAAGCTTGCTCACGTCCCGAGAGAAGTGATCTCGCGTAATTTTAATGTGCCTCGGGGGAATCTGAACAATATTCCCCCCCTTCCGGTCAATTTGGATCTTCCCCAGAAATGCCTTCAAGGTTTTCAGATCGTCCGCAGAATCGGTGGAATCCCGTTTCTCAAGGTAATCTCTTCGAGCTTCCAGCTCCCAACTCCTCACTAACGACCAACTTTCTTTGCCTCTTGCCCCGTACCCCATGTGCCCCATATACCCAATCACAGGATACGCACGACCTCTTTGTAGCCTTTCATGTAGGATGCATGTCCCTCGAGTCCCAGTCATTCTCGCGTGGTGATGGACGCCATCTCTGGCAACGCTTGCACCTTCGACTATTACTCAATGGCCAACGCGTACTGCATTGAGAAAATTAGCAACGAGACCATGAAGACCCTCATGACTGATGAGTACCAGATATTAGCCCCTGGCGCTCTCTATTCTACCTGCCTACTGGCACCTCGACAATACCCACCGACACCACATAACCCGAGGACCACTGACACCATACGATACCAACCAGACTACCCACACATCATGTATAGAAAGTCCCCTTTATGTACGCTACGGTGTATCGACGGGACAGTCGCACTGCCACGACATTAAGATAGATTTATCATCACCTGCCTACTGGCGCTCACTCCGCAAGACATTGTGAAGGTGGACGCCGCAGCCCTCCGAGTCGCGTAATGCGGAACTAATAGAAGACTTGCGGCCGATATTGGATGGTGCAGGCAAACCAGTTCTGGGGGAGGCATGCCCGGATCGACGTCCATATGACGAGTTTCGTCTAACTCCTAATCAGCTCAAGAAAACAAGCTTCTTTGTTCCTCTTTTATGAGCTCAGAAGGCTCAGGCTCGATTTACACACAACTTCCTATTAGAATTCTTGGGATCGTAGCGTACGCTGAAGCCAACTCACGTTTGTTGATGTTGAGTCTAGCGGCGCTCATGATCTACTCTTGTTTCCTTTCTTGGCACAGTCGCTGCCAAAGTCGGTGCGCATTCATAGCGCCTGGCTATAAGAGCAGGAATTTTTGGACCTTACGACTTTTCCTCAGTTCACGTACTACGGGACTGAGCGAGAACATTCGCCAGTCTTCATTTCGTCTTATACTCCCATCCCAGAAAAACTTCAAGTTGCGGGTACAACTGATTTATTGAAAGATCAAACCTGGAGAATTCACAAGCACCAAGCAGCGAATATTTATGGCGTGGCGACAGGTTAGACGTCACACCTTGAATTTAATCGCCTCGTTCAAAAGATCAGCTGCGAGCGCCCAGTTCCAAAAATTGTAAGATTGCGAAACTCTGATAAGCCGCCAATATGGTGCTTACGCACCATCCTGAATCGTTTTTCTATTTGTGGACCTTCATGTGCTCGCGTATTTATGTAGTATCTGGAGTTTGCAGTCCGCGCGCGCAGGGCAACTCTGGGGCGGTGGGACCAACATTCTGAACTACTCGTAGTTCCACAGGCTCCCAGAAGCCATCCAAACGTATTGGCTCCAGCCCACTCTCGTCTACTTTGGGTTCTGCACACTGTCCACGGATCATTGCGGTTACTCGGACGCATAAACAAAGGCATCCTCAGTTCCTTTCACTTTCTTAGCCCTCTAAAACACCATCTCAGTTTGGACGTACCTCGACCAATGACAAACAGTCTTCATTTGCATCTGCGCTCAGTCTTTCACTCTTGACTAGAAGCGCTCTTGTCGTCACTGCGCCTGTAACTACTTGTTTGCTTGGCGTTACGCATTCTGTGAACAGCGGCAACAGCATTCTCTCGGAATGAAATCAATTCTTGATGGTTGTCGACCTGGCCCTCGTTTCAAGTGACATGGGTTGGTGGTATCCTGTGCCAGGTTGGGACACTGAGCACTGGTGCTCTATTCTGTCATTCCGGGTCCTCGATATATTCTTTCGCATATCGGCTCATCTTTGGCTCATCATCCCTGCAACCGCGGACTATTTTTTGCGGACTATGGAGCTAACCAAGTGCCACCCGAAGAACCAGAAGACCACTAGGGATGCAGATCCCTCTAGCTTTGAATTGCGCCTCCCTATATATCTCTAACAATGCATACTCAGACTGGTCATTGAACAAAGTCTTAAATTATTCAAAGAGAATTAACTCAGCACCGGTGAAAATGTTCAGGACCGGCTAGTCCATAAGCATAACCGGCTCACAATGAGGAGCGCCGTCCGCTAAAAGTGAAGGATGATCGTCGCACCCTCGGCGTTATATGACGTCTTGAAGGTGAGCCGGATCGTTGACTGAAGCACCTTACGATCGTGCTGAAGACGTGCCACGACAGGCGAGGCTATCGTGACACTGGTTGTTTTACCGAAGGATCAGCCTATCTTTGGGGCCGTTGACCCAGAGCTGCTGAAAGGCGGCAGCCCATATCCAGTCCGATCGTGAGCGACAGGCAATCGGGAAACAAGTTGCGGATGCCAAACAGCGAGACAAGCTCCGGATTTTTTTATCAAAATATGTGATGGAGTACTAGTGCGGTAAAGTCGGATGAGTGCGAATTGATATCAATAAATGTCCTTAAATGCTAAAGATACCAATGAACACAAATGATTAAGAGAAACAAACAAATAAGCTTGCGCAGTCTGCACGTTTCCATTAACTAATGAAGATACACAAGCATTTTATACTTCTCGAGGGTCAGAGGGGCTTGGCGCACGGTTACCTGGGTGACATTGGAGTATTAAATGTAGTTGGCGGAAAAGATGGAATTGACATTCGGACTGTGGATGGGGGTGTTGTTACGCGTCAGGGTCAGTCGGAGTTGAAGCGTGTGTTTGTGATTGGTCGATGGCTAGTTCATCTCGTGCTGTTGTATAACTTGTGCGTGAAGGGTCTGATGTGACTGATGATAGTGTTCCGCCGCGGGTGAGGGGTAATGGAGTAGATGGGCGATCTGGACTTGAGCTAGATGAAGGATGGAATTCTGTCATTTCATGCGTGCCTCGATGCTCGTTAACATTGAATTGCGGCACGCCATTGGACCGGAGTGGGCTTGAAGGGCTATGTTCAGTGGAAACCTCGGGGTCACTGGACCCGCTCGCAAGCTGTGTTAAGTTGCGCCACCAGCTCGCCGCCGTAGAAGGGTTGCGCTGCGAGCTTGAGAGCCCCGAGTCATTTTCTGATTCCTCAAAGGGTGGGGGCTGCTTATTAGGATAAGCTTCCTTGGCTGCACTTCCATACGGAATGCCGAAGCGTCCAAGAGCCTCTCTACTGCTCACAAATTTAACTTGTTCAGGAGTAGGACCAGCTTTAGGAAACGAAAATTGAGTACGGGTAGTAGTGTGTGTAAGTGGCGCGGAAATGTTGAAAGAGGATAATGAAGATTGAGATGAGCTGGGATTGTGACTGCTCGGGGGGCTGGGGCGAGAGAGCTCCCGGATCGGTTATGTGCTTGTAGGCTGCGCGATGACTCAGTTGTGTGAATGGAATTTGATACCTGCGAGTCCAACCTGCTGGGTGATGGGCTTGAATTCGTCAGGCCATCTGAGGAAGTTGTGCTCTCATTTGTGAGAGCAAGGGAACCGTTCCCTGAGACAGGACCGTGGTGGGTAGGACTGCGTCTGAAAATGCGAAGGAAGGGAAATGAGGATAGGCTAGTGTTAGAAGGTGCAGTTGGGGAGCCTGATATAGTGATCTCGGGAGGTGGGTTTGCTATGGGGTTGGGAGTCTGATTTTCTTGGAATTCAAAATATGGGGGCGCTTCCTCGCCATCACAGATAGGAGGGACGGTAGAATCATTAGGCTCCAAGAGGCGGTCGTCGCTTCCCGCACTATCATGAGTGTCCGCAGATGCTATCCGTGAATCCATGCTGCCTCTTAGCTCACCAGAAGTACTTGAAGGCTGGCGGATATGCCCGTTAGGAGTCCTGATAGGTATTGCAGAGGAGCTTGATGAAAACGAGCGAGTATGTGATGGGTGTGTGGAGGAAGGATCTGAATCTAGATTGAGCATAGGGCTGTTGTGCTCGTCCTCTGCGTCATTCATGTCACGTCTTTAGGATGACTCGTCAATGAGACACATCACACAAGAACTCGTTTACTAACCTTATGAGGACAAGATCTTCGTCTGCTGGCTCTTCTCTGTAGGCAGGCAAAGATTTCGTGCTAATTTGACTGGGAGTGCGCCGTGGTCGCCGTGACCTCCTCGGCCGGTCTGAGTTAGTACTACTAGCGTTGACTTCCGCTCGTGTACGCGAAGCATCCCCCTCAGGATTGGATACGAGATTTGTGGTTGAGGTCCCACCAGCCAGAATTGCTTCAGCCTGTGTGACCGCCCCGGTCGAGGCAGACGAGGCATTCCGCTTTCGTATCTGCCATATTAAAACTACTGCTGCAACAAGACAGCATACACCAAGGGATCCGGCAATTATCTGGGGAAACGCAATCATTGAGCACAAACTAAAATCAATTACTTGCTCTCGCTTGAGACGTACAATGGTAGATGATGGTTTCGTTGATTGTGTAGGACCACTTGGAGGCAGGGGCCCACCCCTCTGAGATGCTCCATTGTGCCATTTCCTTTCCAATGGTATCCCAAGGACCACTTGGCGAGACGGAAAACTGGTCACAAATAAAGCCATGAAAAGCGAAGGTGGGGCCATAGTTGTCACGACACGCGGGTGCGAAGCAAATATCCCAGGGGCACCGCGACACTGAAGAAGAAAGACTGCAAATGCGAAGGAGAGGCGATGAAACTATCACTAGAGCTTGTGGAGGGGGGATAAGAGTGATTACATAAGCAACCAAGCGTACAGCATTCTCAAGCGTGGGAACTAAGCTTGTCCCTTGCCATCAGGTAGGACTCCAGCCTCTATGACTTCGTAACATCAGAAATATCAGAAATCATCTCTAACTTCGCGATACATACATATTTGGGAGGTGTTCCCAAGCAGATGTTAGAGTCGAAAGGCAGACGGCTACCGTGAAGAACTGTATTACGCACTGGAGATTGCGTGGGACTCCCGTCACCCCGGGGTCGCTGGCCCACTGCTGGGTGGCCGGTCATCTGGGTGCTTCTTTTCTCCTTCAGGGTTACTGCTCCATTGGAGGGCCAGTTTGGTTTGGGCCCGTGTCTTTTGCGGTTGGTTAGCACGATGTCTTGTTGGAATTTCTCGTCCAGGCCTGCTCTCAGCGCATACGTGATTTCATTCAGTGTGGTTGGGTGGAGTTCGTCCTTATCGATGCTCATTACTCTAGCTTTCCGTATCTGCCAGTCGCATTCTGTGATCATGATTTTGAAGAGTCTCGATGCACCGGCGGGTATTTTCTTTCGGCCCCTGAGTCTTTATGTCCTGGTGATGGGAGCGGCCACGACGTGGCTTACCCTCAGGGTGTCGGATCATGGGATTCGTCGATCTGTCTGGCTATTGTCCATATTTGGCGTTGTGGTTCAGGAAAGTATGTGGATCATGTTCCCGTTTGTTGGCATCGTTGGCATCGTTAGTACATTCCGTGTTGCCTATACTGTGGTACTTTCCTCCAGTAACCCCAATTCCGTGCCCGCAGATAAAGTTCTGGGTTGCCGGAAGATTTTTCGACTCTTGGCAATACTTTCCTGATTCGATCGTTTATGGGGTTGCCGTTGATAGAACTTTCGATCGCCGTGCCGGTTATGTTGACATTGATGGTGGTTCTCGATCTGGGTTCAGCCTTGTTTGCAAGTCGTGTTCTCCGAATTAGTTTGTGGGCTGTGGCTTGGCTCAGAGTGTGTAGACGTGTCCCGCGTGGGAGGTTGGGTAGGGGGGATTGGGGCTTGGTTCTGTTTGGGTGGCCAGCTTGTAGACCCCTTCGTTACCTTCGATGCCGGAGTGGCCTTCGAGCCATTTAGGGCGGTGGATTTTCTTTACTGATCATCTCATTATTGGCACTTCAGCATTTGCTGTCAGATCAGTGCGACGTTCGGTGATGTACATTTGAGAAAATGGGTCGAAATTGGAGGAGTTACAGCGAAGAGGTGCCCAACTAAATTGTCCGGAACAGAAGAGGTGCAGGGTGCCTGCAGTATCTTTTTGCCTATACCTTTTTTCTCTGCAATGTCTTCGGTAACTCCTTGACCCACGGCAAGAAATCTCTTCCCTGCATGTATGGTCGCAATACTTCTGGGATGATAACCCCCTAAAGAGTAATTAGTTAGACTGGGCTGGCTAGACATGAAGTCGACTCACATCGGGAGTCTGGTGATTTTCGACGATACATGTCAAGGCGCGCTCTGTTGCGCAGAGAGTACCGTTTAGCATGTGCACGTATTGCTTCCTCTCTTCTCCCTGCTTCTTCAGGCCATGCCGGACCTCTAGTCTCCGTGCCTCTGTCAGTGTGAGAATTAGCAAGCGCCGCATGACCAGGGTTCGAAATGAGTGCTCACGATAATCAGTGCAATTACTGGTTGAGACTAGTTCCTTATAGGCGCCTTGGTATGGGAACCATGCTTCAAGGTCATACTTCTGCGCAGCCGCAAGGTTGAGGGCACCGGAGACAATTGCCACAATGCGATATGGTATCTTCAAAGTCTGATAAAACTCTTCGGATGTTGCCACCATACTGTCGAATGCCTCCCATGAATCGTCGGGCGAGGTAATTAGGAACTTTGGTTCATCTTGATCAATTTTGCCCCTGAGACCCTAAGGACAATTTTAGACTTGCCTGTTCAACCTTTTCGAACTGGTGCACTCTGAAGATACCCCATGTATCCTTTCCACTGGATCCTGCTTCCTTCCTAAAACATGTAGAATAGCCAGCATATCTGGAGGCATTTAAGTGTGAATGTCAGAACCGGTCATGAAGCTTCCATTTCCCACCTGATTGGCAGTTGCTCCTTGGGTGCCTCGAACCACTCGCCGCTGTGCAGAGCCGATATTGGTTGCTCGCTGGTTGCGATTAGATACTTATCATCTTCATCCCCTGTCACTTTGTACAGTTCTTCGTCAAACTGTTCAAGCTGAGCGGTTTTGGACATGACGTCCTTCTTCATAAAGAACGGAGCTTGAATCTTCTTATATGTTTTCTTACGCAAGAAGTCCAAGCCATAATTAATTAATGCCTGGTTGAGGTCCACGCCATCGCCTGTCAGGAAATACCCACGATGGCCGACGATCCTGGATCCTGCACAAAGTTAAAGATTGGGAAATAGACAGTTGTGTGGATTGAGCTAACCTCGCTCCATATCGAAGGCGTCTAACCTTAGCATGACCTCATGATGAGCAAGAATGCCTTTCTTTTGCTCTACTGGTGCATTGGGACCATCGGGGTGCCAGGTTCGTATTGTCGCATTATCGTCCTAAATTGTTGGGAAAATAGACGTTAGGGTAAAAACCGAAAAATTTGTGCCTGCAATTCACCTCAGTTAAGCTAATTGGAACATTCTTTCCGACCAGATTGCCAACCAAGGCTGCTTTAGCCCGGACCACATCCTGGGCTTCCTGCGACCTCTTCTCAATTTCCGCCCTTTCCGCATCCAAAGCATTCTTCTGTGCTATTAGTTCATCTGCTGGCTCCTTTGCCTGAAGAATCAGGGATGATTAGCAAGATCGGACGCGTTGGTGGATAATGGACAACTCGCCTTTCGTTTGGCAGTTATCTCCTTCTGTTTCGCATTGATTTCCTTATTTTTCTGGTTTGTTTCGAAGTCGACTGGAGGGTTTGGTGATGTGGAGTTTACCCATGAAGGAATCGACTCCAAAGAATTGTGCACATACGTACTCTTGACCCATGCCTTGTAAAGTTCAATCACTTCGTCTACGATCTCCTCCGATAAACCTCGCTTCCTTTGAGACTCTTTTATTGCCTCGGGGAACCCTTTCTTCGATTCGATGAAGTCGAGGACATCTAGAGTCATCGTTCGCGTTGAAGAGATCGCGTGTTGAGTCGATCGAGAAATGACTCAATCTGCTTACATAAACCGTGCTTGTGCGTAGTCCCTGGTCACCTGCTAAGTTCCTGCAGTAATCCTCGGTGCTGAACATTCTTGGGCACAAAGCCGCATCGTGCTTCTTGCCAGTTGGCGGTTTGCCTCTTGAGGTGCATTTCTTCGTTCGCCATTAGTCTGGTGAAGCTAGTTGATATTGAAAGGGGATGGGTAACAACCTGTCTGGTGCCACGACCAGAGTGGGTGGTGCCCTGGACAGCTATGTCTCGGAACTGGGGGCGGATATTGTTTATGAGAAGAGGTATTTTATTTCTACATAGTCGACGCGTATCGGTACCAGATGCCTGACTGCTGCTTCACTGCATTATGCTAATAGTCTAGGCCAGTCACGATTCCTCAAAACCGTTAGGGGTCGTCACCGGAATGGGCCGCTTGTCATTAAGATTTTCATAAAACAGGATCCCACTCTCAGCCTAAGGTCATATCAGAAGCGCCTAAAACGTGAGTGTTTTCCTAATAGGATGGTTTAGTGACTGGTACAGCAACGCCCTCCGTACTTCCTGTAGTTGAGCGGGAGACCTTGGCCGATATCCCCAACGTGCATTCCGTCCAGTCTTTTCTAGACACGGAGAGAGCAGGGTACATTTTCCGACAGTGGTTGGCGAATAACCTATATGACCGGATTAGGCGGGTCCCCCACGTAGCGCCTCTCAGGCGCCCATACTGATACAGTGACGCAGTACACGACCGTTTCTCAGTCTCATAGAAAAGAAATGGGTCGCCTTTCAGCTAATGACCGCCATGAAGGACGTTCGATCCCGAAAGGTCAGCAGTGATCGGTGTGTTGCGTTGCAGGATTCTGACTGCATACTTTTGGCAGATAGCGCACGGAGACATCAAATCTGAGAACATACTTGTTACATCGTGGAATTGGGTCTATATAACAGATTTCGCATCCTACAAACCGGTCTATCTTCCTGAAGATGATCCTGCTGACTACTCGTTCTACTTTGACACCTCCGGCCGACGAACATGCTACGTCGCTCCAGAACGATTTTATGCATCTTCTGAGGATGTCAAGCAACCCGAAGGGACCGTCACAGAAGCAATGGATGTTTTCAGCTTGGGCTGCGTGCTAGCTGAACTATTCCTTGATGGCAGGGAAACGTTCACTCTGTCCCAACTCTTTCGTTACCGCTCTGGGGAGCTAAACATGCAATCCCACCTTTCGAGCATCGAAGATGAAAACATCAGGGTAATGTTGAGTCTCAGAGTTATCACCTCCTTGCTTATGAGTGTTTTTCCTCAGTTATTAATATCCCAGATGATTAACATCGATCCATCCGAGCGCCCTTCGTTTGCTGGCCTCCTTGAACGAGCACGTTCCAACTCAGCCTTTCCGCCCGCATTCTATACTTTCCTTCATTCCTACATCCTCTCTGTGAACGAAATGGCTTCTCCATCCCTGTTCGCAAGTGCGTGAACAAGAACAATGCACAATTGAAGGCTCCCTCTCTGTCACAGAGCATAGAAAATGAGCCGTGGGCGACTATACCAAGCGACTCCGATCATCGGATTGAGCGATTGTGGACTGAATTTGACACTATAGAACCGATACTGGCACAACAGGATCCTGATGCTTTGGGCCAGGATGTGATGGAGTCCGTTAAAGACGAGGCTCTGGAAAGAACAATTACGGCATATTCTGCACCGAGGGCCCCCAATAGTCCTGCTTGGAAGTCGAATGTTTTGAAGGTCAGTGAATACTGCTCATCGCACTCTTCCCGACTCAAGCCAGCTGCAAGACAATGTTTCCTGTCGAAACACACATACCGAATCGCCCCCTTGAATTGCGGACGGTGAGAGGGAAGCAAGCTGCAGCGGAAGGGAAGTGGAGTGAAGGCACCGTCGCTATCTATGTCCCTAATCCAATATCTTGTCCCTAGATGGCGTTGCGCTCGTCATCTTGTCGCTCGTTGTCGCGAACATCAGAAATTGTTCAATATCAAGCTCGAAAGTCAAAGCCCTTGATCTCCTTCTTGCATTGACGCCATATCTTACTGATGAGAGCAAATTGGATCGCCTGGCACCCTATGTAGTGGATCTTGTGAGAGACGATGCTGCCATAGTCCGAGCCTCTGCTATACGCACGCTTACACAAATCGTATGTACGCAGTCGCGTTGGAACCCTGCTTTCTCATGCCCTTGTCTCAGACAATGACTGTCTCAGTAATCACGGCAGCAAATGGGTCTTTTTTCCCAGACTACGTACTCCCTAACATACGATACATGGGCCGCGACCCTGAGATTCTAGTTCGTGCCGCCTATGCACAGTGCTTGGTTGCCTTGGCAGAAACCAGTTTGCACTTCCTCGAGATAAGTCAGGCCATTAAAGCCCATGGCGCGGCTACCTCAGCGCGTTTGAAGTCAGGGAGTACGGGGGATGTCCAAGAATGGGATACTGCTTTTGAAGAGGTATCTTGTTGATTCTGTGTGTTCCTGATATTCATGACTGAGATTTTTTCAGGACTCATACGATACACGTTTGGCCGACCTTCAAGCTGAGATAGAGGAGCAGGTGACGACTCTTCTGGTTGATCCATCTAGTTTTGTCAAGCGAGCAACGTTGCACAACAACACTGCGGCTCTCTGTGTTTTCCTTGGTCGACAAAAAACTAACGATGTATTATTGAGCCACATGATAACGTACCTAAATGACCGTGATTGGATGCTGAGGTATGAATTCTTCGATAGCATTGTTGGTGTGGCGGCATGTGTTGGGAGGCGCAGTTTGGAGGAGTACATCCTGCCGCTGATGATCCAAGCCTTATCAGGTCTGTATCGTTTTCCGTAGTTGTTGGAATATGGTAAACATAAGGGTTGGGTTTAGATGTGGAAGAGACTGTTGTCGCCAAGGTGCTGTCGTCGCTTACTAGCCTCGCAGAACTGGGTTTATTTCAAAAACTCCGTATATGGGAGCTGATGAGCGCAGCGACCGGATTCTTATATCATCCTAACATTTGGATTCGGCAAGGTATGCTCCGTTTGCTTGTTGAGACAAAAAATTGACCACATTGAAGGTGCCGTTGCGTTCATCACCTCTGCCGCTAAACATTTGCCTGTAACAGACGTTTGGTGTATTCTTTATCCCTCGCTGAGGCCGCTACTGCGATCAGACATCAAATCGATCAATGACCAGTCGTTGTTATCGAGACTGAAACCAAATGTTCGTACCCTCAGAATTGGTCAGATCTCATGTGAAATCTTGACGGCCTTCAGCTTTCAAGAACGATCTTTGACGCGGCAGTGACATGGGCGATGAAAAGTGATGATAGCTTGTTTTGGAACCCCCAGATAGCAAGAAAGCCTACGAAATTCGACATGACGAGTGCCAGCGCAAGTCTCACCCACAAGCCGAAGTCTTCTCGATCTGGTGAACCAAAAACGAAAGAGTGAGTAACCCAGTGCCCGGATGCCGTCTTATCTTAATATGAGCGAAGGGACGAAATGCAGATTGAACGTTTGGACCAAATGGGCATGCCGCCTGGGGATGAAACGAAAATAGCAATTCTGCGGGACTACATTTTAAAGTTGTCTCAGAGTATTCAGAGGCAAGTCCAGCATAATCTGTTTCTACTGACGCTATCTCAACAATTTCGCAGTTCTAATAGCCGCCCACCGCTCGAAATCCCAGGAGTGGAACTTGCCCGCCAATCACCTGTCGGACTCCAGAGTCTGGGCATTGTCCCACAAACGGTGTTCCTCAACAACCGTGACATCCCACCGCCTCGACGCACTGACAGCACAAGGAAACTTGGTGCTTTAAGTGATAAACGTGTGGCTCAGCTTCAAGGGGTGCGAAGTTCCAGGGCCGCGAGTTTCGATAGCGGTGTGGCGTACGGGGACCTCCGAAGGAAACTGGCGCAGGCAGACAGCTCAGTGATATCGTTGAGTACACCTCTTTCGGGTGATGGACGCAACGCAACAAATATGGCTTTATCTCCACGAATGTCAGATGTGGATTCCTCCGGCATTGGCGGTTCTCCTGGTCCTATACCTTCTCCACATCCACCATCGTCCGTAGCGGACACGGACATGTCAAGGGATATCCCCATGTTCACTACCCGTCCATCTAGCCCTTCAGGGGAGTCGCATGCTTCGAGTAGGGCGCCAAACATCCACTCAGTTCTTCGGACTTCGAAGCGAGGTATCGAAGTCGGGGATGGGAAAAAGGCGGCTCCCGCCGTTGGCACCGTAAACACATTAGCTACCGCTTCAGGGGTTATCGAAGCGGCCACGAAATTGAGATCGGACATGGACCATGATGAGCCTTCTGGCCGATCTACGCCAATGTCGGTCACGGGGGCGTTTAGGAAGGAGAAACGGGTACATGTTCCCTTCCCTCCACCAGCGGCTAGCACTTATGGTGAGTTTTATTCACAATATTGATGTCTGTTTTCCTGCATTGATCGCTCAATAACAGAGGGTCACGAGCCGGCCATCACAAACATGCTCGAGCATGTCTATCAAGATAACTTTCGCGAAGGCGCTAACGACTTTGGACCCAAAGTTGCTTCGGGACCCATACGTAGGCGTCAGCCCATTCGTTCCTCCTATCAAAGTAGGGATGGCACTGGGGCGCACCGAAAACCTGATGTCACTCTTATTGCGAATCTCTCTGCCCACAATAATGCTGTAAATGGGATTGCTGTTTCCCCAGATCACCTATTCTTCGTTTCATGCTCTGACGACCGCACCGTGAAGATATGGGATACGTCCCGGCTTGAGCGTAACGTCACAAGCAAGCCGCGACATACCTATACTCAATACCATGCACGAATGACCTGCGTTTGCATGGTGGAAGCGTCGCACTGTTTTGTGAGTGCTGCGGACGACGGAAGCATACATGTTGTTCGAGTGCATGTGTCAAGTTCTGGTTCTTTGCCGAGATATGGAAAGCTTCAGATTGTTCGTGAGCACCGCTTGGAGCAATCTGGAGAGTTTGTTACCGCAATGCAGCATTTTAACACTGGTGTGTTTTCAGACATGTGGATTAGAAACGATGCTGACAAGTTATTGGCCTAGAAACAACATCCACCCTGATCTATACCACATCGTATTCATCAATTGTGAGCCTTGACCTACGATCAATGCGCATCCTACAGCGAATGTCCAACCCAATCCAATTTGGCATGATTACCGCATTTTGTATAGACGAAGGCCGAACGTGGCTCGTGACTGGCACCCAAAGTGGCACACTGACTTTGTGGGACCTCCGTTTCGGCTTGCGGATGAGAAGCTGGAAGGTCGGGACAAGTCTCGCCTCTGGTGATACCGCAATACATTGTCTTGTCGTCCATCCGACCTCACCCAGGCGAACCCTTGTTGTCGTTGCCATTTCAGCTAAATCAAGAGCGTCGCCTTCCTCTTTCAAAAGAAACAGCGACGATGACGATGTCATTATCATTGAGGTTTGGGACATCTCTCAGATGACGCTGGTGGAAACGTTCGTTACCTCAGAGGGCAGTCTGACACCCTCCGACGAGATGGAGCGCACCAGTCCCACCCCTCTGATGCAGAACCCGGCACAAACAGATCTCAAGTCACCCGCAGATGCCATCGCGGCATTCATACGCGCTCATCAGAAACTGCTGGATGCTAAAAGTGGTGATAATAGTTCCATTGCCCACCCTGACCATACCGATCCATCTCCCATTCCTTCCTCGTCTTCTCCCTCGAGACATAGTGTCTCCTCCAAACCATCTGATTCAGACATCCGTACCATTCGAAGTTCAAGCGTATCAGAAACTGATGAAGACGACGATGGGGACGACGTATTTATGCACCCAGACGGGGAGGATAACACTACTACATCTAAGGGCAAGAAACGGCGTCGGATCGCCCGGGACGCGCGAGCGCTTATCGCCGGTGTCAATTTCGGAACGCCAGGACAACATAGTCTAATGAGACACTTCTCCGGTGAAGGTTATGGTGGCGACATGAATCTATCGCTGAAGATCCCTGGGGGGGAAGATCGACGCGGGTTCATCATTACTGGCTCGGCCGATCGGAGGATCACCTATTGGGATTTGAAAGGGGGAACTGATCGGTCGTTCGTGATCAGTGGGTTAGAATCCGGTGCTGAATCCCCAGTATTCAGGTAATTCCATTCCTGTCGTATACTCCAATGACGTTCACTTAGCATCTGTGGTTCAGTGTTGGGCGTAATCCCCTGGATGGTTCCTTGACACACATGGAAACACGTCTCCCAGAACCTGTCAACTCCCAACCATCTCAACGCACGGCTCTTATTTCTAGTAATCAGCAACACTTGTTGCGTGGCCATCAGGACTGTATCACTGCCCTCGCATGTTTGGGTTCGCCATTCCGCGGCAGTCTCATTAGTGGCGATCGCTCAGGTGTTATCAAGGTATTTCGAATTGACATGGACTAGTGCAGAGATCATGTTCTTCCTGGCCCGAGAGGATGGAACACCAACAATGACTGTTTTTGCAGCTTATAATTGATACTTCGTTGTATGATCTCGCGCGGGTCCAGACACTGAGTTGTGATGAGAGACAATTGGACACAGGTTTTCATCTAGCATACCAGTGATTGTGAACGCGGCTCTCGGCTTATTGGTCTGCCCGCGATATCAATGTGCGAAGACACTGTCTGTTAGTCTGTAACCCGCACCACAGCGTCCGGGAGTTTGCATTCCTTGGTACAAATTATGGAATTCATTTATCGTATTTTCTGTCGCTGCCTGGTGTGAGACGCTTATTGGCACCATACTGATTGATAGTAGCATCAGACGTTCGAACTCACACTGGTATAGCGAAGTCGTTCACCTGTGCCATTATGTGCTAACGATCGCTGTCCGCGTCCGACTCACTGGACGTTCCATGACCTGACTGATCACTGCTCGAATAGATCCAGGTCGAAATGGCCCCCTGGGGAACAGACCTTTCTGAGTCCCGTATCAGACTGAGATTGCGCTAGTATTCAAAGACTTGGATACTGATCCTCGCTTCTGCATGGAGAAGATCAAGCAGTCGATTGTGTGCGAATGCAGGACATCAGGGTGCGAGGGTGCTTGGGGCATGGCCTACAGGCAGCCCCTTCACCAGCGAGAAGCACGGGGGGTTGGTGACGGTTAGGGGCCACCCCGGCCCGCGGTGTTGATATCGCGCGGCTACACTTCGGGCAGGGAACGGCAAGGATTCACATAAACGTGGTTGAGGATGGAGAAGTAAGGGCGGGAAAGTGAGCAGGATAGACAAGAGCCCTGGCTTCGGGATATACTCCGACTTTGAAACCGTATCCAAGCAGACACAGGTGCGTCAACGAACCTTTTCCGTGAAATGTGCCGGAGCCAGAACGAACCCCAAGTTCACATCCAACCACTCAGAGTGATGGCATTGTGGTTGCGTGAGGCTCGCCGCTGCAGGTCGTTCGTGTGATATTCGGAAGACCAAGGGTTTGTAATTCTGAGGACCAGCTATTCGTTTTAATGCTTCCAGTGTCATGTCCCTATCCCCGTCCATCCCCCTTGATACTTCAAGGGCGGAGAGTTTGAAAACTAGAGGGATAACGCGACTGTGGCGTCATCTAGTCCCGCCAATTAACCAACCATGGACAGCTGCAAATCAGAACAGCCCTTCCCCATCGGACTTCCGAAGCCCCTGATCATGCTGCGTAAGACGGATAAACAAAAGGAGATACAACAGATAAATGTATGTACGTAAGGTGTGCTCTACACACGAGCGCGTTGCTAACTGAATTTCGGAAACAGTAAATGCCCAATCATAATCCTGGTCGTCGCATCAAATGTGACTGAAAAAGGCGTTTTCTTAATTGCCCCAACTACGCAATAGTATTACGCTGGGACATTTTGGGGTGTGTTCCACAGATAGGCCAAGCTGATTGCGCCAGTAGCGCGAAACATGGGAGAAGTCTAACACCGAAGGGAACTCTTTACAGAATGCATGTCCCAGAATCTCTACAGGAAGTGCTCCATCGAAAGGACGGGCAGGGCTGCGACGGGGTTCCGAAATACGATTCAACCCTCCAGGCCGCTCTATAGCTATGTTTTTGCGGAGGGCGAAAAGCTATCCCCTTCTTTCTTTGATAGAAGCAAAATACAGATAACCGAAACTGGAATTCAAGCAACTGAGATTGTTCAGATGTCCAATCCCAGGATAAATGGAGCGGTAGTAGATTCGCCGTAGTCATTTATGCAATAGAGAGCCTTTTCCGACAACCTTTGAGTTAGTTGCGTTCCCAAAGTGACCCCGGGTCACTTGATGGGAGTGCTGTGCATCGGAGTTAACCGGGGAACCAATGCATTTGGCAAACTCCGCTTCCCACGTTAGATGAACTCTCTGAAAAGGTAGCAGTTCGTTCCCCGCTGTCTCTGATTTCAGAAGTTGCGGTCCTTGTTTCGGTAACGTCTTAACCACATGAGCGAAAGATTTTCATTTAGCGTGGATGAGCCAAGGGCTCCTCTTTGGACTTACTCCGAAATTCATTGTCTCATACTCAATGATATTGCCTGGGAGCGTTCGCGCCTTCAACCGACTGTTGCGGACTAGTGAGTTCGCCGTCCGTCCAAGTCCCTGGTTCCACATGGACTTTGAATTTCTCTCTTTTGCGCCCTGCATAGTTAAGATTTCTCAGGTGCACTGACTGTGTGATCCCCATATCGTCATCAAGGGCTTGTCTTTCACGTTTGAGGCCATACATATATATCTCCTGGAATTCCAATGGCCCTGTTTCTCCCAGGACACGGTGATGGCATGGATGTTGGCTTGAGCCGCTCTGTTATTACATTGATTCAACGCTGCTGTTGTTTCATTTCAACGGGAATCCCTCTTCCGCGCTCTTCCCATCCATAGGGGATCCTGCATCGACGTCATCTTCTATATTCTCATTACGAGGGACAGCAGGCTTTTGTTTATGTAAAGCGCTGGTGATGTGCCTGCCAGCAAGGTAAATCACCGTTCCGTGCAACTAGGTCAGAAGCAAGCGTTCGTCGCTTTGGGCTCCGTCCCACCTCAGCAACCCTAAACGTCGGTCCTGTGCTGCTAGACCCACTCGGCAGTTTCACATCCAAATCTGAGGACAATGAGGTCATGCTTTTTTCGACTTCGATTCATTGTTTCATCTCATTTCACAAACCATGTGATGAAGATGTGGCAGTCTAGTCCTCTAATCTTGGGGCACTCCTTCCGCCTCAGCAAATGTTGTGATGGACGGACAGCAGGTACTTCACGAGCCAAACTGCAATGTAACTAGAAGACTGAAAACGTGGTAATAAGAACGATCTGACAAATGACAATGTAACATAATGATTTAATATATAAAAAGGTCGAAAAGATCCAGTTGGATCGGATTATGCGCAATAATCAGCCTGAAGACAAGACAACGGCTATGGTGGGCGACTCCACTCGACGTGTGGAGTGCAAACATCTAACAATGACAGGGGATCGAACGGTTGAAGAACGTGGTTTTGTTTCGTTGTAGACTGCTGAAAGCGTGATTTGACCAGTCGCATCAGCTCTTGTGCAACGTCATCGAAATAATCCTGTTGTTGATCGGCCTCCAACCTCAGCGGATCACCATACGCGCGAAGTAGCAGGGATTTGAGGCTGGGAAGAAGTTGGGGAGACACCGCCCGGGGATTCCATGATAGCCACGGAAGGAAGTCACTTAGGAATGAAGCGTAGGATGTAATTGTGAGTTCATTTAAGGAGCACAGCGACGCCAACTGCAAAGCCAGGGAAATTGGATTGAACCATGAGCTCATGAGAACTTCATTTCAACAATACGTAAGAAGCAGTGGAATACTCACGAAGGCTTCTATCCCTCCGATACGGCGGTCCCATAATAGGCAACGATCAATCACCTCAAGGCGGAAAGTTTCTAGTATCGGAAGTCGGAGCGAGTTGAGGAATGCAAGCACGCTGGTTTGGTCCACACTAATTTCCAGAGTGCGAAGGCTTGTCATAATGATCGGGCATTCATCCGGCCCCTCTCCCCACTCCCAAGCTGAACAGGGCAACTCCCAGGTCACTTGAAGCGACTCCATGTTCACACAGGTTCGTAGTGTGTTCAACCAATCTGGGAGCGCCCAGTCGGAAAGGTCGATTGAAAGATGCTTCAATCCATGTGCCACGCTCGAGATGTTCAAAGTGTAAGCGCCGTGGACATCGAGAGATTCGAGTTGTGGCATGTTTCTCCCAAGGGAAATTACTTCGAAAGGATCTGGCTCGTAAGGATGACGATTGGTATGGTTGCCGTTATTGACGTTGATGATGAGTGATGTCAACGCGGGGAAGTGAGTGGAATTCGCCACGAACTCGGCATCTTCAATGTCTTCGCGCGACACAGCGAGCATTAGGGAGGATATTCGCGAGGAGTATTGCTCTAGCCTTTTTTGAACCTCCGCCTGTGATGCAACAGACGACCGCAGCACGCAATGCAGCGGCTTATCACCCGCACGTTCTGCCCATACTCCCCAATGCCAATTAGACCACGCAAGGTCGAGGGTTGTCCAAAGACAACCTTGTTGTAGGGAAACAGAACGCCAAAATCTTGAGACATGCGACACGGTTACCACGAAGCGAGATATTTCCGCTGGCTGTAGTGACTGATGACCAAAAGCGAGAATCTGTTGAAGCATTTCGAAGGGCAGACGCTCGGCAGCCGGTGCCAGTGAGCGCCCGACATTGGTGGAGGCAATAGAAGGACTAGAGGCCATACCGCAGAAACTTTCGGAGGCGGGAAGAAAAAGAAAGTCCGCACTATAAATAATGTACCTGGCTGTGTAGTAGATTACAATCCATGATCTTGGATGAAAAAATTCATGTTCATTTTCATGGATTTCATCTAACTATGACCTGAACAGGCGTGTGACCCCTAGTTCATGTCAAGCCGGATGCAAAATGGCTTTAGCGCCAACATTGTTCCCACCCTCCAATCATGGCGATGCCAGGCGTTCAGACATTGAGGCTGCGCAGGCCCGGAAAGAACATGACACAATCACCGAGGTTCAAAGATCGGCACACGGGCATGCTCCAAGACAAAATTCGAAGGTAGGGTTATGTGACACTTGGAGAAGTTGAAGGTCCAACAGCAAACGTTCATCAGAACAGCAAAGGCGCCATGGTCTCCCAGTCTCTCTGTTGCTTTCAGAATGATCATTCTTATACGTTTCTGCTCTGCGATGTACTCAAATATTCAAGATTGCGATGAAGGTACCAACCGTCCGCATCGGCAACGGTGATTTGCTAAAACTCAAAACAGTTTTCAACTTTTGGGAACCCTTGCATTATCTTGACAAAAATTACGGATTCCGAACATGGGAAACTTCGCCGCTTTATGCCATCCGGAGTTGGGCATACATTATATTACACTTTCCGTTTACCCGGTTGCCAAACTTGGTTCATGGCGCAAGCAAGGTATAGATGACCAGGAATTGTTCGACACACCATCATGGGCTCAGTTTAAACGCTTCTAGCGACAAGCATTTTTTGCTGTACGAATTGTCTTGGCCTTTATCAGTTCTTATTCTGAGGCAGCCTTCTATCGAACGGTTGCAAGTCATGTGAATGACCGAGTGGGGAGGTACATGCTATTCATGAGTTTACTTAGTCCGGGGATGTGGAGTGCTTCATCAGGTGCGTTCAACTATCCTCAGAGACATGGAAGCGGTTAACAGCTGGGCGTCTTAGCACTTCTGCCTTCATCGTTTTCGATGTATTTTTTATGTTTGGCTTGGTCTTTCTCATTTCAGCCCCCTTCTCAGTCCACCCGTTCTCGCACGTTTGGTGCTGTGCTATGCTTCGCGGTAGCCTCAGTAGTGGGATGGCCGTTCTCGCTTCTTCTTGCGCTGCCATTCGTCATTGAAGAAGTCCTTGTTTACGGGAAGGACCGGGTCCCCCCTGCAGCATATCGCATTTGGATTCTAGGTCGAATTAAACGCCTGATTGCTTGCGCCGTCACAGCTGTGACGATATTCGTCAGTCGGCCGATTTAGGATCATCCTCTCTGACTGATATTGGGCAAAAACGGCCAGATACCTGTCATAGCCATCGACTCGTTGGCGTATGGGCGTCTATCGGTGGTGCCTTGGAACATTGTCAAGTACAATATCTTTGGGGGAGCTGAACGTGGGCCTCACCTATATGGCACAGAGCCATGGTACTTTTACATCCTTAATTTGCTATTGAACTTCAATAGCATGTTACCTTTGGCTCTCATTTCGCTACCAGCATTGGTCATCACTTACCGGTACGATTATACCCGATTGGGCCCAATTAAACATCGTCAAGATGAAAGTTCCCCCTTCACTCTGGTGGTCATGCGCCTACTTCCTCTCTACATCTGGATCATTGTACTCTCCATTCAGCCGCACAAGGAGGAACGATTTATGTACCCTGCATATCCTCTGATAGCTTTCAATGCTGCAACAACGGTCTTCCTCCTTCGTGGATGGGTTGAGGCCATCTACATTCAATTTACATCTCCATATGCGGTATGTTGAACTTCCATGATCACTGATCAACTCCTAATCTGACCGATGAAAAGGCAACACAGACATCCCTGTTCAAGTACATGACAATTTCTATTGTCATCACATCAACGGTGTTGTCGTCCAGCCGAATCCTCGCATTGAGTCATTATTACCATTCACCACTCGAAATCGCGCACTATTTCGAACATGTGGAGCTCCCAAGACTTTTGAATGCTACGGGCTTGCTCCCACCTCCGCCTCCGCCACGCAAGGGTGATAATCCTACGTATCAAACGGATTTATCCGTCGACCTGGGTCCGATCAAGCGCTTTGACCTACGCATCTGCTACGGCAAGGAATGGTACCGCTTCCCAGGGCACTACCTAATTCCAAGTGGCGTAGACGTTCAGTTCATCAAAAGCGAGTTTGAAGGATTGCTACCGCGAAAATTCGAGAGAAGTAACGGTGTTGAAGGACTGTGGAAGAGGGAGAAAACGAAAGAGATTCCACTAGGATTAAACGACCTGAATCGAGAAGAATTGGACATTTACGTAAGTAATTTTTCATTCATACTGCACTCATTAACTTTGATGGGATCGTGCTCATGTCCGCCCTACTGTCCATTTTTGACACGTATACACTGATGCATTCCATCTCTCTTGATGCTTCAGGTCCACCCCAACACATGTGACTACCTCGTGGACCTGGACTTCCCCCTTCACCCGTCCTTTTCCCCGATGGAACCGAGGTATTCAGTCAACAATGCAACATGGGAACGGGCACAATGCCTACCTTTCTTAGACGCTGCCCACTCATCCCAGCTCACCCGAATCCTATATTTCCCATTCCCGAAGTGGCAATCCTTGAATTCCTTTGGTGATTATTGTCTCCTTCGGAACAAGAAGAGAATAGAGATGATCGAGAAGTCGGAATGGTAGCAATGTGTACAAAATTTATTAATCTATTCGTACAAAAGGACGCGAGGTTTCATCATGGGCATGCCTGCCCATGCCCGCTGTAGCTAGTAGTTCATATAAGATGGGTGACGCGATCGAGAATCCCCCTCTAAAAGAGCTCCAACCAAATTGCATCCCGCTTATATCCCATGCTAAAATATGAGGGCCGGTTAGCGCATCTTAGCCGGTGCCCGGCCCTACGATAACCTCAGCTTTTCGACCCTCCACGACTTCGAATGCATCATGAGCGGAAATGAACAACAGAGTGCATCATGTAATACGACGGATCACCGATTGCGTGTCTCAATGAACCCGCCCCCATGCAGGACGGGACTACCACAGCGAGCCCAAGCCATATTGCGCCACCACAAAATCTCGTATACGCGCAATCCCCTGCGGGAAGCGCGCTGGAATTAGATTCAAGAACCTAGAGCCACAAACGATTCGAAGATGGTATGATGGATGCTCAAGCGAGCGGCGAAAATTGTGATTTGATACGAGATCACCCAGACACAAGCCGCCAATCCGTTCACGATGCTAGCGAAATGCATGATGCAGCACAAGGCGGCCATTACATGTCACTTAATTCGATCGCTTATGTCCATTTTATACAATCTTCATACCACCCTCAGGCAAGATGTGAAAACCGACAGAAACGCAAGATACGGTAGCTCCGACGTCAGGGACACTCTTCAAGATTGGATGTGGATGATATATATGAGCGCCAACGCGGCACCGGCACACCAAGACCTATCATCAATAGGAAGGGAAATGAAAGCCTGCATGGACATTCACTGCTTCGAACAGTGTGGAGGCTTCGGGTTTGCATCCTTCCCCTAAGCAAGCGCCCGCGCCTTTCGTATTACTCAGTGGGCCACGGTCGGGCGCCTTCTCACGACATATCTGAATTCCGAGATGCAACATCCTCGGGGGACGCAGTCCGTCTCCATTGAAACAGGAGACAGGCCCTCCACAAGGTACAGTACTAAGCGCACACAGTGGAGCCCAGGGGTGGGTAGCGCAAAGGTCGCCCCTTTTGCTAGGTTACACGCATGACGATTTGGGTATGTATGGGGCTCCGAGTTAAAAACCATACGATGCGCTGATCGTGGAAATTTCTACCATCGATTTCACCCCCATTTGAAGAATGGCCTATCAAGGCAAAACAGCCCTTATCACTGGTAAGTGAGGGTCGAGCAGTGCTCATAGTTCCCTGTTGTTGACCCATCTCACTCCACGCCGCACCCGCAGGCGGCATTTCTGGAATAGGGAAAAATGTCGCTGTGGCACTTCAGGAACAGGGGGCTACCGTCCTCCTTGCAGACATCAACGAGAATGCCTCTTTGCTGAAGGGGTTGAACGAGTCAAGGGCTGAGTGCGTCTAAACGATCATTCCACACAAGCGTTGATTCAGTTGGTGAACTGAACAATCTTCGCTCCTTACAGCTCCGCCTTCTACTACAAGGTGGACGTCACAGATTGGGACCAGCAAGTTGGGCTATTCAAATTTGCTATCGAGAAATTGAAACGCGTCGACTATGTGTTTGCAAACGCCGGAATCGTTGAGACTACTTTCCTTGCGTACACCTCACCAACGCAAGTCGAGTTCACCAAACCGGATCTGCGGACGATCGATGTGAACCTCGTGGGAGCCTTGTACACGAGTAATTTAGCTGCCCAGGTTTTTCGCACTCAGGAGGTCGTGGATGGGTTCAGGGGGAAGATCATTCTCACAGGCAGCGTAGCGTACAGTTCATCTCATTTAATCCAAAGGCCTGCGACTCACCTGGCTCTAGCTCGTTTTCGGCTATCCCCCACATGCCGTTGTATACTGCGAGTAAACATGCAATCGCAGGTGTGGTGCGTTCTCTCGCCCCTCAGTTGGGGGCAGAAAATATTACCGTCAATGCTGTGTGTCCCAACGTCACTCGTAAGCCTGTTTAGTAATCTACACCGCCTATGATATTGGACCTGATTGCTTGTTCCCAGGCACTGCCCTTGTGCCCCAAGAGGTTTTTGACATTTTTGAAAGTCAAGGTACCATCACCCCAAACGAGACGGTCACAAATGTTTTCCACACATTCCTTGGGGAAAGTAAAGTCAATGGTGCGTTAAAATCAATGATTGCCAGGTTGCATGAAGACATCAGCTTACGTGCGCGCATGCTCCTTTCTCAGGCGAAATGATCGAGGTATCACTCGATACGATTGCTCATCGTGAGCCACAGTCAGATGCCAATGAAGCCGTAACTGCGAACATTGCCATTTTGAGCGAGGCTCATCGTGTGACTTATCTCGGACCCGCCGACGTCAAAGTCGCAGCGGAAGAACTGGCGTCGGTGCGGCATTGAATGGATTTGCGCTAGTGCCTTCCACCCATTATATCATTGGACGCGGGGCCGCAAAACTGATTGGGCGATTTAACCCCCCTTATTGCGTATGCTTTGCGTAAGATTCCCCCGAATGGTGATGGGCTCGTAAGAGGATTGGACAATAGTTCATAACTTGTACCACATACGATTGTAATTCCATGAATCTCGAACAAAGAAGCTTTAAGGACCGCTGGCTGTGTGAAACCAACCAATACTGGGATAACTTGTCCATATATGAGCAAGGCCACATGAGAATAGAATGGCGAACCTCGGCCTCTAACGTGAAGTGAGGGGAAAAGAGAAAAGGAAAAGACTGGAATGAAAAGGAGGTGCACCGACCTATTGGGAACTGAGTTATTGATTGACGGGTTATGTCTCGCGACAGACAGGACACCCACATGCAGTGTTGGATTACAAGTCATGTTACCGCTGTCCCACACACAGCGCTAACGCCAACATCCCACACCCGTGACACTGCCTCCCCGCCGCTCTGTGCGCCGATCGCCCTGTAGTATGAAAGCCGTCCCAGTTAGAACAATGATAATATAGATTTGGTGCTTACCTTTGTCTCTCGAGTGTTACCGCCGAGCGCCTGCGAGTCGACTCATAACAACACACAGGATCGTGCCACTCATCGCCTCCTGTTGGCGCCACCGCGTTATATGCACGGCTATCTGCGCGTTCTTACACGAAAGCCGCAGATTGATCGCCTAGCTAAAATGGAACTCTACATATTAATCTTCTGAGCTGATCACCAATGCCAGCACTCAGGTGCCAAGCTGCGTGCGATTGGTGGGATGAGTACAAGCCCCAGCCCGAGCGTACACCTTCCACCAACTGGCTCCATGCGCGAGCCAAGCTATCACATCCTGACACAGGTAGATAGGACCCTGAGGCCGGTGTCATTGCACAAGATAGGCTAAGAAGGAAACCAGTGATCCAGCGAGTTTTCTTCTAGTTTCCAAACTTCCAGGGGATGGGGATGGCTTGCGAGTCGCTAGTTGACCGCAAGGCTGGGGTGTCTTTGATGGTAAGTCGAGCATCCCAAATCCAGCCTGTCTCCAGATTCGAAGTGGGTACGGTGGCATGTTCACATGGAGCGTATATGTCTTCGGGTTGGGGTCGGACCGTAACCGAAGACAGGTAGTTTGCGAGGCTGGTAACAAAGGCTCCGGGCAACGCTCAGAAGGTTCATCTTGATCGTCAATATTACATGAACCGTTGATCCCGTGCCCACTAGTCGATCATGATATCGTTCTTCAAGAACGATCCCTTTACCCTTTCTCAACTTGCTCAATACGACGGGTCGGACGATCTACGTGGCGCTCAAACGCAGGGTATCGGACATTCTTCGTGCAGCACCAGGTTTTGTTTGTTTGTTTTATTCTGGATATTTAACCTGCAGAGCTTCAGGCTGCTCACAAGAGCGCCAAGGGCAGGGGTCTCGAGAAAAATACACGCAAATAAAGTAAAAATAACAGATAAGTCCGATCTGAGAACTCGTCCTTCTTCGTCCGAATGAAACCCAAACCATATTCCCCTGGTGAGTCGTCACTTACAGATGTTCGGATATTGTGTTACCGGTGCCAAGATGGGAGGGGTTCCGCTTCACAAGCGGACGTTATCTTTCGGGTTTACTCCGTTGTCTCCTAAGTAGTGTTTTTCTTTTCATATGCCCCGCTCTCATTTAAGAATTCTGCCACTCGCTTGATCCCCTCTTCCTTCCCCAGGAGGTCTGCAAGGTTCAGAATCCCGTCTTTGTCTCGTAGGACGTCTCGGTGGTCGGAGTACAGAGGGCATTCCATGAGGATGTGCTCTCGTGTCTCGATGGGTGTGCCGCAGCGGCAGCTTGGGTCTTCGCTAGGTAGGAATCGCTGGTAGTATTGGCCTAGGAAAGCATGTCCGGTGCGTAGTTGGACCAGGCGGCTGAAAGTTTTGCGGCTGAGAGTCCTAAAGTGTTTGGAAGGGGAGATTTGTGGCCCGATGCCATTGCAAAGGTAGTATTCTGAACGTCTGAATTGGACAGGGTCAGTGTTCCAACGTTGGGTCCACTCAGTTTTAAGTCGACGTTTGTTAATGTTCCGCATGAATGCTGCCGATGATTCAAAAGGGTAGTCGAAGGGGAGGAGTGTACCTTCTTTCGCCAGTGAGTCGGCAAGGTCATTCCCTTTGATGTGTGCAGCACCAGGTCCTCTTGTTTGATCGTATTTGGCCATCGGTCATCACAACGACAAGCTAGGCAGGACTCCAGCCTCTATGACTTCGTAATATTATAACGACAGGCGACTCGACGCTTGAGGTTCTAACCAGCCGGATCCTGGCAGCCAGTCCCCCAAATCGAGGGATTGATCTCCATATTCAACCCTTTTTTGGCCTAAGAATGGTATTCGATGTGACGCCGAATAGCGCAGCGTACGGCTCTGGAAGCCCTTATCAAGTCTTCGCCGGTAAAGTTGGCAGCAGAGCCCTGAAAGAAGGAGCGAAGGAGCTCGAGGGTCTCACGTCTAATATTCCAGGTCTGAGCGATCCTCAGTTTGCCGTACTCAATAAGTGAGTAGGATTCTTCACTCAAGTGGGTAGCATCTCTGCATTTGTCATCCGACCAACCCCCTTATGGTTCCATACTATCGTGGACAGGGTCACCAATCGAGCCTTCAAATGTTATAACTGCATGAGATGAGTGCTCAGTCTGTCAAGCTATCGATAAATGTATTGTTGCTCATCAAAAAATTCGCGAAGTGAACTAAAGTGACTATGATCTGAAGCAGCACCTGTGAAGGGCGACAACCGAAGGAAAATCCGTACTGGATCTAAGACATAAATGGCTCTATTTGCTATTTGGTGTGACCCTAAAGGGCAGATGAAGTTCAGCGGGACGGGCGTGCCGGTGCAACGGGTCTTGGAACCGCGAAGTGGCCCCTCGAACTGGGAAAATTTCGTCGTTCCATGTGCGCGGCCCTACGATCATTGGCCCTGTACGCACGTCCACAGGAACAACGGAAGGGATGCCGTCGAAGATTCGGGGCGAGATATTCTTGCGCGAGTGAACGAGCCCGGTGATACAGGTTCGGATACGCCTGTTGCAGATCAACTCTGGTAGGATGCGAGGTCTCTGATGGGGTGGATGGCAAAGCTCTGGCCCGCTGGTTACTCAGCGCCACGGCGTAGAGTATGTCCCGCGTTCTGTCGGCGTTGGGCGGATCTGCGTGCCGGCGGACGAAACGAGCAACCTCCTCCATTGCGTGGGGACAAGACGAGTGGTAGCTTATCGCCGCAAAGTGGAGTTGTAGAAGGAGGTACTCGTTGTCGTCTAATGTATCGAGTGGATGTCCGCTGTTCCTCGCATGACGCATGGCTGGGGCAATGTGGCGTGCCATGATATGGATGGGCAAGCTCACCGGTGTGGTAGAGATGAAGGAACACATACGGCATCGCGACCCGGGGCATGGCTCGGATTCGAGAGACCTTTTTAGCCATGCGTTGAATGATGGGGGAGGGGAAGCAGCAGGGGAACGATAGGCGTGCCGCTTGATGCGTGGCTGCACCTCGCGACGCGGCCGAACGTCATCATTGCTAAGGGATCGGGGCCGGCGCCGTCCAGGCTGAGCATCTGGTGCTTCAGCGGGGAAACAGAATATGTTTTCATTGGAGGAGGCGGTAGACGGAATCTGGTCGGGAGCTCTAAGTTTCAATAGATTCAGCGCCTTATTGAGAAAATAAGTTGTTGTACTCACGTCCAGGGAAAGAACTCGGTGAAAACGGATGCTAAGCTGGGAGGCAGGGATGCAATCCTGTCGGAAGACATGCTTGAAGGTGGAGATGAATTGGCCCTCTGCTACTCGTTCATCTTAGACTTAAGTACACTGTCGAAGGCGTGTCGGTGTCAAGCCTTCATCACCAAAATCAGCGCCCCAAAGGATAAACTTGAGCTTGTGGCCACTAGGAGACAGCCGGATGGCGAGATATTAATTGCATCTCGTAACAATGTGGTGGCACAAAGCGGAAAAATAACCACTGGAATATTGCTAACGTGATTGTCGCCGTGTAAACGGCATACTCAGACAAGAGGTTGATCTCTCTTTGAGGCGATCTTCGAAATGCGAGGTTCGCCGACTCAATCTCAAAGAAATCAGATATGAACCAGGGGGTTGGAATCCCCATTCAATCGCCGCCTCCCCAGCGACCCTTTGAATTTACTCCCGACTCATACCGATACAGAGGCTCAAGCGAGGGAGAACGTCTAGCCCCCACAGAGTCTCTATTTATGGGGCAGCGCCTCTAGACGTAAATCGAAGAAAGAAGCCCACTAATTTCGCCGTCGAGCATAAACCGTGCCATCTGAACGCGCCGGTCACTTGAACCAGGGTCCAAACCCAAAAGCGAATAATCCTTGTGTGAAAGCTCAAGCGCGTGCGGCGATCTGAAGCGGTTCGTCCGGTTTCCTGAATAGCCTCTGTCACGAGACAACCAGCGGCACGAATACAAAGATCCATGGTGGCCAGGATTGGAGTCCAGTTATGCTTTCCGACCACGCCTGACTCGTCCACCGGAGCCAATGAGTAACCGAAATTCGAGTACAAACATACATGGTCCTTTCATTAGTATGCTAAGAGTATTGTTTTTGAATGAACTTGGCGATCGTATTAAGTTGAATATTCGATGTTCCCTCGTAGATGGCACCCTGATGGAACGCGTTCAGTATGGAAATAGCCGCGTGTATATGGCCTTACAATTTTGGAATCTCTCCAGAACTTTTCAATACCAGTTTCTCGTGTAAATCCGACGCCCCCCGCCCACTCGATGGCCGACCCAGCTGCCTTCTGCGCTATAACGGAGCTGTACCATTTCGCCATGGCCGCCTCCTTTGTGAACGACTTCCCTTCCTCCTTCCTATTACCATGATATTCGCACGAATCAGAACATTTCTTTATAGGATAGTGGCTGGAAGAGTGAGGCTTACCGTCGTGCAGCATTGTATGTCAACAGTTTGGCTGCTTCGATCTCGGTTGCAACTTCGGCAAACTGGAACGCTAACCCTTGAAACTCGCCGACGGGTTTGCCGAACTGTTTGCGTTGGTATGTATACGGGACAGCTTTGTCGAAAGCGCCTTGAGCCAGACCAATCATCTGAGCTGCTATCCCGATGCGCCCTACAGTGAAACACATTAAGCAAAGTCGAGTCGCGTGCATCATTTGGCCTTTTTAAAGTTACCCTCATTAAGAATCTCGATAGCAACCTTGTAACCTTTCCCGATGGCTTCCTCACCACCCAGGATGTTCTCCGAGGGAACTTTGACATCATCGAAGCTCAGTGTACATGTACTTGAAGCACGAATACCAAGCTTCTGCTCCTTCTTTGCAATCTCGATACCCATTTCCTTGTCGACAATGAAGCATGTTATACCCTTATAGCCTTTGGAGGGATCCACGGTAGCAAAGACGAGAAAGACTTCCGCTTCAGCTGAGTTTGTGATCCACCTGCATTTGGTGGGTGAGTACGCAATCAAAATGAACTGAGGTAATAGATACATCTTGGAGCCATTAAGCACAAAGTGATCTCCCTTGCGTTCTGCACGGGTTTGAAGAGCAAAAGCGTCCGAGCCTGATGCAGGTTCGCTGAGACAGAAAGAGCCGAGCTCCGAGTACAGACACATCAGCCGCGAATGAGATGAGAGGAGTTGAGTTGAAGATCACCTTCGACTCCGCAAGTAGAGGAAGGTACTTCTCTTTTTGGGCTTGGGTAGCATACGTGCGAAAGACGGTGTTGACCAAAGTATTGTGGACATCGCAAAGCACCGAAACAGACGGATCCACTTTGGCCAATTCTTCTATAGCAATAATTGCAGACGTGAAAGATGATTCCGAACCACCTAAATCAGCAGAGGTTTCGATTCCCATCAACTAGACACGAAATTCAAGGACGACAGCTGGAACCCGCGAGTCGCCAAATGAGGAATAATCTGATGCTAACCCCTTGCTCGAAAAGACCTTTGATAACGGTTGGATCCATCATCTCGTTTTCGTCCATTTCCCTCACCCGGGGCCCCACAACGTCCTGAGCGAATCGCCGGACTTGGCAAACGTAGTATCAACTTGTTGCATGTGTAACATTCATATAGGATCGCACCTGACTCCCGTAACATTTCTTCCTCTTCAGTAAAAGTGTGTAGCGAGTTCAATCCTGAAGCAACTCTGCGTGATGTGGAGAATAACCTATGAGTGACCTTAAGTTGAGGTCATGTATGACAGAGAAGGCAAATGTTCCTCGCACTTCGAAGCAGGAACTCTGAGACCAGAAGGACCGAGTTCCCCTCTAAATGCTCTGCTGCGCCATGCTACTCGAAGAGCGTTCATCTTGGACGGGTCCGGGAATGACGGTATGTATATACCGGAGTGGGAAATATATGGTCGCCTCTGCAACCACGTGCAATTCATGTGTCCGTCGACCTGCCACTCAAATAATTGCTTAGAGCATCAGCAAGAATATTGACATGCTTTCGACACTGCTAGTGGTTGCTGTGGGTGAGATTTGCAAGGTGCAGCGTGACGCGTTTTTTTTTTTTTTTTTACTTTTGAGTACTTGTGCATGCGAGCCCCCATATCTGCGGTCATAGGGCTCTGAAAGCACCGTATCCCGTTCGATCTGCGAAGTTAAGTCGGGTACCGCTTAGTTAGTGCCGTGGTAGCTGACTACTCAGCAATCCTGAGTACTGCGGTTCTCTTTTTTCTTCTTCTTCTTCTTCTTCTTCTCCTTCTATTATTGTCTTTGCCAATGCCTCTCCACTTGCATGGTTAGGCCTGCGATTTTGGTGCTCTCAACCGTGATCCAACCTGCCCGAAAACTGTGGAAGCCAGATATGAACAGTGACACCATGTTTGCAATGAAAACCCGACCGGCGAGTGCATACGGTGTCTCTTTGTGTCATCTTCTTGAATGTCTCATCCTTTACAACGACACCTCAGGCACCAGCGCGATCCATTGTACACCGTGCGCGAACATGTATAGCCAAATGCTTCTGGCGACGTTTCATCAGAAGACTGCCCCGAATCTCGATTCGATGGCGTGTGCATGACGCGGATAAATGTTGTTTGCGATTCATCGCGCCATACGCCAGTTTCCATCTGGATACCACACCCCGCTCACATGCAGCATCTATCCTCTCCCCAGTGGGTTGCAACTGAGCGTGTCCAGCGATGATCGAACGCCCGACCCGTCGACAGCGGGTTCCCCAAGCACATGCGACAGGTTGGAGCTGTCCTGAAACCATGCCTCTCAGCATCAGTTATCTACCCCACCAACATCCCACAATGGTGACCAGCCTACCACAATGCAACATTTATCTATTTTGTCTCTAAGTTAAATCTGCCTCTCGAAGCTTCCACCTTAGCCTTACGCTTTTTTCGTGGCCATTTGAACAAATACTTCTGTAGGACAGTCAAAACACTGCAGTTTGAGAGTTGGTATTATTTTGCTACAACAATCACAGGCGACTTCTACTCAATCTGTATCGTTCGGCGGCACACTTAGGGAAGGAGAGTTGCTTAAAAATCGTGTCTTACGCAGTGCCAGCAATGACGTTGGGTAAACCCTCCTTTCGGTGGAGCGCTTGTAAATCGTCGTTCCCACCAATGTGCTTCTGGTCTGTATGGTGTGTGGGCACAGCAAGATTAGGAAATCCATCAACAAGTGCAATTGCGAAGGGTGTGGGAGGGCGGCTCACTGATGAAAACGTTAGGTACGGTTCTCTGCCCGGTTTTAGACAGAAGGTAAGATTGGATTTCGTCGCCGTCATCTTTTTCGTCGAGCCTTGGACGGATGACGTCAGCTGAGGGATCTATTCAAAATTCGCCAGAAACCGATCTAGACTCACTCGATCACTTTCACCTTCTTGCCTTCGAGCACTTCCTGAGGCTGGTCTTTTATCAGACTCTTCGCCCGACGGCTGTAGCCACACCAACTCTTGGAGAAGACAACAACATCGTTCTCAGCGATAGCGTCCTAGAACCGATCGTGACGCCCATAGAGAGATGTGAGCCCCTGTTGTCATGAAATTTGACAGACGCAAACGCTCGAACCTCGACGAATTGCTTGACCGACATGTCAACTTCTGGTGCCTTGCTCGACGACGCGAAGGGGGATGAGGAAAACAGATTGCGAAAGAAAGACGAATCGGAAAGGCTTGTTGAGGGTGCGAGTCTGAGAGTACTTCTTGTGGGTGGTAGTCTGGAGTGGCTTATAAACCTCCACGCACTTGTGGTGGAATATCGGAGCAAAGCGCTCATGTCATTCAGTTCTGACAGATCAATTGTTTCGCCACTCTGACTCAACGTTGGCGCAAGCGACGAACGCGGACATGTGACACTTCCTACACGGGTGCGACCGTTCATGTAAGGCGGTTGCGATCTCGGTGTCGTCGTGGCTTGAACATGGCTATGGCATTACTTATACAACACAGTTCATTTCGAAGGAAACCTGCGGAACTGCATGCAACGATAGAAGTTCACCAGCTAAACTGCCGACCGAGCTACCGATTTGTCCATACAATCCTTGCTGTTTTCTCTCTCGGCGCCGACAAGCTCGGGAGCTTGCTAGATAGCCATCTGTAAGGCACTCACGGGGCTCACGCAAATGTCCAATTAATCAGCGTTTTCTATTGAAGATCGTAATCGATTAATGCTTACGACGCGCATTCCTCTTCTCTCGCATTTGCGCCGAGTATTACTGTAGACACAGTCATTACATGGGAATGAATCGAGCCCCTGAGTATATTTATCACCCTATTAACTTACCGTCGAAATCGGTTTATTGGATTGCAGAATTGCGATACGAAACAGCCCATCGAACCCCTTCCATAGCCTAACTCTAGCGCTCTCGTGGGCACTCCGGAAAAGATTCCATCGAAAGTGCCCCCACACGCTCTTACGTTCGCATCTGCGACATAAAGAGATGCTCAGGTCGGCAACAAAGTCCTAGATCTGGGTGGAGGGCCTGTTTCCGGGAATTTTCGTCACCAGCCAAGGCAACGGCTCAACCCTTCGTAGCAGCAGTGAAACGGTGAGTAGCGGCGAATTGCGGGGACCTAGGACTTGAGTTTCCTGGAAAGGGGTTAGTAATGACGACCCCTACAGGTCCCAAAACCGTCAAATGGATTTTGCTCCCTACGTCGTCTCAAGGTTCAGAATTCGGAGAAGTGTATGCAAACAAAGACGTCAGTTAGCATGTGATCAACCCGCATGATCAGATGGATTGCATGTCGCAGGGACAAAAAGCGCCCGGTTTCTCAAGTGGGAGAATCAGCTATTTGGATTCACTCATCATGCTTCGGAATTCAAGGAAATGAACGACGGAGGCTTGATTCGGATCAGACGTGACCATGTGCACTGTGGCCTTCGTCGCTTTCAGAAGTCATGGCGGACAAGAATCCGCTTCAGGGGCGCTCGTTTGTTCATCTGATAATCACTTCTGCAGGAACCAGAAGCGTAAGCAGAGCTGACCAAAGAAGAAATGGCCATCGCAGTCTGTCCGCCATTGAGCCCCAAATGATAGGCGATTGGCGTGGAGACGGAGTACTGTAGTAAGAAACTCCAGAAGTTTGAATTGAGAACTCCCCGCGCTGCGGAGGCGGTGACGGGGACAAACGGGCAGTATGCCCATCCAGTTGGCTAATTGGCGGCCTTAAGAGGCATTGATAAGTGTCATCTGTGCCCAGCTGACGGGCATCAGATGGAATACACCCATGACAATTGATTCAAATGAGCAAATTCGGATCAGAATTGGATCGTTGTCTAGAACGTCCCCTAAAGAGACCTATTTTAGTCTTTACCCTCTTTGCAGGTAAACCCCACTCAGAATCAGACTCAGAATCAGACTCAGAATCAGAAATTAGACTAACGGAGCCAGTCCTCATTTCCGTGCTGTTGGGGCGGTTGGGAAGAAGATAGCAGTGGATTACCCCTTCTTTCGCAGGGTGGAACTACATCCCAATTCGACCAGACGCGTTTTTCAGGAAAAGGAAAGGTTTATCCCAGTAAGTGATGTCGGAGCGCATTGGAACATATATATCCATGAAATATATATGATCCTTTAAGCAGCTGCAACTACATGGACACGAGCTAGGTGTAAAGAAGCATCAGTGTTATGGCAGACCAATGATCTGAAGAACATTCACGTACCATCTATCAGTGAGGGGCAACATGCCATATTTCTCAGCTGGCAAGGGCAGGAACCGTCCAGATGGTGCAATTCACCGATGAAGAGCTTCTCGGCTGTGCCCGTGGGTGTATGTTCCTCCCTGTCACTTTCCGCTTAAATTCTAAATCTCTGGTTCCGAACCAGAATATTCTGGGGGGCGTTGGCAGCGCCACAGGACGAAGTTTTGCTTTTAAACGACGTTGTGGTCGAAGGGTGGTGCATATAACCTTTCGACAATTTGGCTGACCGATTGCGGCTCTTCACCCCACCTCACTGCAAGCCTCAGCACATCGGATTAAGCGCCCAAGATGATGCTCGTTCCCTCAGCTCTCAAAGTCACTCTAGGTGGGGTGGTTAGTCCGGCGGACGTAAAGACATGCGTATTGCTGACGTCAAAGAGTCGCTTGCTTTCGTATACGTCACATACTCGACATCCTGAGGATCTCGTAAAGGTCCTTACATCTCTGGCGGCTGAGGCATGGCGCGAAACACAGAAGGACAATGCTCTCAGAGGAGAAGGTCTCTCTAAGGAGGACCAGATAGCCATGATTGAGAGTGAGGTGCGCGTCATTACCGGCTCACGCGACCACATGAATTCAGGTTGTAGCTTTATGTTCTTAGCTTGGACGCGTCGTTGTCATGCCTATCTATCCCTCCTCAGCCCCCAGCATCAGCCCTTCGCCCTCCTTCACTTCTTCCGAGAAAGTCACTAGCGCCCAAAAAGTTGTGGCATTTCCGTCGCGTGACCAACAGGTCGACACGGCCGACACAAGTGGCTCTTCAAACAATGATGGTTCGCAATCATCGGGTCAATCCAACCCTGTGATTTTCTTGCTCGCCCTACACGGGTCTAAGGATGTCCCATGGGGTTTATTCCGAGCCAAGGTCAGTTGACGTTTTCCTTCACACTATCTTGCACAGCTGACCCGTCTACATTGCCTTTTTTGAATCGTCCTGAATGTCTGTGCATGTACGTACTCAGGGAAAACCTCTGGTGAAAGGCTTGAGTCTGTCCCTGAGCGGAATTGGCGATCGGCTAGATTCAGGAGCAAGCGCTAGTCCGCCAGTGGGCCGATAGGCAATCTAGTCTTTCTGCGGTGTCATTTCAACAAAGAAGTTCGCTCGCGAATCTGCGGAGTGCCCAAATATCGTAATTTTGTCTTTAAGTAAAACTTAGTCTCAAGTCTTCGTATTTTCGCCCCCTACAGACTTTCATTACCCTATCATCCTGGCGAGCTGCAGCAGTTCTCCTGAGCAGGGCATTTGTAATAGCTTTCTAATTCGTTCAATTTGATAATGTGTGTTTGTGGCTCCCTGGTCACTCCCTGTGCCAAAATCGCTGATCCATCCAGCTGCGTTCCTGGATAACTTGTTCTAGTTTGTTCCCTCACTAATTAGTACTGTGATGTTGGTATCGTCAGTAGCTGGCCCCTCAGATCGGTCAGCTGAGATCGGCGGTCTTCCGATTCAGAGCTGCAGCCAGGCCAGTTCTCGACTGCACTTACCCACCCAGCTGTCGTGAGGGACGCCTCCAAAATCATGATATTCAGGAATGTGTGTATTATATCTAGACATGTATGTGCGCGCCGTAGTCTTCTGTACATGAGTGAGGGCAAATATTACATTGACATCATGATCACTTTGCTCGATCCACCGCCTTCCCGGCTAATGATACTAGGGCATCTCGAGCCTCCGTCCACGGTAGCAAATTTAGAGCTTCCAAAGCCTTGGAAGCATAATCCTTCGCCAATTGATGTGTGCGTGCCAGTGCATTTGACCTGTGAACCAACTCTCGAGCCTACGGTGTGGGGGTAATCATCGAATTCGAACGAATTGGGAACAAACTGCTTACCAGTTCGACATCTCCTTCCTGTTCGAACCGTCGAACAACTAATGCTCCCATCTGGGGGTGCTCCTCCCATGCGAACAGCACAGGTGCAGTGGCCAGCCCAAGCTTTAGATCTGCTCCGTTCCCAGGTTTTCCTATCTCAGTTGATGAAGAAAAGTCTAATGCGTCATCGATAAGCTAGAAGTCGGGTGGATAAGCCACTGGAGGGGACGGAGTTAGCCGGAGACTCAGTCTGAACTTGCCTGGAATGCGATCCCTAAGTTTCTCCCGTAGGCATAAGCCACATCCTTCAGAGCCTCATCTTGTTCGTCTCCTAATTGGGCACCTCCGAGGACGACACTTGCACGAACCGACTTCGCCATCAGGCTGGCAGTCTTGAAGTACGATTTGCAAATGTATTGGGTCCATGTATCCTGGGTCGGTGCCGCAGGAATGGATTGGGATGAATCGTCCTTCAGTGATTTTCCATTGGAATTCTTCTGGTTGTCTATCATTTGCATCACTTCTCCCTCAACGAGATTTGACATGACAGAAGCGACAAGCTCGACAACTTCATTGTCTCCCAGCCGTGCCAGTGCAGTGCTAGCACGCCCGAAAAGAAAATCGCCACCAAGGACGGATAATTTATTTCCGAAGGCAGAAGGAGCACTTGGGGCCGATCGCCGTGTTGAGGCGTGATCAAGTACGTCATCGTGTAATAATGAAGCAACGTGGATCATCTCTGTTATTTGAGCAAGGCGAAGTTGAGTAGGGAGAATTGTGGCAGATGGAGGTGCATGCAAGATAGTGTCCGGGGAAGGTCGAGACAATGTGGAAAGACTTGTTTGGGTTGGAGGATTATGGGATCGAGATGTGCGGTCGTGGACATCAAACGGTCCCACGAAAGATGATGTAAAATCTGGCATTCTTGGGTTCCAGTCGTTGAGAACGAACGGACTGCTTAATGCCATGTCCAATCCAAATCGTTTTGGGCCAGTTTGGATATTCAGAGGGGAGAGGGCTCGCTCATTAAATCCAGATGCTAGGCCATTCGTTGCACAGGAAAACAGTAGAACTAATTGCGGGCGTAGCTGCTTCCCGGACAGGTGGAAGTAATAGTCCGCAATTTCGGTCAATGCTGGATGTGACGACCCCAACAAATTCACAAGAGTTTCCCGGATGTATGTCAGTTCGGAAGCAATCATCCTAGCTGGATCTACACGGGGCATTGTGTCGGGAGATACAGGAGTAGGTGAGGGAGAATATCGGGGGGCCGGAGCCGTGCTGGTCGCACGTAGTCGCGTTGCATGAACATTCCCTGCACGAGCTGAGACATTAGATGCAGGAATGCGGAGCATGGTTGGTAATATACAGCCTCTGGACACAGCAGAAGTCATTGGGGGCATCGTTGACGCGTTTCAAATTGTCGGGGGACGTCCAAGTCAACTATTGCAGGGGTGACGGCGGAAGCCAATTCAGAAATCTTGTGGGAACCCCAGACCCTAAGTATTCCACTTCAAGCTTTAGGCACTTTGGACAACACCCAAATGGGATAGAAACGGCCGCCGATGGTGTCAAGAGCCCCTTGAGCCACCCTCTTTCCACCAGACGAAAAAGACCGGACGACGGGATTAATGACAATATGATTCGGACAATTCCGCTGCAATGCAAGCGCTAAGGTTGGAACTGAATAGCTAGACCTTGTTGACCGATAAGACAAAACGGCAGCGGAAGCCAGACTACTTGAAAGAAAACACAACACTCGCACACCAAAGACACTTAAGGAAGGCCACAAAGCTCAGTAGTATTATTCTTTGGTCCCTCCACGTGACGTTGTTGTTATTTACTGCAGCCTCGGCAACAACCACCCAATTCGCATCCTGCCTTGAAACAAGCCCCTCCTGTTCCCCTTCAACCTCCAAGTACGTTCAAGGATCACCAAAGCGTGCCACATACCTAGATCGGCCCATTTGCTGCATAGCGTTAGGCCCACATCTCACAGCAATGGCTGGAGAAGCATCGAGAGTTGCTGGTGGCAAGGGCAAGTCCAAACCGTCTGAGCAGGCGCCTAAGACACCGACGACAAGAAGTCAGAGAGCTGGCCTTCAGGTGACGTGTTGAAATGATTGTTGCTACACGTGTCGATTGCTCAGATATCACGTTGCAGTTCCCGGTTGGTCGTATTCATCGTTTTTTGAAACTGCGGACCCAAAACAATGTCCGAATTGGCGCCAAGGCTGCTGTTTACACCACTGCAATCTTGGAGTACTTGACAGCCGAAGTTCTGGAGCTCGCTGGTGTGTTGTATCTGTCCATTCCTGCAGCAATAGCGCTGAACCTATATTGGTTTAGGCAATGCTTCCAAAGATCTCCATGTCAAACGTATCACACCCCGACATTTGCAGCTTGCTATCCGTGGAGATGAGGAGTTAGACATGCTTGTCCGTGCCACAATCGCCGGTGGAGGTGTACTCCCCTTCATTCACAAGAACCTGACCATTCCGAAACCAAAAAAAGAAACCAAACCCCCTGGACTTCAATGAGTCACATCTGTCGCTCTCCACTGACCCCCCGGTTTTAATCCCGATAGTGTTGCTTGATTCCCTGTGTTTATCATCGTAATATTTGTCCGAGTGATGTACGCATTCTCTACGGTATCTCATTTTTTCATGAGCACACTCTTTTTTTTGCATATGTTACTTACATCCATGTCGTTCGTGTATATATGAAATATTCCAAACCAAACAGAACAAAACGAACCGGGATATTCCGGAAGCTCAAGCCCCAGTTACAATCTAATTATTCCATCGCCAGACGTCGGGTGCGGTGGTGCAATGTCAGTAAGAGGCCGAGCATCGCCTGCACCCTCCTCGTCTTCATCTAACGAGAATCTAGTGTGTGCAATTGCTTCCTGCTCCTCTGCGGCGAGTCTTCCATACCCATTCCTGCCCCCCGAATTCCTCCAGCTTCCCCAACTTGGCTGCGAGAAATCGTTTCGAGAACGACGAGTGACACACTCAGAAAGAAAATCCCGCAATCCAGAAAGAGTGAAAGTGGGAAGCTGTTCCCATCCCCGGAGGCCAAGAACCATGCGATTGTAAAATGTGGCTCCAAGGAAGTACGCCAGAAAGGCGACAAACGCTCTGCGTTTGTGGGAATGGATCAGGAACTGGCAGTTGGATGATCTGGAAGTTGACTGTATACTTACATTACGCCGAACAGGAGGAGGACACCACCAGTGCTGCCCGGTGTTGCGGTCGGACATGCAACCTTGGACTGGGTAAGGGAGGGTGAAAATGTTCGTTCTTCATAAACTCACATGGGTCCGCCATTCTACAAAAAAAGCGCACGCAGCGTTGTCATCTGGCGGCAGCTGAGCAATGAGCCTGGGAGTTCCTGTGCGGCCGGCACATACGTGTCAACAGGAGAATTGTATGAAAAGGGGTAACCGCACCTTTTGAAAACACGTTTGGGTCACATAAGAAGCGGATGGCTGTTGAACGTCTGATGCCGGAGTCTTGCGCAGCAGAGCCATTGCAGGGTGATCCATCAGATAATATTATTAATGGATGCCCATGAGCTATGGTCAGCGTCGTGTTGGCCTTCCTGCATAAGTTTCAAGCGTCATATGTGTGATGTTTCATTGACCAGTAGGTGCAACACTTGCCCGATTGAAATGTCAGAATGTGTCCCTCGGAAGAAGCCACCAACGTGCTCCGCGTCCCCCAAGTTCCACGTCTCCGTTAACACGCTGCCGCATATGTTTAGGGTGAGGTTTCGTATACCAACGTCCGACAGGGCTTCATAGTCTTTCCTGCAAATCACATGAGATTGGGCATACACCATGCGGTAGTGTGGTCGCCTACTTGGCACGTAGAGGGTTTAAGTCATAAAAATTCGGCCCATCATATGCAGTACATGGTCTTGGCTCAGGTGTATTAGCCATTGCGGGAAATTGGAGTACTGGAAGGGAGATATGGCAAAAGCTCTTCCAACTGGCGGCCTCGTGACTCCGTGGCAGTACTACTAAGTACGTCATTCCTAATTTCCTTGCCGAATTGTAGCGGCGTTAGACGAATCCTACTCTTGTTTCGTTTGCACGGTGGCGGGCCAGGGACCATGGCAGGAATAACTCGGTGGTTGATATCGGGGCTTGTGGTGCTCGGGGGCTATGTTGCCTTTTGCCAGGAGCCGGAGGATTCTCCAGACAGCGAGGATGTGGCTGCATCGAAGGTTGTGCTTGAGAGCTCCTTACCCGTTACTCATTCCGCTTTCTCCTCACGTACCCTGAAGAAGTCATCCCGATTGGCCCGGCCAAAAACGGGCGGTGGGGCCGCCATCGGCGCTGAACAGCTTACTGTGTTACAGCGCCACGGTGGGTGAAGTTTCCGAACGAGGAGATTATGCTGAGGACAAATTGTTTCAAGACACCTCTAATAACACATTGATCAAGAATATGGCACTAGAAGCGGAAGCCAAAAGACTTCGGATAGAGGTATTTTTACTCCCTGTGCTTACCTTGGAGGAGCCGATCAATATTTATTCTGCCTGTGTACGCTTCAGTCAGACGCCCTGGAGAAGGCTTTGAAACGCGCCGCGGAGAGGATCATGGAGTTAGAAATAAAGGTTCGTACCCGCCACATAAATGGCTGTTCGAATTTCCCCACCACGAAACTGATCGTAGACTAATATCCAGGTGGGCTGATTTCCATTAAGCACTGGGCCCAAAATTATGTTTGCTCCGTACCAGCATGGAGGATCAAGCGCCCTCGCTCTCATCGACGGAGATGGATACGTATTTTCGCCTGGGTACTGGAGAAAAGGGAAAGAAGGCGGCCGGCAAGCAGCCGTTGTCCTCCACGATACCCTGGCCGCTACAGCTGGCCTGCGATCGCAATTGTGCGCCACAATTTATTTTAATCGCAAGGGGCTCGGTAGCACCCTATGCGCCAACAGCATTTGTTCGAAGGACCAATTTGAGGACTTCATCGTTGGGTTTAATCAATCCACGCCACTATTTGCTATGATCGATGCCGGTCATGGCAAAGAGGCTGCTGACGCCAAGATCAGGGGTACACCCAACGTAGTCTCCTGAAAATAACTCCACACTGATGGTATAACACTTAGGAACGCTGAATTTTTTTGCGCACCTTCCCCAAACCAAATTGATTCTATTTGGAGGTAAGATTCCAAGCTTGCCCGACATACTGGCACTTAGTTCCCGAGACGATATTATATGAGGTGGCCATGACAGGGGCTACTTAACAGAGCTTTCCGCCTTGCGGACTGAAGGGTTACTTCACAAACTGGCGTTACTGAAAGGGTCAAGGAAGCTGGCACACGGATTCGAGTCACTCCCAATTCCAGTTATCCCTATTGAAGGTCTTTTTCTTGAGAGCAACTTATCACCTAGTTATTGGACAACACCAAGAGAGGGGCGGCCCTCCGCATCGCTGCCTCTCTCTCCCAGGGCGATTTCCACCTCCAATCCCCCATATGCAACCCCGATCTATAGTATCAATTCAGAACGTGAGAAATTCATGGGCAGCACATTGATAAATGGCTGATGTAGTCTCGCAGGCGGACAAGGCTCGGTTACGGACTGGACCGGTTCTGCTACTCCCAGTGGTCTGGATCTTAGTTATTTTGTCCCGTTGATCGACGCGTTAGTTCAGTTGAAAGAAGTGGGACAAGATCAGCCAATCCGCTCTGTAGTTGTGGAGAAGATAGGGACAAGGAGGATACTGGAATTATATAAGGAAGCGGGTGTGGACTCGTTTAAAGCATATGCAAACCTAGCAGAAGCTACAGGGCTGGTTATCAATATGGCTGACAGAATCGCCTTGGCTAACCTGGAGGGAATTTGATCCTTGATGCGCCAAGGAAATTGCAACGGTATCAGCCTTACTCGTCTGTAGGCATCCTTGTCTGTAGGGAACTCAACTCTTGTTCGTATAATGGTAATTGGTAGGCGCATAGACGGAGTCGTGGTGCACTTGGTTCACCAAAAGAACATGAACATGTCGAATATTTTATGTTTGCCCAAGTGATGAAGGAGAACGCACACCAGTGTTTGAAGGCACCAAGACTTTATATTCTTGCCTGTAAGTTCGAGCTTGTGAGTCTTCTGCAGTCGGAATTTATACAGTAAGAAAATTCCCGCTAGACCAACTGATTCTCACCCGTACTTGTATCTCGGAATTTAAGGATCCGGATCCAAACCTGAGCCCGAAACGGATGGATGGATTCATTCGGTCCGTGCCGTGGTGGGCTGGTTTGCTTCCGTTGGGATTTTTTTTTGGGTGTTTCCCCATATGGACCCATGCAACCCGGCCCTTTCCGCCATTCATTATTTCGCATCCCCAAAATTCAAATCACCTGCCAGCTCCTGTCACGTTTCTTCGTTTGGTTCGATTTCGGCTTTCTCCCCTTCCTTGCTCTCTCCCTCCCCCCCCCACCAACCAATATTCAATCTTCACGGTCACGTTGCAGTCACGTTCTCGTTGCAGAACGCACGGCCACGGCCAGCTCCGCTCACCAGCTCATGCCGCCTGCGCCTCGCCTCGCCTCACTGACGGAGTAAGTACTTGCGGCAGCACGAGAGTGAAGACAAGTGAGTGCGGTGCACTCTTTCTTTCCCTTTCTCCATTACCTTTTTTTTTTTTTTTGTTTTTTCTCTCGCTGACGATCGATCTCTGCCGTTCCCCAGGGCTGGGCTGTAGCCATCCCCTCCCCCGCTCCCCGAACGCGCTGTATCTCCCTCGCCCACAACATCCCATCCTCGCGGTTTCGGACGAAGCTGATGGCGTTGGATTCGCTCGTGGGCCGTGCCGTCCCATTTGGAGGAGCGGTTGGGAGAACATGCAAATCGCGCGCACGGCCCCTTTCTGACGCTTCGCCGCCGCCGTCGTCGTCGATCCCATTCTGCTCGACTCGAGCCCCGCTCTCGAATGGATGGTTTTTGAGTCATACGGTGAGATGTTACTAGCCGTGCCCGGATTTTTTTTTTTGCTCATTTTCCGTGAGCGTCTTTGTCGACCTCCAGTCCAGTAGAAAGCGATGACAAAAATTCGGTGAAATTTCCCGCTGGGTTACCCTGCTCGAACGCTTTCAGATACCATCGGTCCCGTCCCCAACGGATGGTTTTTGAGCCAGGTACGCGCCGTGAGATTTCCTAGCCATTCCCGGATTTTCTCACTGATTTTTCGCGAATGTCTTTGTCCACCATGGGAGCAAACCGACGATGGAAATCGACGAAAATATCTATTGGAATCCCCTACTGGAGTGCTTTCGGATGCCATCAGTCACGTCCCCAACAGATGGTTTTTGAGCCAGGTACGCGCCGTGAGATTTCCTAGCCATGCCCGGATTTTCTCGCTGATTTTCCGCGAATGTCTTTGTCCACCATTGAGGAAGGAAAACCGACGATAAAAATCGACGAAAATATTCATTGGAATCCCCTACTCGAGGGCTTTCGGACGCCACCGGTCACGTCCCCAACGGATGAGTTTTGAGAGAGGTATGGGCCGTGAGATTCCCTGGCCGTGCCCGAATTCTCTCGCTGATATTTCGCGAATGTCTTTGTCGGCCCCGGGAGAAAACGATACAAAAATCAGCAAAAATATCCCCTGGGTTTTCCTACTCGAGCGCTTTCGGACACTGTCGGTCCCGTCTCCAACGGATGGTTTTCAGAGGATGTATGGGCCGTGAGGTTTTCTAGCCATGCACAGATCTCTTCGCTGATCTCTCGCGAATGGTATGTGTGATCTGACTGGGAAGAGCAATATAATCATTGTGAAATGACACTTAGGTACATTCAGTGGTGTAATTTTCCACTCTTACGACTCTTGATGGTGCCGTCTCTTTTCCCTTCCACTCCAATCTTTTCAAGTGCAGTACCGAAATTGTCGCTCATCTTCAGTCCATAGTGTTTCAGGAACTCCGCCTCACCCATTCTGTACAGTGGGGAAGTGTTAGTGTTAGTGGATATTTAGTCACCAAAAGGAGAAGAGAAGGAAGAGACTACAGACTCGTCATATTTCTGGCCAACACGACGGCGCTTGCCATATGTCACTCCATGTGTGCTCGAGTGCTTGCCAGTGTACCATTCCCGCTTCCAGTTCTTCAGTGGCACTCGGAGCTCATTCTCATCCCCATGCAGCCATTGTTTAATGGCATCCTTAAGTGTGCGGACTGGGGGAATGGTGGTGTGCTCAGCACCCGGAGCGGGTCGGCCATCATCATCGTGGTGCTCCTGGGGCCGACTGGAGCCTGATGGAGGGTGGGATAGAGACTGGGCAAGTGGAGAGGAAGCGACGGGGCCGGGGGGGGGAAGGGGGGGAGCAGCACTGGGTAAGGTTGGCTGTGGCCACATTGACTGAGTGGGTCCTCCTGGCTGAACTGTTAGGGACGTATGATCCATTACTGAGCAGACATACCAGTAACATGGTGGTGGAAGGCAACAGGGTGAGGAGGAATAAGATAGCCTATCGTGTGCCTGAGTTGATCCAGTGAGACTTGGAATGAAGCAAATCTGTCATCAATGCTTCGGAGCCCATGCCTGAAGTGGTGCATGTGTTCCTCATACCGGCCCATGCGTTCCTCAAAACGGCCCATGTATTCACCCAGGTGGCCAAACTGAGAGCGGGCTTCTTCTGCAGTCATTGCTTTGAGTTGCGACATCGCTCCATTTTGAGACTCTAAGTTGTCAATGTGAACCGGGGCAAGTGAGTCGCCATAGTTTGTTTCTGTGGTGATCAGCATATCCATAGCATATTTGAGGAGTGTAGATGGCTGGAATATTGTGAGAGCCTTGGGAATGTGGATGAGATAACGGTGTAGACTCACATTTTCTCCAGGTGCCCACCCACCCCACCACTGGCACTGATGAAGTGGCCACCTTCTGAAAACCGGTGCAAGAGCAAACCAGTACTGAAGACCACCATGCCTGAAGCAGTGTGATGTCAGTCTGTCAGTTTCCAGTTGCGCTTGCCTTCCATAATAGGCAAGAAGATCATTAACGGTGGTGGTTGAGAGCGTTGAATTCCAGTGAATGTCATGAGAACGGTGGGAGCAGGAGGGAAAGAGGGGATAGTGAGGCTTCAAGGGTTTTCCACTGCAATATCGCAGAGAAAGAAACTGAGTCCAGTGCCTCACATGGCAATATGCATCAAGCTCCGGAGTCACATTGGGTCCGTCATGCTGGGAAAATGTGTCCATGCCATAGAGGGGATAGATATTATACCGTGTCCCTATAAACTCGGACTCAGACCAGCAGTAGACTGATGGCCACTGGATTTAGTTTACCTTGGCAGCCAGACTCATCACTATGGTTCTGTTTTTGCCAGCCCTTGCGGTTAACCAGGGTGATGCGCAGGTGTGGAAGGTTGTGACTGACTTCCTCGTGTCCCCAATCAAGATGCTGAATAAGGATTGAAGTGAGCTCTTCATTCCTATGTTGAAAGTTGAAATATGAATAAAGGGTTGGTACAGCAGAGATGTAGGTACCTTGTCCATAGAGTCCAGCCCAAAGATGTTAGTGTACACAACATGAGGTGGGAGCGGATGTTGTCACGTTGTTTAAGGGTGAAGGACTCGCTGGGAATACTAGGGTCAAGAGCCTTGCTAATCAGGTCTGGAGGACATTGAGTAGCAGTGACAGCCTGAATAGCCTTAATGTCGCTAATCTGGATTGCCCTTGCATGATTCCGGATAGTTCCCTCAGATGTGCGCAAATTCTTCACAGATTTGACAAGGTCAATGATCAGACTGGATTCACATGGGTTTCCCTGGCACTTTTCAGGATAAGGGTGCGGATGCCAAGTGCCCTCAAATCCTCTAGAGGGGAATCAGAAATGATCACTTCACTTCGTAAATTTTATGTCGCTACTCACAGTTTCCTGAAGTGCCACTTGAACGCGGAGCGGAGTATGTCTACAGTTGAGACAGACTTGTTCTGATCAGTAGCGCGGAATGTGATGTATGCAGCCAGTAGTTTGGCAGTAATTTCCACAGGTTTGTCGAAAGCAAGGAGAGCATCCTTGTGTTGAAAGAGATATGCCTCCGGATTTGGATCCTCAGGGGATGACAACAGTGGGTTACTGTACTTGAGGCAATTCTCTTCCAACCACTTCTTGGCATTGGTTATTGCTGAGCTATAGTTCCGTTGCGTGGAAGTGGACTGGAGGTGTGTATCTATCAATTCCAGCGCAGAAGTGGGGCCTGACCCCAGCTCAGAGTGCGGAGCCAGCTTCTTCCGCACATTTGAAGTTGCATGCTTCAGCAGATGACATCCCTTCTTAACTTTGGGCATAGTGGGTGAAAGTACTAGGATGGATGGGCAGTTATGAGCCAGCGTCGGCACCGAGTTTCACGTGTCACATCAAAGCACAGGCTGATAGTGAGGGACACAGCACCCAGGGATTGCATCCCTTAATCCTTTCATACCATTGGGGCAGCCGGAGTCCAACGAGGATTTCACTATCCATCAAAGATGCATCAATTGCCTGAAGCGGGTTGACGTTGACAGGTTGGCGATAGGGAGGGCATCCTTGAACGAGTCGCACACACCACACACAGTTATGTTACTATCTACATGAAGACTATGGAATGGCCTGACAACGGAGCAGGGGGAAATGGGATTTGAGGACCAGATATTTCATCCTTGTATCCGAACGGATCAGATACACCTGAGTCAATAATGAATCCAAGAGATGACATGCTCATTACAGATTCTCCACGACTGGGGCACAGTCCGTCACCAAGAATCTAGCCTCCCACTTGGACTCCATGAAGTTGCAGGAGAATTGCGACCCCAACCACCTATTCTGGCCATGGAGCGAACTGAGTGCATCGGTTGCACAGCAAGAGATCCACCACGGTTTTGCTCGGGTCCCTTAAGAAGGAATTGTGCAGTCCCAGTGGGGGACAAAGCTGGTGAGCGGAGCTGCCGTGGCCGTGCGTGTGATTTGCATGTTCCCCCAACCACTCTTCCAAATGGGATGGGACGGCGTTTGAAAGCCCACGAGCGAATCCAATGCCATCAGCTTCATCTGAAATGGCGAGGATGGGATGTTATGGGCGAGGGAGATACAGCATGTCCGGGATGGCTACAGTCCTGGGGAACGGCAGAGATCAATTGTCAGCAAGAGAAAAGACAAAAAAGAAAGAGATGGAGAAAGAGCGCGCCACACTCACTGTACTCTCATGCAGCACCGCTAGGCTGGGCTGCCGCAAGTACTCCGTCAGCGAAGCAAGACGAGGTGCAGGTGGCATGAGCTGAGTCGGGGGAAAGATATGGGGTGGTCGGACTGAGTATGGACGCGGATGAGATCGAAGCCGGTTGAGACGACCCTTGCAAGACGCTCGATGTCTGTGTACCAGCGACAGTGGCTAATATGGGGGGTTAACGAAAGGGTGGATTAACATGCGAGTGCCCAAATAGCACTTACTGCCTCGGCCTTGCTTCTCTTTGTCTTTGCTGTCCTTTCCTAAGCCTATAGTCCACTTCTTTTTCTCGCGCTCCTTTTCGGAATCAATGCTGGCGCGGGGTTTTGTCTCCCTATCATTCTTTTGCAGTGCCTTTGTGCCGTTCGTGCAGTCACCTTGATAGAGTCGAGAGCGACACGAGGAGGTGACGAGGGATAGGGCAGGAGAGGGTGAAGAATGGATGTGTCCAGTTTAGCACCGAAATAGGGAATGGGTGGTGAGAGGGAAGGATCGGTGAGATCTGGCGAGTGAGCTTGCGGGAGAATGTGAGGGTCGTCATGTTGCTCTACAGTCCATCTGTCCGCCTGCGGAATATCCAAAACGGACACATACAGTAGCACTTACGATGTTGGAGGGGTCCGGCATCACGTCGAAACCGAGTTCATCATTAGATGGGGTTGAGTCCATGAATACATGAGATGTCGCTCGAAGGCAGTCGCTGAGGCACACCATTCGCACATGGGGATGATGAGTCGAGGAGGAAGTGGAGGTGGAGGTGGAACAGTGGCTGCGTAACCAAAGGGATTACGTCTGCTGGGCTTGATGATCCGGCCGAGACTGGACATTGAAGGGATACTTGCTAGTGAGCCGCTGTGGGAATGGCCCGACGATGGAATGGTGTATGCCAAACTGTCCGGATAGCCGGCAGAGTGAGTCTGGGTGCGAACCTCCGTGGGTGACTCTGATGCGGAGCCAGGGGGGAGTGTCTGGAGCGATGGTTGTCAATACAATGGAACCATGGTTCGGAAAGAGAAGCAAAGCCAGCACATCGAAGAAGAGGGAAAATCGTAGAAAATGAAGTGACTTATGTGAGATCCAGAATTAATGTTAACAGCAGAGTGATATGGCAAATCATGCGTGCTCAAATGATGAGAAGCATAAGAATTAGAACGATGTATTCCAGGGTGTGCGCCGCCGGTAGCCCCACTGGTCCCATTCACACCGTTCCCACTGGCACCAGTTCCAGAATGACTCAAAGGAGAAGGGTAGCTCGAGGAAGGGTTACCAGCTTCTCTATGGCCCTCACTTCCGCTTGAATGGGGATGTGAATGCGAATGCGGTTGGGGAGGTTGAGGGTAATCTGTTGGTGAAAACAATACCACAGGCCCCTCCGTCTGCCCGCCATAGATGCCATACCCATTCATTCCCTTCCCATTGCTCATAGGGACACCATATCCGCCTACGGCAACTCCAACACCGACACCAGCGGTAGTGGTGGCACCAACACCATGAGAGAAGACATTGCACCATATGTTGCTCCATGTCCCGGATACGGATCACCCCCAGCCCTTTCAGAAACCGGATGAAGTGTTATACTCCCCCCATTTCCAGCGCCTCCAGTTCCATACGAACCACCCAACCCCGTAGCACCATCAGGACTAGCGGGAGGGGTAGGGGTATAAATCTCCCTATCCCTCTTCGTCGTTGCTCGAATCACACTCCCATTGGCGCCCCGATTCATCAAGTTGGCATCATTGTTCATCATAGGTTGCTAATGCGGCATTAGCGACTGACATTGCCGCAACATTAGCGTTCGCAGCCGCAGCCGCAGCCGCATTGGCATTAGCAACCGCCATTTGAGCTCGTTTGTTGTGGGAAGTTCGTCAGGATCGAGGAGAAAGATGAATGCGGAAACTATTTTAGAGGAAAGGGTATCACTCCATTTAATATCCAGGTGGTGTGTACGTGGTTATGGGGGCCGGACCGATAGTCAAATGGGCGTGGGTGAAAGGTAAATGAAGAGGGAAAAGGGAAAGAAGTATTTCGTACGAGAACGATCGATGAACAGATTGATGCGGAGACAAACACGTTTGGCGCGGAATAGGGATGTCAGGATGAGAGTGAGTTTTTTTGGTTTGATGGAGAGTGGCATGTGTGGGTAAACGGAAGCAAGACCAGGCCGCAGATATGTAGGTCGATGGATCGTCAGGGAAGAGAAGTAGTCATAGTCACGAGATTGGTCGTTGAGATCTAGTGGGATAAAGAAAAACACATTGGTCAGAAACGCCCCAGTACAAGCGCACACACACAAGTGGAAAGGTCGTACTCACTGTTGCTGCAAGTTATTTTGCCTTGAACATCTTGTTTCACAACCTGGGAAAGGGCATTTGTGATTCCTTTCGCCCGTGTGGACGCGGGTGTGACGGGCAAGATGTCCACTGGTGGTAAACGCCTTGGAGCACGTCGTGCAAACATGATTACGCTTCGTCTCGGTCGCAGTGGCACGACCGGTTCCTCCATTTGGTAAAGCGTGTGGTTGTGGTGGTTGTGGAACAAGGGAAGTTTGGTTTGTGGTTGGGGTGGCAGGGGAGAGGAGTTGCTGATGTTGAATGGATGATTGTGCAGGCGCAGAGGCAGTGTATGTCCTGCGGCAGCTGCCGCAGAAGACGTCGTGGTTGGAGTGCCCATCGCTGAGTGAACAAGGGTGATTTAAGGGATACTTGATGGTGATGAGGGGCGCCAGATGTAGGTGTAGCCGAAGGAGTACCATTAGCGGTCGTCAGGGCCAGACCCAAATGAACGACAGCAGCATTATTAACGTCATCGTTGAGCAGAGAAACTACCCTTCCATCTTCCGACAAACATGGGCTCGGCGGTGGATGAAGACTTTGTATTCATCGTGTTTAAACCTTCTGCCACTGCACCAGTAACGACAGCGGAGGAGGCCTGCTCTGAAAATAGAATTGCGATTTCTCAGAATCCGTCGATTTTCTGCCCTTCGCCTTTCGCTCCCTGGGATTGGAGTCATCAACGTTCAGAGAGAAGTCGGTAGCTTGAGAGATGCTTCGCGAATGACCGTTATCAGTGGTCGTGTAGCTGAAGGGATTGTGTCTGCAGGCTTGATGATTCGGCCGAGACTGGACATTGAAGGGATGCTTGCTAGTGAGTCGCTGTGGGAATGACCTAACGACGGAGCAGGGGGCAATGGGATTTGAGGACCAGCTATTTCATCCCAGTATCCGAATGGATCAGATACACCTGAATCGATAATGGATCCAAGAGATGAAATGCTCATTACGGATTCTCCACGACTGTGGCCGCTATGGGATGGGGCACAGTATGTGACTGAGAATCTAGCCTCCCGCTTGGACTCCGTATCAGATTCCAATGAGATACAGCGCTCCCTTTATTTTGGGAGGACGAGGGGTGGACGAGGGAAAGGTTTAATGTCACCAAGGCGCACATTGAAGCATCCAAATCTTCGAGAAGCTCAATTTCGCGAGCACTTAAGTTACTCGTCTCAGTGTTTGTGCGAGAGTGAAGTCCCTAAAAATGCATTACAGATGAAATGTTTGACGCATGGTTGAATGAAAATACCTTCATTGGGGGAACGGCGATGTTTAACGGCGTTGTTGGCTTGCCAAACTGGAAGCCTCCATTCAGCTCCCCAGTTCGATTCTGCATCGAAAATTATGCATCAAATACCATCCCAAACCAAAACGCATGTCTAAACAAGGACTCACGAGGTTGGCCTTAGGTTCCACAGGGAGCTCCCAGTCCAGTGAGACAGGGGAAATTGCACGCGACTCTGACGCAGAGCCAGAATCAGAAAGGAATACTTGCGGTGTCTTGAAAGCCTCTTCCAACTGCTCTACGAAGCTGAGTCGCACACCACCTTGATTCAGACGGTTAAGTTCACCGGTGAAGTCGAAGCTCTTCTTGCCAGTGTCGTCCTCATGCATATGGTCGCCTTCTTCATCTGAATATGTTGGCTCATAACTGATCCCAGACGGCGCAGTAATCATTAGGGAAAAATGAGGGCCTGGTAATGAACCAGGAGAGGAGTTCGAGTCCGATGTTGTAACTGGTAGAGACAAGTGATCGGACAAAGGCGACTCAGGGGGCTGAGGGATAGAAAGCGTATCATCCAATGATCGGGTAGAACAGCTGCTTGAGAGGATGACTTGCAACTCATCAGGTATGTCCGAATCTGGGTCGGCAGGTGCCTCATCCTCGGAAGACGAGAATGGCTCCTGTGTTTGCTCAGTGTCATCCGCTTCATCGGCGGGTCCCATTGTGCCGCCGAAACCGAGTTGGCGACGTATTCCTGGCCTTGTAATGGGTCGAAGTTGCTGGTGCAGCGATTCTGCCGATGATTGTTCCCGAGGTTGCTGAGGAACGAGTCTTCGTTTCCTACGGATTGTTTCGTGCCATTCATGTGGTCACCTTGATAGAGTCAAGAGCAACACAAGGAGGCGACGAGGGATAGGGCGGGAGAGGGTGAAGAATGGATGTATCCAGTTTAGCACCGAAATGGCACTACAGCGATCATGAGATAGGAAATGAATGGCGAGAGGGAACGATCGGTGAGATCTGGCGAGCGAGCTTGCGGGAGAATGTGAGGGTCGTCATGTTGCTCTGCAATCCGTCCGTCCGTCTGCGAAATATCCAAAACAGACACATGCAGTAGCACTTACAGCGGAGCGGCCAATTGGGGGGGGGGGGTCCGGTATCACGTCGAAATCAAGCAAGCTTCGGCATTTCATCCCTAGATGAGGTTGAGTCCATGAATAAAAGCCAAAATGAGGCGTTGCTCGAGAAGGCAGTCACTGAGGCCCACATTCTCGCACATGGGGATGACGAGTCGAGGAGGAAGTGGAGGTGGAGGTAGAACAGTGGCCGCGTGGCCAAAGGGATTACGTCTGCTGGGCTTGATGATTCGGCCGAGACTGGACATTGAAGAGATACCTGCTAGGGAGTCGCTGCGGGAATGGCCCGACGATGGAATGGTATGCCGAACTGTCCGGATAGCCGGCAGAGTGAGTCTGTGTGCGAACCTCCAAGGATGAGTGGGCAGGTGGCACTCGAACGGTAAGGCGATTTTGGGAGGATGAGGGGTAATCGTGTTCGTATCTTTGTCGCGGCTAGGACGCGCAGTTTTCCGAGTCACACGTCTGGGCCCACCCCGTCGCCTCCAGGGTAAGAGGTATGTGAGTTGATGCTACAGGCGTGGCGGTCGTGAGCTGAATCGATGGAATGATTCGAGAGAGTTGTTGCTGGAGTAGGCAACGCAACGACGGCAACGTGCCTCAATGCCAGGTGGCTCAGCTGCAAATGCATAATGTCAGAATAATAAGTCTTGCCACCACAAGTGGATATCTCACCATTTTTCTGGTCGCACGGCAGCTGGTTGCTGGGGTGAGCAACGCGATGGCGGCAGTGTGCCTCAGCACTGGGAGCCTCAGCTGTAAATATCAAGTGCACGTTGATGTCAGAATAATAAACATCACGATCCTAAGCGAGTATCTTACCATTTTTCTGAACCAATAGCAGCGCCATTGCTGGGTCACGCAGCCTGATGACCGCAGCATGCCCCAGCTGTAAAGTACCAAAACGGTGATAATGTCAGAATAACAAACAACACTAATTCTAGGTGCCATATCTCACCGTTTGTCTCGGACCCATAGCTGGATGGTTGCTGGGGCACGGGCACGCAATGCGGCGACCAACAGCCAGGCGGATGGCAGATGCGGCAATGTCCGCTACTCGTCTCCCCCTTTTCCTTTTTTCAGAAATAATCCACCATTGATTTGTACCCTTAAATTTTCCTTAAATCGGCCTTAAACTGGGACTTGTAATTCACTTATTGAATACTTGTAAATACTTATCACCTTAAATCGAGGATGTTGGGCATAGCAAACCCTTATCGAACGATTTTGCATGAAGATATCACCACCCTGTACAGTACTGCAAAATATCAAGCCGCCAAAAAATGAGGTGAATTTTTTATGTCCCAAATACGTGTAGCCAATCTAGTGAATCCACGTTTGTACACTGTCCACAAACTAAAATTTGACGCGCTTGGCGCTCACATTCACATAGGCAGAATCTGCCAACCCAGTTTACCATCCCCCAACTAAAAGCCACCGGGTCGAAAGCCAGAGCAGTTTCCACAATCGACATCCCACAGCCGGCACGCGGATGAATATCACTGAATAATCATTACAATAATATGATTCATATTTCCTGACACAAAGTAATATTGATATTTCTTCCATTTCTTCTCGACAGCCAAATTACAACGCGATTTCCCTTCTCGAAATATTCGGTTCAAAATTCATGTTATTATTTTCAATTCAAATCGTGTCGTACAATGAAAAAAAAAAAAAAACACATCCCAGTCGGCAGAGGCGCCAGCAAAGGTGACAGGGCTGATATGACGGGCAAAAAGAAGGCTGCCGTCATCAGACAGCAGCGCCAGAAAGTGGGAAAGGGAGGCGTGAAATGGAACGAGGGTGGTACGGTGTTCCAAATTCCCGAAGCACCCGTGTTGTTTGGGTACCGACTGTCAGTGCCTTCCATCGTCCATGACTATACTACCCACCGATGCACTGGCATCAAGCGTGATGCGGGGAATCGTCCACGAAGCGCAAATCCGCCCTCAAGGCAGACCACTTTTTTTCTCTCTCTCCTGGCGATCTTATTTTCCTGCCCCCTGCCTTCCTTCTCTCCAAGTAGACCGAACGGACCGAGCGGCGAGAGAGATTGGCCGCGACGGTTCGTGAGAACGACGCTCTCGTGGCGCTTCCCAGCCCAGCCTAGCAGTCGCAGCTAGCCCAGCCTGGCATGCACGCGGTTAAGCGCCGATTGCTGGTCAGTGTCCCTCCATCATCCATGAGACAGTGCGCACTTACCGGCCACCGTCAGTAACAGTGACATCGACGAACGGCACGTGCCACCCCCAGCTGCCAACGTCAATATTTGTTCTCCCTTTTTTTTTTTCTCAACCGAACTGAATGGTGTGAATGGGAAAACCCGCTCGGAGCCGATGTTCGAGTTCCAGCTGGACGCTCGTGATTTAGGACGGTTTAACATTCAACGGATAAATCGGTCAAAACAACAGAACTTGTCCAAAAGCAAATTGCCGAACTCACAGTCCCCTTTGATATAGGCAGTGCGTGGGAAAAGTAGTACAGGCGCAGGCGCGTCGATTTAAGATCGCGATCCGTTTTGTCCTTGATCGATATCGTGGCACCGCTGTGGCCAAAAATGCCTTGATACCATCGTGATAGCAACACTAGGAGCCTTTTTCTGGCGAGGGTGCATCTGCCCAGGTTTGTACCTGTCCTTGAGTACTAGCAGCATAGCGATCAACGATACACGATTGTCATATTTTGAGGCCTGCTGCTATGACTCTCCGTTTCCTGGCTCACTATTGATCAACACGTACATCGCCTCTCTCGTCTTTCTCCTGCTCCCTTGGACACAAAAACTGGCACTAGGTGTTCACAATCTGGATAGTCAGGAATTAACGTAGGCGCTCTTCTGCCTCGTTTCAACAATTCCGATCACCTATCCCCCGATCGCGTGCTTATCCTCGTCATCTGTCACTTGCCTCTGTATTTTTCATCACCTTCCATATCATACGCAGGATAAACCACTCAATCGTAAGGAATTTCGTTTGCTCACATTGCAGCAGACACATCCTTCAACTTTGGTCTGCTATACCTCCCCACTTGCTCATGTTGTGAACTACTGGCTCTAAGTGAAGAAGAACGTGCAGAATATCGTGCAAACTTTGTTACTACAGTGGCCTCTGCAGATGTACGATGTAGATGTCTCCGTCATTATGCCGTCCATATGTCTGAAGTGCCAGCATCCCCTCTTCTTGCACCCTGGTCAAAGGAACATGTGGCACAGTGAACATCAAGGGTCTACTGATTGACACTTCGTTATTGTGGGTTTAATATATCCACTGGTGCGTAACCTCATCGCGGGATCACAGCGTAATGATTCACTCCACACGACAATATGGAGGGCTGGGCCGATTGTGGAGAAAAATCAGTACGTTTAGTTGATCAATTGCCACTCCAACTCCATTTATCGTAACTCTGTGAATTCTGTCGTGATACAGCCAGTCATAGCTTTACATATGGAAAGCCGATGGTGACGCGCGAGTTTTGTGGGCGGCGGGCGCTATTTATGTAAGCCGAGAGAATGAACGGGGGAGTGAGTTCAGAAGGTGAATAAACAAAGGAACAAGCTGTGGGCCAAATTAGGCCCTCTTCTTTTTCTGTATACACGTGATTTCCTCGGCTTCCAATTATTTAATTGCGCTTGAGCGCCTGCCACTTCTCGTTGTTCACTGCCCACGTATTCCTCAGAAGCCATTTCAATCAAGTCAATCAACTAACAGGAGGGAGAGCCATGAGTGGCGATGATCCCGATCAACTGGACAAGCTGTGGGAACAACTTGCGTTACAACAACGAGGTAGGCGTAATTTCCGAACCAGGAGATAATGTTGAGGACAAAGCAGCGGATCATCCCAGACATTTTTGACAATCTGCTTTCCAAGAATTTTTCACTGGAAGCGGAAAACAAGGAACTTCGGGTAGAGGTATCTCCACCCGTGCCGACCTCTCGATGCCATTTTGGAACTGATTAATTCTACCTTTGCACGCTCCAGTCGGGCGTTCGGAAGAATGCCTTGGAAGGCGCCATGGAGAGAAATAAGGAATTAGAGGAGAAGATTGAGGCACTTTCAGCATCTTTGGAAAACATGAAGGTTCGTTCGTCGATCTTCCAGAGAAACCCGATCGGGATCCTCAACAGGGGACTACTGATAATAGAGGGAATTGGCTTTGCAGCAGTTTCAACAGTTTCAGTTAACTGATGTCCAGGTAAGTCGAATCCTGTCGAGCGCCCGGTCCCCAAAAGGCATTATTCTGTTAGCATGGAGACCCAAGTGCCCTCGTCCTCATCGACGGAGATGGGTACATATTTTCTCCTGGTTACTGGAGGCAAGGGAAGGAAGGCGGGCGACGAGCGGCCGTCGTCCTTCACGATATCTTGGCCACTGCAGCTGGCCTGCGGTCCCAATTGTACGCCATAATTTATTTCAACCGCAGGGGGCTCGGTAACGCCCTCTGCGCCAACAACATTTGTTTGAAGGACCAGTTTGAGGACTTCATTGTCGGATTTAATCAATCCACGCCACTTTTTGCCATGATTGATGCCGGTCATGGCAAAGAGGCTGCGGACGCCAAGATCAGGGGTACGTCCAGTGGACCTTCAAAAAATAACTTACCCTGACAGTGTAATACTTAGGGACTCTGAGGTTTTTTTCTCGCCTCACCCAAATCCAACTCATCCTATTCGGGGGTAAGATTCCACACCTGGTCGGTTTCCTGGCGCTAAATTTCCGACATTATTTAAGGTGGCCATGATAGGGGCTATTTGACAGAGCTTTCCGCCTTACGGACTGAAGGATTGCTTCACAAACTAGCGTTGCTAAAAGGGTCCAAGAGGCTGGCTCACGGATTCGAGTCACTCGCAATACCGATTATCCCTATTGAAGGTCTTTTTCTTGAGACCAACTTATCGCAAGTTCATAATGCAACACCAACGAAACGACAACCATCCCACAGGGCATCCCTGTCTCTCTCCTCTACTGGAACACCTACCTCTGACACCCTGTGTTCGTCCGACCCTATTAGTATTGTCGTGTCAGAACATGGGAACCCTACAGACAGCACAAAGGTTGGCTCTTGTCTTGCCTCCGATGCGGGAATATCATCCTAATCCAAAAATTCAGCCATTTTCTCACAGTTGGTTCTTGTGCTGCACAATATGAGCGTATCTGACACTTGGTTACCAGAGCTGTGTAGGAAATATTACCTGGCAGGGGGTTGCCCGTACGGTGAAGTGCGTATTATTAATGTTCCGGATAGATGCTTCAATTACTGAGTCACCTAAAGCAATGCAAGTTCGTACATGGAGACATGCTCACGGAAACCGAACTGGCCCAGTTCAGGCAAGCTTCACCGTGCAAGCAATTCCAACACCGTGAGTACTTGCCTTAACAGTACACTTGAGATGAAAGGCGCTAATCAAATTACTACAGATGGATTTTGCGAAGACATATCCTGCCTTTATGGACATGCCTTGGACTTCGGGAGCTCAGACATTGGGTAAGGTGCATGTCGCTCGCTCATTATAGTATTGTGTTTTACAAAGTACTAGTCACGACCGTCCTTCGGGATAACTGTCACGGTCCAAGATACTGGAAGTCAAGGTGGGTTTATGGTTCTAACCCTCGATTGATAAAGTCGCTAATGCAGTTTCACAGGCGGGCAGAGTTCGGTTGCGAGGACCGGTCCTACTACGCCTTCAAGTGATTCGGATCTGAGCTGCTTCGTCCCGTTGATTGACGCGTTAGTACGGTTGAAGGAATTGGGTCAGGAGAAGCCAATCCGCTCAGTAGTTGTGGAGAAGATAGGGACCAAGAGGATATTGGAGTTATATAAGAAGGCTGGGGTAAACTCGTTTAAAGCATATGCGGAGTTGGCGGCAGATACCGGGCTGGTCGTCAACCTGTTCGACAGAATTGCCTTGGTTGGAAACTAATTGAAGTTCGAGCCTTTTTTGTGGATAGCTTCGCTCCTGTTTGTACACAAAGAAAACTTTGTTTGATGGTGTATGCTACATGTTAACAGATGGATGTTGTCCTAGATGCATTTGGTTCACTGAGCCGCATGAAGAGTACATTTAATATTTTGTGTGAACCTCTCCCGAGAGAATCTGCGGGGAATGATCGATGCATATGAAGGTAAGAATCACGAGCGGTGCGATGAGCATACTGATACAGTATCACCATCCGCCACTCAATTTCCCGGAGCCAGATGTAAAATGAGGACATCTCCCTTCGAATCAAATTCTGCCACAAGTTTCCGGCTCTGCAATGACGATCAACTTTTTTGCGTCCATCAGTCGCCGGCTTCAAGTGAACGATTACCAATTGGTTGACGTCTTAGCGAGGACGGAAGCGCATCCAGGAGTCGGTTTCTAGTGGCTGAAAGCCTTCGATGGAGGAAGAGAAAGTGATATGACGCATCCCGTTCACCTGAAACATTTCATTTTGTGTTCCGACCCAAGAGTTGTCCACCTCTCTAACTAGACCAATGGGTATCATGTGTCGAGGAGGCTCACTCGAGTGTCCCGTTCTTGCACAACAATGACGGGAGACCAAAGTAGTCCCAGACCCCAAAAGGGAGGGGGAGGGGGGAGGCTACGGTAGTTGAATGACTGATTGCTAATCCGAAAAATGAGAACGGAGGCCAAAACGAGCTCTTGCCTGATCAACCAGGAAGGAACTTTCGACATCCAGACTTGTTACTGTTGCAACGCCGTGTCCATGCGTAGGCAGGCTGGCACATTGTTGCCGCTCAATTGGTGCGCCACTGCAACGCTTCAGGTTGTATTAAATGAGTCGAGGCCCATATGGAAAGCGGTGCAGGCACTGCCAATCTGCTTCGGGCAACCAGAAACCGATTGTAACGGCATTTGATTCTTCTATGAAACGAGTTAACGCCCTTTCCAGCCCTGGTCAGCGGATTGTTATCCAAAAGGCTCCTTCGGTGGGAATTCGGCTCGCAAGGTTTGGCTTCGCTGTGGCGGTGTGGTGTTGTGTATGAACTAATCCTGCGTCCTATTTCGGCAAGTGTGCATACCGGTCGTGCAAGGCATGCCACCACCGTTTCTTACATCCTCGTGTTTGCGGCGACGCGCAGCTCTGTCAGCTTATAAACTCACTATGCTCGCGGGTTGCAACCATCAGATTGCCTCTCACCGATCGCAACCGCATTTACCCTACTCGTGTCTCGGTAATCAGCTATGAGCGGCGACGACGTGTACCAAGAAAAGTCCAAACTCTGGGGAGAACTGGCTTCTCAGCAGCATTGTAAGCCCATCAGCCCGAGCACGCGGAAATTCGTACTGACCCAAAAGCTGAAGCACTCTTTGACGATATACTGAAGAGGAACCGTGAGCTTGACGAGCAAGTGAAGGAATTAAAGCGTGATGTAAGTCTTAAATATTGTGTGGTTTGTGGATGGCGATGGAGTGCTACTCTCCCCAGGCAAATGCCTGGAAGATTGCGTATACGACTACAACCCAGCAAATGGAAAAGTTGCAAAAAGACTCTGAAACCCTCTCTCGATCGCTAGCGGAGATGAAAGTTAGTGTACTGGTTATCGGTTCCAGAAGTGCCCTATCATGACTTACGACGAACGGGATCAGGATCGTGACTCGATTGCGCTGGCGCTAATTGATGGTGATGGATGCATTTTCACCTCGCAGTACTGGAAACAAGGAAAGGAGGGCGGGCGACTGGCAGCAGCTGTGCTCCACCAGACGTTGTCCGCAGAAGCTGGTCGTTTACCGTACCTCCACACCGTGATTTACTTCAATAGGAAAGGTCTTGCGGATACGCTTTGTGCTAATGGCGTGTGCTCAAGGGCCGAGTTTGAGGACTTTGTGATTGGGTTCAATCAATCTGCCCACTTGTTCACAATGGTTGACGTGGGCCAACGTAAAGAAGCTGCGGACGCGAAGATCAGAGGTCAGTTGGGAGTTCCACGGGCAAACAGTTGAACTTACTATCAGGTTCCCGGGCATAGAGATGCTTAGATTGTTTGCGCATCTTCCGCAAACCAAGCTGATTCTTTTTGGTGGTAAGCTGCACTCTCATCTCAGTTTCCTCGCTCACGGCCGTCTTCCAGGTGGCCACGATAATGGCTACGCCACGGACCTTTCAGCCCTGCGGACGGAACGCCTTCTGGATAAAGTGGTATTATTGAAGGGTTATACCCAACTAGCGCGAGAAGTAGAATCACTTGAAGTCCCCACCAAGACAGTGGAAGGACTATTCTTTGAACACAAGTTGCCGTACAGTGGAGCGTGGAAGAAGGAATACCCTGGCCAAGATGTGGAGCGAGCAACATCGCCTACGCCCTCAATGCCATTCGGTGGGACGTGGAAGAAGGAGTTTCTCAGCCATGTTCCGGACCGAGCGTCTTCGCCAACCCCGCCACCCGTGTCTAACCTACAAACCAAAAGTGACAACATCTATATCATGCCCGCCAATGCTGATCCTCGTCGGGGACGACCTATTGATTTCACGAAGGCAAGGTGCTTTGAAGTTCGCCTGGTGCATCATTGACTCATTAACAACTTCTTCAGCCTTTGATGTATCGTAAGTGGAAGAACCCACGGAACCTGCACTTTTTTCTCACCACCATGCAGAGACCGTCAAATTGTGCAAGGCATACTACTTGGTTTCCAGTGGTTGTCAATATGGCGCGGTATGCTTCCTCTACCTGCATCAACGTGAATCGGGCTTCTCATTCTTTATAGAGATGTAAATTTGCTCATGATTATGAACTGAACACGTCCCTTGTCGCAAAGTTCAGGAATGAAGTAGCGTCCATTACGTGCGCTGACTTCAGGAATGGTATGTTGGTCCACCGCCCTATTTGGCTACACCCTCATTGCATTATCACAGGCGGCTGCAATTCTAAAGATTGCATTTACGGTCATGAACGGTTCGCCTTAGACAAGTATGCAAGTTGACCCTTCCCGTGGATAGTTACTGATTTTCGATTTGCGACCAAAGCAGTGACGTTGCGGACGGATATCGAAGGAATAGTACCAGTTTGCCACCAGAAGAACTTCCGCTGTCGGGGCGCCTCACTCCACCTGAAGGCATCCCGATTGGCCCGTCGATTGGCCTAGCGCACCGTGAAAGGAGTTCGTCTGTTGCAGGGATTGGCGGTGGAACCCCTGTTATTGATTCTCATTCTCCTCCAACCGTGGAAGATATAGAGCGGTCCGACTCACCAGAGGCACCCTCCGACGTCGGATCTGCGACCGGGACTACGAAGTCCTTGGTCTTTTCCCCTTTGCTCAAGGCGTTGAATGACCTCAAGAGTTCGGGATCGGTGGCGCCCTTCTGTTCCAATGTGGGGGAAAAGCTAAGCAAGATGGCACCAGATGTATACAGGAGTGCTGGCGTTGGGTCGTTCAAGGAGTACGCGCAGTGGGCTGAACGGGAAGGCTTGGTGTGTTTGATACCAGTTGGTCCTGGAGTTGATAGGATTTCCTTGGCGTCTGGGACTTCGTTCGTATAGCTTGTTGTTGTGATGCTGAGGGTTTAACCCGCCTTCATTACTCGTGGGATAGCTCGGGCCTACTGTGGTAGTCTAATGACTCCTAAGAACCTTTGCACTCAAATAAGATCAGCCCTATTGTTCAAACTCAATTGAGGTGCTTCGGATGCTCCGGATGCAAACTAACATGCCTGCCTGCCCGTTATAACTCCCGTGCCTGCATGGGAGATGCGATGGACATCGGTGAGACAAATGAAGACAAGGCAAAGCTTTGGAGCAATTACTTTCCCAACAACAGAGTGCGTTCTGCCAGCCAGCCGAGAATTGGTCAAACCGGTTTTAGCTGAAGTGTGGTGATTATCTAGAACTCTTTGAGAATACCTTGAAGAGGAACAAAGAGCTTGAAGATGAGGTGAAGGGATTGAGGCGAGATGTGTGCATAGTCCTTTGTGGCAGAGCTGCCACCAACAGCTAACTTTGCGACATTTTGACTGTCAGGTGAGTGCGTGGAAAATAGCCTACACAACTACTGCCGAGGAGAAGGAGGCTGCAGTGAGGAAGGCCGAACAGCTCACCAAACCCCTGGAGGATATGAAGGCATGCTTATCCGTACTTGTTCTATCGATTTGTTATGACTGGTTCTTCCCGCTTGAATCTTCAGGAACACAACCCAATCGCCCTGGCTTTACTGGACGGAGATGGTTGCATATTTTCTTCACACTATTGGAGCCAAGGAAAAAATGGTGGACAACTTGCAGCAGCTCACCTGCACCGTGGACTCTCGGCTTCGGCGGGTCACAACTTCCGCCTAGTAACTTTGATATACTTTAACAGGACGGGTCTTGGAGATACCCTTCTTTCTAGCGGGGTATGCTCGCGAAATGGATTTGAGGATTTTATAGTCGGCTTCAATCAATCGGATCCACTATTTGTCATGATCGATGTAGGCAAGGGTAAAGAGGCTGCAGACGCAAAAATCAAGGGTCAGTAGTATATCCAGCTTTTCTGGCATCGCTTCCCTCACCCTGCACACCGGGACGTAGAGATGCTGAAATTATTCGCCCATATTCCTCAAACTAACTTGATATGGTTTGGAGGTGCAGTTCTATCTGTCATTACTAGGATGTAACTGACCCAATACTGACCAGGGGGGCATGATGGAGGCTATAGTAGTGCACTTGCCTCCCTTCGAACCGAAGGATTACTGGATAAAGTCATCCTTTTAAAAGGATACAAGAAATTAGCTAACGAGATTGATCATTTTGGCTTGCAATCTCTGACGATAGAGGGTCTGTTCTATGACCAAAAATTTTCGCCACTAGGCTCGGGGAAGCCATCGTTCTTGGCCCAGTCCCAGTGGTCTAGGCCTGTCCAAGCCCCACTAGAGGCATCGACCATGACCGCGCCGCCATCCTCCCCGCCATCAAGTCCTTCGAAAAGACCACCACTTAAGATGCAGCCTCCAGCCGAACGAATGCAGGTCACTGGCACCCTCACCATTCCAGCCCAGAAAATGCCTGGTTCATCCACGGGAGTGGACACGTGTATGTCATGCCGCCCAATCCTGACCCTACGAAAGGAAGACATATCGATCCTAAGAAGGTGCGTAACACCCTCATTGGGCGAAGCACAACGGAGCTGACTATATTGCAGCCATTAATAAAACGTCGGTTTCATGCATTTATCCTTCATGCATTCATTGAAACCCAGGGCAGAAATCAAGAAACCCTGTTATAAATATTATCTACTTCCAGGTGGTTGTAAACATGGAGATGTATGTGTATCGGACAAACCCCCATCATTATACTCGTAACTGGGTGTCTTCTAGATATGCTTTTATGGGCATGACTACGAGCTAGATCAGGTGCTTCTGGATCAGTTGCGAAAGGAAGCGAGGCAGTACACGTTGTGTTCGGCCTTTAAACATCGTGCGTCTAGTTTTCGCAGCTTTGCAAAGATTCTGACTTGGAAGTGATATCAGAAGGCGTGTGCCACAAGCCCGGCTGCTTATACAGACATGAGGAGGGATATGAATCGTGAGTGTCTTTGGCGTGGCGTCTCAATCAGCTGACGTCCCTTCTGACGTAGAGCACCCGCGGACCGTAACTTGAACACGTTTTCGAATGTTCATTCGGAAGAGATTGTATCACAATCTCAGGTGTCCGGATCTGCATCACCTTCGCATGAACCTGGTTCACCCGTCTGGAACGGTTCTCCCTACAACATTTTTGAGGATCTGCGTACCATTTCTAGTTCAGGGCTCTTTGGCGAAGCGCAGGCACAGAGAGTAATGCTTCCTTCGGAACTTACCAACACCAATCATTCATATTACGAAGCAAGGACTGATCTTGTTTCTCCTTTGGGATCGGACCCCAAAGAAACGTTTTCTCCTCTCCTGGAAGCTTTACGACAACTGCGAGGAGTGGGTATTCACACTCCTCTGAAGTCTATGATTGGGGAGAAACTCAAGACGAAGATTGGTCATATATATCAATCGTCTGGGATTAAAACCTTTAAGGCGTACACAGAGTTAGCTGAGAAAGAGGGCTTGATCATCTTGATTCCACGTTCAAACGGTCCAGGCACGGAGAGAATGTCTTTGTCGCAGGATGGGTTGCGCAAAGCGGAGGAGTTGTGTCAATCGAACGAGTAGAAGTAATGATGGGCGTTTCGGATGAGGCAATTCTCGTTAAGATTAGAACAACACGTTCTGTGTAATCGCGTTGATGATTATGATATGTACTTGCAGGTATATGTGGTGCGGAATTGAGATGAAGTGGGAGTGAGATGAACAAGGGACAACCGGCACTCAGTCGAGTCCAATAAGGAAAGGAAAAAAAAACCAGCAAAGGACAGTGGGGGTGTAAATGATTTCAACATGTCCAAGTGCATGCTGAACACTCTTCAAATGAGCGCAGTGCGATCTTTACCAGAAGCAACCAAGGCTCTCCAATCGGTTCTCCACACGGACATTGATGAGCGCAAACCTTTGGTCTCACTCAGCTTGTGCACCCATGATACTACAGCATCTTCATCCTCTGGAACAAAAAAAGATGAAACGAGAGAAAGAATGCTCTCGAACGATGCCTGGGGAGAGGCGAGATAGTCTGACGTGTGATTTGAGTGACACGAAGCAAGACAATAACACTCTTACTGACCCTTGAGAGCCCAGATGATAGCGATACCGAACAGCACGATGATGTCTTGCCCCTCCAGGAGGAAGACATCCCATATGCGCAGTTGCATTTGATGTGGAAATGAATTAGTAAATAATGTAATATACCATTTCGTCGCATAGGAAGTAGAAGAAACCACGTTGTTTTTCTATACGGAACATCGTGTGTAATCGAGGGGCATGCTAGACTGGCGTGTGACGTACGAAGGATTGATAGACCCCCGGCATCAGAGTTTCCAGGAGACGCTCTTGAACGTAGATGTTTTCCAGCAGCCCCGGGAAACCAGGGCTGAAAATGGAGTGCATGTTGTATGCATCGTGAAGTCGAACCAAGGACACATAAGAGCGCTGCGTAATAGCAAAGGTGAGTCGCTTGCAACGCAGTCCATTGTATCACCCCATACCTCAGGATCCAAGTAGAATAAGAAAGTGGCTGCGATTGACCCCATTCCTTGACAGTACTCGCATGTCGAGCATTGTAACGAGAAACAGTGTAGAATATGAAAGAGCGAACGTTGCCTAATATACCGTGTCAACAAAATGATTTGTAACTTGACGATTGACAAACCCTTGGCCATATCTGGTATGGAAGAGGATATGATTATTCACGGTTCGAGGAACGTCCAGATCTATCTGGACGTCGTGCTTAGATGGAACATCAATGCTTTCCTGTGACATATCTGTAAAGGTACCATGATCCTCAGGAGAACCAACACGCACTCGGTAATGACTTTCCAACTTGGCGGCCTGGAGCAGACCTTTTGCTGAGGCAGCACGGCGGTCAATTAATAGTTGCCATGCAGCAGGCCGCCATCGGTCAGAAATCCCTTTCCATACTCGCTGTCGGAACTTCTCTGGTGTCGTTCCCTGCCCATCGGGTGTCCACGTTTCGACGTTTTCACCAGGTCCCCTCTTTTTGGGACGCATCATTTTGTTCCACTTGTCAAGCCTAGTTGCTTCGCGGGTAGGGGGCTTAGGAGGGGGTATCACTCTAAATTCCGGGGGGTTAGGGGATTGGTTAGCGGCAGTCGGGGAGCGGATGGGCTCAGACGTTTAATCCTCCGGGTGAAAGGGGCGGTTGGAAGCAGAGTTAGCCGTGAGTCATGATGGGACGACTTGGAGTCAGTGAAGAACCCATAGCGGTCCACGTTACGTAGCCGTTGCTCTTCCCTTTCAGAAATGTTGGCTCCTTTGACAACGCCCACCTCGTCGGAGTACGTGACTCCCACGGCACTAGGAAGTCTGGCACGGGTACGTTCGACACCTTCTTCAAACCCATCCCCTGGAACGCCACCCAATGCATCAAACCGCGCATATACATTTCTCACGTATTCCGCATCAGCTTCTTCGTCTGCACCCCTATGGGAGGGGGGCTGAGAAAGTATGGATGCCGACTTCGCCGACGCTGTGGCCGACCCTTTGTCAGGCGATAAATGTGTAAACGCTATCGTCGGAGCACCTGCATACAGGTTCGTTGAGTCGATATGCCCATGAATGGAGGAAGAAGAGGGATGCCGGGGGTCACTTGTGGACGAGGAGGGGCGTGCTGAAGTTGAAGATAGGCGAGGCCGAGACCCGCTCTCTTGCGAGGCCAGTATATCTGGAGAAGAGATGGATGCTTGAGCGTCCTGACTCTTTACTCGGGAAGAGCGCGACGATGGACGCATCATTGGGCCCTTAGCTGTAGTTGAATGGGAAGGAATCGAGGGGAATGGTGGACAGAAGAAAGAATCGCCGTCATCAGACGTCGGAGTTTGCGGCCCATTTATGGCTATCGTCACAGCACTTTCAAAGTTGGCTGAGGTAGAAGAAATCGGGAGAGTATCGCTGATTGGGGGGCTGTGCAAGGGCTTAAAAGAGAGCAGTTCTGTGCCAGAAATTCCATCAAGATATGCAAGTCCTGCCGTGGAATTTTGGCTTTGTGGGCGATCGCTAGGCGTTTTACTGCTTTCAACGGAGGAACGGAGGGTCGATGCAAGCCGATCCAAAATGCGAGATGGAGGGCGCACAGCATGATTGCCGGATGAAAGTCGGGACCCATGAGGCGCTGAAACACTTTCGGGGGCGTCGGGAACGGTGTCATGGTCGACATACATTGAGAAGATGGACACGGCGGTGTTTTCGCTGGACGTCCTGACGCCGAGGATGTCTGAGCGAGGACGCTGAGAATTGTCCACGCCTGAGGGAACCCTTGGGTCTAAAAGAGGATTGGGCGCGTTCAGAGCATGATTGTTCGCACTTGAAGACACCGGGTGCTGCGACAAACGGGCTTTGCTTAATGGTGATGTAGCCGGTCGTGGTGACCAATCTGAAGGCTGGTGGGGGATGGATTGTCCGGAAGAAACGGGGCCATTGGGTGAGGGGATTGGGTGAAGCTGCTTCTGTGCCAAAGATGCGCCCGCTGCGCCATTGCTTGAGTTCTGCATTCCAAGTCCTCAGCGCGGCTAGGTGTGCTAAGGCGGTGCTTCAATCCCAGAGAGCGACCAGTTGAAAACAATATGCTCCGGACAGAAGGGTATTTTGCTTTACTGATCAACGGTGTGCTCTCAATCTCGGACTGTGACCAATGTTCAAGTCACCACCTATCCTTGGAAACAGTTGACGGTAAGGATGATGGCCGCAAATTGAATTGTTATGGAATGCGGTCCCACCATGTATAGTGAATTTCAATCCGCGAAAAGGTATGCCCAAACCAAATTCTTATAGTGTTGAGACAAGGGGCTGGTGACGAGGTGGAAATTTCCGCACGAAGAAAGCGCGCGCCTGCGGAGTCATGGTACAAATCGGGATAACAATATGTTCTTGTGAGTGTCGTCTTGTGCACCACATTGTGGCACGCAACACATTCAAAAAATTGATTACAATCTGCCCAGTATGTATACGTATATCCGAAACATCGGATCACGTTCAGATGGAGTCTTATTGCAGCGTTGAAGACAGTAGTTACATATTAAACCGTAGTTACGCGGATGACCCGGGGGCCGGAAACACTCCGCCAGCACGCGTTTATTCCAGAGGGCAGCACGTAATTGCAGTGGTGATGATGACCTGGCGCTACGGTACACCCAGGTCTGCAAGACTGAGTATGATATCAGACATTTTCTCCGTCCTCCATTCGGACGAGACCTGGAGATAAGGTAGAAAATCGTCAAAAACTAGCAAACCTACCGATACCCACAAGGTAATCATGAACAGCTTGAGACGGCGTCCCAGCCTCGATCATTGGTCATTGATTATGATCAGCTTCTCGAGGTGCTCATTAATTACTTTATGCGCGAGTACTTACACATTAAGTAGATGACATTGATATTCGTTTGATTGCAGCTTTGCGATGTGTCGTGACAGACTCAAAACAATAGCCGTGGGTCATAATAATGGCGTGGCGGTATCGGGGAGATCACAGCTAATTCATATCACCATTCAGTCGAGAGACGCGGCAAAAACCACGGTGACCTGCCTAGTTGCACGGCCTGTCCCCCACCATAAACATTGAGAAATACGCATACTCAGTGACATTCCCTGGGGCGTACTGCCAATTGGACGGGATTTACTTATGCGCCTCTGTGACAAGGGCGGAGCGCATCGGCGAAGAGGGATGAATGATCAACTATGGCAAGTCCAAGCGATGATCATACCCGCTGCTTCCCAAATTGAGAGTCAGGCTTGTATGTGAGGTGCCCTGCGCCCGCTGAAAAGCACGGGGCTGGTAGCAGTAGGGTGGACCGTTCGCTGGCGAGTCTGCCAATCCAAAGCCGCAGTGATGCAGCATTGAATATGCCGACGTCCCTGCAGGGCGAGGCGGTTGACAGTACGTCCTCGAAGCCTTCGATCCGAAGGCCAAGCTGAAATCTAAGCGTCACTTCATTACGATGCCGCTCCCACATGTTGAAGGAACGGATGAGAGTTTCAACTTTGCTCGTGTTCGCGTAGTCGATCATGTCTGAATCGAGTATTCCCATTTTGACAAGGAGGCCACGCAGAGTTTTCTATCTTTGGTTCCTGTCTAGCGGATCGGACATACCGGTCCGGAGAGCCTTTTGTCAGATATTTATGGCTCCAAACGTCCACGAAGAGAAGTTTTTCTTTTTTTTTTTGTACGCTGTGGACCGCCCATTGAGTCCTACGGACTTGCGCACGGACATTTCCCTAATGGATTGCCCGATGCTTCCACTTTTGGTGTCCATACGATGGACACGGTCGAGGATAACTTGAAAGCCACCTCGCGCATTTTTCCTTTCCTCTCCTCAGTTCACGTACTTGGAACTGAGGTGAGATCTCCTTCATGTTTTAGAACGTAGTCTTAGACGTTCTAACGTTGTACATACTTTCCTAGCGCTTATATGCCGCTAGTTCATAATTCCAATACGACCCCACCCTTGTTCGGCTCTCAGCAATCGAGCCATCGCCGATGGATATAGGGGAGTCGACGATACCTTTGGGGTGCAGTGAACAGAGAACTCTGAATTCTCCGGGGCTCACATCATGGGTTGCCCAACCCGGGAAGGTTTCGTGCAATTGGCAGTTATTGCTGCCAGTTGCAGATCGCTTTTCCTTCCACTTCTGGGTAGTCCGTTCCGTGCTTATATTATGCTGCATTTCCTCCGGGGCACACACATTTGGACCCAAACAGATTCAAACCAAATTCACAATACAGACCTAGGCCATATATATATAACCCGGTTGACCGCCTGGATTGGGGCCCCTTGAAGCGACGCTTGTGTATAATCTAGACTGCATGCACGGTGGGACCTGAAATGGCAGGAGAATAAGACTTCCGACATGGATTTCAATAAACTACGCGTGTACAACAGTTAACCGGCAGTTATCACCTTCCTGAAGATGAGGGAATACGGATGCCCGGGATCAATTGGTGGCCATATCGATTCACGAAGATAACCAAGATAACAATATCTCGTCTGAACCAATGGCGAGCCCAATATCCGTCATGCATAATGGTCTGGATCATTCCGCTCGTCTAGCGCATTGTGGACATCGGGCGTAAGATTAATAATGCCAATCTGTAGCACTCGCTCGCAACAAATGTGTGCCTCTAGGTCTACGAGCGTTTCACATTTCGCCAGAGAAAGCCATTGAAAGTGGGCAACGACCGTGAGAATACCCACGTGGGTCTTTGAATTTGGATCTCTGGTCCTCTGGCGCGATGAACGAGGACGAGAATGCTGAGATTGAAAACAAGACTATCAATGAGGAGTACAAAATATGGTTATCAGCAGCTCTTCTCCTTGTCTTCTTATGATTGACATGCAAATGGTAGGAAGAAGAACACTCCCTATCTCTACGACACGGTGGTAACACACGCTCTTGATTGGCCTACATTGACGTGTCAATGGTTCCCTGATATCGAGAGGTGAGATTTCGATGCTCAGCACGCGTGCAATTTGCGCGATTTCATTTCGGGTTGTCTTTAAGCCCTCCAGGGAAGCCATACATACAGCACCGACTGTTATTTGGCACGCACACATCTGGGCAGGGTAGAGAATACCTTCAAATCGCCTCTTTGCAACTTCCAAAGTCAGAAAGTGACGTCGATAAAGATGTTCTCGCCCGTGACTCGTACGACGATGAGCGAGGAGGTAGGGTCTACTGCTGTTAGTTTTCGCCTGATGTCGATCTATCCGTTTTAGAACTAGGATCACACAGTGCAACCGCGCCACATGCCCGTCTTCAAATCATACAGAAGATCAACCATGAGGGCGAGGTTAACCGGGCTCGATATATGCCTCAGAATCCTGACCTCATTGCAAGCAAAGCCGTGAAAGGCTCAGTGTTCATCTTCGATCGAACAAAGCATCCAAGCGAACCTGAGAAAGATGGAGTGTGTCGTCCTGATATCGAACTTGCAGGTCAGGAGAAAGAAGGGTAAGGCTTTCCTCTGTTGAATGTGCCAATAGGATGCCACTTTTGTGATGCCTTAGGTTTGGATTGGATTGGAGTCCATTGAAAAAAGGCCACATACTTGGCTCATCAGAGGATTTCACGGTCTGCCAATGGTGGGTTTTTTAATTGACCTCCTTTGACGAAACTGACTCCTATGTAGGGACATAACAGCATTTAAGAAAGGAAATAGGACTTTGGAGCCTCTGCGCACATTCCGAGGCCATCGTTCCGTAGTCGGAGTACGATCATATTGGTGTCCACATGGCTACCCCACCTTACGTTTTTGACCAGGATGTTTCATGGAATTCTGCCAACGAGAACATATTCGCATCCGTTGGAGATGACAAACGTTTACTGATGTAAGTGAGCGTATGTGCATCTTGAAACCCATTGCTTATACTCAATCTCGCAGATGGGACACCCGGAATAGCAGCGATTCTGAACCCAGTCAAGACATCATGGCACATGAGAAGGAAATTCTGGCTGTAGCATTCAGCCCCAGCAGCGGCACCATGCTACTTACAGGCTCCTCGGATAAAGTAAGGGTATTTGAGATCGATAGTTGGGTTTCTCAAATGCGTTTTTAGACAATTGCACTTTGGGACACAAGATCTCTCAAAACACCACTGCATAGCTTCCACCATCACACGGACGAAATTTTGCACATCAGCTGGTCACCAACTCATGAAACAATTTTCGCATCAGCATCGTCTGATAGACGAGTGGCGATTTGGGATTTGGCGTCAATAGGCCTCGAGCAGACTCCAGATGATGCTGACGATGGACCGCCGGAACTGCTTTTTGTCCACGGTGGTCACACGAGCAGACCCACGGACGTCGCGTGGGCCCTGGGGGATGAGATGCAGTGGTATGTTGCAAGTGCGGCTGAAGATAATGTTGTTCAGATTTGGAAGATGAGTGAAGGGATATATGCTCGAGGCCAACGAAAGGTGGAGGATATGGACCTGGAGTGAACCAGAACGAAATATGTAATTATGTTGGCTTGTATGTTATCCAGGATGAAGGATATAAGGCACAGATACAGTTGCGTTGTGGCAAACTAGATCACCCGAATATAATGTGAGCGAGTTCAAACAAAACTAGATGCAATCTCCGGTGAATAGGCAAGAACCTCGAGCAGAAGCATCACACATACCTCCTCCTATCACAAGAGATACTATCAGCGTGATTGCTGTAGTACTGAGAGGCAATTTCTTTGCGTTTATCTCGCGCCGGGCTGGTCGGACGGCACGCTTGCCTCGACGAAGATCGTTAGCGAAGGCATTGTTTTTAACTTTGATGTCATGGGGTGTCCCAGCAGGCTTTCAATATTGAGGGTTAACTTTGACTGGCTAAAGAGGTGGAGGTCAACATACCATGTTGGCGAACTTTGATAGGACGTGGCAGGAGGGGAGTGTTTACACTTGTTGTTCCCGGCGCGCCCAGCCCCAGACGCGTCTGGGGTGTCCGCGGGTTTGGTATACGCGAAAAGTTTGCCATATACTCTACCGCCTCTCAAAAGGTATTGTTCCAACAGGTGCATACACGCGCGTAGTCCTGACTCCGTGTCCTAGTTTATTGTTAGGGGTTGGTCATTTGTACCCATGAAATGTTGTTGGAAGGTATGCCTTTTCCCTTTCCCACTCAACCGTCGCCCCTAGGCCAACATTTCGGGAAGATGTAATGTTACAAGATGGTCATGCCTCACCTGTCACTGCACCGCCAAATCAAGCTCGGGAGCGCCGGGCACCTCATTTACCTTTCCGGCGGATATCCATGAACTATGTTCCAAAGGTCGTTTTTCCAACATCCACTTCCAAAAGGTCATCTGTAACGAGTGTTTTATCCACTGCATCTCTCCCCGAACGTCCAAGTGAGCGTCGGGGTTCTCTTGACTCTCTGTGTTCACCCACGTCGCCGGGGTCATTGTTGCCGAGTCAACAGAAGGGCAACAGACCTATGTCTTCCTGGAGCTTAGGGTCAATCGAACTTGACTCGAGGAGCCGAGGTTCGGCTGTCAATGTCCGAGCCAGACACGCCTCTCGACCTAAACCGAGTCCAAATCAGTCTAAGTGTCATCAAGCTGCAGAGATTAAAAGGAGGAAGGTCATGTTTGAGCTCTGGGAGACGGAAACTTCTTATGTCCAGGGCCTCGATCTTATCTATTGCGTGAGTGACCACACACAAGTCGTCATCGCAATCCACTCATCTGCGTTGGCGCCACACAAAGAATTTTCTGACTCCCTTAGTGGACTCGCTTTCCAGAACAGATCAGCTGCTTTCTCCTGAAAATTTAAATGCGATATTCTCAAACTTTGTCGACATTTGGAACCTTCACCTGTCCTTCCAATCTGATCTGGATGAACTATTTAAGCATAGCGCGAGCACCTCGAGCAGTCCAGCTATTGCAGGGCCTGACAATACATCCCCTCCACCCCAAGCTCGTCACCCACCAGAAACAGTCACGAACGACACGCCTGATTTTCACGACTTTATACGAATCCTTCTATCTCATTTCCCATATTTGTCCATGTATAATCCCTTTGTGACATCATTTCCGCACGGAATATCTCTCCTCACTACTTTATCTACCGCCCATCGCTCCAACAATTCTAATTCGGAGGTCATTGGCCAGAGAGGTTTCGACCCCAAGTTCGCAGCATGGCTGCGGAATAAGGAGGCAGAGCCTGTCTGCCGAAAACTCAAACTTCGCGACTGGATGCTGACTGTCGTTCAGCGTTGCCCTCGGTATTTGCTTCTAATTAAGGTGCCAGCCTTCACTCTTGAGTTTCTGGGTAGCACCGACTGATCTGTAATCCAGGACCTAATATCCTGCACAAACGAGAAGGATTGCGCATATACAGATCTCCTGGCAGCAGATACACTTTTATCCAAAAGTAAGCAAAATCAATCATGATAGAGATTGATTTTCCACTTACCTTCATTGTCCATAAGTAACAAGCACCATGAATGAAGCGCTGAGGTCTCACGCCCAGATACTTTCACTCCTATCTTTGCAGCGGAATACACAAAATTTGCCTTTTCCTTTGATAACTCCCGGTCGCTCCCTCCTCAAGCGTTCCACGCTTGTCAAAGTCGACCGCGGGTCTGATCAACGCGTTCGAGATGTTTTGCTATTTTCTGATGTTCTCGTTTGGTTCAGTCGCGGAGAACGCGAGGACTGGAAACTGTGGCCAGATTGGGGCTTCACTTCCACCGAATCCGAACCAAGGGTACCAGCGAGACAATCGTTCGTTATTCAGAATTCGGGGAAACCTGTGCACCAGCGCGCTAATGGCGTAGGTAATGGTCTGCCAAGCTCATGTGCTGAAAAGCCGAGGATGGTGAGAACGAGGAGCCGTTCTGACGCGGATGTAACCACTTCTTCTATCAGACCACCGAAATCGACTGGGATCCCGGTCTCTCCTACAATCTCGTTGTTTCGAACTGCGAGACAGGATGAGACTCAAGAAGAACATTGGTTTTATCGGGGGTCAGTTGAGATCCTTGATGTCGACGTTGTATCTTCGCCCGAGGACGATTGCATGTTCGAAGTAATGAGCCCCCATGAGTCTTTTGCGTTGTATGCTGGTGTGTAATTTGCTTCCTTCGGCATGATAGACCTGTGGCATAACCCCAAGCGTAGGAACTCCGGACGAGCGCGACTCATGGGTAGATGCTATTCGGTCGACGAAGATAGCAAGAATGAGTTCCGTACAGGCAACACTACCAAACACCACCTTCACATCTTCGACATCCAATAAACACATACGTCGATACCTTCAAGCTCTACCTTATGATCCATCATTACAACTATCAGCAGGCACGATGAGAGCAAAGGTGGAGCACTTCGTACCCGCCATATGGGTTCCTGATCAAAAGATGGAGACCTGTATGAGGTGCCAGACGCGCTTTGGGTGGAGATTAAGACGTCACCACTGTCGGCTGTGTGGGAAGGTCGTCTGTGCAACCTGTTCGACCATGGTCAGTCGATTATATCATTATATGTATTTCACCTGTAACGCATTCTATCGCAGACATTTTATATTCATGATCCCCTTAATGAGCCTCCTGCTGCAGACCCAGCAAGGGCTTGCAACACCTGCTACGATTCTGTCTTCCCGGTCCTAGATCAGAATGATTCCAGAGCCGTGAACCAACCTCGGCCAGGTAACGAAGGCGTATTGCGCAGATTCCACCCATCCACCTCGATGCCATCGTTGGCATTGGCCATCACTCCGGCTACTACGTTGTTGCCATCCGTGTCTAGTTTTAATCTTTTTAGTTTGGCATCTTTCCTTCGCAGCACACCTAGCCTTATTCGACGGCAGTCAATGCCTGGTACTCTTGAGGAAACATCTACTCTTGCCTCTTCAAGTGGCATGCATACCCCTTCAGATAATGTGTTGGGGTCATCCGATGAAGTTCCCGATGCAACAGACTCAGTCGACACCGAGACCGATGCCTGGAGCACCAGTCATCACTCGAGAGACTCGATTTTCGAGGGTCCCACGGAGGACGATACAGGTGTACAACGTCTGGCATGGCAGATAAGTGAAACCAATGCGGATCATACAAATGCTTCGCCACCTCGAACCCGCTGCTCCAGTTTCTCCGGACTACCCCAGGTGCCCGAAGTCCAGTCATTCGCTGAAGACTCCACCTTCGAAAAGGTCATGAGTCCCATGCAAGCTACCTGTGCGACGGTACCGAATCCTCCAGTTGATGTATTCGCAAGGACGGTTAGCTCACCTGGGGGGGCCGATGACTTACCTTCTGAACCCCGAGGTCCAAATTCAATGAGAAGGACCTCGATATCTCCTTTTCCAACCAGCGGACCCCAGTTGAGTGTACAAGGCGCACCTGTCGTATCCCAGACCCGTCCTCGTGGAGACGGATCGCATCGTTATAGCCTTATCCTTGGGAGCACAATCCGTTCTTCCGCAACTCCAGCTCGTCGTAGTATTCCGCCCTCCATCGCGAACATGGGAAAATATGACTCCTCGACAGAAAGTGCCGTAGTGAACAAGCTCGCCGGCATCCTGAGTCACTACACACGACCTTGATTGCTCCTATCGCCACTTCTTTATCATATTTATTATCGATTTGTACAAGCATTGATTACGATCACGTTCATGTCCAAATGATGTTGTCACCCGATCTCGTACATTTGTTCTTGTGCTTCCACTCATGTTCAGTCATTATACAAACTCTAGTCAATTCTCATGGGGCATGTAGGCTGGCTCCAGTTGTAGCCCATGAATGCGAATTTTGGATTCTAAAATGAACTCACTGCGAACCGATACGGTTAAAGCAAACGCTCCCCACAGTACCAAGCTCTGGTAACTGTAGGTGCCACTCCTGCCCAACCTCGCGCGTCTCCCATTCTTGAGGAACGGATAACCAAAGTTCCGCAGTAGGTCCATGGCGAAAATTCACTCTCACAATCTCAAATACCTCCAGATTAGGCAGTGATACTAGGCCCCTCTCGATGTCGCCGGCAACGGTTGTAGTGCTCTCTCCTCCCCTGGAGAATGATGCAACTGAAATACACAGCACACGGAGCGAGCGCAACACTCCACCAACTCCGCCCAGAAAGCTGAGGTGGAAGCCGCCGTCCGGACCTGCATCCATGTAGAGTCTCTCAACAGGACCACTGGATAGCGCCATGGTTCGAAGGGCGCTGGCGACGCCGCAGGGGTCGTGGTTCAGGCACAAAAGGGTGACGTCCTTGACGGGACGAAACGGAGAGAGAGCTTCGATGACCTCTGGATCACCCCTGATTCTGGCGAGATTCGGCATGGAAGGGGCTTCCAAGATACGTGGAGGTGCATAGAGATTGAGTGGTCGGAGCGATGAAGAGTAATATGCTCCTTTCTCCATCACTGTCAAGTAGTGTGAGAGAGAGTTAGGTACAGAGTGAGGTGTGCGATCAAGAACTGATTCGGGATTCGCGAGTGAATAATCACTTTCCGGAAGCTTCAAATCGATCTCCACCAAATTTGGGGCCAGAGAGAGTGCTCGCGAAAGTAGCCCTCCATCCCACGCTTGAAACGAATAATAAATGCCTTCGATTTTCGAACGTAGGGACGATATGGAAAATCCATTGCCGACGGGCCGCTTCGGTCGGCGAAGATGAACATCCTGGCCATAGAGCGCCAAGGACACGGACTTCGCAAAAGAGCCCCGCTCTGGTCTAGAAACTATAGACTCCAGGAATCCTTCTAGAGAAAAGGCGTCTCTAATCAACGGCGACGCGTAAATGATGCGTTCCGCCTCCAAACGAAGGCCCTTGTTGACGCAGGCCAAATTGCGAAGGTCATGGATAGAGTCGACAAATGACACAATTATGGTCAGGATGTCAAACGGTAGCTGAGTAGGGAGGCATCAAAACGGTGCTTCCTACGCATGATTATAACACTCACGCTGTCTGGGAGGGGACAGGCTTCAACAAATCCAGAGACCCCCCCTAGACCTGAGCTAGGATCAGAGAAAGGGCCCTGGAAAACTTTAGTTCGCATGCTGGTGCTTTAACCTCGCTGATGTACCTGTAGGGCCATATGTCAAGGCTTGAAGCTGAACGGCTTGGCCGATGCGTTGGGGTAAAGCCTATCGTGGGAAATTGTCCCTCGGCTTACGTAACGATCCACTCAAGGGAAAACGCGGTTCCGTTAAATTATTCATATCCGCCATGGCTTAGGTTCGAAGATTCTTATGCTTTCGCACAGGCAAGGTCTCAGCCTCTACCCAGCTTTCGGATGTCGCAAAGACCAACTTGAGCAAGCAGGAAATTACATCGTGGCGGTATTCCCGCACAGCAATAGAAATACAACACCCAAGCATTATTGTCAGCTTTTAGTCCACCATCATCTGCATGAGGAAAACGATTGTCATAATCTGCCTACATATCACTCCTATTAATCAACCACGAACCTTTCTAAACTCCTCAAAGTCCACATGCCCATCGCCGTCCGTATCTACTTCCTTAATCATTTGCTCAAGCTCCTCGTCCGTAAGATTTTTCCCAAGCTGTTTCATTATCGCTTCCAGCTCTTCTTTACTGATCTGTCCACTACCATCCCTATCGAACATCCGGAATGTTTCTTTCAACTCCTCCAGTCCTTCGCCGTGGTTCAGCGAGACCGGGCGCGCCATGGCAGCGAGATACTCATCAAGCTCGATAGTGCCGTTCCCATCCGTGTCCATATCTCTAATACGCGCTTGGAGCTCCTCAAATGTAGATCGCTTCCCTAAGGAATTGAAGACCTCTTCAAGCTCCAATATCGTGATGTGTCCATTTCGATCTTGAAGATGAATAATAGTTCAGGTCACGATGTCATTCAGGTTGGCGTCGCGAGGGTGTGCAGATATGCACCTTTATCGAACACGAAAAATGCATCCGTATAAGCTGGCGAAATATCGTAGGGTCAGGTTGCAGAGGTGCCGAGTCCCAAGAGCTTACCGGCAATCTCTTCTGTGACAAGTCAAATCAAAATGCGCAGCCATGAATGACATCAGATGTGAGCATATATGCCCCAGGGAACAGCCAACCTTCGCTCTGGTGAGCGCAGATTGGAACTCAGCATATGTTCGAACGGCGCTTAACCATAGTACTCACTAAACCGAGATGGGTTATCGTCATGTCGACTGTTTTTCTAGTGATCTTGGGTCGTGATGTTCAATGAGCAAGCGGAGCAAGGTCGAGAGCTCGTGGTGAAGACAGCGAAGTCAAGATGGGCAATGACTCCAATTTCGTAATCAATCATTGAATGACCGACCGTAAGGCACACAGCCCAAAGCGAGAAAATGAATCGAGATCATACACCTAAAATACAGTTTGTACAGTGACAGACATGGCATAGGGTCCATGTAATAGTGCCAAACACCACAGCAGAGCACGAGATCATTACTTGTGTCATCATCAACAAATTTCAGTGATTCGACTTCGCGTCTGGCTCATAGGTGAACCCGTCGGATGGGGGCTCATAATCTGGGACCTTCGAAGTATCGTCAGATGAATTCGTGAATGTCGATCGATCGTCTCTTGACTGCTTCGCGAGCGGCGGTGGTGGGCCCGGGGGTGGCGCATACTGATAGTCCAGTCCATCATAACGTTCAGGGTAATCTTGCATCGCAAACTGCTGCGGGTTCAATGGTCGTCCGATCGAACGCAACTCTCGTAAGTAGGCAAAAGCCAGGTACGAGAATATTGCGCCGCAGAAAAGGGCCACAAAAAACCAGGCAAAGTCACCAACAGTGCTTCGAGTCCATTCACGGGGACAGTCTGTGAAGATGAATGGAGATATGAGTGCTGCACAAAGCATGGGCTGCATGATGTACTAACAGCTGTTAGCCTCGTCCGTACTCAAGGGATCATTACGACACCAGAAGCCAAACTTCGAACGGAAATTATTGCTTAAATCGCCTGCGATGATATCAAGATTGGGACGTTGCTTACACACTCTACCGTGTTGGGAGACGTGACCTCCTTGACGCACTCCTTGATGTATTCGCTCTGCATGCGATATCAAATCAGACGGAAAAACAACATATCCGCAAGATTCTCCAACCTTGAACATGAAATCCATGATGATGGACATGACTTCTATCGCACAAACGGCGAATAGGGAGGCAACGCTAAGAAGGGCGTATGTCCTCACCAAAGGGATTCGTTGCTTCATTGAGAAGTAAATCAGATGTCATGTCAATTAATGCAAAAAAATCGACCGCACCAGCCACACAGCAACAAAGCCAAAAATCTCAAAAGCGGTTAAAACAGCGAAGATGATCCCGAAGATGAGATCGAAAGTGGCGAGTTTTGAGTTTACTGTGAGCGTTAACGATGACGTCTTGTCAGGTGTCACTCAGCGAGAGATGAACGAGAAGTCGCATACTTCTACCATCATTGTCACGGCTCCTAAACGAGGCTGCACACCTGGGCGTCGGGCACAGGGTGGGGAATGTGCATTAAGCCAGGGAGCTAGAAGGGATTTATCATAATTCTCCTACCATATGGCGCCGGCAGCAGCAGATACTGCCGTGAGGGTGAGTAACTGCAAAAGTGGTTCAGCATAATCCCTCAGAGAACACCCCCGCACCATACTCATTGCAATTACTCACAATTGGTCGGAGGGAATGGTTGTAATATTTCCTGACAACACTATAGGACGGTGGGGGACCTTGGTTCGTTCAGGGAGTAATAGGCAAAGAAGAGGTAGAGAAAGAGCAGAAGTAGTTGTGAGGAGACCATTGCCAGTGCGAGCGAAAGCAAAAGATCCCACATACCACTTGGGTTGTTCAAGCGCGACGCCATTGAATCTGAGCCCTTTCCAAGGTTGCAAAAGAGAAATCAGCGAAGTATATAAACAGGTTTAGCGAGGGCGGTGAGTCCGTTATTAACGTGCACAGTCGTATATCTTTGCAAAGCAGTGTGCACAAGCCTGTTGCGAGCGCAGCAGTCCGGTAGATTCCGTGCCGTCGGACGATCGACCTTCAAGTGGACTTTCCTTTTATGTAAGTTATTCCTTGACACCTCACACCATCATAGAACGAGTACCAGGCTGAAATGGGTCATTTAGTGGTGGCGCGCCGCAGTATTTAGCAAAAGATGTATCAAACAACCATTTACAAGCGATGATCCGTGGTGTTCAAATTGCATCAAAACCACCATATATGTACCAAACATTGGCGGCCGTTTATCTGCAGACCCATCCTGCTTATGTAAAAAGGATAGCATAATGAGCACTTACCAGAGTGCAACGACAAGCCAAATTTTTCTCATCGATAAGAATACAACAATTACACATTCGATTCCGTCATCCGACTGTCAATAACATGATTATTGACATTATTGACAGCGGTGGACACTCGAGACATTGCTAATATCGTCGCAATGATTGGACGATATTTGGGGGTTCAACCCTGATCCTCTTTATTATGTATACGGCGTAGTCGTCGCTCGCATATTCGCATATAACGAGAGTTTTTTTTCACTCAGACCTCTTGTACGAGACTGAGGTGAGAATTTGCTTTATCATAAGGACCGTTTTAAATGTATTTATCGGTGCAGACGTGCCATAGGTGCAGTTCAATAATTAGATCTCTTGTACGAGACTGAGACGCGCCGTAGCTCTTTTTACATTTTAAAATCTAGTGGGTCTATCACCCTGACATATGGTAGGGTATGCCACAGATCACAGAGTGGTTTCATACGAGAGAATGTCTATGATGGCAGTGAGCGCTTCTCATTGCTGAGCTTGCGGGGCGGTTGTTCATCTTGAATGATGGTAACACTTGACCGAACGCACAGACATCGCTGGCTAGAGTATTCCACAGTACATACATACTTACATTCGAAATGGCTCGGGAGCCATACGCTCGCCGAGGGAAGTTAGATACCCCGCTGGAGTGTATTCCCTGAATTGATTGCCCTTGAGAATTAGCACCACCTAGGCCGAGATATGTCACTTCCCCGTGAGGTCCCCATCGATATCATCGTTAACAAGGATGTTTGCCCAAATGATAGTGAGAACACGCTCCAGAATATTCGCCAAGGGCAACACACGTACTTCAGGTCTCCGTAAATAATCGGGAGAATTCCCTTGCCAGTCTGCATGGGAATTAACTTTGAAAGTTGTATATCGAGTCAAGTTTGAATCCTCGACACCTAATCTAATATGGAGTGTGACGATCAGTACAACATTTGTTAGCTACCATTGCAACCGATTTCGCAAATCCCCTGAACGATGTTAGATTCGATCAAAGTCCAGCCTCCGTTGCAAGCGCCTTAAAGAGTAAAAACAACTGCGGATTCGGGATCTTGAGCGCCACTTTACACTTCCCAACCAGTCTTATCTCTGAGCAGGATGTCGAAAAATGAATCCCCTACACAAAACCGATCTATGATCAAATATTCTGATCTACCCATGAGGTTGCGCTCACCGAATGTCCGCCTCGAGCTTTGAAAAATTCCGTTCTCGACCCAGTTCCCAAGTCCCTCGCTTCTTGTTCTCTTCTCCATCCCACTGCCCATTCTGTCCTTTCTGTACCCTTCACTGTGTCTTTCCTGTTACCACCCACTGGCATCCGTGTTAGAAACCACCAAGGGAATTCACCCCTCCCGGCTGGGGACAGATGCGACATAATACACGATCCTTTGGAGGGCTAAGAAGCCACACATGCTCTACGGGGACTACCTCTTGCAAGCGCGGTAGGGGTGGGTCTGACCTGATAGATTGAGGACATGTATGATGGGCGGGGCCGTCCCAACAAGGATTAGCTGTATTTGGGCACATCTCCCATGACTCATGATTGGTGCAATAACTGAGAGAGGTGAGGTAGATGGGGGACGCGTCGGGGTCCCCATTGGCCCAATCTTGGTTACAGACATCCGCGTACTCGTCTCTGTCGGTTAAGCAATATTCTGAACAGAAGTGATCAAAGACAATTGTATACGATGATATCGAGTAGAAGCCATGCTTACCTGAACAACTTCATAGTCTCATTGAAGGCGTCGTTAAACACGCCAGCCGTTTCACGAGCCTTGCGGCGAGAAGTAACGGAGGATCAATTGTCAAAGCGAGTGGTTCTGTGGTTCTCAGCGAAGTTTGTTTGCTGCGATGTGTTTAGGATTTTGGTGATTTGGTTTGGAAGCGATGTATGGCCTCCAGATGTGAGAGTGGATGAGAGATAGGAGATGCGCGGGACGATAGTGAAGGCGGAGCCGGCCTAGGCAGGACTCCAGCCGCTATGACAAAGCCAGCCCAGCAACTAGGCCCGAGTTTGCAGGTTGGCCTGGATGGTTTCTGCTCCGTGTTGCATGCAGGTGGACGTATTTAGTTTGAAAACGTGCGCAGGGCGAGTCGTGTCGTGTGCCAGAAAGGATGAAGTAGTTCCCTTAGCTGAGATCCAGAGCAAGACATATTAATTGATGACGAGAACATAATTGTCTAAATCGGGGGTGTGCATGAATCATCCGAGAATGAATCGAATGGTATCAACGTTAAACACAACCCCCTTCGGCTGAGATGCAGCGCTCGCGCACGTACATCTAAACCGATAGACCGTTGCCTGAAGCCACCGATGCCACACCACGGGCTCCGAGTCTCATAGGAACCAGTAAAGTGCATGTCCGCCTTCTGAGCGCTGTGGGGGCGGCTGAATGCTAGTAGGTGTTAGACAGACCGCTTTGCGGCCTCAATCGACCCCCCCCCCCCCCCCGCGGCCCCGCAACACGGTCCGTGTGGCACATGAAACATTTCCCACGAATCACAAAGCCAGCGTCGGCATGGATTCTAACGCCGGGATCGACAAATTATCCGGTCGGAATGATGTGACAGCAGCTGACGTGTAGATCAATGCGTCCATCGGGGGAGTCAAGATTCACCTTGTTAATCAACACAATCGCCAGCAAAATTATGTACAGCAGAAGGAGAGGGCAAAGATTGCTCATAGTACGGTAAGCAATTACGGAAACTAGACGTATCAAGTGAATAATGGGGATCGATGCAAAGGAGTGTCGACGTGAAGGATGATGTGATATACTCTAGACCAGCTTTGGCGCCGAACAAAAATGGGTCAAGTGATGAGGATAAGATAAAGGAGTAGACAGTGTTCCAAGGGCGATAAGAGGTGGTGGATAAGGAAGGTAAGCATATTGTGTGCCCTTTTAATTTAGGAAACAGAACCGGGACAAGGGAGGGTGATGGACCGTTAGATATAAAACAATGGGCGTAGGCGAAGTGAATGGCCCAAGCTTTCAGTGAAGGATTGAAAGAAAAAAAAAACGAGCGTATTTCATCAGGAGTCGAGGGTAGATTCTTTGTAAGAAGGTGCATCTGGCAGGCCCGACAGATCCTTTAAAAGCTTCCACATTTCGTCCATACTCTGCGCGGGAACGGGTACACCCTCGATCAAAAGCTCCTCTCTAGGAGCAACGTCCTCGTTCAAAGCACTCGCGCGCCTCGAGCTGCTCACCGAGCGCCGACCGCTGCCGCCCGAGGTGCTGCTAATGGGCTTACGGTCCATAATCCCGCCCGGCGATTGCGGGCGAGACTTGCTGCTGGAGCGAGCGTTGGAGGGCGTGCCTCGCGAACTCGCGGAGGGTGGAATGGTGGATGAGGTCGAAGGTCGAACAGTGGTTGATGGGTGGCGCGAACACCTGCTGGAGATAGAGCTCGATAGAGATTGGCGCGTCGTCGCTCGAGGAGTTGGTGTCTCAGTGAGAGTCTCCTTGCTCAGTGCGACTCCAATCATCGAAGAGATTGGGGGTGGAATATGAAGTGGGGGAAAACCATCAGTCTTCGAGGGCTTCCTCCTCGATTTCGAAGGTGCTTGAGTCGGAAGCGGGGGAACAGCATCCTGGGTATCATCTTGCCGGACTCCGTCTTTGGTTCCCGGATGCGAGTTCAAGTCCGCAAGAAAGGGGAGAGAAGGGAGCGTACGACTTCTGCGAAGCTTGCGTCCCATCGGGGGTGAGAGTGTTAGTTGTCTCGAACCAGATCTTAGATGAGATGTAGATCCCAAAAGCACTGTACTAGGTGAACCATCCAGGGCGGACAATCGTCCATCACCCTTACCCGCACTGGTAACTTGTGGTCCCCACTGTCCAAAGGCAAGCAACCATCTCAGTCCCTCTCGCTCCTTTTCCCAACTCCACTTGTCCTTCTCGAGTGCTGACTTCTCGATACCAAGCTGCTCAATTTCCACCTCGAGATTTTCGACTCGCTTCTGAAACCATTTCTCTCGCATATGGAAGCCAGTAAAGATGGTGGAAAGATGTTGGGACAGCTGAGCCACCTGATTTTGCTGTGTCTTAAATGCAACAGTGAGGTCATCAATTTGGGATTGCAGCAACTTGATCACTGAGTCCGTTTCGGAAGGGTCCCGTGGTACAGATGACTCGGGCGGGTGGCCAATAGATTGGAAAGAAGCTGCATAGGATGAAGGCGTCAAGGGAAGTGGGATTCCGGGAGGTGGGGACAAAGGCGAACTTCGGGTGGCAGAACCTTGAGACGTTGTACCAACTGATTGTCTCATAGAGACAGACTTGGGTGGTGGGGCGGGGGTCACAGCTGAAGGCATCGGTTCCAATTGTACTGCTGGAGGAGTCACAGGCTGGAGTGCGTCATTTCCATCCTTCTCAACCCCCTTCTCAGGCTCAAGCTCTTTTTCTCCGTGGGACGGAGACACACTTGGTTGGGTACTGATGGACCTGATGTCCTGCTTGCCAAATTCACTGTGGTTATCACCTGGGGAATCAATGCGGGTACTTCCTGTCAAGGGTTCACGCCTCATAGGAAATGACCCGAAAATAGGAGAAAACTTGCTGCGCTGCACCCCAAGACTACTGAAATGGGATCCTACAGGTGAGGGTCTAAATTCACCTAGCTGGCCATCGATGGAGATCCGAGGTGGGACGTATTCCTCTATCTCAAACTCACACGAGGATGAGGGGTCAAGGGGAGAACTCGGCTCTGGATAGAGGAGTTGAATATCTGACGCTTGGCGGCGCAAAGGCGGCGGTGAGTCGGGAGGGAATGCGGAGATCGAGGGTATTAAGGCGTCTGATAGCTCTGAACCCGTACGGACCTCACAAGTGGACAGAGCAAGTGTAGATTTTGAGCGGAAAATAGTGGGCATTGGTGGTCGAGATATGGAGTTTCGCTGACTTCAAGAAACGTGAAGTTCAGTAGGTTTTTCAAACAAGTCTAAAAAGACAACCCACTTTGACGGTATGATGATGTTAGGGACTATGCGTGAACCCTTGGGAGTGCTGCTGCGTCGTTCATGTCCTCCGAAAACATCGTCGCTGCTGATTCCACCATTCGATGTCTTTCTTTTGATTCGTAGTCTACTTAAAGATTGTTTGGCAGCGTATGCAAGATTGAGCGGTTTACGAATTTTGGTCTCTTGATTTTTCGAGGGAGTGTGGCCATCAACAATGGTACTTTTCCGTGATGCAGTGTGCGAGATATCAGATAGTGAAGGAGTGGCAATTATAGATGGTGTCATTGAAATACGAGAGGGATCTGGACCAGTCGCTCGGAGAAAACGCGAGAGTGCTCGTGTGCTTGTTCCGTCTGCTTCAGGGGGACGAGGTTCTAGATGAGATACGCGAACGAAGGGAGTGACTCGTCAAAAAGCCGGATAAAACGCGTCAGAACGATACGGAACGACACATACTAAGTCTGCTAAACGGACTGGACAATGTTGAAGGAGTCCGTGTATCGCTATAGTCAGAGGAGTCTTGTTCATCCATTTTTATCAGCGACCCAGGGTCTCGAGCAGAGAAGGGTGATGGAGGCAATTGGTACGAGTTCCGTGTAGGATTAGAGTCGCATGCTGTCGAAAGGGATGGCAAAGGTGGGAGGACTTGAGCAGGCATGAGTGGAGGGATAAAAGCTTTTGCGAAGGGAGACGAAAAGCTGGGTCAATGTCAGTCTAAGGGTCTGAATCTAATTCAGGTACTTATATGTTCTTTGACTTTTCCGGTTGTTCGTGCATTCCAGGAATGACTTCGTTGCTCTTCCAGAGAGTGTGCTGGCCCGTAGACTGAATTAGGCTAGGTATCGCGCAGACAGAAGAGACTAATCTACGTTTAGGTTGCCCAAGGGATTCGTTGACAAAGGTGGGGGTGAAATTCAAAAAAAATATGAAATTCAGCCTTTTAGGCTTGAAGGGTGCAAATTGATGGATGTATTCAATTTCAGAAAACGTGGCAACTGAAAAAAATCAATTTTCTCTGTTCGGTTATCAAATCCCACTCGCGCACGAGCCGCCGTAGACAACGGGCGCCATCTCAGCGAGTAACTTCAGGAATGAATGTCTAGCCCGCCGGCGGCGAAGATGGAACAACGAGTCGAGGTTCGCGCCGATATTCGGGTCAATCTGTATGTATTGGCAGCGGACGTATAAATACATGAACAGAAGTCACCCTTTTCATTCCTGTTGATCCTATCCGATCCCATCATCGCGCCCCTGATCTGAGAGGCCAAGCTTCGGGGCAGCAAGGTCGCTCCCAGTCCTCGGGGCCATCTTCTCGCACAACGCACAGTTGATCTGCGCACTTCCGTATAGGATCTGTGATATGGTCTTCCAAGTTGCGAGATACTGTTATTCGCTCAAGAGGGCAGAGTGTGGCCTCTCGTTCCTGCAGAATAGCTTCCAGTTCTGCGAGGAGGGTGGGGATGAGTGCATTAGGCGGACCTGAGCCTCTATCGTCGCAGAGAGTCAAGGTTAAATCGCCCAAATTAGGGAGATGTGACGGGCCCGATTGCCCCGGAGCTGGCCGAAGGAGTCTGAGCCCGTGCCGCAATTGGTTCACGGGTCCCTTCAAGGCGACAGACCGGAGACCCAGTGTCCGCTGCATCTATGGAAGTCGTTAAGCTCTGCACACGCGCTTTCTGTCGGCTGGACTCACAAACACCCTCATCCCTCGATAACCTTCATTCCAATTGTTGCGTCTAGGATTGTTCACATCTTGGAAATCCCAGTCATCGTCGGCTTGTTTACCCAATGCATTTCCCAAGTTGAGTATAATTCGTTGAACGTTCGGAGCGTTGATGTGAAGAAGGGCCGAGAACAGAAACAGAGGTTCCCACGGCTCAAGGCTCAAGATTCGTAATTTCGGAAGCACGATGTTGTGTGGCGCGGTTCCAGCGATGAACGAGACAGCCATACGAGAAAGAAAAAGCCTTTGAACATTCGGACAGAAGCCCAGTACCGAACACCACGTCCCGATCGTCATTGTCGCACCCACCAGTCGGAATGTATGCACGTTGGGAAGGAAGACTTCGCCTTCACGCGGACACATGTTTATGTTGTCGAGTGACAAGTACCCGACTGATGAAAACCTCGCAATCTCTCCAGCGTCAATGCTAACCGTAACAGGAGAACACAGCTCGAGCTTCCGGAGGGATTGGAGACCAGTTCGGGTCCAAGCCCTCCAGAGCGCATCGGGCCAGTTTGAGTCGGGGTGACCTGGTAGACGACGATGGAGCCTGGTAACACGACTCGCGACATTGGCTCGACTCATCCACAACTCTTTCGGCCCCGCTATCCGCTGCTCGTCTCTTATATCAAGATGCAGAGGGAGGCCCCTGGAGTGCGGCATGTGTGGCTGATAGGACCTCAGGTAGCTTAGGGTGCCTCTCACAGCCGTCCACAGCCTAGGGTAAGATTGGGCCACCCTCCGCCATTTTGAATTTACCTGGCTCAGTGAGATCGGCGTCGAAAAGGATGTATCGCCTATGCTGTATCCAGGGTTTGTGGCATAAGAAAAGATTGCCTGGAGGATTTCGGGGGGCACCGCGTCAATTGGTTGCCGAGAGTTTCGGAGCTGAGCACGACGCACGTCCAGCCCGGATTCGATATCAGCAATCTTCTTCGCACATGCCGATATAGCAGAGCGATAGCTGTCCAGAATCTCCAGGGCCAGGGATGTTTTCTCGTTATGAGACTTGCGCGATGCTGGGTCGTAGATGAGGAATGAGGGAGTGGGGTCGACGGTCGCGATTTGGGTGTACTGAGCTAAGGCATCCACATCCTGTAGTATGCGCGTGAATACTTCAGGGAGCATTTGCAGGCGTCCACTCTGGGGCTAATGCCCAGCTTGATACCTCGGGGTGGGGTTTGAGATCGAGGAGCAGCTCTTCCACCGCAGATTGCGCCCGAACTGTTGTGCCAACTACAATGACAGTGTCGAGGAATTGTACAGTTTTATTGGCAATGCCCGAGCATATTAATCAATACATCACTTCAAGGACCCATCAATTGTCAATAATTTCGTTCTCATCGAAGCATCCGTATCGAGAAGAAATACCCCAAAGAGGAAGCCATTCCAAATCCCTTGCCGAGTCCGGACCCAGGAAGCGAAGACGACAGCACCGCAAAGCCAAAGTCAATCGGCCGTAGCTCAGATCCTTGTCCACAGACAAGTCATCCCTTTCACTCGCCATGCCATTGTATAGCTGGATACACTTTTAGGCAGGTGACTAGCCTCTATAGGATACACCGACACACTGATATTCCGGTTACTTAAATGCACCGCCGTGGCGTGACTGCAAAAAGCCGATTCCTAAATTCGCAATATGTCATCCAGGAAGATATTTTGTTCGGTTTATCGCCAATGTCCTGTCTCCATGTGCATCATGTCAGCGAACGGACCCGCTGATGGACTCGCTGGCAACCAAAATGGGGGATGAAAGTAAGCCTGAGTCAGGATACAACAACCAATACCACTCAAATTAGTTTTTCGGTGGCTCATTAATATGTAAAAAGGGCGCCTTTTCTGGTCGGTGATTGCTCCTTCGCAATGAATGATTACGTCTGAACAGCCAGTCATGTCAGCCAGAAGTCTCGAAGGTAGCTACACTGAGCGTTCCGAAGAATCTGATACACGGCATTATGCATAATGACGATCACTGCTCGAATAAGTATGTTAGCTCGCAGGTCTTCTTGGTTGGCGACCGCATGTTTAAGGTAACTTGTAGCTGAGGCGTATTAGGAACTAGGCAGTGATCATTGGCCAATTACACACCCATTGCTCTCCTCAAGGTGAACGGCGCCGTATTCTGTGGAATAGACGAGATAAATACGGATACCGCCAGGGAGCCTATCATTCTGCATTATTCTGTGGAAGCCTCCAAGACTTCGTCGAATACCTCTACCAGTGAGTGCCATGACAAGGGAGGGCAGGCATGGGCCCCTACCCGCATATCCCTTAGTCCCTTAGTAAGCTCTTGTCTAGTAGGCCCAAAGCCATGTTCGGGGTCAACCTTCAATCTTTCTGATTGTCCCCAAAATATTGCATGGACGAGATCTGAATAGAGGGCCCAGGGTCGCCGAAGGTATCATCGACCAAACAACCGATGTGATTGAAGGAAGGGGTCAGTAACTTCGCCTTGGAACCACCGTCGAAAACGATGTCATCGCAGACCAGACCAAGCGTAGGATCTTGAGTTCCGTGAAAGGAAGTCAACTGCCAGAGCCATGTTGGATGTAGCCGCTGAAGCCTGACAGCGCAAATCCTCGGAGGTCAGCGCTAGCATATTACATTAAAAGGTTACGCAAAAAGGCCCGGTACACTGGGCGAGTGACAATTTGCTACATGAACATGAGCGCAAGGGACAATCCGATGCACCAAAAGGTGGAAGGCATTCAAGTCGGGCTTTTTTTGAAAGACCCTCGGTTGTCATCCTGTTACGTCCAAACTTTTTCTTTTTTTCCCAGCAGCGCATTCGGTGGATGCCATATCACCCCCGTTCTAAGTTGTTGCTTGTCGACAACGACCAGCATCATGCGATATCCTGGGTAGACTTCGGGCTGTTCATAGTTTCAAGGATACACACCTCTTCCCTAAAGGGTCGTGTTTCCGTTGCTAGGAATTGTTCAATTCAAATCTAGTGCTGAAGTAGCAGCGGAGCTAGAGAGGGTTACTTAAATTATGTAAAGGGGACTGGCAAAATATTTTGACCTGCCAGGTTGGGGAATAGATAAGCTTGTACGAATCGTGGAATACGCGACAACGATATGTTCTCACACCGAATGTCTGCGGAGCTGTATATACATACCAAGGGTAATACCTTTCGCATGGGTTTGGGTGATCAACCTAGCACCTTTGTCGTGAACCGTACATATCATATCAAAGACTCAACTGGAATTGCATTCGTTCACTCGTACTCGTTTCAAGAAACAGGGATCACTGACGTATAAATATATTTTCCTTAAATTTTGCAAAGTGGTAGAACTTCTTTCACTATACAGAATCGCATTATATTACGTTTGTCGTTCCTTGCAACAACTAACATGTCCGCGGACACTATAAGTATGGCACCATATTAATCACTCAATCGATCTTGGTGATACACTGCGGACCCATGTAACCGAAGGATCCCCAAGTTAGCAATCCACCGAACGGTCGAATAAACCATGCCATCATTTCATTTTTGGATTCATCAGAGATACGTACGTGTGTATGTCCATGCACCGTGCGCGTTCATACGGCAAATTAGCTACGTTATAGGCATGAAATAGCGTTTGCGACGTGTGCGCGTGAGAGAGGCATGCTACGATCATGCACTAGTCGTCGTCCATCAAACCAGACTCGGGGGCGAGAAGAAACAGAAAAAAAAAACAGGGGGTGCGTGCATGTGTGCATGCACATTCACATGCACGCCACTCACGCACCCACTCACGCACATATGGGAAAGGAAAAATATTTCATGCTCGCAGCGGGCGATAAAAGAAAAGAAAAGACCAGCAAACCAATTAGATAAGGGGAAAAGACGACCATGATCGTCTCATCCAGATCCCCAATCCGACCATCCACCAAGCACGAACACGCGACGGCAAAAGGATCCCCCCTCCCAAGAAAATTCAAGGTCTCCACACTCTCGAAGGAATCCAAGTCCTCCGACCAGGAAGCTCCTGCGCCTGTTCCATCGCATTATCCCGCCTCCCCCTCCTCGCCTTAGGAGTGTAATTCGCATTCGTCAGAACAGCATCGATCAAATGAACGATCCCATTCTGAACCGGTATATCTCCCCAAACGATGTTCGCCACAGGTGGTATACCCTGATAATATACCACAGTCCCCGTCGTCCCAGTTTCATTGGTCGTCGGTCCAACCCCAACCGTGATCTGTTGTCCACCTGCAGAAGTGTAATTCTTTAGTGGTAAACCAGTAGTGACGATCGTCCCGTTGATAAGATGGTTCCGAACGATATCTTCGATCGTCGTCACGTTCGTATCGGGACCAAAGACACCCCTCCTTTGAGCATCCAGGAAAGCCGCATCCGTAGGTAGGAAGTAGGTTAGGCTCGGTACGGTAGCTAAGAGTTGGCTGCTGTTAGCGCCTAGAATGCTGGCGAGAACTGACAGCGTGAGGCTGTTCGGAACGGCTGAGACTGCCTGTGGGTCTGCGAGGAAATAATCGAAAGTGGGTGGTAGGTCGATCACGGTGGACGTCACATAGATGTTGAGCTAGAGTTTGGGAATGACAAAATGGAAAGATAAAAGCGCAGAGCAATGAATGAACATAAAGCAGTTAGCCATCCGAAATTCCCATTTTGACGTGATTGAATCAGAAAGTGAAAAAAAAAAAACTGACATTTTGATATTTAGCTGTCTGCATGATGATACATGGCCAATTGTTCTGGTGAGCAACTTGAGTTGTATCTATTCCAAAGGCACAATGCATTCTGTTCAACAAATGCAAAAACCCGATGAACAAATGGATATACGTACTTCCAACCTTCGTCAACGCTATATTTTGAGGCTTTCCGTTTAGGAGGACAATACTAGGATCAGTTAGAAACGTAGGGAACACGGCATTCCTGGGACGTCGTGGGATGGACGAGAGAGGGAAGTGGCCTGGGATGACATGATATGCAACTGGTAGTTGACGGAGGGGGGGTTGGATAAGTTAACGACTTGTTGTTTGTGAGACAACATCAGTGAACTCACAAATGCGTGACAGCCAGACATAGTCATTGGTAAAAGCCGAAGGGACACCACCCCATGCCTAAGATGAAAGTGATCAAGATACCATCATCAGATCGGCGGACTCCGGAAAACCAAGCCATGATGACACACATCGTTATTTGGCGTGAAGAGAGTGAGCGGAGCGCCACTGGAGAGCGTGTTGAGGAATTCTATACCAGAAGTCGTATTGGCGAATTGACTGACTACTGTCAAGTACGACGTGAGGTTAAGCGCGGTAAGAGTGCGAATCAGCCCAGCGATATAAGTCCCGTTGACCTGGGCGGCAAAGGCGCTAGATGCTCTAAGAGAGAGCGCGAGAACGGCTATTGAGCAGAGGCGCATGGTGAGGGAACCCTACCCTGAGCGAGGACGCAGGATCTTTCAGCTAAGAGGCACGAACTGCTGAGAGTGAGGATAGAAGGTGAGAAGGTTGTATTTATACATCGAGTTGAGTTGCACCCTGCAGGTGAAATTACGCAGAAGCAGTATTCAATAGTTTACCCTAGGTTTGATTCGGTGGTACACCTCTTCTTGGCTCGGAGCCAAGCCCCACTCGTCTCCGCTGATTGCCTCTGCATCATACCCATAGCCATCACCATGAGCGTACCGGAAAACGACCAGATGTCTCCATGCCTTGCGTGGCTTGCCAAAGGGAGTGACCTTGCCACTGACGCGAGGCCGAGTGTAGGCAAGATTCGACAGCCCCGCAAATCTTACCTCATTTCGCAATTACAATATATGTTCAATCTTTTACGTAATGGCAGTGGCGTGACCCCATGCCTAAAAAGTATTATGTAATGTATTTGTTGATTGTCCAGACCAATATAGGGAAAATCAGAGTGAGAAAGGGAAGAGAACTCGCTCGCGCGGCGCAACACGATTTGGCAGCCCTCGGCATAACCCGACATGACGCCGACTAGATGAGTAGCAGGGGAGGCTAAATGTAAGTCCCAAAACCATCGTGAAGACTCAGCAATAAGACCTCGCAGTTTGCGCCCATGGCTTGATTAGAGCAGAAGTTTGTCTTATCAAATTGAGGTGCCAGACCATGCTTGAATTGGAATGAATCTCCAACTCGACATGTGGGAAGACTCAACCTCCGGCGAACGAATCGTCAACACGCAGCTGGCTGGCGTCCCACGCTTCTCCTCAACTTCGGGAAGCACTTGAACTAGAAAACGCTCGGGTTGTTCTTCTGGTTGAGGTTGGGTTATCGGATGTGTGGGAGAGCGGCATGTATTTACAAGTGTTTTGCACCAGAGTCCAACTGCCATGCCGCACTGCCGAGTTGCTTTGGCAGGGCGTGTCTTCAAAAGCGACGTGTATCATTCGATTTATGTAGGTCGCACGTTTGGGGTTTTCGTTAACAGTGAAGTCAACCCCAACTATCAAAGCCCCAATTTCAATTGTTCGGGTCCCCTCAGCAGGAAACATGTTGCTAAGCGACCGAGTAGCGGGGGATTCGCTTGTTTTTTTGACAACTCTGATCCATTCACTTAATCCCTACCGCCGCGCTGCTGCGATAACAAGACAGAGCCATTTTGGCCTACTTACGGCACAGAGGAGCGGATGAACACAGATGGTAAGAATCTTATCATCGCTGCACTACTGCTTTGGTCATAGCATCTTTCCGGTTGTGGTTTGTTTGCTCTGAGAGGTATGTAGGTTTGGACGGGAATGGCGCCTATGATCCATGATCGGGTACGTCTGGATCAGGTCAGCAATGGGTTTGTGCTGCTATATACGTACAGGATGCCAATTGCTTAGAACTTTCAGGTCGTTGCGGCATGAACGGGACCAGCGACTCCATTGCATATATATCAGACCATAATGGATGTTCTCCCGAGGTCCACCACATCGGCGCAAGCTGTTTAACGATTAACTCCCTTCTGACGACGTATGCGCCTTGACGGCCCTGCTCCATTTTGCGTTCTGATGGATATGATATCAAACTACGACCAGTGTGCATGCTCCCCAAACTAGGCGTACTTGAACGATCGTACAGGCCCACACAGGGAGTAGCCCCAAGACGTGGGGCCCCTCATGTTCTGAGCTTTCAACCCGTACATAGGCGCAGGCCTGCTGCGGGAACGTGGGGGACTTTTAGGAGCTACCAAAATGCGTGTGGCCGATCCTGGCCGGACTCTCGCTTCCGAATTACTCCAGACGCCGGTCATATGTACACCAATCCACTTACCCAACAAATAAACAATAGAAATAGAACTAACTTTGAAACGCCGCCTTGTAATGAAGGGAGCTGATGATGCTACCCGGCAATCCATTTCTGCTGAAGGACTGCCGAGTTGAACGAGGAAGTTCCCGGCTGCTGGGGATCTTCAAACCATCATTTCGGGTTGGAGACTTGCACTTGTCACTGTCTAGACTTTTGGGGTGTTAGCCACCAAGCAGATCCACCCGCAAGGTAAGGCAATTAATGGGTACGGGTTTGTGAGCCCAAAACAGGGTATCGGGAATCTGCTTGCAGCTGGGATTCGACAGGCGCCCTCCGATAAAGGAGCTGAAAAGGGCGCACATTCGAAGGCAGACCGCAATGTCCGTTGAGTCTGAAATTCCTCCAATAGGGCTCATGGGAACTCCAATTGTCCTCATTCATCAAACCGGAGAGACTATCGGCTCATAACAAGCATTGTATAGGAGCCAGAATTTGCGATCGAGATCACCCACCACTCCACAAAGACCAATAAGAACTAAGGGCATAGGGTCAAGGATGTTCGAGACTCGTGCCCAGTGCAAGACACGCTTATCGCAGGGTTGCCAAGACTATACTAGCAGTACGTGTCAACGAGCAATTATCGTTCTAGGCAATGAGATGGTAAATCTCAAGCTGGGTGATGAGAAATTCTCTTCGGGAATGTGTAGAGCCTCACCTCCAGCAGCTACCCATTTTTGTGGGGCAAAAAATGAAAGTCTCGGATGAAGCAACTGGCAGGGGAAAAAGCGGTTCAAATATGCATTGGACATCCCCTTTCCGAAGAGGAAACCAAAATAAATCCCGCGGTAAGAAAAAAATTAGCCCTGAAATTGCTCGGGGGGTCCACAGCAGAGCGTCAAAGGCTATGACTACAAGAGTTGGTCAGAAACTGAGAAGCATGCAAACAAGTGTCAACAAACCGAATTCAGATATAAAGCGGGAACAGGCGATCGCAAATTTTTTCTCCATTGCGGGCTCCTCTTACCAGTGTCGTGCTGCTGTATCTCACGTAGCTCGACAACGTATGGATCCCCAGATGGAACATTGGAGGTTAATAATGCGCTTGATGACTTCCTTCTTGACTTATTTGGGTGCTTCGCTGTCCTTCATACATTCTAGATGTTGGCAATTCGCAAGAGAATTTTTGTGTAGATTTCCTCATGCAATGGTTATCACATCCTCCGTGCCCTTTGTTCACCACCACCAGTCGCATATGTGAGCAGGGGACTGAAACAAAGTCCGTTCGGGCCAGTACATATAGGAATGGACAAACCACGCGAAAGGTGGTGTTGGTTTGCGGTTCGTGATGTATGCTTACAAGCTCGGCCCTTTTCATTCGACCTTTTTACATCAACTTGAACTGGACTCGGGAACTACTTGCACTGTCTTGGACTGACGGCCGGGGTTTTTTTTTTTGGCCCTTCCACTCTCACAACCTTGGGCGGAAAGCTATGAGCTAGGCCGGGGGGACAATTCATTACCAACGTTGGCCGTCGTACAGTTCGGCTTAGGGGTCATGCCACGCAAGAGTGATCGACATGCATATCATACCAACCCATGGCCATAGCGGAGAAGTGGTTTCCGCAATTCCTAGACAACGTGTCGCTTTGCCTGGTTACCTCCTGATTAGGCAGCCTACTGCGCCATATGTTTTCCCTTATCCATGCTACTTCTCATGTCCAGACATGTACAATGGCTGGCGGCAAGAGTGCGCGGGTTGCATGATCTACTCCATCCCTCCCTGGAAATAGCCACATGGTTTCTAATTTTATAGCGAGCATGCTGCTTGTATTTTGACATTCCCCTGAAGGTTGTTTCCAAAACTACGTACACATCGTCATTGTACTTTCCGGGTTGTCTCCGGCTTGACTTTACCAGTGCATTTACACATGCCATGGACCCCCCAACAATGGAGTCTGAGCCTTAAAAGATGAATGCTAACGGCATTTCGTGGTTGTGTGCATCCGTTGGCAACGAGTAATGCCACTGCAGCCTTCGACGTAGGTGTGGGCTTCGTCGGATTAGTCTGGCCGAATCCCCGGCATGTTGATCAGTCACCCCCCCAAATGATTAGTGCCAGCGTATCTGACTAGTTTTTGAACTTAAGACATACATCCGTTGCGAAGTCGCACAACGTCGTCTTCCCCAATAACCCTCCTGCTGAGGTGGTCCTTCAACAGATACCATCTCCGAATCTACGAGATCACCAACAATGACATTGTTTCCCTGTTCCGTCATACTGGCAAGATGCCGAGTGCGTAGTGCATCGGCCCTTCACCAGCCCGGCGAGCAGTTGTTGGCATAATAAGCAAGACCGACGACCGCCCCTGCATATGGCTAGAAAGGTTGACCGCACAACTTTGGGCTTTCTTCCCAATAGACAGATCAGAGTCCACAAGATGGGTGACGTCTGCTTTGGAATAGCGCAGCACAGATGTGGGGGGTCGTGAACGCTCGCGTAGTGGGCTTGAATATTGACCACATTAATAGCGCGTGCAATACCTGAGCTTCCCAGTCCTTAGGAGAACTACCCCCGGAGTCGAAGTTCAACGTAATAATTCTTCCATTGTCGACTTCGAACATGGAGCTCCACACCAGTGTCTTCATGCGGCGAGTCTGTTCAACTGAATTAACGTTGGGATAGAGATAGGCATAGTTAACTTCCTTCTCGTGGAAGATGAGACTCTGATGAGGAGATCCTTGGGATTTCGGCAGACTCCGGATACACTTTCGCACAAGAAGCTGAGACGCGAGCCCTTGACGATTTCGATTTTGCTCTGCTGGGGATTGATTCGGTCGCTATCCAACACTATTTGCCTAACGACCCTTTTTTCATCGTCGCTTCGACGGCTGAACCCCGCTGTTAGACATGTGGAAAGGAACTAAGCTTAGAGTGAGTAACTGGGAGAGGCTGAACAACCGAAAGGGGGCCAATTCGGCAGAGTACGGTGTGTCCTATCCAAGCTATTGCTAGGTTAACAACGTTGGGAGTGGTGGTGGTGGTGGTGGTGGTGCCACTAGACAAGTTTGAAATGTGCCGGAGGCCTTTGACCTTGGTGGGTTGATCTGAACCAGTCATGACTGTAGAAATAGCGCCAAGCCCAGAAGTGCACTCACAATACGCCCCTGTCCAGCTTTCAGCTTCGCTGGTCGTCTCTTACCCGATGATCACGACACTCTGAAAACCTTGCCGAGTTGGCCGAATTCATTTGTTCATTTGTTCATTTGTCACCCACAGAGAATGACCGCCGTGTCTCGGGACTTATGGCATCGACAATCAAGGCAGTGATAACCTTTCAAAATCGACCCCTAATGGAGTAATGCTAGATCTAGATCAAGATGGAGTGAGACAAATAAATTCGGCCGCCGACGACACTGATGAACTGGTGATATATACGTACCTTGAACCTGTCTTAGACAACGACTTGACTGTGAGCCTGCCTCGGGGTAATCATGGGAAAATTGCGTGCTCACAAGGGGTCAAAATCTGTCACTCTACGTCACTCGGTGCCTGTTCAAAGTCCGCAACAGAACGTGCAAGAACAGAAGCACTACGACAACAAGGACAGTTGCGCAAGGATTGGTGTTATATTAACTGGTTTCGCAATGAGGACCGCTTCGCCTGTATAATGAGCCGTGTTGCTGAGTACTTTGAGAAGCAAGTAGCCGCAGCAGAGTGTGGCGAAAGTCCGCGGATCATTACCTGTGGGTCTCCACATCTCAGCGGTTTCTGAATATCATCAGCCTTCCGCTGGAAAACCTTCATCCGCTGGGGTTGAACGGTTACAGGTATTAAAAGACACGTGCATGTGCCGAGTCGGAGGAACAACCCCACATCCGCAAAGGTGTTGTAAAGTGAGGGCGGGGGAACCAAGGCTGCTTCCCCGTGTGGACTGAACACCAAAAAACGCGACTTTTATGGCAGCAGAAAAGGGGAGAATGACTGAGCTTTCCCAATTGTCCGTGTCCAGTCCGACGTTTCGATTAGAATATCCACAAGTATTGGTGATTTGTGAGAAGTAGTTGAGGATCGCGCTTTCCTCTAGCCAAAATGGATACACGCCAGATTACCGCCGAGGCTAGCGCGCGGTTATGCCACCAGTTCACCAGTTTGATGGACAGGCACAGAGCCACACCCGGACCCCTCGCGCGCCGGCCAATGATTTAACCCGAAGTTTGATCACCTCCCATCTAGGGTCCGACATTTACAATTACAAATCTCCGAACGGCGAGAGCCGATGCATTTGATGGGCTTGGGGTTCCCCTTGGCCTTTGGTTCAAAACCTCCTCTCTTGGAGGACACCTTCCTGTAACTTTATGCCAGCGCCGTATACGTTGCCCGGGAAATTTTCCTGATCATCCCCCCTTTCCCTCACCTGCAACGGAAAATATAATACACTCACTGTAGTTACCATTCTTATGCCAGATCCATCTGTGATACACTTCCTTGGGAGCGTAATTGTAGCAGCGGCGTTCGACTCAGTGTCAGTTTTAAATTTTCTCTTCCTTCTTATCCATTCCAATGTGTTCGGTTGAACTTTTGCCGCCGGGTTTGCTGTACCTAGATTATTCGGTGTTGTCACGGTGCAGACCGCAACTTACATACAGAGGTTCAGACACGATTCCTGGGTCTACCGATTTCTGGTGAGTTGTTCTAACTTCTAACCGAGGGCAAGCGACTCATGTCTGTTTGATCATTTTAGGTTGGAATTAACTTGTAAGTGCGCTCTCGAAGACAATTGGGATCCTTCCTGCCCAGCTCATCCTGTTCAGCGCTTTAATTTTCCTTCAAGGGTATTTATCTTTGATGTCACCCCCTCACATCGCTCCTCAGCAGATTTCAGGATCGCCCTGCCAGCTGCAATATTCCGTTCCATCCATCAAGGATTCTCTCTGAATGAGAGGATACCATTTGGCTGGTTAGTCATTCCTGTATTCGATGTCAGTTTTCGAATAATGTGCTCGCTTTCCGCAGGGGTTTTTATGCACCAGGTATAAGCACTGTGAGGGATCTTTTTGACGACTTTTTTTTTGATTATCTGACATGTCACTCTTACAGGCCTTCATACCATTCCTGTTACATTCGTATTTCATTCGCCTCATCCATCTCGGTAGGCCAGGATATCTTTTGGATGGATGAACGGAGCTGATACTTGTTGACGGCATCAATAGTTGGACAAAAACGCGTCCTCACCATCCTCATCGTACGTCCGTTACTCTTTGGCGTCGCTGTACAGGCTAATTCCTGGCTTTCCAAGTCCATCCCCGTAATCGCTGAATTCGGTGAGTCTGGATCTTGGTTGTTTAAGACCCTGCCTGCCTTACCTGTCTCGCGCGGTAGGTTGTGGCGTACGTGAGTCCGAACGAACTTTTTGCCTTCATTCTCGTACTGATATCTATTCCAGAAGTGGCTCAAGTCCTGTGCGTCCCCTCTACGTCTCTTCCCCCCCGTGTTTTATCCTCAATTCCCCCGTGGCCTAACTTTGGTATGCCGCAGGCTTCGAATGCCACCCACCGTCCTTGGACAACCAGGAACTGGAGTGCGACCGTATTGGGGTATATTCTTGTATATTTCCCTAATGGTAGTCTGCGACATTTCAACCACAGCCACGTTGTGGATTGTTCTGATTCGTCAAAAAGTTGGCGTCAGAAAGTAAGTAAGAGATTTGGCTATTGAAAAGGGGAATTTCGCTGAGGGCAAAAAAAAAGAGCAGATGGACCGTTGGTGTCTCTGGCCTCTGGGGCCGCTCTTACTGGGATGATCACGTCGTAAGCGCACCCGCTGCCCCGATCCTGCAGAGTCGTCACCTCACCCTCGTTTTTGTCAGTCTAGTATCCTGTGCTCCACTTGCTGTGCGAAATTCTTATCTTACTCTGGCATACCCAAAACTCATTCGCTATGCCCTAACTTATTCCAGGGTAGTATCGTCGCACGCATGGACGTGGTAAATATCATTGGGATTATGATTGGCTCCAGTAAGTGAGGCACATGCAAGTGCATATGTCGTTAGCCAGATCAAGCTCAAACTGCTCTCGATTCCTACAGTATACGCTGTCGCATTAATGATCAAGTAATGTCCCTGGGCTTATTCTATGTGGTTGCAGCACAATACTGAGTAGTCTTTTGCAGTGTGCACCTACGTTCTCGACTTCGTGCAACCTCGGCCATACTGGGCCCAGTTAGTGAAAAAACAAAAAAAATCCTAGGCCATATTGACTAATCACTCATTCCATACTAAATTACGCAGAGATCCATTTCCGTGGTTGTGACGAGGGAAGTAGCACAAGAGTTACAGTCTGAGGGGAAACATGAACGAACTTTGCGGATTCGAATGACCCAGCTTGATGTAAAGTCCTCGTTCGTTCGTTCTCGATCTCTCACTGACGTCAGTTCTAAATAGGCGGAGTACCCAGCGACTGAATCACCCATATATCACCTAGACAACCCCGCTTTCGAAGTTTGATACTACAACTTTTGCGTCACTGCACCGTGTGTACATACTCTTTCTCCATACAGTTTTCCAACCCCCCTTCCAATTGTTCGGATTCTGTATCTTGCATGTAGACACCGCAATTTTGCGAATTATGAGCGGGTGATGATAGCCTGCCTAAAGAACCTAGCTGCAGTCAGAGGAGATGCCCAGGAGGAGGTACGAAATATCCATCCGAAGACTTTGCTTTCGTCCGGGGGAGCAAATTCAACACACGGGCTGCAACTGGAATTCACTGAATTGAACATGTGTTTCTGCCAACCCAACTTTCCGCAGTGAAAACATGTCATCAAGATCCAAAAGCATGCCGAAAATGATAAGGACATCTTCCACTATACACCCTGCATGCATCATCGTGAGAAAGGACTATTTCCCCCCCAAGTTCGATTCATGCAGCAACACGGTGAATTGAATTCGAATTGCGCACAGACCCTCTCGTTTGAATGAATCCCCAACTCCATTCTGGCAAACGGGCCTCACATGTCAGACATGGCTTCATTTCCTCAAGGCGTTGCTACGCAAACTATCCCAGGCAAACTTGTACTCGTAGCGCCTGGGAAGTGCCCTGGTTTGCCACTCATTGCCAACACGGTTCATATATTGTTGATGCGTGTTCCAAATTGTACCAACTGTCCTCCCCTCTAATTACGCGCAGCGTCCTAAGCGGGCCCAACCCGACCTCAGTACACGTTAACTACCCTGGTCCCTGGTCCCTCCCTGTCGGTGTGCTGCTTTCTTTGATGTTGGAGCAACTTTGACACGCGATGTGCGGCTGACATTGCTCCAAGTTCGGGAACAGCATACTCTCCAGTATACTTCCCAAGAATGAGGCAACCAGAACAGGTGGGTGGTCCCCATGAGTTGTCGAAGCGCTGCTCAATGGTCATATAATGGGTTGATAGATAGTCATATTACAGCAACCGTCAAAAAAATCTGCGCGTCAGATTCGGATGCATGGCCCCAGTCGGGTCTCGTGCTTGTCCAAAAATGGTCGGAAATCAGGGTAAATTTCAGTGTCAATACATTCGGCATTTAGCGCTCGTGGTGCCGGGGTCTAAGAGCCTCTTCCGTACTCATGTGAGGCATGATATAGCACGAATACTAAGAGTGTCGTCGGCCACGGGTCTCAGCAAAGGTGGTCAGGGGATTCCTGATAAGGCAATCCGCTACTCAACTCGCAGAAGTAAGCTAGAAACTTTCTTGTCAACGCACGTCTGTGCGCATATAATTATACACACACGAAATGTATTACAATGTGAATATACGCAAAATAAGGAACTGCGCAAGCGCGCATATGCAAGCATGAATGTCCTGGAATTACCTGGGGAGTTCCCACAACAATCCAGAATATTCCAGCAGGTTCCGGTCACTTGCGGATTCCAACAGGATTACAGAGATCCTCGTGGATGGTGCATGCAGACAGCTGGGTTACTGCTGAAATTTCGTGTGTGCTCATCGAGTCAGGCATCGTGATGATTAGATCCTTGGCTGCGGGTTTGAGGTGTTTGCCTACTATGTAGAGCGGTGAGTAATAATATCTTTTTTTGGTGGTGCCATTGGGACACGGTGATTTTTTTCCTAAATCGCAAATCACATGTTTTGCCTGATATATTCATCAAGATTTGACGCGCAGATTTTTTTGACGGTTGCTGTAAATTGTATGGACATCAGCTCAACTGCATAACAGCGAACGCGCATCCATCAATAATAGCCAGCCCCTCATGTTGTAGCTCAACTGTCGGAGACTACTAAGGGTGAGATCATTCGGAAGCCCCTCTGGAGCATGGACAGCCGTAACAGTGCAAATATTCCACTGAGGGAAGCGTCTCTAGAACCAGACACGTTGCGATCTGCTTGGTAGTCAACATATCCCAGAAGTTCAGCAAGACCATGAGCATACCCAGTGCCAAGCAACATACCGCCATATGCCTGCCGAAGAGCTGAGTATTGGTTCGCTCAACTCTCCTATTTTGGAATCCTCTTACAGGAACGAAATGGAATCTCTTAATATATGGAGCAAGGCAAATGTAATCAAACTAAAATGAATATCTCAACAAAGTGAACTGTTGCACCCAGATTTGTACCCAGTCGGAGTCGGCTCGTGGAGTAACACGCAATTTGCCCTTTTCGCGCAAAAAAAGAGTGGGGGCAAACTGCGCGTGTTCACGAACAACTCCGGCTGGGTACGAGTCTGTGTCGCACCTGTGAAAAAATGGGTCCGAAAGGAATCTCTCGACGGAGCGAACCCCTGCACCCAAGGTAAGAACGAGGCAACCAGACAGGTGGTCCCTCACGAGTTGCCGAAGCGCTGCTCAATGGTCATATAATGTGTTGATAGATAGTCATATTAAATTGTATGGACATCAGCTCAACTGCATAACAGCGAACGCTCATCCACCAATAATAGCCAGCCCCTCATGTTGTAGCTCAACTGTCGGAGACTACTAAGGGTGAGATCATTCGGAAGCCCCTCTGGAGCATGGACAGCCGTAACAGTGCAAACATTCCACTGAGGGAAGCGTCTCTAGAACCAGACGCGTTGCGATCTGCTTGGTAGTCAACATATCCCAGAAGTTCAGCAAGACCATGAGTATACCCAGTGCCAAGCAACATACCGCCATATGCCTGCCGAAGAGCTGAGTATTGGTTCGCTCAACTCTCCTATTTTGAAATCCTCTTACAGGAACGAATGGAATCTCTTGATATATGGAGCAAGGCAAATGTAATCAAACTAAAATAAATATCTCAACAAAGTGAACTGTCGCACCCAGATTTGTACCCAGTCGGAGTCGGCTCGTGGAGTAACACGCAATTTGCCGTTTTCGCGCAAAAAAAAGAGGGGGGCAAACTGCGCGTGTTCACGAACAACTCCGGCTGGGTACGAGTCTGTGTCGCACCTGTGAAAAAATGGGTCCGAAAGGAATCTCTCGACGGAGCGAACCCCTGCACCGGTCAAGGTAAGAACGAGGCAACCAGACAGGTGGTTCCTCACGAGTTGCCGAAGCGCTGCTCAATGGTCATATAATGGGTTGATAGATAGTCATATTAAATTGTATGGACATCAGCTCAACTGCATAACAGCGAACGCTCATCCACCAATAATAGCCAGCCCCTTATATTGTAGCTCAACTGTCGGAGACTACTAAGGGTGAGATCATTCGGAAGCCCCTCTGGAGCATGGACAGCCGCAACAGTGCAAACATTCCACTGAGGGAAGTGTCTCTGGAACCAGACGCGTTGCGATCTGCTTGGAAGTCAACATGCATACCCAGAAAGTCAGCAAGACCATGAGCATACCCAGTGCCAAGCAAACAAACTGTCGTGCCTGCCGGGAGCTGAGTACTGGCTCGCTCAACTCTTTTGTTCTTGTAAGTCCTTTAGCACCAAGGCCTTGTACATGCAATTTGCCGAACTCAAACACTGAGTGAAACACGTCCACATCAGCCATTTTCACACTTTCGTGAAAGGTATGCACTATTCTGCAGTCAGTCAGTCGTAGTTTCACTGAGTTCGAATGTATGTGGGACAACTTAACTATGAACGCAGTGACTGCCGTCAGTCCCTACTACTAATTTAAGCCTATCTACCGCATGTTGAATGGTACTCTTCGCAATAATTCCCCCCATATGAATCAGGTCATGTTGCACTTGCGACCTGTCCAAGTACCACAAGTTGATATTGCTACATGTCTGCAGATGCATTTAATTTTACTTCGCCATTGCGCTTCCGCTCTAAGTGTTGCCTGCGATTGAGTGCTGATGATCATTGACTACACATGTAATTCTGATTCTGCGGCACATGTAACACATGAATATGAGTATTGTGTGGACGAGGACAATGAAAACAGAGGCTATCGAACAGGGGATAGAGAGTTGGGAAGGGACCTCTCTTTCGCGCCCGGTGTCGATGAAAACCGGGGTCTGATTTCATAAGTAACCAACTAATGAGAAGGGTAAATGGGATCGCGGTACCGAAGTTTCAAGAAGATGTTAATTTTTTCACTTCTGCACTGAGAAGGGCTGTATTCGTGGACCTCAACCATCGCCTGGGAAAGAAAACGCTCCCCCAGTCGTTTCAGTTATTCGCTGACGATTGCGAAGAGATGCGCGAATCACGTCGAAAGCACCCTGCGTCTCCCAGTGCAAAACGCGTATCAACATCTGACACGAGACTCCCTAGGCTTGTGGTTACCCTACGGTTCAGCGAGGTATGAGATGAAAGGCGTAGGAGTCAAGGCGCTCTATTTGGAAGGTGCCCGTTCGTCGCCATCACGCAGGGAATGCAGATTGGCTGATCAATGACCACAATGAATGAAGCCTTGAAAGTTGAACCCCCTGTATGGTTACAGCTAGCAGTCTTTCAGCCTTCAGAGCTAGATATCGGCCGGAGCCACAGAATGGGAGGATGCGACATGATCTGTTGATATGTGTGTGACCCAATTTGACTGGCACAGACGGCGAAGAGCAGTCATTCAGTAATATTATGGAATGCCTCAGTACAAGTGCCTCGAAGACGACGTCTATCCGCAAATGCTCGTGACAGCCATGGTTCAAATGGTCAATATTAATAGAGCCCAGTTACATTTCAGCTCGAAACGTGATCCCATTGTGGAAACGGAAATTGGCTGGCCGGCTTGCCCAATCCTTACGAAACTGCTGGTATCCTAGGACGTGACCATTCCACTGACGTCGGCTTGGCCCGGTGATCTTGACAAGATGTCGTCATGTTCACATTTCCCCACGAGCATCGTGTCCCTAACAGTGGCGGCATTGCCGACGGCTTCTTTCTCGGTAACTGGGAATGGTCCGAGACGTCAAGCTTAATGCATAATTAAGTAACTGTTGGCCATTCACGGGCAAAGCGTTCCAATACGGTTGGCACTATAATACCTGGGAAGTTGGAACTATTACGGCTCGGCCCTTCTTGTCTGAGCGCCGTCGCTTTCATTGGCATGTTGGTCCGGTGCTTGTGTGGCCGGAGCTTGCGGCCTTCCCAATCTCCTCTAGGAAAATAGCAAGTATAACAGTGCTGCAGAGTTCAGGGGCCCTGTACTACCCACACCCTCTCAACTCACAGACACCACCAATGGCTATTACTCCTTCAACTTTCACTGCCCAACGTGTTTCGACCGGCAAAGTTGCGAATAAGCCGGCTAGAGATGCTAAGACGTTGCTTGAGGCTTTCCTCTTAACACAGTCTGAGATCGAGGCTCACAAGTGGGTCATTCATTATCTTGCATCCCAATTCGATCTCACCACGTTTTGTTTAGGTCTGGGAAGCCGGTGGTTGTGGATGGTTATAATTTATCGATTGCTGATATCGTCGCCGCCGCTCGTTATGGATCTTCTGTTTCCCTCACCGACTCTCCTGCAATTCGAAAGAAGGTGGATGCGTCTCGCGACACGATTCAAGGAAAACTTGATGCTGGTCACAGTGTCTACGGTCTCAGTACGGGTCAGTCTGGATCTTCTGTCCTGTCCCGCGACCTTCTATAACATTGACCCATTCCATTAGGTTTCGGTGGCAGCGCCGACACCCGTACTGGTAATGCCCTCGTCCTTGGGAAATCTCTCCTCCAAATGCAGAACTGCGCTGTTTCTCCTCAGTCTCAAGAACCTCTAGATGTCTTACCCCTCAACACTGACCCTATCTCAAACAACACGATGCCTGAGGCATGGGTTCGCGCGGCTATTTTGATCCGAATGAACAGTCTCATTCGTGGTCATTCGGGTGTGAGATGGGGATTCATTGAAGCTCTCCAGAAGCTCCTGCAAGAGAACATTACCCCCTGTGTTCCACTTCGCGGAAGCATATCTGCCTCGGGTGGTAAGTGGAGAGCGTCATCTTAGGAGCAGTGGTGCTTAACACCCTTATCTCAGACCTCATCCCCCTGTCGTACGTTGCGTCCACTCTGATGGGCAACCCGAATATCCGCGTATTTGACGGACCAGCGGCTTTTGGACCTCGAAAACTCATCCCAGCTCCCGAGGCCTTCGCTAACCACGGCCTCAAGCATGTTGTCTTCGAGGCTAAGGAGCACCTTGGTCTTTTGAACGGAACTGCTTTCACTGCTGCTGTCGCTATACTCGCTTTGAACGATTCCCTTCACGTCGCCCTCCTCTCCCAAGTCTGTACTGCAATGGGGACTGAGGCTCTTCTTGGAACTCAGGGTTTGTTCACTCATCCTCGTAATTAATTAAAAATTGATTTATCAATCATCTAGCCTCTCACGTTCCTTTTATTCACGATGAGGCCCGTCCTCACCCTGGACAAATTGAGTCAGCGAAGAATATCTATGACCTTCTCGAGGGCAGTAGCCTCGCGGACACCGGCGAAGAAAAAGAGTTGTCTATTGAAGAGGACACAGGTAAATTGCGTCAAGATCGCTACGCCCTCCGTACCGCCCCCCAATTCATCGGGCCTCAGCTCGAGGACATCCTTTCTGCCTTGGTCGCCTTGACCACTGAAGCTAACTCTAGTGAGTAGGCAAACGTGTAAGGGGACTGTGTAAGACTAATCCGCTCTGGCAGCCACCGACAACCCGCTTGTCGACGGCGAGACTGGCCATGTTCATCACGGCGGCAACTTCCAGGCGATGGCTGTCACGAATGCCATGGAAAAGACTCGGCTCTCCCTTCACCACTTTGGCAAGATCCTGTTCGCTCAGTTCACTGAGTTGCTAAACCCTGCCTTCAATCGTGGTCTTCCACCTTCTCTCGCTGGCTCTGATCCCAGCTTGAACTACTTCGCCAAAGGTCTCGACATTGCCTCGGCTTCCTATGTCTCTGAGCTTGGATACCTCGCCAATCCCGTATCGACCCACATCCAGTCCGCGGAGATGCACAACCAAGCGATCAAGTGAGCCTGGACGTAGGCTTGATAGGACTTACATCTGACTCCCCATTTAGCTCTTTGGGTCTCATCTCCGCCCGCGCCACCATCACCTCCATCGAGGTTTTGAGCATTCTTATCGCCGGATATTTGTACGTCCTGTGCCAAGGTTCGTTGACCCTGCCGATGCACGAGTCTCTCTGTGCTGACCTCAAACATGTAGCCCTGGACCTTCGAGCGTTACAACGCGAATTCGACCGTGAACTTCAGACGATCTTGGCGGAAGAAGTCAATCGCCACTTCGGCAATGTTATCCCCTGCCTTACGGCGCAGACCGACCTCACATCCACTCTTCTGGAGGCAATCCGCGATGCCCTGGAAACCAGCACCACCCAGGACGCCGGCCCTCGCTTGGAGGCTGTAGCGGCTGCCACCACCACTCCTTTGGTTAACTACTTCATCTCCTGGCCATCTAACGCCGAGATTTTCGTCGCGATTGGCGCCTTCCGCAACGGCTTGGCAGCCCGCAGCACCACTCTCCTTCAGCAACTCCGACACGATTACCTCAGTGGTGCCCGTGGCCCCACCCCTGCAGCTCCATTCCTCGGCAAAACTCGACCTGTCTATGAGTTCATCCGTGAGACCCTTGGAATCAAGATGCATGGCATCGAAAACTACGACAAATTTGCCAATGGGTTCGGTAACAGCACCGTTGGCGACAACGTCAGCAAAATCTACGAAAGCATCCGCAATGGCAAGCTACAGGCTATCACCTCCGGCTTATTCGCATAACTTTGTCCCATTTCATTCGCATTTGGTGTATCACGAGTTCTATTGAGCTCTTATGGTAATTCTAGATTATTCGCACAATGTAATATAGACCCCACTGCAGCAGATACGATCTGGTTTGGTTGATGTTGATGATCCTTCTCTCGGGCATCCTGCTTCTGCCAGCAGAAATCGTGGTCCGGGATTTTCTGACACGCACATAAGGTATTACTGGTGGACGCGCTGTGGCATTGTTTGATTACAATGCTCAAGAGGATGGCGACCTTTCTTTCAGGACCTTTGCTTTTTTTTCCAGTCGTCAAGTAGACATTTCAGTTCAATTCAGCGCTCAAACAACACCTATGAGTCACAACAGTTCGAAACCAAATACGGTACATCATCATCATCATCATTCCAACCATTCCTCCTCTTCTCCGGCACAAATCCCAATCAAAGTGCTCACTCAGGCCGAGTTCTCGTCTTCTTCTGAGATCTCGGGCGGTGGTGTGCAACGTTCATCCCTGACATAAGAGTTCAGCTGAAAACAAACAAAGTGAGGAAAGTGGACGTGGTTCCCTTTTACGATTTTTGGCACACCAGTGATCCAATCCACGGGATACTCCTTTTGGCGTCATCCTCAATTGCCATATATTCGTTGCGTCTGAAAAGGGGCCTCGTTTGGGACTCGGACTCGGACGTTGCAACTCGTTATCGTTATCACCCGCTCGTTTCTTGTCGAGAAGTACGTTGAATTGAGCCCAAGATTTGCAACGCGTTCCAATGGATTTGGAAATTACGAATCTCACCTTGAGCAGTACACCGTTGTTACTCGTCTATTTACTAGCACAAACTGAGGATTTCCTGTGCAATGTTCAACCGACGATGCTGTCGTATCGCAGCTTCGACAGCGCTAACGGTCAGAGCTTGTGCGGTTGGTTGGTGACCATCAACAATCGTGTTGGTGTCGCCGAGGTAGCGTCCGTAGGGTCATCACTCTCGCGGACATGGGCCACTACGGCAACCAGCTGACCGCTCCTTATCCAGCATGGAGTGAGTTCCATTTCACTTCGCCTCTGTCTGAATTGATCTTCGCTTTCAATGTGTGCAGCTGGACGGGCACGTCGGGCCCTTCACGCAGTGATTCTTCAATGCTTATGTTCACCCTATCATTCGACCCAGGGCCCAGGTTCGTGGCCGTTCTGTTTTTTGCGTGCCCCTTCCGCTTCTTCTCCCCCAATGACGACTGCTATTCCATTCACTGCATGCGCAAGCGCAAGCTCCTAATTTGATGAATATCTCCGATCCGTTTTTCAGCCTCTTACGATGTTCAGATGCTTGTTTGTACCGCTAAGACTTTAATAAAGACAGAAGGTGGGAAGAGTAGCGTGCTCTTGCCGTGAGAGGCAGCGTCCGCCAGTTATTCCAGATGAATGCAGGCGCAGAACTTGTTGCTCAGTGTCTCACACCCTGTTCCCTCCACGCAGAGTAAGGCACAGCCAGCTGGTTCCCATTTCCGCGAGAGTGATGACTCTGATGAACGCTACGTCGGTGACAGAAGCTCGATCGTTGACAAGAGCCGCGCAGACTCAGACTCTGACCATTTGCACTCGCAAAAGCTGCGATACGACAGACGACAGCAAGCACGACAGGAAAGTTTTGCTTTGTGCCTGAGCGAGCATATCCATGATGATGGCAAAAGCATTTTCACGAGAAATTGAAGCAGGAGAGGTTACTGGGAACATTAAGTAATATATTGGTCTTATTAATTTCTTTCGGAACCTCTAGTCCTCCTTTCATAATCATATTCAAAGTGCGACATTATATAATGTCGATCTTTTTTGCCCCTTTCGGTGCCCGGTCACCCGGTTCGAGAAAGCACGCTTGTAACCGAAAAAAAAATATCTTTACTTCTTTCCTTTGAACTGAGGCGTGGCGTGGCCCACAGTTATGTTGATTCGCGCGCCTCACAATCTACTTGCAATTCTCATGAGCTCACATGCGGTGGTTTCTTTTGGGTTCTGACGAGACGCTCAAGGTGCGGAGATCATAGGCATGGTACACAATGTGTCCATCACCGTCAGTGCACAAGAGGAGTAAGTGACAGTGCCGTGGAGCCTGCGTGACCCCCCCCTTGGCGATCATCAATCCAGGGGTGTCGGAACGAAGATTTGGAGACGGCACAAGTTCCAGCAACGACAAAAACGACAAACAAGGCAGTGACAGCTCCATATGCTACTTTTCTAAATGCGAATTCCACGCCTCCTAATCCTTATATCACAACTCGCAAAAACGACTCCTCGTGTGTCACGGAAGACAATTAGCCCGCTAGGCAGCGGAGACCAGTAGACATTGTATTTGCCTCGTTCGGGGCGCCGGCGATGTTGATTCATTGCATGGGGAGCGAGATATGAAGAAGTGGAAGTATCCCCTATGTGGCACTTCTGACGAATATTGATAGCAGTGCCGAAAATTTCAAGTACTAGGTGTCTATTGCCTGGTCACCCCGCTATGGGACGAATCAGCGCAGCCGACCGTCTATGCGAGCTTCAGTCAGGTGGGGTTCAAGTGGTAGTTAATATACACTCCCCGCCTCACTAAAAGCGTCCTCAGCTCCGCCCTGGTATTGGCGGACATTCTTTCTGGCTTTGGATATACTCCGACGGGACGGGTGTGGGAGTGTCCTCTGGCAATCATCTATCTCAGTTATGTTAGCACTGCTTTGCTGTACCCGGCTGGCAGAGAATTGAGAAGAGGAGGTTGGACTGCTTGGGGATATGTATGGGACCACAAGTTCAGAAAATGAATCTCACTCTAGCGATAAGAACTCAGACTCTGCAGGCTGGAGCCCGAATTAATGCGCTTCATGCGGCCTGGGATCTTGACCACTTCCCGGCTGCCAGCAGCGTGTTGGCAGCCGTAGGGATCCTATTTGATACTGGTGACTTCGGTATTTCCTATGATCCTTCAAACGCACCACCCTGCAGGAATCATTCCTTGTCCCAATTAGCAGCTCTTGAATCTGATCTCGTCGCCTCTCGCTTTTCCTAATCGATTCTGCGTGGACAGATATCTGTGCGGCTGGTTCATTTGCGCGGTAGCCAATCTCTCGAATGGCTGTGTCTACGATGGATGATTATTCATTTCTTTTGTGTGCCAATTCAACATAGCCTTCTCTACGCCTTGCTATGAAATCTGTCGCATCGATCCGCGGCTATCCGGCGAACTAGTGACGCGATTATGGCCATAGGTTCATGCAACTCTCCTGCCTCTTTAGCAACTTCCTTGCAATCACTCTGCACATTACCAAATATCTATTCCGACAGTGCAAACGGAATGCTTGCACACTGGCACTGCTAGGGCTGATGGTATCTACGATATTATCCTTTGGTTCATCACACTGCGTACATAACTACTCCCCCTTGATGATCAACCCCCTGGCAACCCCCTGCACTACATAATGAAACCTGGATCGTGTTGAAGCGCCAATCGCTCTTTGCGGAAACTTCGGATGAACCCCGACCGCGGGAATGTTCACTGGTTCGTCCTTATCATCTCCACTCAGTCGATTCATTTCACGTTTATTTGCCGGTCGGTTACATAACACGTTGAAAGATTTTTTTAGGACTTGCCAAATCCTTCTTCCTCACTGGAAGCTGCGATGGGACGTTCAGGGGGCCCAACCGCTATTAACATTTGGTCGTTGATGGCCTTCAAAGTCCTCCTGAATTGGTTTCGATTCATCCAAATCAAGGGTCTTTGGTTTCGAAGTATGTATATATCTACCAATAAGGGTGTGATGGCAGCTAACAAAGTCGACTTCTCAGTCGTCCCTTGAGCATCAAAAAGGCCTGACATGAACCACCGGTTACTTTGAAAACTATTTATTGTAACAATACTTATTTCCCTGGGTCCTGGTGGCAACGAAAACTACCGCTGGCCGCAGCCGCAGCCGCAGCCGCACAGATCGGACTCAACAACAAATTCCAGCGGAAGCGGTCATTCCTCTTCGTCCGAGAGCCCCCGTGGCCGTCTTTTCGGCACGTCCCCTCCCCCCCCCCCCGAAGCGATATGTCCGAAAACAAATTACAAGCTATTCTCAGTTTGTGTCATCGCCTTGAAGTCGACACCCATGTCACGGGCTCAAGCAAAACCCCACACCTGCCCTACAGAAATACCATGACTCGATACTGGATCGTCCACATTCATTCTGAGCAGAGAGGGAGAGAGAGAAGCTCAGAGCTTACCTCAATTCCTTCTGGAGCGAGATTTACCTTACACGTCCCTCACCCTGATCAGGATTGTTTTAGCTGCACCTGCACGGAGGTATTCGGGAGAGGGGCTTCACTTCTCCCCCCCGCCACAGAGCCAGGGTAGACGACTGAAGCATCGAATGCATGTAGATAAAACTCCACAGCTTTTCTCGAGAGTGTTACTACGTTTAGGTCAACGTGATATATCCCGGTGACGTCGCGATTTCTCAGGTTGTCGGCCCAACACTCTCTTACATCTCGCCAAGCCAAACTAGACTTGATGACCAATAGTCTCACATCTCATTGAGGGCTCATTATCGACTCAATTATCAAACGGATTGATGCGCTCAATAGCGTTCAAACTTCCAGAGCGTTCTTGAATTGTTTCTCTCATCAACGGAACTAATCACTTACGAAGACGCACAGATGAAGGAATGAAGAATAATGACATTGTCCTCTTAACATGAAAGAATTTATTCGGGTGTGGGCGGGATTGATCGGGATCCGGAGTGAGATGAAGAGTGTGTTCCAAAGGAGAAATGGGTATTGATGAACGCAGGAAGGTGTTGTGGGAAGGGTGCAAACGACACTCCGGTATGTGCACGTCCAGTGAATGATGGGTGGGGGGGAATGGGGGGAATAGAGACGTGTGGGTTCAGTCTATATGCGAGAAAATAACACAAAGAAAAGATGAGGTGAATGAAAAGCAAACAGTGGGTGGAGTGGGGATATTTGAAATACGTGTGGTAAGATAGGGAACAATTTTTTTGGGGGGAGGAAATCATGTTGATACATTACATTGACCACGGTTGAACGGGGCGAGGCACGTAAGCAAGGATTGAACGGGTGGGAGAGGCACGAGACAATGGGATTTGTAGATGTTAGTCATCATCAAAGACATGGGCTGACGCGATTGATCGGCCTGAATAGATGTGATATGGGCGTTCGATTCGGGGAAGGGGGAGGGGGAAGAGATCCTTTACGTCTACGGAAGAGTTGGATGCTGTGTAGGTGTTGGGCGAGGGGGACGTGGATAAATTATCGTCAGACGTGTCGAGGAAGAAAGCGGGGGTCGGGTGTGGTTCTTTGTGTTGTGCACGAGGTACCATAGGAGGTTACGGAATCGAAAGATAAAAGCAGGCGAGTAAATTGGAAAAAACGGCGTCAGGTGCCCTCCGTTTTGGGAAATGTCCACTTGACCAGTCGTGGAGATCGAGAATCTGTGGCCATCGACTTGGGCTTTCCGACGATGTTCTCATAGTGAGGTCATTTGATTGGGTCCGAATGGAAGGAGTTGCACAACCACCTACGCTCGTGTGAGCGAACGCAGCATGGACGGATGGTCAGGCGGTAGCGGCTTTGACATAGAACTAAAGTGCAATTCAGCAGATGCACTCGATCGCCGGGGAAAACGACTTGTCAGGCGGCAAAAAAATTCCGACCGGTGAATTTTCTCGGTTCTGTCAGCGAATAAAGCGCCTTTTTGAGGTTGACGAATGGCATAGACCGATCAAGGAATACGAGCAGATTTGAGTGTGGATTTTGATGCAAGGAACGGGAATACAACTACTTGAAAAGAATCGAAGCAAGGTATTATCGATGAGCATTTGGCGGGGAAATGCAGAGGCAAGAGGTGGGATTATGTGTCAGGAGATAAGGACAACGCAGGGGAAGGGCATAGGGGAAGCGTCGCTCAACGAGATCGAGCATAACAACTCTAGATCTACGATCTCGTGCATGTGGAAGACGGAAAGAGTTTGAGGATAGAAATTGTAATTAACACATACCAAAAGGGTGACAACGTACATCCACTTTTAGCAGTCGTTTTACGAGTACAATGGACGCGCATACGGCAATCTTGCAGCTCAGGCACGCATCATGCTGACATGATCGCCGAACCCCGGCGCATCCCACATTCCTCTCCGAATCGATGCACCTCCCATCGGCTCGCCACCGAACACCATGATGGGTGGTGACATCTGGGGTGGCGGATGCGCATGCGAAGCATTCACGGAGCCGGAAGACGACCCATAGAAACAGAACCGTTGGAGGAATTCGGGCGGAGCATTGTTGGAAAGTGAGAATGGGGATTGCCTGTCCATAGCCGCACCTGAACGGGAAGGAGAGAATGAACGTGGCGTCGGTGTCGGCGAGGTCCTCGGGAGAGGGCGTGGTGTGAAATCGCCGCTGTTTGGCCTCCGACCTTCCACCAAACCACCTATATCGTGCACCGACTGGTTCAGAACCGCAGTAGACGATGGTTCGCTGTCTGACGCCGGTGGAACTAACTCCGAATCCGTCCCAGAATCATCATCTGAAGATGATGATGATGATGAACTAGACGAAAGGGGAAGCGGAATATTCGCCACATCCGGACTCTGCTCCTTCGATTCAGGAGGCGTGATAGTCTTCACGACGTGAATAATGCCGAGCTTCCTTTCTCGGATCGGAAGCGCAAGTTCGGAGGGTCGAGTTGTGGCAAACGCGTGGTCGAGGTCTGTGGGTAATGGTGAAGGTGCGGCATCTTCCACTATCGAGGCGGGATGCCCTTGTACCATGCGCAAAGGTACGACAGGGCTGTCAGGAGGTGAAATCGGAGCGACTCCTCGATCCGTCTCCACCGGTTTCAGAGGCGGGGATGGGGATGACTTGGGAGGGACGTAGTTGGAAAGACGGAGGTGATGGGAGGGGTAGATGTTGCTCTGCGAGCGTGAGTGAGTGAGGTGAGTTGGCGGATGAGGATCCCTGGACACAGGAATCGGAGGCCAAGACTGAGTCTTTTTGATAGGGGGCAAGGTAGGTGCAGAGGAAGCCCTCCTAACAGCTTCCATAGCCTTGGCGCGCTCCGAGATGGCAGGTGGCGAGATGGGTTTAGAAGAGACGTTCTGAGCCTGCTCGAATGCAATGTAGTAGTTCTTGCCGAAATTGTTGTCCCAAAACTCGGCCCCATTCCACTCAGCAATGCCGTAACGCACAACAAGGTACAGCTTGCGACTTTCCAGATTACGCACGTCCCCGAGCCTGATGGTAAATTCGAAACGGTCCCATTCCTTGGGTTTGGGAGTGAGTGAGTAAGCATCCTCCTTCCCAAGATGGGGCATAGATTTTGAGCGCGAGTGCGCCGTCAGACCAGACGATACGGCATCTAGATAAAGTGCAGCCACTTCACTGGTGGTTTGCCAATCGTCAACCGTGAAGCGAACACAGACGCTCTTGGCGTAAGACACGTTTTGAACGACGACAGTGCCATGGAGAGCAGGCGCTGGGGAACCATCATAGTTGACACACTCGAGGCGAACCATGTCATCTGAGATCAAGATGTGAGACAAGGGGGATGAGGGGATGGGGGATGATGCACTCGAAATGACGAGCTGTGGAGATGTGCCGCTGCCGCTCGGTTCAGCCATAACAGGGAAGGGATAAGCCAAGCCTGACTCGATGTCACGCTCAGTCTCGGTCTCAGTGTCTTCAGCCGCTGCAGATCCCAGGCTGACCGCAGTTGGACGTTGCGACTTTTGGAAGATGACAACACCATCCTTGTCCGCGAAATGGACGGCCTTCAGTGAGGGAGTAGTTGGTGCCGAGCGCGTGAAGGTCCTTTGGCTGTTGCCCTGCGGGCTCCCTAACGCAGGGATGTTCCCACTTGAGAACGAAGACTATAATTGGTGATTTAGTCAGAAGCGTGCGGAGCGTGAAAATTGAATATTGAGAAGCAATGAGGCAAACAGCAACAAGAAGCAACGGGTAAGTCCTTACCTTGAGAGAAGGCTTGAGGACTTGACCGTTAGATTTGAGTATTATGGGAGACTTGGGTGGCCGATATGAGGAAAAATTGGATTCGATAGTGGCTTCCGTTAATGAGGCTTGGGATGATTCATCTTTTGGAGAGGAAAGGCAAGGGAAGGGTACGCTCTCAGGTTCATCAACATCAACTGGTTTCTCCATTCCAGATGACGGAGGGAGGTTAGTCACATCAACACGAAGTGATGTCCCATTAAGGTTGAGACCGAGGCCATTGACCTCAGCAGAAGGGGGGGCAGCGGCGGCCATTGAGGAGGAGGATGGATTGATATCTTCATCGTTGTTGTTGTCACCGCTGCTACTCTCATCCTCTCCGAGTTCAATGTGGAACATTCGTGGACGTCTTGGATTACCAGTGCTTCGCGTACGGCGGGGAAGGCCTGGTAAGGGAGTGAAAGCTGAGGATGAATCTTTAATGTCAACAAAACTAGAGCTGAGAGGTTGTGATCTTCGGTGCCCCCCGCGCGGCTGACCCTTGTAGAATTGTAAGGGAGGGGACGTGAAGAGGTGCCTACAACATTGATTACAGCGGTTGGAGAAGCTGCCGGTGAAGCGTATGGCATGGCGGACGGGGGGCAAGGGAGAATGTTGAAGGGGAGGGGGTCGTTGCGCCAGGGCAAAAAAGTAAATGTTTGCCGGGACTTATACGTTGAACTGAATTAAGATCCAGGCTAATTTATACATTCAGTGAATTTTGGTTACGGATACCACTTTTGGCCAGGAATTCAATTCCATAGTTGGTTCTTTGGAGTGATGAAAAACGAACGTTGGAAAGTGACCCTTGTGAGCGCCACTTGGGTAGAAAATGATGCAATATGTTCATCCAGAGACCGTTGACAAACTTTTACCTTACCTACCTTGTTGTCGCTCGCGATCTCGGGCCGTAATGCACGTGCAGAAAAGACTTACTTACATATGATGAAGTGCGCACACTGCCTTGTCTAAGTTGAGATAATTGATTGGGAATATGCTTGTGCTTGAACTACCAGATCAAGAAGGAGGCGTGGTATCCATTGTAATAGCGCAACATCATTCACTTGAACCCAGTTAACAATATTATTCAACGAAGTCGCCATATTTCGTATCTTCTAGTACTGGCTCGTTCTTGATCAGGACCAAAACCATATCAGTCATGATCTGCAGTAATTGTGCAAGTACCCCTTCAAATTCTCCTGGAAACTGGCCATATCGTCCGCAATTGGCGGACGGACAGATGCTCACAGATGCCCCCATTGGCGTCTCGTCCCCTCGCGCCAAACATCGGGGTCCTGTCTAGACCCTGAGGGCTAGATAGAAGCCTATCATTACTAAACAATTTCCTTTTTCCCGAAAATTTTCTGTTTCTGTTCCAGGGACCATCGATTAGCGTCCATCAAATGATACCTTCCCATTTTAGTTTTATATATTGTTTGTATTGCATGAATTCTTTTCCAGAAATTATCCATCCCCTTTAGGAAACCCGGTGACAACTATCTGGGAATTGCCGAGTAATTTTTGTTTTTTTTTCGTCCTTTCAGCAAATCACAATTAATCAGCACAACCACGCACGTCAACATTCGCCATTTCATTTGACATCTTCTAAGAGCGACCGTTCTTCAAGGATGGTTGGTGGGGTCAACAATCTTACTAGCGATGTCGGTGTCCTTGAAACGTATCGCTCCCACAACGTACGCAGCTCGGAAGAGGTTTTCAACAAGGGCAGGGCCATCATTCAAGCCAAAGGCAGCATGGGCAGCGAATGTTCGTCATCACCTTTCCGCTCCAATGCCGTTGCAACGCAAAGCTTTGTTTCCTAAGTACTGTCTCTCTCTTTCTCTCTCATGCCGCCACGTCAGCATGGGAATTCTTGGAGCAGCTAGCTTTTGCTGCTTTGGACATTGGGCAAACCTCATTCGCCGAGGTAAGTCTAAGACAGTTCCAATCCTGGAATGACCCCTCGTGTTCAATTATCCTTAACAACCTGTATAGCAATGCATTCAACAGCTCGATTCTAAATTCCCCGGGTCGCCACGTGTGGACAGGCTCAAAGGGCTCCGTCTGGAAGCCTTAGGCAATTACGATGACGCTTTGACCCTGTATGAATCCCTTATCGAGTCGGACCCGACGAACGTCGTATGTGCTCCTTTGTCAACGATGATCATCTACCTTACGTTGCCGTTAGCCCATTTGGAAGCGCAAGATTTCAGCCCTCCGCTCGGTCGGGCGTATTCAACTAGCTACGGAGGAGTTGATCAAATATCTCGATGCGTTCTATGGAGATCATGAAGGCTGGCTAGAACTCGCCGACATCTACGCTTCCAATGCTCAGTAAGTCCTTTCAACCATGCATCGCATGAAATGAGTAACCGTGCGATGTTATCTCAAAACTGATCTTGGATGGATCTTTATCACTTCCTCTCTCACCCGTCGCTCTCTTTTTTTCCTTTTCCATCCTAAACTCGTACAAAACCACTCCAAACTCTCCGCCGCCGCCACACCCGCACACACACACACACACACACAAAACACAATTCCCCTTTTTCTTCGCAACCTCGTGTTGATCTAAAATGAACTCATTGAAAATAACTCGGTTCGGCTCTCAAACCAGATATGATCCATCCCTTGCGTCCCTGTCGCATGTCCTCCTACTCGTCCCGCAAAATCCTTTTTATGTTCTCCAAGCGGGGGAAACCGCGTACACAGCTCGAGACGTACCCCTGGCTCTAAAATTCTTTCTCCGAGTCGTCGAAATGGCGCCTACAGGCGGGCCGAGCACTAGAGGATGGTATGGCGTGAAAATGGTGCGTTGACTGTTTCGGGGCAAACTTCGTTTGAATGCAACGGCGGCGGGAGGTGTTCAGGGGCCCTTGACGTTATCTTCAACACCTCTTTTTTCCTTCGTTTCCCTTTTTTTTTCCCCTCTCTCCTCTCATCTGAATTGCAATTACCGCGAGTTCCTCATCATCTTCCGTGAGCTCCTTTTTCATTCCCCCACCCCACCTCCCTCCCCCCCCCCCCTCTTCATCTTTCGGCCGGCTTTGCGCAAACGGGAAACTTCCTTCCTTCCTTCCTTCCGATTCCACGTAGAACGTGGGATCCGTAATGAAAAAACGGATCGACAATCCTCCTTCCGTGTCCGTGACAACGCATCTTCAATTCAAGATTATCTTCCTTCGCTTCCCACCAACAACACCCTTGTTTATCTATTTCTTCCCTTATTCGTTCATGCCAGCTTTTTCGTCCGATCCATCCATCCATGGGAGAGGAACTCCTCAGGCGCCCATTCATGAAAAAGTTCACAGCTCAACTCCATTCCCCATGATTCCGATGATTTCGTTATCTCTTGATCCCCTTCCGCCATTTGATACTGTTCACTATCACGTTCTCTCTCTCTCTCTCTCTTTTCTTTTCTTTTCTTTTCTTCTTCCATCTTCTCATCTTTCCTCACGCATGCGTGATTCACCAAAATGAACCCAACATTCGATCAACTTACTTTCATCCCAAAACAGTGTACTCGCAAACTGCTCAGTCACCCCGCGTTCCCGTCACCCTCTTCCACCCCTCCACCTCCGCCGAAGACGCTCTCACTCCTTGATGAACTTGCAACCGAACGTGTCCTAGCTTCGTACTCCACATCGAACGCGACTGCGAGCAAAGGGTCCATGATCATCCAAGGTGAACCCGTTGCGGCGGGTCAAGGGCGTGAAATCAGTCGCAGCAGCGTTATCCGCTGGCTGCAGGGTTAAGTGACCGATCGGACCATCCTCTCTCTCTCTTGCTTTGTCAGCGAACAAAGGAAAACGTGCGTATCCAACTCATCTATCAATAACATTACATAGCGGATGCGGAAAGTGGATGGAGTACAATAAATATGTTGGATTGCTTTTGTGTTGTTGTTTGCGCAGCGGGGAAACGAAATAATTTCGAAGGGGGGCACAGATGAAGCTAGCTGCGGCTGTTGACAACAACAACATGCCATATCGTAATGATTTATGCTTTGGTACAGCCATTTTCTCCGACTGCGGATCTTGCCTATGGGTACCATGTGCATTTACAATTGGCGACGACTATCCCGATTGCAAGAGCAACGGCGATGGTGGTGATGAATCACTGGAAAGAGATCGAGGGCGAGGCAGTCTCCTGACCGTGCGCCGTACGTCAGGCTGATCGTTGAACTATACCTAGTATATTCCATCGAATTCATCACGCGGGCAACCATCCCCCCCCCCCTCGCCGCTTTGGAACTAGTTGATATGTAGTATACGTCTGGACGATAACTGGAACCATGGAGCTAATTAGCGCGCATAGATAAGAATTCTGACAGTCTCTGGGGTAACGTTAACAATCGCGTTGGACATGGGCTATGTAATTAGTTCAATTTTTTGTGCCTCCAGCAAGCAAAAGTACTTGGGAACGTGCATATATAACTGGACGGAACCTGTGAGGTGAGAGAGAAGATAAGAGAAATAATTGCCGCAGATCAGGTTTGCGGCATGGAAAATTGGGTCCGTGCACTTGGGAAAATTGATGAATAATGAGTCAACGCATTTCCCAATGATTTTTTTCGGGGAGCCCACATGGATAATTACAATATGAATTTTCCCGATAAATTCAACGTAACGACAAGTACTGTACAAGCAAAAAAAGTCCCACGCACAGATATCATCAACTGAAAGGGAAATTCATTGCCATAAACGGTACATTATGGCCCTAGGCCCGTGCCCATGACCCTTGTGTGCCTACATACATAACAAGTGTTGCCGAAGCCGAGTTCCTGTGAACATCGACAATTGATTTTTTTATGTACTGGGCGATTCGGACGTACCGATCGTGAAAAACCCTGAGTTTGCCCTGAGCATGCGCACGATGGGACTCGATTTTCAAGTAAAATGATTTCTCGGCGCCGTTCTCGGAAAAATATGTCAAGCCAACCACTAATGTAGTGGTAACGATGAGAACCGTGGGGCAATAATATCACGTATAGCACCTGAATAAGGGCCTCCCCCCCCCCCTTGTCCGGGGATCCGTTTATTGAAGCTTCGTTAGTCAACAAGGTGACGCCACACTAATGAAGATGGCCGAGTTCAAGCGAGCGGAACGGACAGCTACGGACTAGCAGATCAGGATAACATCCAATCTTGTCCAAAAATGCACGTTCAACTGGAGAGGTAAGTAAGAACTATGATCCTCTCTTTACGCCTTCATCAAGCCAACGCCCTGATGTCAGGGACCTTGTACGTCTGATTATCTCGCGGCCGATAAAATACCGAAAGAAGCCCCCCCACAACAACAACAACAACATGACACAACGTTCGGCTGGAGAGATCAGAATCACTTTGTCCTTTCTTTCGCCATCGTCAGGCCAACGTCCTAAGGAGATGCTAAGGGATCGTCTGTAAAATTCCACGGCCGATGTAATACCGAAAAAGACCGAAGTCCTTATGCAATAGTACGTAACAGCGTCACTTGTCACGCAGGATCCGAGACGAAGCTCCAATCTCAACGGAGCCGCGGAGCTTGGACAGCTTGTACACCGGAAAGCCAAACACGTATTCGATTGCTCCGTTGATCTTGGAGACCGGACCTGGGAGCCCTGTCTATCCTTGGGGGCTACCCAGCCAGGGGGCAAACGTCGTTCAGAGGCCAGAGATACCGAGTTGGAGTGAGGAGAGATATTCATTTGAACTGTGGAGCAATTTTGAATATGCATGTGTAGGGCCACACTAAGTATACAATAGCGCCACGTTCGGTGGGAACCACCATGCACGATTCCAACGGTATCAGCTCGAAGGGATGATAACTTTGAGCGTTTGGCCCGAGACTGTATGGTAAGGCACTATCTACCCCTCTCGATGGAGACGAACCCAGGGGCGAAGGAACGTCCCGTCCCAGAAGGATTCCAGAAGATTCAGGGGAAGGAGTAATATAGTTCACAGTGGGTTCGCAGGTGGGGGGGGGGGGGGGGTGGGATCGAAAGAAGTTGACAAGAAGTTGACAAGAAGTTAACAAGACCTATCCTCCAAGGTGAATGTGCCTAGCAATATGGTTCGCCACACCATGTCACTATGTAGGTTAGCTGCTCAACACATTGGCTCGGCGTGATTGGCTACCAAAGCCCAAGGCATGTTACGTGATGGACACAAGGTGGTGCTTGGAGCCCACGATTTGAGAGAGCTCCACAACTTTGGGTCAGCCAATAGAAATATACCACTTTTCAACCACACAGATATACGGAACCAGCCAAAAACAGGATAGGGGGGAAATCAAGTGCTGAGAGAAGACGAAGTCTACTGCCATAAAAAGCTGAGCTCGGTAGTTGCGGATGCCAGTGAGGTAAATGAACATCGTTCTCTCTCACAGCTCGCCTCAAACCGAGAAAACCGAACAATGCGATGGAGATGTTCGCTCATCAGAGTCCAAGATAAAAAAGAAGAGACGACCTGTACGTACAATAACGCGAAAGTTTTCTTCAAAATGCAGCTGGTACGTCCGTTACCGAAATGTTACCATGGAACGTGCAGTTACGCTCGGTCTGACATAAGCACTCCACTGCCAAAAAAGATGTGTAAGCACATATGATTGGCCGATTCGACCCCCCCCTCCGAAAGTGGCGTGGAGGTCCTGAAAAACAGGCACGATGTCTATCAACAGACGTTGTCAGATTTAACCTAATGGCAAAAAGAGGGAAATTGCATCAAGACCTTGAATACCTTGCATACTTGAGAGCGAGACACATCTTACCATATGACCCTATTGACTGGCTAAGGAGAATATATCGAGCTGATCAGCGCCACCTCCCCCACTCCATAATTTCAACATCTAAATATTGAGTTCCAGAGCACCAAGTTCGTATCCCTATATCAGAGCAGGTTGAAATAGATAAAGCGAATATTTCCCTTTGCGGCAAACCGCATTTCTTGCAACAGAGAATAAGTAATCTGCGGGGCCCCCCCCCCCCAAATTTTTCCATCTGTTTGGGGGCTCCTCAAAGAGAAACAGAAACTTCTTTTATCACAAAAAGATCCGGGCCCAAAGTCACCGTCGGTCCAATAACCCCACTGGGAGGGCAAAACCCAAACATATGGAAAGCATCAAGATATGGTTCCGTGCATGCCGGAAGGCAATAAGAATAAGTAGTACTAATGCGATCGGGCGAATTTCTCGACTAGCTTGAAAGAGTCCAAAGATGTTGATATTGGCCGCCTTCCTGAATCCTTAGAGAACCTAGCAGTAATATCATGAACAATATCCGTGATCGAACCGGGCACCCAGAAGCAAACGAACATCAAGCTCATCGCACGGGGTACGCCGCAGGACGGGCCGCTCAACCAACGGACGGAGATCATCTTACATATTGTAAGACATTTTTGGTCCTTTTTGGGCGTCGGGCCAAAAATGAAAGACATGGAACCAGTCCGGAACCTTGGGAGATGAAGGTGGCGATGAAGCCATTTTGTGCTCGTGACCATCCTTTTTGGCGCGTTTAGCGTGGGACCAGAGTGCTTGCGCTTCGCGAACTCTGCACTTGCCCACTTGTTCCGTTCTCCATGTCGTTATGTTGCAAGCATCAATGGAATTCGATCATCTTTCTCGCAACAACACGATACAGGGGAAAACAAACATTCAGCCACGGTAGCGAGTGAAGGTCATACATGGTGGCCTTCAGATACGATGGTGGGCACATTGACACCTTGAAACGTAAGAAAAATTATGTACATAAAGTGAAAAGAAAGAAACCAAAAGGGGAAAGAGATGACAAATTTTCAGCGTCGAAAAAAGCGTAATATCGCCACGGGTGTATGACTCTGTGCAGAGTAAAGTAATAACCCGATCTCCGCGAACATTTTCCGGGTCGGATATTCGTTCTGTCCCCGCTGGTGGATTGGATTTACCAGGGCCTTGGGCCGGGAAATGACGGGGGATTTGGCATGGCCGATAATCTATCAAATCGATTTCCTGTCAAATCCACGTCTGGAAAGCAACCAGTCGTTCCGTTTTCTCCCTTCTTACATTCAGGCAACTCTTACATTCACCTCTTCTGCCTTGCAGTGTGATCGATCCATTCAAACAACAGTTCAGTACTTTTGCAATCCTGCTCAGAATCCCCTAGCTCTTCTGCCCTGCAATCATATGGCGTATTATGTGTACGTTCAGGATTGGGATTTGGGGTGTGGCTGATAATTAATCTATCAAATCGATTTCCTGTCAAACCCACGTCTGGAAAGCAACACTTTCTGACTGATGAACAACATCTATATTTCTCGATGTACATGTACATGCAAAAAAAAAAATGGGGTCGAAAACTCTCCGCTCGTCCTTTTACTTCCGCACTAGTATACAACACCAGTTTATGATAGATAAATGCAATAAATGCAATACACGAAGAGTTGGGAAGTGGAAATCGGCTATATCACTGCCAGCGGCGAGGAGGGGAGAAATGGGCAAAGAATACTGGATAAGGGTGGTACTTGTCAGGGGAAGCCTTGTGTACTTGACGGTTTGGGAACAGATGGACACACAAGAATATCGATCAAATCGATGTTCCTGCTACAGATGACATAGGGAAAACCCCACATAGCAAGTGGGAGCTGGAGAGAGAGGCCACCAGAAACTAGACCACTAGAGAAGAGACCACAAGGATGACATCTAGGATAATAGAAATTACACAAGAAGCCACGAAAGAGATTCTAGTAACCAGTCCCGAGTAACCCAGTGCAGGAGCCCAGCCAGAATTCAGTGAGTCCACTGCAAAGAAACCATGGCAAGTGTAGTACTTGCCACTGCACCCTTTCCATCGAAAGAACCACGCCCACAAACAAATAACAACCCGGCACGAAGAAATTGAGGGCAAGTGGTTTCCCCATCATTTTCCCTGGAAAGGGCTGGAATTACATGGTACGCCAGAAAGGGTGGCGGGAATTTGGGCCTAAATGCAATGATTAGTCTTGCCCGAGTTCGATCCTCCCAATGATTCGAACCCTGCCAAATCCTGTCACAATTATCGGTCTTCATTTATGCCACGCATTGCCTCATAACCATATGACCCTCCAGTCCAAGCTCTCGCACATCGCACTGGGTCAATGGTGTGAAAGAGATATTTTAGCCTCGCAAAAGCCGACGCTGAAAGATATATTAATATGGCGCATCGCAGTTAGCTCCCACCATCTTTCTTTCCCCTCGTTTCGTCATAGCGGCATCATTGTTCGCCTCAAAGAAATCCCTCATGATCATCTTGGATAAGCCGCCACCCTCGGATTCTTGCAATACATGGCACCATTCTGCACGCTACCAACGCAAGAAATCACGAAGCTGATCGTTATCGATATCTAGTCATGGCGGGAAAATGGCGGGAAAATAGCGTCATCGATTGATGGTCCGTCGTTGTTCCTTCAGCGTTATGACTCCCAGCTAGATGACGTTGAACAGCCTAGTCTCGAGTCCGAATGGATTGCATGTCAATATGCTATTTCCACTCTGCAGGCTTGTCAGGATGCGCATGCGCAGTAAATGTACGAAGGACCAATATTAGGCCCGAGCGGAGCCGACAAGTGATTGGCCAGAGCGGCAAGGGGTCCTTACGCTCGCGCCGGCCCGAAAGCCTTGTACTTTTTCTCTCACTTCCGGGGATTCTCTAGCGTAATGAGTCCCTGCGTCCTGACGTCTCTAGCAGTGACACGTTCGTCTAGCCTTGCCAAAAGTAGGCCATCTAGATGCACGTGCATCCTCCGAACGGACCCCCTGGGCTCCTTATGAGATCTGTCTTAGGAGGGAATACCGAATCTGCAACTGCAGCGGACCCCTGTGGACGGGCGCAAGGGGGGTCAGCCATTTACTTCCGAGCGCTGTGGTTGAGAGGCGCCTAGTAACTCCCAGAATGCTCTCGCCATCTCACACCAACCACGCTCGGGTCATCGCAACAGCACTTGGAGATCCACCAGAAACGGTGCTGTGTAAATAATCGAAGGCTATCGACTCTCCTAGTCAAGTGACTCTTCCCTCCCAACAACCGGCCCCAATATTGCTTCAGCAATCATGGCCAGTACAAAATGAAGCAAATAAGGATTGGTATCGGCGGTTATCGCGCGCGATCTTACTTATCAACATCAACAATAAACGTCGTTAGTGACGGTGATCTCGAACACGTGCAATCCATAATTGTCCGTCAATCATCGAACCGCCACTCGGGCCAAAAAACCAAGCCAATTTCGGTGTGTTTTGTTCCATTGCACTCGTGTCGTAGATTAGGCCTCAAGAGTAATTTTGTGACCTAGTTTTTGGAACGGGGCTCGTTATTGCACATCAGAATCTCTAAATCGGTAAAACGAACGAACCCCAAACACGTGTGTACTTGGGGGTTTCCCAGGAGTCTGATCATAACTATATTGATATTACCCTCTAGGGGGTCGTGCGATGCACGTTCCACAATTCTATTGGCACGCGGAACTACATCCCTTTAGGTGGCATACGGGGGCTTATAAGTTAAAGAAGATGCCGCTCGTCAACAACAAAGGAGTAACCTCTTGCTCTACCCATCGTTGAGGAGCGAGGAAGACGATCGGGGTCTACATCTATACCCGACTATTTATGAATCAGATGCAAGCGATACCCTCAGTCCATATGCAAGATAGAAAGATAGAAGACGAGGACCTTCCCAAGCCCAAATTACGAATCGCGATCGTTTCTGGTAAGTTGAGTATGAAGTGGCAATCAGATTCTTACGACTAAAGAAGAAGATACTTTTGTTAGAGAATCTTATGCCAAAGGCAAGGGATACTTCCCGAACCGAATCTAGCTATTTAAACGTAATTCACATTGTTTAAACAGGTCGATGGAGTGACACGCGCACTAGCAAGACTATTAGAGCACCTCCATGTTCAAGGGCACGAGGCGGTGGTGCTGGGCCCCCAAAGCGGTATGGTAGGCTCATTTTCATGATCATCAGGTTCCACGCACTCAGGGAACTCACTTGATTCGTCCCCTTCTGAAGACGCACTATGAGACACACCCACTCGTTGGGACGGCGGGGATACCTCTTGTCCTCTACCCTGGTCTAAAGCTCAATTTTCTTCGGCCCAAGTTCTTACGGATCATTCGTGAATTTGTCAGTGATATCGCGAACCGTGGGGGATGTATGATTGACCGTTATACCGATTATTCGTTCAGCAACCGGATGTCATCCATATCGTTGAGCCCATTTGGTTAGGGGCGCAAGTCTTACTTGCCATGCAACTGGGCTGGTGCGGGCCAATGTGGAAGGAAGATAGTCTCGATCGTGTTGTTGTTGCATCGTATCACACGAACCTGCCAACGTAAGATAGGTTGCAGACTCCGAGTCCTTGTCGTATTTCATGCTAAGTGGCCTTTCACACAGGTATGCTACGCTTTTCGGCTTCCCATGGGCAGAATCAGTGAGTATTGGGGAACGCGCGCGATGGTTCAATGCATATTGACTGATGAGCTATAGATAATGTGGAAATGGACCAGATACCTTCACTCGAAGTAGGTTTCAAGTTGCACGAGTAATGAAAGGGTTACTTACATTCTCGACCCTTGCAGATGTCTTCTCACAGCTTGTCCTTCTACCTCGACAGGGCAGATGCTGAGTGAAAGGGGTTTCTCGAACGTTCGTATATGGTCTCGTGGAGTAGACTTGCAAGCCCTTGGTCCACACCGAAGGAGCGAACAGAGACGACGTCGTTGGGGCATTGTTGAGAAAACCGCATTGCGAAAGAGAAGAGAGACCTATGTCCAATATTCGCCAGGGTTCGGCTTCACAGCTCCTATCACACCTCCACCTTCACCTCCTTTCGGACCTGTCGAGTATGTTGATGAAGTGAACAGCAACGATATTGTCATCCTTTATGTTGGACGGATGTGAGTGAGATTCAAAAAGACGAACCACCTTTCAGACGGTCGTTCTGAACCCTATTTCTCAGATCACACGAAAAGAATCTCGTGTTTCTCATTCGATGCTATCAGAAACTCTTGGCATCCCTACCTACTTCATTCCTTAATGCGAATCAAGTGAAGCTTGTCCTCGTGGGAGATGGCCCCGAGAGATCTCGACTGGAGAAGCATTGTGCCTCACTTGGACTGGATGTCCAATTCGAAGGACACCTCTCAGGGGTTCCCCTGGCAGAATCGTACGCGAGCGCCGATATTTTTGCGTAAGTCCCTCCCATATCCCCCCCATTGTCCTAGTCATCTGAACATTTCGCCTTTCGTCGTATTTCAGTTTTCCCTCGTACACGGAGACATTTGGTCAAGTCGTCCTGGAAGCTCTAGCATCCGGTATTCCGGTCATAGGCCTTGACGCAGAAGGAACACGAGATCTAGTTAGCCACGAGCGTACCGGATATCTTCTCCCCCTCCCGTCCACTGTCACGCCTTCACCATCATGGAACATGGTCTTCAAAGACGAGAAGAGCCTACTGTACACCGAGGCATTGCTTAATTACACAGATTTTCTCAAGTCGCTCGTTATGGATCCCAAAGGCCTGGCAGGAATGAGGAGGACAGTTGGGGAAGAAGGAACACAGGGAAGGACATGGTTTGACGCCATGGAAGGGATGGTTGACCATTATAGAGAGGCGATACAGGTTGCGGAGAGACGCCGTGCCCGAAATGATACCCGCCACGAGGAGGCTCCTCGAGGGAGTAATAATAGTGAGGAACATAGAGGTCCCGATGCCGTCACTGCTAGTACTAGAGATAGACTTCAGGCCGACGTGGGGCCGAGGAGACGGTGGTATGATCGCTTTCCTTGCCTTATCTGGTTGCGCTGTCGCATTTGTTATTGGTTTGATTTAACTTCGTAGAAATCCTAGGACTTGGTAGTACTGCATATAAGCGCCAGTGGGTTTGATACATACGTTACACATTTGTATCTCTACTCTTTTCACGTCACGAATTTACGATCAATAATCTTTTCTTTGCTACGGCAATTGGATTAGATGCCTTGGCCTTTGATTGCACCGCCGAGCTGGATAAAAGCAACCGGCGGGTAATTGTGGAGGCCCAGTTTTGTGAGTTCTGCTCTGTAAATTTCGTAATGAGTACAGCAAATATGACGACCAAACGTCGGTCCGTAAGCACGAGAATCCCGATAAGCAGGTTACCAGCCCCTATTAGGAGAATCCCGACCAGAGCGCAAGCCAGATCATTATTTTAATATTTCATGTAAGTATGTAGAGCGTTATCAGCTATATGACCGTTCAACAGCACAGGCTAACACATACCTCACACGTCGAAACACAAAAAAAAAGGCCGAGGGGACCTGCCGAACACGTACGGGCCACGTTCCAATCCTTACATATCAAGTAATACCGCCCTGCGGCGCAGCTTGCCTACGTGGAGAAGCCTAAGAGGAACGCGCTAACCGTGACACGCGTGACTAGTGGGTGTTGTTTCATTTCCCCGCCCATCAATCTAGTTATGTAATCAAGCAACATCACGCGCCCCCCACAAACGCACACCGCGCGCGACGCAACGCAACAAGGGGAGGAAGATTCATATAAAAGGCTCAACAGTACGAGGACGACGTAACATACGCACACGTAACTTTTTGAGTTAACCTTATATTTTTGCTTCTAGCAAACCAATGTTTTACTTGCTATCACGTATAGTCAGGTTCGTTTCAAAGACAAAAGATCATCTGCCTAACCTCGTCTCTAACGGATCCTTTTCCCCCCCCCCCAACTCCTCCGACCTTTGGTTTGATTATCTCTAACCTCCTTTACTTGTTTGCCTGTTATGCCCCTGATCGTGCTCAACTTGCGACTTGTTACCCTAATACGGCGGCGGCGGCGGCGGCGGCTTGCTTTCGCGTTAACTTGGACTTGGCACCTGGATTTGACGATCGACGATTACACTTGATGAACCAACATCAGCTTGACTGGCGCTTTCCTCTATCCAGCATATGGATCTTACAAGACCCTCGCGCATAGACCCGCATTAGAGGAAGATCTCGAACGTTGGTTAATGTATTGGTCCGTTCTGGGATGTATCATCGCGATCGAATACGTAGCTGAATGGCTAGTTCGATGGTATGTGTTGGTTGTTTACTTTGAACCTTGTTTTTTGGGTTTTGGGGTTTTGATCTATCGGGTTAATAGGATCCCATTTTATTGGGTGATCAAGACGATGTTCTTACTTTACCTCGTCTCACCTCAAACTCAGGTATGTAATGTTTGTTTCGCGCCTTAATTCGCGTAATTCACCATTCACCACCCTCCACCCTCCCCCCCCTTTCCATCATCCCCAGGGAGCAACATACATCTATAAACAACATCTCGAACCATTCCTATCCGAACATGAACAAGAAATCGACACAGCGATCATCAAAGCAAAAGTAAAACTCTACGATTTCGTCCAAGCTAAACTTCGAGCTTTATGGGAATACGTTTCATCTTCTATCATCAATCAAGCTTCTTCTTCTTCTCCCACTCCATATAATGGTGCTCAACAACAACAACATTATAATTCGGCTCAACCACCGACGTTTGGAGATCCAGCGAGTGGACCTACGCAGATGGCATGGAATTTATGGAGGACGTACGGTCCTTCCGTGATTGCACAAGGAAGTGCAGTCTTGGCGGCCGCCACGGCAGCAGCGACCGCTAGAGCAAACACGAGCGGTCCTGGCATCGAAGCACCAGAAAGCGCTGGAAGCACAAGCACGAATATAAATACAAACGACGTCATTCCTCTCACTCGTATTAGACCTCCACTCTCACCTGTCTCACCTACGTCGTCAGCACCTTCTTCGTCTAGGGGTGTGACGACGAGGACGACGAGGAGAGGAGTATCGTTGGGGCATTCAGATCAAGGATATGAAGACGCTCGACTGTTGGCCGAACGGAAGAAATGGTCAGGAGCTAAGCTGACTTCTTTACCTTTTGTCAGTGGGAGTGAAGATGATGAAGGGGGAGGAGGAAGGGGGAGGAATCGACGAGAACCAGATGAGCCATCGTCTCCTTCAACGGGTAGCACCCCGGGTGAGGACACGACGCTAATTTCTCATGAGGGAGTGGGAACGACGAGCGTTTATTTATATTCGGGTGGGGATGATAATGGCGGAAAGTACGAAACGATCGATAAGGAGGACGTTTCAAGTGAGGAACAACCATCCGCCTCCGCTCAGCGTTCCTCTGGTGGAGGGGGATGGTTCGGTTGGGGAGCGAGCAGTTATAAAGGGTATGAAAAGCTGAAGGCTGAGTAAAATGTCATCAACAATAATTTGTCGTTCGGATTGTGTGTGGGGACGGGCTAGGGAAAAGGGGTTCGTGATTCGTTTCCTTTGCGGTCATAATCGTCGTCATCATTGAGCTTATGTCTTATCAAGGTTTTCGGCCCGCTGTTGTCTTGATGATGTTTCTTTTCTTTTTTTTTCAGCCCTTACGTGAATCAACATCTTCTTCTTTGCGCGCCCCCCCCCTCAGTCTATCACAACCGATCCATGTCTTGATGCTACGTCTTGGGACATAGCCACTACGGTGTTAAAGAAAATATAACAACAGCAACATCATCATTGGCCGCCAGTGATACCAAATTTTTCTTCAATCATTAATTACAAATGTACCCTCTTTTTCCGCCAAACTTGAGGCCTAGCTTGTCTTAACTCGATTCTTGTAAATATGTAGTTGTGTATCTGACTGTTGAATCTGTAAATATTAATATCCTCAATTGATCATTGCATGGATGCAAGTATTGTGGTCCCTTGGGTAAACGGCTTAAGTGCATGGGTCTAATATATTAACTTTGGGATGAACCACAGGAACAGGCATCTGTGCGCGGTGCATATATACGGTTGGGCATCATCAGTCAAATTCCGGTTTATGATCGACGTCATAGTGTGCAAGTTTACTAGTACAGTACGTGCAGTTAAAATAATCATATGATCAAGACGACTTTGCCGAATGATATGTATTGTGCGCTCGCTTGGCTCTTGCGCTAGCTAGACCGATTCCCCCTCCCTACTATGCAGTACTATTGGTATTTCCAACGTGTTAGGAATGTTCTCCGCGATCCATCTGTGGCAACTAGTAATCCTTATGCAATCCCAGTGCCACGTGCAAGTATATTGCGTAAGTGGGCGACGCCTAACCCCAGTATGGGTCGGTGATTAGTACGGGTTCATTATGTGCAAACATGGTATGCACTATTGCTACTATGTAGTACTATGCGCGCAAGCTTTTGTGATCAGGCGTTCACTTATATAGGGTCGCAGTTGCTGGTTCTGGTACAAGGTGAGTATGAATGATATACTTATGAAGGGGTTGCTGTCAATCCGTTTTGCCAGTTCTCTCTTCTCCGGACTTGCGCGCACGCGCATGCGCTTTCTCCCCTCTCCCCTCTGCCAGCCCATCGGCTCTGTCTGTGCGGCAACACGCCACCCGACCTAACCGTTAAAACCGATGATACTTAAAGGATTATCCTTGAAGAGAGACTGAGAAAGAGTATGTAAAAGGGGGGAACTTTGATGGAATATATATATATATAGTGACGATGACGATGACGACGAATGACCCCCCCGGTCGGAACATATTGACGATGATGTCATTCGGTTTTCCCATCCTTACTTACAACCCTGAGATCCCTAAAACACATTACAATATATATATATTACACTTTGCTGTAATCAGCAAGTTGTTGTTTGTTTGCTTTTTTGATCCCTTGCGACCGTGTTATGATCCCTTATGACAACTAGACCCTCTCTCTCTCTCTCTCTATACTCCATTCAATATGTTTTTTTTATATTATATATCATAGAGTACAGTATATAAGGCGCGGGTAATTGCTGAACCTCCAAGGAGAGCAGGACGACCACGTACACATACACGTACCTCACAAAGAAAAAAAAGGACCACCTCTCTTCTTCCTCCCAAACTCTTTTGACTCTCCCCGCCTTCTTCCAACCCAAAACACCTTCTCGGCCGCGGAAAAAGATCTATAGTCTAGTCCTCTCCCCCCATTTTTTTTCTTCTTGTGATCGATGGCTTCATCATTAATCTTCTCCTCTTCGACCTCCTCAACCTCTTCTACCGCCCCATCCTCACCTAGTTCGACCGCTTCCAACATTGATCTCTCTCAACAACTCGTTTTCGCCTATTCGTTCGCTTTGGCAGAGCACACTAGACGGTACGCGTGTTGTTCCTCCAGAGCGGCCCCGGCCCCGGCCCCCCCCTCCCCCTTGCCCTTGACTGAAAAAATTTCCTTTGGTTCCTTCAGACAATTGAGAGATGCGTATAGGCAAGCGGAGTTGGCAGCGGCTGAGAGGGCGAAAAGAGGGGTACCCGTTTCGATGAAGATGCCTATTATTCCGCCTCCACCGAACGCTACTGGTACCATCGTCGCTGGTGCCACTACTACTGGTCGAAGTATCACGACGACTACTACTACTATGCGCGCTCACTAAGTAATAGTAGTGGCTAAGTGGCAGCATTAAAGGGGGGTTGCTTTCTTTCAGTTTTGGGGTGAGTGAAAAGAAAAATAATCACGGTTCTCTTTGTTCTTCTCTCTGACTGTGCATGGTCATGGCCATATTTGCAGTTGTATAAGCGTCGTCGTACCTTTTTTATATTAAAAGATCACTACCTAAGTACTAGTGGTCTATTTTTTGGCGGGTTTTCTTTCTCTTCTTCCTTTCAAGCTGGCTTAGCTAGTATCTGCTCTCCTCCCCCCTCACCCACCCCCCGCTCCTCTCCCTTGGTTGTTAATCCCGCACCACCCTCGCACCCTCTTCCCTTTTTGCTTGCTCTGCCCAGGTTCCTTCATACAACCATTTTTGTACCATAACGCGCGCGCGTTCCGTCATCGAGGGGATCCAATTTTCTTATTATTCCTTTTGGTTCAACTTGCAATAAAACGACATTGTTCACACGCAACGCCAGATCAAAATGTCATATGTGAAAACCGTATACATATTGCGTGTTCTGTCGTATATGTGTGTGTGTGTACATTACTTGCTTTCCCCCCCCCCCCCCCCTTCGCGATCGTCCGAGGAAGTGAGATCGAATGGTGAACATCGGGTTGTATTGCAATGTGGGATCCCTTTGTGATTATTTGCTTACTGTAACAAGCGAACGTTGGAAACACAGGCGCTATGTAGTAAAAGTACCAGCGCGTGACGACACAGTATTATGCACATTGGCCAGGGGGTTCAATGACCTTATCGCCTAAAGTTGGGATCTAGGTCAATATTGGTTTAATTGATGTTTAAACCTCCTGTCCGACGTCATTCCGAGCGAGTTATTGTATAAGGGGTCTTGTGAGAGAGTAAGCATACGTCATAGGGACGCGCGGGGGGAACGGGCCAGTGGAAAAAGGGAAGCTGGAAAGCTGGAAAAGAACTGAAAGGAGCTTGGGTTCGGATCTTCCTCCCTTTTGTAGGCGGGGGTGGAATAGATATATTTGCTATGGTTTGTAAGAGATAGGTATAATTATGACGTCGATGTGCTGGTTTTACATTTTTTGCTTTCTGACTTATGTAATGAATTGAGTTTCCAGTTACAGTAAACGGTGTGGCAATTGCTTTTTCTTTTTTTTCGCGCGCGCGCATACATGCGGTGGGTTGATGATGATGATGATGATGACGATGACGATGACGAAGGAGACGGACAGGGGGGAAGAAAGGTGATCAGTTGGGAATGACATGACCATGGATTGGGGTACCTACGTTTGGTCAATCCACAATTAATCCATGCATTTGCGCGCATGTGGGCCATGATCCACGGATCAACCGCATTTCCTTTTCAGCAAATTTACATATATATAGAGATGTCAGGTCAACGACTTGAATGAATGAAAAATGAGTCAAGGGCGCACGGACGCCTCGCGCGCGCGCGCGCGTGAGAGAAAGAGAAAGAGAGAGCTGCGGGAAAGTTCGAGGAAACGGTTGATGACATGATAGTAACATGTACTAACATGTTACTATACTTGTATGGACGTGCCGGTCTTGGGAAAAGAGTAAAGTACTAGACCCCCTTGATGAGATGTAATTTTTCCCCTGAGGGAAGGGGGAAAGAAGTGGAACGTTGAGTGAGAACAGGGTAGTAATTACGAGGGGGGGACGTGGGGAGATCGGTGAAGACGGAATCGTGAGAAGAGAGCTGAGCTAGGAGAAGTCAACAACGTCAAATCATCGAAGTAACCCAATCGTGGATGAGGGCTCCTCCGGATCCGGAGAAGGCTTACGGGAACAATGTGTGTGGGGTAAAGGTAAGGGGGGGTGGCTTGATTGGGCCACGTGTGCCGTGATTGTCCATTGTACTGCGCAAGTGATTGTCCAATAGTAGAAGCTGGTGTTACCAGTTGATTATCAGCCAGGTATGTGAGAAAAAAAGTCCCAGGGCCACGTCGTCGAGCAATGGTTCACGCCATGCGTGCGAACCACTCTCCCCCCCCCTTCCATCGGCCGACCATGACCGTAGCCCAAATTAGAAACGTATAACTCGGTACTCCAGAGCGATTGACTACATTGGGTTGATCCGCCACAAAAGACGGATGCATGATGACACGGGCACGGGCACGATGACGTCGTGTCAAATGTACAGTCAACGCCGCAAAGGCAAGTTTTTCTTTTCTTTTTTTTTTTGTTCCTCAGCGAACAAAAAGGGCGTTAATTCTTTTAGTGCGGGATTCCGGAACGGAGAAACTTGATCGTAACGGCGGAACCATGGGCCGGTCAAGGGCTGCTTATCCACAGACAACAACAGCCAGGGGGTTTGTCATCATGGCATCCCCACGCACGATATAGTAATAAATTATTTCGATCGGGACAATCGTTCCGACTGCCCCCCCGCGCGCCGCACCGTTGGTCTACATAGAGGTCGTTCAACTATAATGCAAGCCAGGATGCATGCAGCACAACGCGTAGTTAGACGCACGTTAGGTTGAAGTGATCCATACATGGCGATAATCATGGTACGTTGATCAGAAGATGACGCCAGTTGTTGTGCTGCAGGTTTCGGTCCATGGAAAAGATGCAAATCGATCAAAAAGTTAAACGCCTAGCTAGCTAGGTGAATCGGCAGATCGAGGAGAGCACGGAAAGAGATGATACAACAGAGCTTGAAAAAAAAAAAAACAGAAAACAAAAAAAGACATGAATCAGTACCGCCATGACCGTATGCGACGCCGGTATCTGTTGTGGTCAAGGAAAAAGTCCTCTATCAGAGCCCACCTTTTTAAAGGGATCTGCGACAGAGGCCCTAGTATGTCTCACCCACCAGCCTAGCCTTTGTATCTCGCGACTCAGCATGTCATGGATGCCGTGACAACGGAATTCGGCATGGAGGAGCGAGGGATTGACACGTGCGTAGCCATCCGACATGTCATCGAGCCAACGCACAATCCCCTCATCGAGGTAATCCGTGGTCTCCTCCTCGGTCGGGTTCACTAGTGACACGGTGACTTCCCAGGAGAGCGTTTGAAGGTGTTTTAACGATTTTACAACGCCAAATAAAGAACTGGTAGGACATTTTTGGTCGAGAGGGGACCAGCAGAGCTGAACTGGAATAAAGTGGAATCTGATCGTCAAATCGGTGAGGAAGGTGAATGTCCTGATTACTTGGTAGGATGGCGGAATTTCGCTGTCCGATCTATGGTCCTCACTAATGGTCAAGCTGCGAAGTGACAATGCAGAATCCTTGAGCGATTCCAGATCGTGAGGTCGACGCGGCCAAACTAAAGCACGGTCCAGGAATTCCACGGAGGTGAGCGTTGTGCATCCTCGTGCAAGATGCAGCGGCACACCCACCATACGGAGCTTTGATAAGGAAGGGAGTGGAATCGTAGGAGGAATGAAATTGTGTATGGAATTCAAGCTGAGGTCCGTAAGATTTGGAAATTCCGAATCCATAACTAATTTTTGCACACCGGAACAACGGAGCTGCTTCAAAGATGGCATGTCTAACAGGGATATTGTGTCGTAAACACCTCCGAGAGAAAGATATTCCAATGCTTGTAGAGTGGACGACATGTTGTCATGAAAGCGGACATGCCCACACATGAGTTCAACCTTCACAGATTTGAGTGAGGGTATGGGGGGCACCTCGAAACTTTCGGCATAATATATCGCCAAGTGCCGAAGCTTAGGTTGTGAGGTCAAGAAACCACCCCACTTTGATTGTGTGATATCGTCAGCAATAGATAATCTAATGGTCTCCAGCTGACATTGTGCTGAGGAGGTCCACATGGCGGGGAAGCTGCCCAGATCTTTGCCGTTACCGGACAGAGTCAACTCGATGAGATGTGAGAATTTGGTGAAGATACCTATAAGTCTTTCGAGAGACTTTTGCGCCTTGTCCTCAGGCGCAACGCAGGCACCACTAACCGAGAGGGACAGACGCTTCACGACAGACACCGAAGTGGTGTTCATGAACTGATCGAGCCTTTCGAAATGTTCCTGGTCGAGTGAAGCAAGAAATTTGAAGCTCCGGAAGAGGAGATATGCGCAAACACGTCGAACGTTGCGACTCGTGAGACTCATGCCGTCGCGCAAGGTTTTGAAGTCAAGAAACGTGAGTATGTGATGCGCAACCTCGTATGGAAGTCCAAGAAAATAAAATGGCTTTGTGAGATCCTTAATTATCGATCACGCATGTGGATATATATATGACGTTGAGAGGCTGTTGCAAAACTGCATTTGCGCTCACCTGTGCCCCATCTATCTGGTTGGTAACTTCATTATCATAAAGCCCGTCGGACGATAGGGATAGGCCCAAGACTCTGTTGTCTTGGGCTGAGTGCCCTTCCATACATATCAGTACCACCAACTATGTGGACAACTACAATGTACAATACCCATCTTATCGTGATCGTGTTGTTGACAGTCGAATTCACGGCAATCTCCGTTGCCTCGAGCCTGACGATGTCCCGAGGCAACCCAACCCAACCAGCGGAGAAATAGTTGTCTAGGAGATGTTTAGGGGCTACTGAGCAGTTTCAACTTAGAGAAGATGGCTATGAAACTTTTCAAGAGATTTCTCGCGCTACCTCCCCTAAACTCGGTTTTCACATGACGCGGGCAAGCAGCCAGACCGTCGAAAGTTAGACACCTCACAGGGGACATCGAAGGGGGTGTATTCATGAACTGACTGACGGAGACTCCCTCGTCGCAAAGCTGTATGTCAGCAAACAATCTGAAGGCGGGAGGAGATCAAGCGTAAAAAAAACATGTCGAACATTGCGACTTGTCATGAGCATGAGATATATTAATTACCGTCGCGTAAGGTTTTTTGAAGTCGAGAAAGTGTGGATTGCACAATCTCGTATGGAACTTGAGATGGCCCTTAACGATCGCCCCTCCCATGCGCGATGTCGTTGAGGTTGTGCATGCAGCCGAACTTTTGACCAAACAGCCGTGCTCACCCAAGCTCCACCTGCCTGATTTGCGCCTTCATCATAGAGCCATTGGATGACAGGCTCGAGACTCTTTCGTCTTGGATGGTCAGACGAACGCAGGGCCCCAGTATGGATATATATCAGTGGTTCACCCTTGTGTGGGCGCTTGCCGCCTGTACGGCAGGTTGTGTCTCTTGAGAGATGCAGTAATGAACCGGTCACACACATTGGGAAAAAGAGGATGTGTTCCAAGGGAGTCATTCCACCGGTGGCAAGTTGCAAGGACTGATATGTACATTGAAGAGAAACTAAAGTTGACGTACAGGCGGGATGAAAAGGTATGGCAGAAAAATGAAATGTGGTTGAACGAAGGGATCCGGAATGCTGTGTAATTGTGGGTCCTCGAAGTATGGCATGCAGCACCTTTAAAAATACCGTAGACGCTGCACTTCCTAAGGGACCCAAATTTCCATCTATGGAGTTAAACAATGGCGGCGAGACCTCGTAGTTTCCCGATGGTCTCAATGTGACAGTCGTCTCCAACGTATTTTCCTTTCGATGGAGGGTATGAAAGTTGTTCTTTCGGAGGTTTATATAGGCAGATCCAGAGGACCCCTGGGAATTCGATGTCATTCATTCGGTTCAAAGATTTGGGACGTAATGCGCACGGGCCTTGCATCCAAACATGCCAGTCTGGATGGGGTTGCATTGCGGTTCTTGGCATCAGGTTACACAGTAAGGGCGGTTGTTTTATTCAAACAGACGCGGGATACCTGGGGCTACACAGTCACGTTGGAGAAAAAGTTCGGAGACTATTGCGATCTCTTGGTTGGCTTACTTCGCGAGTATGACACCAGAACAACATGGATGGCTTCTCATTCCGAGGAGTGGCCCGCTTCATCTTTCTTTCGATCTGCCAGAGAAATTGGTTGCCTCAGATGAGAGACACGGGATCGAGGGCCGCGCCACGGTTGTATTGCAGTGCAAGACGATCACACTGGCGAGGATCGTGTGGCCAAGTTTACCTGGCTGAACGACTTTCACGCACAGCGCTACCGTAATATTCTGGATATCCTTGGGTTGACAACAACGAGTACACGGAGCCTCGCGAGCCATGCTCCCTGCATGTACCAATTCGGACATGTTACCGCGACTACCCATTTGCCAGACTTCTTCAGAGCATGAGAAATCTTATATTCAAGATAACTGACAAATGCGATGAAGCGATGGAGTCGGCTCCGGGCCTTGAATGACCCATGCAAGCGTTGGCCTGGCGACGGCTGAGGCTGCATCACGGTTCTCAGCATCGAGTCACACAGTAAGGGCAACCAAGTGGATTTGGGAATAACTGGAAGTGACCTGTACACCTGTTTGTCTGTGCATTGGCGTGCAGGACGTAGGTTGTTATTATGTGCTCGTACATATATCGGGAGCCATTACTAGTTTTGGACTATCCCTCTCCAGCTCATTCGTAATCATCATTCGTAGCTTACGCGGGGAAAGTCTGTTAAATGGGTGTTGAAAACATGGTTTGTCAAGTGGGGGGTAACACGAGCGGGCTGAAAGCCAAGGAGGTGGGTTCGTCATGCATGGTGGTCGCAACTTCGCTAGTCCAGAGCTCGCCTCACAACTAGGCCGGATTCGCTACCGAGAAAGCAGGATCATCAGTATCAGTCATTGGATGTCTAAGCACCTGCATAGGACGAAGTCCTTGCACAACACGGCATGCCTTCCCCACAATGGCTAGCTTAACCAGTGTCAACAGATGTTTCAGGGCAAGGTTGCCAGGTATAGGTTATAGGGAAGCAACAGGATCTAGTTTGCGAGCGATGAACAAACATCGCCATCCGCGGAGGTCATGCAGGAAGAACATCTAATTACATGAAAGCACAGAACTAAAAAGATGTTGCCCATGCATTGCATACAATATCAGCAGAAAGTGCAGATACTGCATTCGAGTTAGCAAGATGGCAGGTGTTCATGTTGGAAACCCTTCAAAAGAGACAGCGATGGGTAGAGTCGACAGTCCTCCGAACAATGAGTCTCCGTTGTACATAAGTGTTCAAGCTTGAGACTATACATATATATATTCGGCAGTGACCAGAGGACCCTGACATCACCTTTAGCAACAGCACTCGGGGTCATGGAGGATAGCTCTGGCATAATGCTTGTAAGCGCGACAAATGCTGTTTAAAACGTTGACGGAGGGTGGCTTAAAGGACCTCCAGGATCATTTTGTTCTCACGAGGGCGCATGTTCATTCGATTCAAGCACAGACGAATGCAGCGTCTATTCACAGCTCCGAGAAGCGCAAGTCGTAAGTTGACGTGGTATCGCTCCCAATAAGCTGACGTTCATTTTAATCTAACATCAGGCATGCTCTCTGAGCCTTTAAGCAGGGCTCACACCTTAAAATCATGTATTCCGGCTGTCACGACAGTTACCAACGCCTATATCCCTTCTACAACCTCTTTCTCCTTCCATACCTCATCGAATCTCTCTGAATCATACCGAAAACGTCGGGCACGAGCCGTCAAAAAACGAAACCTAGAAAGAAAAGCAGCCATCGCAGGAGAGCAAGCCAGAACTACACCTCATCCCGCCCTAGGACATCCTCTGCATGACGATTCGTTATGGTTGAACAGTGATTTGGCGAGGATTCTAGTTGGTCCTAAGGATTTGGAACCTCTTGGGCAAGTCACGGGGAAGATTTGGAGCAACGAAAGGAAGAGTGGTGGTAAGTCTGTTTTTTTGTGAGGACTATTAGTGATGCCTTATCTATGCATCTAACTTCGGTACATTACTAGCCTCAGCCTCCTCCACTTCTGCCTTCGATGAAACTCTCAACTCAGACCCTACCAAATCTCAACGTATCCAGCTCCCCAAAGCCTTCGCTTTCGGTATAGGACCCTCTGAACAGAAACTTCTTTTCCAAGATTTGCCCGTCATCGACCTTCAGAAACGCTTCGAATTTTCTATAGTGACAGAAAAAGAACGGATGTCTAGAGCGGCCTTTGAGGACCTCAACGATGACAGTGCTAATACGATCAGCAAAAGCGGAAGCAAGGGCGGTGAGACGATCCATAAGGGATGGTTGCCTGCCAATGGGACCACCACTCTCGGTTCCACCACCGAAGTGGGAGCAGAATCCTCAACCAAACGACTCCTTGGCTCAGACGCTTCGACAGATCCTTCCTCTTCCCCCTCTGATCCCCCTCTTACCACCCACGGATCTTCTTCCATCACAGCACGCTCCGAAACCCAAGTCGAAAACCTCAACCACTTCCTGGATGTCACCCGTCTCAACACCGAAATGCTGGCCCGGATAACTGGTTTAAGCAATGCCAACGCAAGAGGGATAGCATTTGAGAACAGGAAGAGGATCGTCGATGCTTTTTCAGAAGGGAAACCGAACGACACGGGAAGGTCAGAAGTTCAAGGTGAGTCCACACTCAAAGGTTGCACGCCGTTGTTTGGTTCTCTTCGTTTCTGTTTGCTACCGGGTTTTAGCTTTCCGTCTTTATATCTGAGGGAAGGGACGGGCCATGCTAAATGTTCGGTTTCCCCCACTTTCAGCTGCGCTATTAACATGGAAAATCCGCAACCTTTGGGAACATCTCACGCGAGCCAAACACGACATTCACAATCGAAGATCTCTCCTTCTTCTCCTCCATCAACGTGCCAAAGTCCTAAAGTACTTACGACGAATGGATCGTGGACGGTATCTTCGGGCACTGGATCGTATTGGAGTTGATGCGCGTGCCGTGGAGGGACAGATCATTCTCCGGTGAAGATATGCAGGGCAAGACAGGCCACAGTGCATGTTGTAGTAGTGTCATTCCCTACGCATCTGACATTGGTCGAATCATCATGCAAAAGCCCGAGAACATTTTCATGTGAACTAAGCTCTAAGCCGAAATGCCAGCCCCCAAGCTGTATTGGCCATAGTCAACCTATGATGATGCGTTGAACAACATTCGCTTCGTTTTCTGTGAGCTGTCTAGCAATCAGAGCGAAAGTATTTGGATCTGCCGAAGCACATTGTTGGATGAATGATAGGAGATAGGCCTACGAGGTCGCGAGTTCTGTGATTTGGCACTCTCACCAGAAATCATTTGACTTACCCTCATATCAAGTTGAGAGACGGGGTCGTCTTTCAAATCCTCGTCATCTTCAGCAGACTCAGGCTTCTCTACCTCGTCGAGAACATCTGTCGAAATGTGGCATCAACGATGTCATTCGAAAAGGGTGGATTCTAATGCATCATCCCTACCTGACAAAAAAACAAGTTCTTCATCTTTTATGCCTTCGAATATCTCATCATCGGCCCATTCATCATCCTATGAAATTAGCGCAAGTGTGAGTCAGCGTTGTGTGTTCCAACAGGGCAGCTTACCCCATCATCGGATTCCACATTATCTGGCTTCGTCTCTTCTTTCGTGAGTGTTTCGGTCGCTTGCAATTCATGAAGAATAAGTTTGAGTGCCTTGACCGGAAACTTAGTTCGCTCATATTCAGTGGGTACTTTCAAGTGATGTCAGGTTGTGTGAAAGCGGATTGTCAACACAGCTTACTTTGTTTGGCCCGCGATCGAGTCATCACAACTGTGACGGACGAGTTCAATGCATACGTCATTGTGCAGGGTGTTCACGTACCGTCCCTTGTCTCCGGGCGAATGATAATGTCACCTTTAACATCGATTTCCTTCAACCGGAGATTTGGCGCCAGGAAAAGATCACATAGTGCCACAATACTAGGATGCGGTAAATGAGAGTGAACAATATACCAGGGCGCCGTTCACGCACCTAATTCTGCAGGGCCAAAAACCAATAAAAGACTCAGCGTATTCGCACCATGTTTTAATTAATATGTTGAGCCCATTCTCTGAAGTTGACGGGCCTGTCGAGACCGTCATGGATTCTAGGAGGGACAGCACGGTATCTCTGTGTGAATGGATCAAAAAGGCGAAGGGAACGATCAAACTCTGATAAAAAAAGAGTTTGAATACCATAAAGAAGCTGAACTACAGTTTGGCTGGCAAACCTGAATGAAAGTTGTCGTTTCGGCAGTGGGTATTCGATTTGCCAGCGTCTGAAGCAGCTCAGGGAGGACTGGGAATATTGCTTCTCCACAGTTGCGAATCAAATGGACAATCAAATCTCCCACCAGCAAGCCAGCTGCTTCATTTTCTGAAGGGGATACCATTTTCGAGACGAGAGCAAGCACAACTTGGATACCTGATTGACCGGATGGATTCCTCCAAGAAATCAATTGATCTGAGCCTTTCCGAACAATTAGTGTCACACATTCGCAGCCATTCTATGAGGTGATGAGCACATGAGAATTGGCATGATATAATGACCCACAAGAATAACATCCCTATCTGTTGCCATCGACAAAGAGTTGAACAGGGAAGGCGCTAATCCCGCAACGAAGCCATCGCCGAGCTTTCCCTTATCCGCAGCCTCTAAGATACCTGCTGTCAACTCCAAGGCTGAACTTGCTATCCATGATTCTTGCGGCTTCAGTGCGGCCTGGTCCAGCGCGCCTACAATGGCTGGGAGCAGCCTGTTGACCACAGAGCTAAATGCATCGGGAGATGGCGAGGCAGCAAGTGCTTTGACCATCTCAGCAATTTCAGAGAGCAGGATAGGGTCTTAATTGAGACTGAGCGGCTCGGCATGCAACTCGGAGCGGCTTTGTAACTTGCCTTCATAGTTCCGTTTCCAAACATCTACGAGAGCGGCTGTTAGTGAAGACACAACGTCTGGATTCAGCCACGATCCAAGGTCAATTTGAACAACTATCGTCAAGGTGTCAAGTATTAGGGAGAGGGTCTCATCAGCAGCAGTAGAGAGGAAGGGTGCGAGTGTCGCAAGAATCCTAGGTGCATAAGATTTTGCCAGGGGGGATTTGGCGGAGCGTGTGAGTCTGCCAACGCGAGTATAAGTGGGATGTAAATGGTTCGGGTATAGGAAGAACGCCAACCTCTGGATTGCCTTGACTGTGGAGACCTTCACGGGGATACCTGCGTGAGGCAACTCTATGACTCCCACAGCAGCATTGAGATACTGCCCAGTAAGTTCCGGCGACAAGAAGGTAGCAAAATTTCCAGCGAAAACAAACGCACGCCCCTGCAAAAATGGACAGTCTAACCAGATGAAAGTTACAAACCACCACAGACTTTGTCATGCACAGCACAAACCATGAATTCCAAGAAGCGAAGGTATCACACTGCCGAGCAAAGTGTCGGTGTCGAATGGTTTTGGCCGTCCTTCGTCGGCTTCGGCCTGGACGATATCAGACAAGGCGTCGGATTCTGCGCCTAACACTGCTAACGCAGCTTCGAGGGGTTTCCACCTAAAGAACCGGTCAAGGTAGATGTATAAGGAGTTGATAGGTCGCATACCAGTCCGCGTTGCCTTCTTGGCGGGCCTGGCTGGACTGTTCGACAATTCCGGCCGTCGTTTCTTGCAACTTGCGCACAGTAGACGTGGAGAATGCATCGAGTAGGTTCTGATATCGAACTGTCATTAGGACAAATTGGGACAGAAAGTAGTGGCACTACCTGGAGGAAATCGATCGTTGCTGTTCTCAACGTCATCAACGGAGCATCGTCATCTTGTTCCGCTATAAAAGCGTTGCTATCGGATGACCAAGTTTGTCGCTGTAGACGTGACGTTTCAATATCATCGCAACGGAAAGAAAAATCAAAGCTGCGCACGTCGTCTTCTGTCATTTGAGCCCATAGAGGCACCAATCTCACGCACCGCTCTAGGTGAGCCTCATCCCGGTCAAGAAAATAAGACTGCAGGACTCGTGAGCGAGCCGCAAGACCCAGAAACTCAAATATGGAGGATGCGAGCACGGGGAGGGCGACCATTTGGTCTGGATCATCCGCTGGGGTTGTGGGAGGTGGTGTTTCGTTATCGTGAGCCACATAGTACCGTTGAAATACCGGAAGCAAAGCTTCTAGATGGCTGATGCTGATCGCAACGAAATTCGGGTACACAGGTGCCAATATTTTGGGAAGGGAGATGGCAATCGCAACTAACGTCTGGTCGGCAGTCAGTTACATGCGTGCAACGTGGACATTGTCATACCCGGAATATCTGAAGGCGGACGGCAAGTGGGGACCAGTCCGGAGAGCCGCGGAGCTCTGCAAGAGGATCCGCCTCCAAAAGGGCTCCGAAAGTCTCAAGCCACTGTGGCAGGACACCCGAAGATGCTTCAGCGATTGCATCTGGGTATTGATCCTTCACCATGATCAGTGATACAATGGATTGCTTAAATGTGGATATTGCACGCGCCCGGGTAAAGTTGGTGTGCTGCCGAAATAATGAGTCGCGGTGCCGTAACATGTTCGGGGAATGACGACACCTCAGCCTGACCCACAACAGTAATAAGGATAGGCACTAGCTCTCGGAGGACGGGAATGAGTTGTTCCTCAGTCAGCTCGTCCTTTGAGAGATCCGAAAATACTTGGAGTGCTCCGTGAATGGCATCAGTGGAACCAGACTGGAGCAAGCCAATGAGATCGTTCAACAATGTCGAGTAATGATCTGGCCAGTCACTATGAGCTATTTTTGAAATCACCGAAGCCTGGGTTTTCATGATTATTATATAGACAAAGTACGACTGATGGTGATGGAACTTACAATGACAGATCGGATCCCGCGTGCTGGATCGGAAAGGCCGCGAAACAATGTCGATCTCACTTGCTCTTTTATCTTCAATAAGATTAGATTTTTCACGTAAAATGAGAAGGAACTACACTTGCTTCGGGAGGCGCAGAGGTTCCTTTCCATGCGTTGAAGATCGGTGACCACCGCTCATTCACGTACTTACCCACCGCGGCGGCTGCGGAGTGAAGGACGCGCGCTTCAGAATCAAGTGAGGTAGAGACAGTCATTGAAGGCTTATCTGTCTCAAATGAAAATTCTCCGACGGAGAAACGCAGATTGTGGCAAGTTCTATGGGTGTTTCTATTTTGCGGATCGCGATCATTGCGTCATGACAATGGCAGCAAGTTACATTCACCCACGATTCTGTGTAAACAGTTCAGAAAGCTTAAGCTCAGCCTGGATACGAATATTTGGGTCTCCATCGAGAGTCCCTGCCAGACACTGCGTTAAGAACGACATTTCTAGTTCCTGACCGCGTTCAACGGATGCAAAATAGACTCAGGCTTTGTTGGCTCGCACGCGCGGCGACGAAACCTCCACGTATATGCTTTGCGGCCATGAGTGCCAACTGGGAAGCCAATCATGCTGCTACCCTAAGTTTCAACGGAAACCGCAATCAAACGCTCATGCGTGCCCTCCCACCGCGCTTTTCGGTGTTTGAGTGCCAAATTCCTGAGCAGTGACTCTGTGATCATAGCTCCCCGAGGGCGCGATTGTTGGCTAGCAGAACTCATCACTGTCCGGCCCTCCCATTGCGTGGAAATAACCTTGCATGAGAACCTCCTTTGTGATTAAATTTCGCTGCCGGGGCATTCCCAGACTAAAACCGATATTCTTCCCATGCACGATCTCAAGGAATCCAGGCCAATTGCGGCTGAATTGGCATTCAGGCGGCCACTCGTAATACCAGGGTCAGTTGTAGGGGTGGCCAATTGTGTTTGTTGCGCTGTCTTGTCATGACGGTGCCCATTCCCTCGTGGCCACTCGTTCGTGCGGATTTGAACAACATTTCATAATGGTATCCGCTGCAAAGCATCTTCTCCGTGTAGGCCCAGACCCCTTAGCCCTGTTTTCCATCAACCACATTCGCCGCAAGGTTGCTCTGCGCTCAGCATCTCCGCCGTAGTTCTGCATCGTTTCCGCGAGGGTCCCAGTTCGCATTAGCCTCGGGATGCCATAAAACCAACCACCCGCATCCTCGTTCCGCAAGAGTGATATGGTGATCAACTGGAATGCATGAAAATACAACCCACTGGTCACTGTTCAGTTTCATTCCCCTGCAGGCCCTTTGCATCGCCCGTCTAGGATCGCGGCCTCAACCCAAGGTGCCCACAGAGACATTGACCATATAAAAATCTTACTTGACCTGTTGTCCAGGGTCTCTTTCTAAAAGCGGTGCGCTTGCGTGACTAGAAACTAGTCTTATCTTGCGATATTAAGATTAATGGTCTAGATGATGCTATCGTTTCTGTATCGCGTCAGTTACTTATTCTGCATAGCGTTTTTTAAATCACGCTTCAGCGCCCCGCGTTGATTACTCTGCTGTACCCTTCGCGGACGAGCTTGTGCTACTGGTACGATGGTCTCGAACGGTTCAAAAGCACCGCCGAGCTCTCAACCTATGTACCCGTGCTGATGGCATATGTGACGTCGCGGGTTCCCGCGACTCGCACGGGTTCCGGTTGGAGTGCTGATCAAGGCTCGACTCAGGAAGTGACCCATTTATCCGAGCCCCCAGCCATCATCTCCGCCCAACAAAAATAGGAGTGCATACCCCTTGACAGGTCATTAATTCCAGGCTCACCATCTTACCCGTGTCCAAGAGCACAAATAATTAGACAATGATGAGAACCGTGCATTTGTCTCATTGGGTTCCAGGTGTGCATTCGCCCAGAAGTCGGGCCTGATGTTTACACGTCACTTTAATCCGGATTCGTAAGTACACCTCTCATGAAAAGCTGTTGTATGACTTGTAAATAATGAGTCACCGCCCGCTGCCGGCTGCAATACCAGCACCTTCCCAGCGAAGACTTTAGTGACGACTGAGCGCGATTTCAGTAGTATTGTAACACCACGGCGTCGAACTCTCCGCAGCAATTAATCATACCGAAGTATATTAGCAACACTGCACATACACTCTCACAAGTCAGAAGCCTCTCAGAAGTCCTCTGACCATGTCGTTTCGCACACATTTGACGACTTTGTTGGGTGAGAGGCATCAAATATAGATGATATTCGTTCAGAACCTCATGATCTGGAAGGGATTCGCACACCCATCGTTGGGGCTGCGATGGCGAAGGCTAGTGGTGGAGCTTTGGCTGCCCAAATTACTCTAGGTGGTGGTTTCGGTTTCATCTCCACTGGTGAGCTCTGTTAACTATTTTCGATAATGCCTGTCTACATGCCAATGATTATCCGAATATCGTAGGCTATCAAAATGTCGAGTTTGCCGAAAAAGAAATCGAAATTGCTCGGTCACTTTTATCTTCCAGTCAGTTCAACAACTCGATTTCAACTCGTCTCCCGATCGGCGTAGGGTTTTTCGGATGGGAGCTTGAACAACGCCCAGAGGCTGTCCAGGTCTTGGAATACGTACTTCGGCGACGAGATATTCGAGCTTTGTGGTTATCCTGCGGCAGAGACCTCCCTCGCTGGATCAAAACGATTCGAGAGGCAGACAGTAATGAAAGAACCCTTATATTCGTTCAAGTCAACACAACCCCCGAGGCTATTGAATCGTATACGTGCTGGGACATTGACGTGCTGGTTGTACAAGGGAATGAAGCCGGAGGTCATGGTCTCGGCATTGCGCCTCCACTGGTGACACTACTACCTTCAATTCTAGCCGCAGTAGAACCTCTTCGCCCTCTAGTACATGGGCCGCTACCAATTCTCGGTGCAGGCGGGATCGCAACGGGCTCTCAGGTTGCTGCCATTCTCACCCTCGGGGCGTCAGGAGCAGTCATCGGTACCAGCCTGACCGTTTCCCCAGAATCTTTGATCCCAGAGAGTAAGAAGGAAACACTTCTCAATGTTGCTCGTAACTTCAGGATTGACGACAATCCTACAATCCGATCCCCAATCTTCGATGACCTAATGGGAGTCGCGGACAAGTGGCCAGATGGTATTACGGGGCGCGGCCTACGAATGAAAGCCATGTTAGATGACGAGGTATCTGGAATATCAATGGGGGCGAGAAGGGAGAGATATGAGGCCGGGAAGGGGAGCGGAGGAACCCATGAGATCATATGGTCTGGCACGAGCATCGGACTGCGCACAGAACCCTCATTCGCTGCTGTGAGTGTCTTGAAATCATTTGAAGGTTGTGGACCGACTTACCGGGCGAGCGCTGACCGATTGATTTCAAGGATCTGATCCGCGAGCTCCATGAAGAGGCCATCAGATCCATAAAAGAAGCCAGTGGGCTTCTTGCAGACTAGGTGATTATCTAATGCGGGCTTTATAAGCAAAGAACTACATGATAACGTTATGTCATCGCTGCGCTACTTCTCACGCTTCTGATGTGGCCGCGGAACAGATCGCAGATCCCGAACACGCTGTGCGCCACTCTGGATCAAATCGTCGCCGCCGGAAGACTGCCATCAGGAAGGTGTTATTAAGGCTCAAACGTACGAAATGTACAGGGTATAATGAATGACGATGCGCCTTATCCCAGTTTCCAAAGTTGTCGATGGCCGCTGAGAAAAAAGTCCTTCCAAACAATGCCAGTATGAAAGTCATAGGCCGGGCTTGGGAGGGTTCCTGTAAAGGCGATCGAACGGTTGACAGTCCAATCCTATTGACCGTTGTTGTGCGATAAGAAGGTCAATACTCGAGCGACACACGCAGTTTTCGGACCACGAAGGTCTCGAACCCTTTTCGAAAGGTGGAAGGGGGGCAACATCGATTTCAGAATAGCAGGGGACAAGAAGAGACTCTAGATGGCAATGGCACTGGGGGTGGAGGGTTGTTAGTGAAACAAAGACCCAACAGTGGTATACGGTCCTCACTGATGATATCGTGATTGGTCGTTTGACAGTCAACTGCCGATGCCCAGCAGGGGGAGGATCCGAATCGTCCTTGTTTACTATCGATTCAAATAGAACCTCAAACGAAAGCTCATGAGCGACCTGTATTGGAGTGTCACTTTCAGCAATCGTTGACGGACTTAATGATTCTTCCAATGGAAGGCGCGCGACGTGATGGAAGTTGTAGGAACCACTCTGAGGCACTCTAGCTAACGGTGATGATGACGTGCATCGACTTTCACGACACATATCCATCTGAATTTGAGGATAGAGTTCAGTGCTTGCCAATGACATGGCGCCAAACATTATCGCCATTCGGTTCAAAGCTGAAGTCATGGCGGAGTCCCCTTGATTTTCGCAAACCCCTCGCGTCCTGGAACCGACCTTAGTGGAAGGAAGGGCTCGCACGGAGTCAGGCGCGGCTTCTTGACTCTGGAAGATGCGGACTCGGGTGTCTAAGTGCTGCGCGGGTTTTTGCCTGAATGTTGGGGAAACAAGTGTGTGTTTCACGTTGAGATATGCAGCGACTGAGTGGATTTGGAGTTCTCGAGGTGGACACGCCAGATGGAACGTGAACTCTAGGACACCCCCAACAGTCAAGTGTTGCGACCGTGCGGTGACGGCATATGGCTACAACAATACAGGTGTCAGCAACCCCCAAGACGGACAGAACACACGCGTACGCCAAGTTCAGGATGATAGTTCTCAACGATGATGTCAGTTTTTTGTGTTTCTCCTTCACTACAGTAATCCTATGTCAGCCATGGGGTGCGCATCCTGTGAGCGAACTAATGAAAAGCGACTCACGACACAGGGTTAGCTATTAGTGAAACAAGCCTCGAGGCCGTCAGATCGCCCCGTAACAAACCATCCGCTTTTGCGACCGCGATGAGTCGATGGGAAATACGGCCATGCCGGCAGTTCTCTCGTGGAGCGGAAGTAGAGGGGACTGGAAGCGCAAATGGGAAGTCGTGGGCTCCCTTTCCCAAAGAGATCTTCCCGTCTTTCTCGTCCAGTAGCACCACCTCGGACTCTGTGTGGGCACCAGACTCAAAGTTGTGCGTCCAACGGGCACTTCTCACGTTAGCCCACGTTAGCCCACGTTAGCCAAGAGTTATTACACCAACGAAGCAGCGACGTACTCTTCTTCTGGGTAAAAGATCTCATAAAACCGGACTAACTTCAATCTTATCCATTTGAATCTTCGCTTTCTCGTAAGTTTTAGAGAAAACGTTCCACTCAGCATAGGGGAAACAGTTGTTGCACGAAGCGTAGTGAGTAGAAGGTCCGCAGGATGCAGGAAGATAGTGTCATCGACAAGGTCGATAGTTGCAGTAGAAGTGGGAATTAGCATAATGCGGGGAAGATATAATGATGTGAGGGCAAACGGGCATGAATGAAGAACGTTTCGCCTCCCCTTATAAGGGACTCCCACCGAATGCGACATGTCGCACAGCTTTCCTTTTGACATGCAGAACAACGCCACGCTGATGGGCCACAATTGAAATCCGTGGAACCCAGAACCCTGTCGGAACACGAAGTTCTTCCTGTGTGCCCACGATGACCATTTAGGATTAAATATAATTGATTGCGTTCCATGGTACAGGCGAGACGGCAACAGCCTCAAGGATTTGTGAGTGCTTTGAAGAGAAGTCTCGAGCCGTGCGGAAGCCGTGATGAATCAATGATCAGTCGATCGAGAACGGGATGGCCGTCGATTTATTCTCACGGAAGTTGGTTAGGCTGTGTCGGGGAAATGCCTTTCCGAGGGGCAAAAAATGGCATTCTCGACATCAGGAAATCGGGGATTGATTCACCCGCGGGGTCAAATATCTGAGGTTAGCCAGAGATGCTTTCGGAGGTAGCGAAAGAATGGCGTGGCGATGACCCCATGCAACAGACGCCGAAGCCTCTTTCGAGCGACCCGGTAAATTAATGCACTACGAGGAGATGGGTAAGCTAGGTGGTAACGCTGAAGAAACGGGGAGCAGCTAGCGAACAAAGTGAGGCTACAAAGGCCAGGAAGGAGCCGAAAAATGCATAACGAAGCTAGATCGATTACCAAGTTAACGATCAATGACGGGAGTTTATACTGCTCCCCTTGTCGAATTCTGCGCCTGGAACACGAGGAGCATGAGGAGCTCATGTCAGAAGATACACCGCTCGAACGTGCATTCGGCAACGAGCCTGCCCGGGCCCACCAATGCGTGAAATCTCCACGCAAATTCCTGGATATATTCTCTACTGGAACATAACCGTGCACAACACAAAATGTACATAAACCAATTCAGAACACAAGGTCGGATACGATGGCAACTTCAGGGCGCCGCGGGACAGTACCGGCACGAACTGATAATGTTCAGACCTAAATTGGTCTGAACCTGTAAGGCACTGAATCGTCAACATGACTCAGTTCCACTTGTCCGGGGAAATCTCGCTGTAATGAGGCGTAGGGCTCTCCGACGGGTGACCGCATCCATGTTTCATCGTTTAATTGAACCTTCATTAATGGCACGGAGGCATCTCCACTGCTTGATCTGCTCCTGATTAATGAGCCCAACGCTAGGCACACTTGAACCGCGTCAGGGCTTTCAGTTGCGTCCAGTAAGTACAGGAAACGAAGTTTTGGGGGATCAAAAGATTGAGAGATGAGCTCCATCAAAAGTGATATCAGGGTGCGAACCAGCGGCCCCACTCCGCATCCAAATTCCTCGACAGTGGGGTGAGCGGCTAGGAATGATACCATGGCTTCAGGGGTAAACGCACGTGTAGACAGCCACAGTGTTTGGAGGAGTGGGAACCTTTGAGAGGAGCCGAGGGCGGTTTCTGCCCATCCAGTGTTCGAGGACCGCGACGCAACGCAAAGATATCGTAGGTTCGGGAACTGCATCCGCCACAAAACGCTTCGCGCCTCATCACTGGTTGCGGGAAAATCAATGTCGAGGATTTCAAGGCTCTGAGACGTGAACAGAGGAAGAGGTGCAGTAAATGGATCGTCATCGCCCAAACGTTGCTTCCAGCGCAAGTTTTTGAGATTTGGACATCTGGCTACTAACTCCACTACATCCCGTGTAGGCCGCCCAGCGTAGTGATCCAATGCCAGGGTGGTGAGCCTCGATACAATTCCATCATCCCACTGGATCGGGAAAGGTGCTCCAAGGATATCCAAACGCAGTGCCTCCGGAGACGTTTTCGTATGGTCGTAAAGGGCTACCGATTCGGTAGAAGTTTGTGAGTCATCTTCATCTGGCGCACGTATCCCTCCCTCCCAGGCAAATTCCCGCAGATGAGGCATCGAATGATTTATCGGGAATGTTATTCGAACAACCGAGAAATCTTGTATCACAAATTTGAGCATGACACACCGCTCAAAGTACGGTGCGAGGGAGTCGATCCAACGCTCGAGGCGTGCAGGGCCCCATTGAATGAAGGAGTTGTCCAGCTCAATTATTAGACGCAAGTGCGCTGCGACAGAACGCTCCAAACACGTGTGCATAAATGGATTGAATTCTCCAGCCTTGATATGTATATGTGTCCAAAGGGAGGGAGTGTGCAGTGCGACCTCTCTCCAATGATGACAGGTCGATGAAATAGTCTGGAGTGTCGCATGTTCCCCTTTAGCTTCCATGACGCTTCCTGAGCAGGCCCATGCAAAGATATCCGAAAGCAATGCATCTGGTATTCGACAGTAAGGAGAGGAGGCATTGGCCACGCGGTTCAATCCACAACGTGCGAGAGCAAGCTCGCGATTCAATGCCGCCAGGGTGCTTTCTACCGCAGAGACCTCAGAGGAAAGTTGGTATATTTTTGAGTCCCACTGCGACCGCACGGTCTTTCTTAACATGAATCCGAGTCAGAGAGGTCATAGAATAAACCATACCTCACTTACGCAGAAGATTTGATTCGTTCGACAAGTTGCTGAGAGGACTCTGAGCTTCTCTCAATGCGGGCTTGCAGCGCAGCAAATAAGTTCAGCCTGGTATTTCTGGCGAGCAAACGACTCAGTACTAACATTAACACGCGGCATCGCTCCAGCTCACTGCTCGTTCGAATCAAGATCCATTCTGTCACGCTCCACACTTGAACAATAGCTATGTAAATCTTGTCACGCAAGTCACAGCAAGACAACGGAAACAAAGTGACCTTTTAATTTCTGACAAAGCGCTCTGCATGTCGTAAAAAGACTTCTTACTAGCGAATTGTGTGCAGTCAATAATGACTAAAGCTCAGCTTCACTTTAGTAAACTAAAATTTGACAATGTACATACTATGTAAGTCGCAAGCAGCTATCTACATGAGCTGTTAGTAAGAGTCATAACAATCAATCAAAATATCGCTCTCGACCCAGCCCCAACTGAGGGAGGCTTTGAGCGAACAGAATGCGTGACATTTGTGTTAGAACGTTGAGGTTCAAGCGCGTAAGGCGCGGCGATTGAACGAAGAAAATGAAAAAAAAAATTTTTTGGTCACACGACCTTAGTGGCCGAAAGCCACTAGCACTCTAAAGACCCGAAGCAGCCGTTGAATTTCCAACAATTTCTATATCTCATTACCGCAACAGCTATGTAACATCGGTAGTAACAATGAAATGGAGAACAACCGTCGGCTGCCCTAAATGTTTAGTCTCATTTACCGATGAAGAATCAATCCTGTGCTTGGATCCTAGATAAAGGAGTAATTCACCGCGTAGATATCGCTGGCGCAGGGTTGGAGATGCGAATCTTCTTGTACGCGTTCAATATGATCTCGTTAGCCGTAAGGGTCACTATCGTATGTCTGGAGGAAACCCCCGTGCATCAGGATCAGCACGATACCAGACAGACGGGATACATGAGTCAACGCACGGTGATATCCGCAGGAAGTGAGCTACAGATCCTGCAGTCCCATATATGAGCGCTGGACGATCAGGTCATTTGATGTACGAACCTTTGTACCATCCAAATATACCTTCCGCCCGTAATGTTTTCCATAAACAATCTAACGGGCTCTTATAGAGTAGCCCCACAGTCCTCCCATCAGGGAGCCGCTCAGTTGGTTGGTTATACATTCGTGTTAATGTCTTATACATACGCTCAGTGCACCGCCGACTCCGCCCCAAGTTGCACTTACCGTATCCCCGGGCTGCATGACTATGCACTATCGAAGAATGAGATTGAATGCCCCTATGTCTGGGAATGCTAATCACGCACCACGCACACACCTGAAAAAGCGCTGCTGACAAGGAAAGTCCATGTGCTATCAGGTCGCATCAACTCATACTCGGAAAGCTTGCTCTTAGCATATGTATAGCTGGGGAGTTGCACCTTCAGCTGTGATCAGCGACCCCAAGGGTTTCGTAGCAAGAAGGTCGTACAGAAGATCCCATTCCGGTCCGCAAAATGGCGGCATCCATACCTCTAAGGTACCCTTTCAAGCCTTCGGCCTTATATATTTGTTGAAGAGCATCAAATGAAGATTTGTAATACCGTTGTGTTCCCACAGGCAGAGTTGGGGAATACGCCTAAAGGATGGAAATGCCTCAGAAAGAAATCGTGACCCTACATTCGGATGAGCGTGCCTGCATTCGTGCCTTAACTAAGAACAATGGGTTTCCCAACATCGCTAACAGTGAAATAGTGAATGAGGTATAGCCGAATAGGGATTGACCATACCGTACCTCCGATGACACCACTCACAGCTCCTAATGTACGACGGAGAACACGTGTCGCTTAAGCAAGTCATCGTTTTGGTTGGGTCTTTCCAACTCACCCGCTGTCAGAGCTGGGGCCGCCAATGCTTCGGAAGGGGCTGCGCCGACTGCTCTATTGAACACTACTCGCAGCGGCTCATAGAATCCTGGTTATTGAAATGTTCAATCCCTCATCATGCTATTTCAGTTTAATAAGAACAAACCTAGACGCGACCCATTTAGTAACATCTGCAATGGGGATAAGCGATCGGGGCAAAAGAAGGAAGTAATAAGCTCACCTGGTATGCATACTAACGATCAAGTGAGCACTCGCAAATAGCATCAATGTATAATAAGCAAGCTCACTGCCGGTATTAGGCCACGCTGTATCCCCCTTATTCCCTCCAATTTCCATGTCCTCTTGAAGACATCTAGTGGCCCAGAATACACATTGCCACCCTTGCGTAGCTCCGCATCAAGTTGGAGGCGTGTTTTCGTGACTTCAGCGGGATTCGACACGGTGACCTTCACGAACGGAACTGAGATTGCGTACAGACATTGTGTGGGAAGCTTACAGCTGCACAACCGGCGAGACCGCCACATACAAATGTCTCGAGTTGAGACAACGGACGAGGTTTGGTTTGGAGTGCAGTACCCATCGTTGGATTCGAGTTATCGTTGTCAAAATTTTATGGATGTTCAGCGTCCCTCTCAGTAGCAGAGGCACTATGCTAGAAACGGGGCTTCTCGCAAGAGCGACAGGGGTAGGGATCTTCAGTGTAATTACACTGGAAGTTCAAGGCCAATTAAGCCCGGTGGCTGTCCATCACAGTTTTTTCCGAATAAATTGAGTTCCGAAATAAGTATGACATTGACAGCATGTACTAGCTCTGACGTTTCTCCTTACCCCGTGGTCGTTGTTTGACCACCATTGTGTTCCCCTTCGGCCCTGGCCTTCTAGTTCTTTTCCCCTTCGTTAACCAACCCCAAACCGAACGAGGATGTGAATTACCCTTCGACTTCCCTCTGCCACCACCTTGAGGATGGTCAATGCTAGAGAAGAATAGGTCAGAAACGTTATGGTAGCAATTAACAGTTATAACGTACGCATTCATCGCAACACCACGGACGCTTGGCCTCCATCCGAGGTTCCTCGCTCGCCCCGCCTTCCCCAAGCTTCTATCCTTCCAATTGGGATTGCTAACTCTTCCAACAGTCGCGCAGCATTCGTGTGGGACTTTGCGAATTTCCCCGCTCTGCAGCTGGACTTGAGTATACGATGCCTTTCCTGACACGTAGTCTTCGTGTGCAACCACTGTGCCAAACGAACCCGCAGAACGAACGAGTATGCCTTCCCCATCTGGTCGTAATGAGATGCAGTGAATGAGGGTCCCAGTAGGGATGAGGCGGAGAGGAAGGACGTTTCCAGGTCTGATAGTTGTAGCACGTAGTACGCCCAATGACAGGGATTGAGTTGCATCAGATTGGACGCTGGAGTGTGAACCTTCAGCTTCTTGGGGAAGTTTTGAGGCCGATTTTGATTCCACAGCAGGTAGCTGTGAGGGTACAGAAGCCGTGGTGCGTGTCAATCTACCCTGTACATGCCGTCTGCACTCCAAGCCGAGCTTGGAAATATTAGGTAGCGGTCGCTCTCTGCGTCCAACCCACAGAGGATCCATGAATCCCTGTATGAGGCCGTCGGGGATTCCCTCACGATAACTCGTTACTGTATCTCCTGCCCTCAAACCTTCACAGGCGAGAATGTAACTGTATGGTTGCTCTGCATTGGGATCTCGATGTTTAATGAGAGCGATATGCGCACTTCGTCCTGGATCAAATTCTATGCGAATAACATCTTGAACCCCCGGCTCCACTCTCGTAAAATCTATAATTCGTATGCGGCGCTTGTGGCCACCTCCTCGGTGTCGCACAGTAATACGGCCTTGATTATTTCGTCCACCTTTCTTCCTCTTTGCTATCGTCAAAAGGCCTATCGGAGGCCCTGTGTATAGATGCTCTGATATAGGCCGGCGGAGGTGTCGCAATCCCGGAGTGACCGGCTTGTACGTTTTAAACTGTGAAGCATTTTCAGACAGAGCATCCAGGAATGAGGGTTGATCAAATTTAGATGCTCGATTGGAGGCTGTGGCGGGTAAACTGGTAAATATGTTCCGTCTACATTGCAGAAACGGTCCTATGGCACGCAATGAGACGCGAGGCAGCATGTGTATCTCCTTTCACTGTTCAGGGCCTGAGATTGGGTTGGTCGGTTACACCCGGTCGCTAAGATCTCATTTCAAACACAAGCGCCCACCTTGGCGTGTGACATGCGGTGACTTCCGTTCCCTCCTCAGGCTTGTTCAATCCCTACAAGCGGAATTCAAACGATAATCCCAGCTGGTACGTCTCCCTAGGTAACGTCTCCTTCAGTATCCGCAGTTTAGGGGTCCTTCTTTCGCATCCCTTGCACATGTTCCCGGCCCAAAATTGGTGCCGGGTTGCACGAGTTTTCGGGCTTCGTGGGAGCCGTTTGCCGGCTTTCTCAACTCCCCCAACTTTTTGTTCTTCGACTACTGCCCGGACCAGTGTCTTTAGAACACCAAATTTTTAGGCATGTCTGATAAGTACGACCTTTCTCAAGCGGTTGGGGCAGAATTGCCAAGCGTCAACGTATAAGCCTAGTTTCTCGCTCCTCATACTTCAAAACTGAGCTTGCTCCGCAAACCAGGTTGCTTGGACTACTCGTGACTTGCTCTTATACGCTCTAGGCATTGGCGCTACCAGATTCGACCGCAATATCACTTACGGTACGCTTTGATGCTTTAGACATCTTTGCACTACCTCCGCTGATCAACGGTGCCGCTAGAACTCGGCAAGCCTCATCTGCTTGAGAGTCAAGGCTGAGTTTCTCAAGATATCATCTTCTAGATAAGGACTTTGCGCCATTCCCTACTTTTCCCGTAGTTCTAAACTTCAAAGGTGTGCTTTGTTGGACCTAGTGCAGCGGGTTGAGTGAAACTTACTACTTAGCCGGCTTCGTTCAATTACAGGGGACAGCGCAGATGTCATCGATTTCAATGCAAATACCCTCAAAGAGGACAAGGGTATCCCTGGTTTGCCGAAATTTGATCCCAGGTAATTGACTCCTCATTGTTCAACTCCTCAGCTGACTATGCCCTACAGTCGTATCGTATGTTGGAGATCCTTGCGTTTGGTAGAAATAATTTGGACGCAACATCACTTAGGTTCACGGAAGTCAATATGTCGAAGTTCTGAGAGATATCCCCGTGAAGTCCGGACAAGGATGGAAAATCAAGAAGCGAATTGTTGGTGTCCATGAGAACAGTACGCGGAGAATGCTACCACTGTTTCCTTTTGTCTCCTAACAGCCTCACTACGCAGAGTCTGGCATTGTCGTGGACAATGAACTCGTTCTGGTTGACGGTAATGGAACTCCGTACACCCGCTTGTTGGTGAGTAACTCCTTTCTCATTAGACGCGATTCGCCAGCGTGACGGGTTGTAGTCATCCACTTTTAACCTTGGAGCCAAAGCTAATGGCGTCAAATTTGACAAAAATATTGCCCCAACACCGACGCCATCCAGGTCTGTCCCGAAGGGGGTACATCCATCAGCGACATTCCGGGATTATATCGCGGACAATCAGGCAATTTTGTATCGACTGAGTGGGGACTATAATCCTTTACACATTGGTATGTCCTTCAAAAGAGGGTCGTCGTATGATATGCAGCTCAACGAATACAACTCCTGAAGACCCTGCCATTGGCGCGCGTGGAGGATTCATGGGAATCATCCTGCATGGCTTGGCATCTTATGGAATTGTGGCTCGGGGCCTCATCGCAAGCCTGGTAGATGGAAACCCACGTGCTTTGAGGGCACTCTTTGTCCGCTTCAGTAGCCCCGTCAAGCCAGGTGGTAAGTGTGATCCCGTTCTCCCGTTCTCTGCCTCTTATGCATAGAATTACGATGCAGACACGTTGGAGACCAAGGTGTGGGAATTAGGTTCAGGACCAGATGAAACAACGGAGTATGTCTTCACAACCACCAATCTAACTACAGGGAAGCCTTGCCTCAGTAACGGCCTCGCCTACATTAAAAAGTCTCCCAGGAGTAAGTTGTAACTCTATTGCTGGTGTCTGCGCAATGTCTATAATTTGCACAATTTTGAATTCAATGTTTGCTTCCGGACCTGGAACGTACGTGGCAAGTAAATTTGAGCCACATTCTTGACACACTCCTTCGTTGACCATGAGCGGCTGTGAGTTTTCATCCCTTTTCTGCAATTTCGAGACAGTACTGTGAAATGAGCTCGTCTTCTACCTGAATTCAACCTGCTGCCACCAACACGCTGTGAATTGTGACATTGACAGAATTTCAGTCAGGTTCTTGAATTTGGTTCGGCCTTTCCTTCCATTCCTCCCCGAAGTTTCTTCTCCCGAACGTAAAGTGAGTGTTCGGATGTCAGGAAGTGTGTCTACCTAGTTGCTTAACTCGAGATGTGAAGGTCCCGTTCACCCAAAAAATATCATGGACCGCTGTCACTCTCCTCATCTTCTTGGTGTGCAGTCAAGTCCCACTATACGGCATCATGTCATCCGATTCGTCTGATCCCCTATACTGGATGCGTGTTATCCTTGCTTCGAACCGAGGCACTCTCATGGAGCTTGGCATCAGTCCTATCATTACTTCTGGAATGATTATGCAACTTCTTGCTGGAGCAAGTCTCATCGACGTCGATTTCAGCTTGAAAGAGGATCGCGCACTCTTCGGTGCTGCCCAAAAATGTGAGGGCAACTTATTGGTCCTGGAGCGCGGCGACCTCATATGCTCACCCTTTCACTTCTTGCACATTTAAAGTGTTTGCACTTGTGATTTCTCTCGGACAAGCTACCGTCTATGTCCTTACAGGATTGTACGGCCAGCCACGCGAGCTTGGTGCCGGCGTTTGCCTCCTCTTAATCTTGCAGCTGGTTTTTGCTGCTCTCCTCGTCATTCTCCTTGACGAGCTTCTGCAGAAAGGCTATGGCCTTGGTTCTGGCATCTCGCTTTTCATTGCCACCAATATTTGCGAATCAATAATTTGGAAAGCTTTCAGTCCCACCACCGTGAACACCGGCCGTGGTCCAGAGTTCGAAGGCGCGATTATCGCTCTTTTCCATCTTTTGTTCAGTTGGAATGACAAATCTCGTGCGCTTAAGGAGGCATTCTGGAGGGATAGGCTCCCCAACATTTCCAACTTGATTGCCACTGTTATTGTGTTTGCTCTGGTTATTTATCTCCAAGGTTTCCGTGTGGAGATCCCCGTCAAGAGTAACCGATTCCGTGGGCAGCGCGGGGCATATCCGATCAAACTCTTCTACACCAGCAATATGCCCATTATGCTTCAGAGCGCTCTGACGAGCAATATTTTCATCGTTAGTCAAATGTTGTATAATCGTTTCCCCGATAATATCTTCGTCCGACTCCTCGGCGTTTGGGAGGTAAGCAACGCACACCACATGTAGCCGAACTATCGCCCTAACGTGCATCGGCAGCCAATCGAGGAATCCGCTCAACTAGCTGCCAAGTCTGGTATTGCGTACTATTTGTCGCCACCTCATTCTCTCAAAGAATTTATCGTCGACCCTATTCACTCTACTTTATACATTGTATTCATGGTTTTGGCATGCGCCATGTTCTCCAAGACTTGGATTGAAGTATCTGGTTCCGGACCCCGCGATGTTGCTAAGCAACTGAAGGAGCAACAAATGGTATGCGTCGTCTTTACCCACAGTTTGGCTCCTCCCGCCCTTCCTCGGGCATCATTATCACCAATTGATACGAACTGAGATTCTCATTGATCAGGTCATGGCGGGTCATCGTGAAGGAAGCGTGTACAAGGAACTGAAGCATATCATTCCTACTGCTGCTTTCTCTGGAGGGGCGATTCTTGGTCTTCTCAGCGTCGCAGCGGACCTCATGGGTGCCATCGGAAGCGGAACTGGAATTTTGATGGCAGTTACGATCATTTACAGCTGTGAGTATTGGAACAAGGGCAGCCTTCTTTATGATATCAGTACTCACCGTATCTGCAGACTGGGAAATTGGTATGCGGGAATCTCAAGGTCCTGAAGTGGCAGCGTTTGGGGAGCTTTTGGGCTAAGACAGCCATGTCGCCGAGTTCAGAATATGGGCTGTTGTTGAGTCGAGGCCCATGTAGTCGTTTGCCCCGCCTTGGTTATTCTTCCATTGATCGGTCGTGCATCATATTAATCATATTCGGCACAGGGTTCAAGTTCAATAGCTATCGATCACTTTGCAACTGAGGCATTGGTTTTCAGTGACAAGTATCATCTATGTTCACCCTAGGCTTGGGGGATCATATAGATGTGTTCTTGATTGATGGGGCATAATGATATAAGCCCTTATGAGCATGTATGAAGATAGAGTGGCGGGATTGACCACCGCGAGCCAGACACAAGCGAGAACGTGCGTTATAAATTGTTGAGATAAGGTAAACGTTGATATGATATGCGCCGGTTATTTTGATCCTGAAAATTACTAGGATGGCGGATATCAGCGTGATACAGGGAGTTCCCGATAAGTGAGGGCAAAAGTTCTGCCGCTGGTTGTAGCGACCACACGCTCCTGCAAGCATTAGTGTCGGCGTTATGGACTGGAATGGTAGGATCGTCAATGTTCGATGGCGGCCGTCATCAGAACTCCATGCCCCGGCCCTGAGAGGAATCACCGAATCATTGATGGGACCATTGCTCTATTAGTCACATGCATACGGTGTAGGCCCGCCTTTCTTTTGGTCTGGGGTCAATACTATCAGGTATCCTACACTGCCCAGTTCATGAAGGCGCGCGTATTACCAAATTCAGGTACAGATCTTGCACGTTTCGGGCTATTCCGCGCACCGGGATCTATTCAGATCAGCATCGACTTGGACACACCCTCACAGCGGTACTTTCCACTATTTTGGTTGTACTACCTCATTGCATTGAAGACATTTTGATGGCCATGCGCGGCAAAAGATCCGAACCGTTGTTTCATCAGCCCATGCGACATACAAGAAACGGTTTGACGGCATGGCAGCCTCCGTCCATGGGCTGAGCCAAAGAAAGATGGCAAAGTTAGGATGAGAAGCGAACCATTAATGCTGAACACAGGTTTATTCTAGGTGCGCACTAGTATGTGACACAGTGGAGCGTTGCAGCTGCGAAACGTGCTGAGGAAGTCTGCAGGAGTGGGCAGCGATGAGACTGCCATAATAGGAACAACCATGGCGGAATCTTTTCGCCGATCAGTCCGTGAGGCATTTGCTTGTGTGTACAAATAACACACCGTAGCTTTGTACTTGGACTTGGGAAAATGATATGGCATCAAGCCAATTTATGACACCAATCTTGCCGAGCTAATTCCTACTTCCTACCAACACAAGGCACGATTTCTCCAGCGTCAGGACCGTCCTCTCCGCTCTTATTGCATTCTACTTTTGGCCGCGTCAATGCAACGGCCTCCACCACCCCTCCCATAACTTTTGGTGGATCGAAATAGTTTCTTTATATACATATAACCTATATCATCAAATTTCCTCCCACTCTTTACATAGTTCATGTCGTTCGCGATGCGACTCGTGCCCCCCTCCCCGCGCATGCAGGACGAAACTTGTGTAGGAAGGTTCGTCCGTTATGATTGCGGGCCTCTCGCGGGTCGCGTTATCAGGTACGCGCCCACGCATTGATCTATCGGGACTTTAACGCTGATGGTGTCCCGTAGAGCAGAGCTGCACGAGTTCCAGAAACCGGATATGGGGAGAAAGTCTGTCGTCCTCATGTTCTCCATCCCAATTCGGTGCTTATTCCTCTTTCCAAAGATTTGCGAAACGTGACAGACGCCCCCTCGACCCGCCTCCTGTAATTCGCCTTAGAATGTTTGAGCTGCTAAATCCAGGATTGCCGTCTGAGCAGGAAGCTGAGTTGCCAGCTGAGTACGCGGACACATACACTCCAATTCCGTTCGATATCGCAGCGCTCACTATATCATCCAGCGATATCGATGTATCGGGTTTAATTGCACACATAGACTTATTTCCTGTCCCCCCTCCTACTGAAGGTCAGCCCGCACCTTCGTTCCCTCCACCCCCAGTTTCCGTGGACTTGGGTTTCCTTGGTCCATCTGCATTAAGCCCTCGACCATCCTCACGTCATTCAGAGCCCCATCTTGGAATACCCACCACTCCTGCCACGCCCTCATCCCCAATACCAGCTACTGGCTCAGTGTTTGGTTCATCGTTCGTGCATGCAGTGCATATGGATTGGAGAGGTGAACCCGTCATTTTCTTCGTTTTCTCCGATGTTAGTGTAAGACAAGAGGGGTACTTCTGCCTGAGATATCGCTTCTTTGACTTGTTTAGGTAAGTGTGTCCTGAGACCCCAGGTGCTTGTCACACCGCATTATGTATTGATATCCTTAGTAGTCGAACTGCGGGATCCAGCGACGTTCCCATTGCAGCAGAATTGTATAGCGGAGGATTCGTTGTGCATTCAACAAAAGAGTTAGTCCTCGTATTGACTATTTTACATCAGGGTGGCTTAATCCAGCTTACCAATCTCACCAGTTTTCCGGGTCTTCAGCCATCCACACCTCTCACGAAGCATCTTTCGAGGTGGGGCGTCCGGGTGAACCTACGCGAGGGCGACCGGAGGCGAGCGGCTGGCGACTCAAGCGATGATGATGATTCGCGGGACCGCTCGGCTAACAGCAGAAAAACACTAAAAAACGCACGGCCCCCAACCAGATAAGGCCAACCTAATGGCATAAGCTTCACTGGCTTGCGACACCCATGACTGACCGTAATCGTCGTTTTCATGGCTTCCTGATAATCGTCCGGTAGCCCGTTCCCGTGGGACTTGCTTTTGATCATGCTTGAAAAAATCTCCCATAGAATCTCAGTTCATAGGCTCGGAGCTAGCGATTTCCTTCCGCAGTTGGCCTTCTAGCGTTCATTGTGCGCGCTCCCCCAAAAAAGACTGGGCGTTCCCGACTAATGCTCATATTAGAGTATTTCCTATAGCACGCGTCAACCCCTCCTATTCAGAGCTGTACCGATCCCGTGCGGTTTTGATGCATGAGTCGACATTGTTTCAGCAGCTTCCTCCTTGTATTTTGTTGTGCTTTCAATAGTTGTCTTGATGACACGGTTTTGCAGGCAGTGTAACCAATGAGAACCCCCCTGTGAGTCTTCTCACAGGTCATTAATTCTAAATCAGTTCGTATACAGTTGTCTGCACCCAAATTCTGGGAAAGTGCACAACTGACTTGGTTTTCTATGCATGAAACCCCCTGCAAAGTCGTTCAAAGATTTGGTTTTTCTCAAACTCTCAGAAAATCGGCAAGATAAGCGCCACGGTTCCACGGATGTCTCATGAAGCCGTGACTGATAACGGACTGAGTGGAAAATTTGATGTTGCATATATCACACTTCGGGTCCCAGCAGTTATATTTCAGTCGCGTAATTTCAGTCACAAATTCGATCAGAATTCCAGAACTGTACTCTGATAGGCACCTTCATCCCCCTGACTCGGCGTCGTGTCGTGCAGTGCCGTTTGACCGCGTACGATAAGAATTCTTCTCATCACTTTGATGTGACTACATTGCGGCACCAACTTGATGGCAGATCTTATGTTGTCTCGCACTCACTCTTATGTATGTTTCACTCAGTTCTCTATAAAGCGTCTAATCCTCTTTGTCCCGCGTTTTTGTACTTTTGAGATGATGATGTCTTCTTGATCGTGCCTAAAGTTCGTGCAGCATCTGGAGAACGAATCACGATCGCGAGCCCATGATCCGCGTTTCACTCTTTGGCGCCCCTAACCTGTATGGATAAAGTTTCGATAGAAAGTGAAAGTGATCCCAATGACTTGTGGGGAACACGATCGGGTGGTGGAACAACGTCTTACTCAGGACCCACCCCAATCGAAGGGACATTTAAGGCATAACTCACTCTGCGGAACTGGCTAGACTCTCAGTCAATTTCTCTGGACCGTTTCCCTTCCACACTGCGGCGCATTGAGGAGACATCTTCTAGCTACGAACAGTACATCACGGAAGGGACTTGAAACTTTTGTACTGCTAGAATTAAACAATCTGGCTGGATACTACGTTTTTATGTATGTTTTTAATGGCTCGTTGAAGATGCATGAACTGAATACTGATGGACTGGTTATTGGTGAAACGTGGCTCCTGTAGCTGGCTTTTACTCGAGAGCAATCCATCAGTGTCTTCTGATACTGGGCATTTGAGCAATCCAGTAGCACGCGGTAGGTAATATAATGTCTGTGAAAGTACAGGCGGCTCATGACCACTATTACCATTTCATTGATCGGATCCTCTCGCTCATCGGGCCCAAGTTAGAAAACCTAATAGCCGCTCAACTTGCACAACTGGTAGAATAAATCTTATACTTGGTTCCTTGTACTGACCGTGGTTTTCCAGACTTGAGAGGCCTTTTCGCTCTGTTCCCCCTGGCATAGGTGTCTGGATTGCCTTGTTGATACTCCCCTTTGTTCTGCGCACCGAGGTTGGAGACGTCCATTCAACGTTCCCCCTTTTTCCCGAGATGCACGCGCCCAAAGGCACTTATCCATTAACGAATGGGAAAGAAGCTTCCGGTTGGTAGGTAATGGCCTAACTAAGCGGCGAAAGGAGGCAAGTTGCACACCCGCACTTCCCTAATCCCCGAGGGAACAAAGAAAATCACTGAGGCTGATGGGTGACGAATGCAGAATTCCAGCATCTGAACGCATAAACACCTCAAGATTTTGATTCATTGTCAACTAGTTTCGTGAAGTCCGCGCCAGGATGTACATCATATGTAACATGGAGTGATCTTTTGGCCCAACTAAGCTCAAGATCTAGCGATCCGATCCCAATGTGCAGGGCGGAGGCACTCACGGTTGATGCACTGGAGTTCTGGCCGTCTCGCAGTTTGGGCTTGTTGGACCGGGGCGATAATCATATGATTTAGAATGTTCCCGTCTTTGGTCGGCTTCACCCTTCTGGCAGGGCCTGATATAACAAATACAACTCTCTTTGTGGGCTATTTCACGCTTTCAGTTGCTCCACTTATCTCAGACGCGGAAGAACTACTCACGGATCATTCCTCTTACGTCGGTTAAATGTTATCATTGCTCACCGACTGGATTCTCGAGTATTGGAACACGCTCCCGCCTCATGTCTTCCTCATGCATGCTGAGAGGTGGGGTCCGCGAGCGGAAGCAATCGAGAAGGTCTGGCGAGTCTAGGGCGAGCAATGGGTCGGACGAAACGTCAAGCTGACCGCTCGCTCCCAGAGAAGGCGCCCTTGACATACCCCGAACGCTCTGGAATACATATGATGAGCCCGACACTAGTTCTCGTGCTTGAACAGGATTGGAGGGCAAAGATTGTGTGTCGCGCGAACGACGCCCACTAACAGGGGTTTGTGGTACAAGGACTACACGGGTAGGATGGTTGCCAAGAGGGCGATTGCCGGCGACTGCGTTATCAGTGTGTACTGCCGTAAGATGTTATTCATGAGATGGCTAGGATAATCCATTCAGGTTGAGATACTGCTCACCATATTCAGGACCGGAGCCCTCACGGGAGACATTCCCTTTGTGGTTCCCAATCAAGGAGTGAGATGATGCCCTGTCCGATGACTGGCGATATTGTCGTGCATCTTTTGCGGTGTGATGAAGGTTGTTCAGCATTACCCCCTCTCGATGAACGTGGGGCTGCAGCTGCACGGATGCACTTCGACGCATGGATACTTCCTTTTTTATCTGTTTACTTGTGTCTGGTCGATGGATAACGAGATTGCGTGGTTTCACGTCAATCACCGATTCCGCAATCACAGAATGGCTACGACTGCGGCTCCTTGGGCATGCTGCCTCTTTTCCAACACGCGCATCCTCGACTTCAACTTGCAACCCGTCCTGCAAAGCATTGGCATATGATGACGAAGAGAGGGCTGGCGAGGGAGAACGGGAGAGTGATCGGGGCACATCTTCCGTCGGGAAACACTTCCGCCGGAAAGATTCATAAAGAGATGATAATACTCCCGAAAACCTTGGAGGTATGGCTTGTTCAGGTCACATCCTCCGGACATGTGCAGAAATAAACTTACTCGGGCCGAACAATACCTTCGCAAAACTCTTGGAGCCAGTCTTGGCCCATATCTTTGATGTCACCTTGAAAGCTGTCCCCAATTGGTTGCCTGGGAGTTGTGACAAATTCTGTTTCGCGCCAAATGCTCAGGCGATCAGTGAGGATATCAAGAACATCCTCCATAGGGGCGTCAGATCTGTGTCCTTTCGTGAGATTCCTCTTGTGTTTTCTTTTCCTCTTACGTTCAGCTGCAGATGGCGGAGGTGATGGTAAAGAGAGGACCAAGAAGTGCAACAAGACCTGGATTAGAGTTCTATTGGGAAGGAGGTCACATTTGCAAACGAAAACGAACACACTCCCTGTTTCGCTTACTCGCGCCGTTCGATACGATGGAGCCATCGTTTTACCCATGCACCTTCGTCTTCCCCTTCCCGCCGTCGTGCGTGTGTGATCGCAAAACAAATAAGGGATTCCTCTACCCCAATTTCCTCTTCCCATGAGGATTTTAGTAGTTTGGGAACTTCTACGCGGTACTTTGTTGCAATGTCTTGTGCAGAAAGCAATAGAGGTGACAGAATGGTACGCAAGGGGTGCTCCGCGGTTACATCATCAGAGGTCGTGGGGCCACGCGTCTCTACGCGTCGTAGAGCAGGTACAAGCCTCGATATCGAATGGATCTCCTCTGGGAGCCATAGTGTCTCATAATACACGCGTAACACGAAGTCCGTTGGCGCGCATTCTGATAGTGACTCAAAGAATGGGTAGGTCGAGGCTATTGGGAAACTGGCGATAGATTGATCTGCCCATGAAGCTGCGCAATCTATTGCTAGAGTATAGGGCATACAAGCAAGAACAGGCTCCAGAGTCGTCATCTTAAGCCAGCTGCAGCAGGCAGTGGCCGCACGCCATTGAACCGGCGAATTCCGCCATTCGCCCATTGAGCGAAGCTTGCAACTGCAATGTGCCAAGGCAGTGCAATGATCAGGTATCATGTGCAGTAAGTTCTATACGCGATGAGATGCTAATGCAGCTGTGCTGTGCAAATTCCATCCGCCTTTGTCCTTCCACCGAGACGCTGTCAGCGAGCGCAATGTATTCAGGCAGATCCCTTCCAAATTTGGCATTCTAATGCGCCTATACGTGCCCGTTCACCAGTCTTTGTATCCACCACCCCGAGAATGTGTAGCATCAACCCGAACCCTGATGTGTCGGGAATCGGAATACGACTCTCTGTCTATATTACCAGCACGATCATTGCCCTTATACCACGAATCCCGGAAACCGAGGAGTTGCGCAAGTCGTTAACTCAAGGCGCCGGTCTGAATGGAGTAGCGTTGCTAGTAGGTTTTGTTCATCTGCAATGCCACCCTCGCCTGATAAACCCTTCCTAAGCTTACCGCAGTGGTACAAACTGGATCAAACAGCTTGGATCTGTACCACGCCATTATTATCATCCATATGCTTGGTTTTCTTGGATTAGCTACGTATCCCGCTGGCTCTTACCGCGCTACCCCTGCCCGATTGGTAGTATTCTGGATTTCAGTGCGTTTTTCTCTAGATGTCAAATGTCTGCTATTAATGCAGTGCACGTTCCAGACATGGGCTGTTTATGCGACCTATTTAGCCTGGGTGACGTACATTTGGGTGAAGGCTCCTACATTCGGATCTCGGCCGGAGTGCAACAGCAGCACTGTCTATGTGGTGTTTTTCCGGGGGGTTCGAGCTACTGTTCCGTGGTTAAGGTGGTTGGCAGTCACATTTGCAGGCCTTGGAATGATACTGCTGCTGCGTATAGCGGCGATTCCAGTCATCACGTTTTCTCCCGGGAGAAAGCATAGCCAAAGGGCGCCTCGGGTAAACACATTGCAGCAATACACACCACCCCCACGAATTACTCAAGTCCCTGGTGATTCGCATGATCCCACCCCGATCCCACTGCATGTTGTCCGGAGCTCATCATTGGGCCTGCGACCGCCATCGATGGCAACGGCGGCTGCCGAAGACATGACGCACATCGAGCACATTCTTTCCCGTGAACCTAAATATGGCATTTTTACACGCACACTCGCCACTGTATATGGTATCGTTATGCTCGAACGTACCATCGCCAGCAACGATGTGGGACCCGGCGAAAATGTGTGGAGTTTTGGGCAATTTGTCGCGATAACCATTGTCATTGGGAGCGTCAACGAGGTCGTTCATTATTGTTTACACCTCCGTGGATATGGTTATAAGGAAATGACCATAGGAGAGTACATCGAAGGGTGAGTCTGTATCATCTTGGTTACGATGCGCCCTCATCATTGTAGAGTCCCTAAGTCTTCGCCCGTCAACGATGGACCCCCAAACGAGTCACCAGTCTAGCTCATTTTCCCCCGAATTCATGAAAAATGCACGCTGCATGATCTACAACGATGGATTTATCCCTACAACAAATTTTCACCACGCTGGTTTTGTACTACATCCCATTTCCTTGCATGGACTAGACCAATACTTCTCATGTAGCCCACAGGTCGGCTCCGATACCCCGTATTCAATCGACACTAATGATTCCCTTCACCACATTTGCGGTTACGATGCTGAACGCATCCAAGCTGTTCTCGAGTTTAAACTGATGGGTTATCATGAGCCTTTCTATATCCCCCACATGACACTCGTCCGATTGCGGCAGGCCAGGTTGACTCGTGACATCGGAGATCGATCTGTCAAGTGACGAGTTTTGAGATGACTTCCCCCGTTAATGATGTGAATCCTGCACACCTCACGGTCCACGATCGCTCCAAAAGGATAGGAGACGTCAGACACTCTAATTTGAAGCAAAACTCCAAAATCTAATGCCTGACATAAATGTGCGTCAATGAATCCACCGAATGCATTGTACGTATATACAACGTACTAGCACGGTAGATTGTATATTAGACACCTGAGCATTCGATTCCAACCTCTGGTCGGTCTTGGCTTGCACAATTCCAAACGCAATTTGTTCTGGATTTTTCCCAGTGGAGTTGATGGTGTGAGTTGCATCGATTTTCGCTGCTACTTTGAGTCTTTCCTCGTTTATGTCCGTGATAACAATAGGCCCGCTGCATTGGCTAATGCAACAGCAGGGAGGCCTACTGCGCCTGTACCAGCAATAAGACCCGGTTGACCTAGCCTAAGGTCTGCGCGTCTGATACCCGCCAAGGCAACAGATAATGATTCCAGGAGAGCACCCATATTGAAGTCGGGCGTTGACGAAGCCATGCTGCATTGTGCGGGATGTGGCGACGCAAGGTACTTGGTGTCCCAGGCGCTCCAGTGGAAGCAGTTGTTGAAGGAGTTGTCCCGCACAAATTATGCTGACCACCGAGACATTGATTGCATGTGCCACAGAATATTGTGGCCCTGTTCTTCGTATCATGACATTCTGTACGGTTCGAACTGAGTGGAATTACTCAATTGCAATTCGATCAGCTTCGTGACATGTTGCACGACCTCAACAACTCCCTCTGAGCTTTCATGGCCTAGACCTAGAGACACCTTTACGATGATCGGACCCACACACCCACACTTCCAGAACGTGATATCCGATCCGCGGATCCCTGTGGCCCTAATACGCATAATACGGAGACGGGGGTTTCAATTACCTCTGGTATCAGCACATCGCGGATAAGGAACCGAATGCTTAATCGTGGTTGTTGTTCGTGAACAAAGCTGTGCTATCGTTCGTGGGGTATCGATGTGAATGAGAGGGTACATTCTGATCGACCCAATTTATTGAACGAGCTGAGCTTGCAAACAAATGACCACAATCAAAATACTCCTCATGACTTCCATCCTAATCATTAGCTGCACAATTGAGCAAGGTCCTGTCGGATTCTCACTATCTGATAAACGACCTAAGCATGCCTCTCCGTGCCCAAACAGAGCCTTTTGGATGACAGAACCCATCTTGGGTGAATGAAACATTGGTGCGGGGCACAGCAAGCAGTTTCGCTTTTAAAAAATCGACGCTATGAGGAGCGCTGACCCTATGAGGAAAGGAGCTTAAATGGCGCTTATTTCAGACTCGCGTAATTCTCACGGCCAAGGTTGTGTGAGATTGAATTGTGGAGATTGCCGGTACCGCAAGCGCTTCTGCCTGGATGATGGCAGAGGACCAGCCTGGCGTTGAGCATCTACCGCCACCATCTTCTCTCACGGAACAGTTGGCTTTGCGGCAGTCAGGATTACGGATGAGTGAGTCTCCTTCCATGGAAGCGACAGCGGTTCCTTCACAAGCAAACACCCAAACTGGTCCACAAGCCGCTCTGTCTCCTCCTGTCATCCATACCCCCTCGCTGCCTGGGCCCACAATCCTCCCTCCACTTCCTGTTGCATCGCCTTTCGGTGTTCGACCCGCTTCTATGCTCAGTATGAGCCTAGGTTCCATGCCTGGGACCCCAGCAGCGATGGGTTCGTTCCCAGAATCGGGAATGCTGACCCCCGGAATATCTGCAAACGCACCCTCTACGACACCTGTCTCTCCTGGGGCGCGTCCTCTCAATGTCAAAGATGCGCTCTCGTATTTGGAGCTGGTGAAGGTTAAGTTCAGTGACCAACCCGACGTCTATAATCAGTTTCTCGATATCATGAAGGATTTCAAAAGTCAATCGTGAGATTCGTTTTCCCGGTCGATTCTACGGCGTGAATTTACTTAGAACGCTATACAGGATCGACACTCCAGGCGTCATCGATCGAGTCTCGACCCTTTTCACCGGTCATCCGTCTCTGATTCAAGGCTTCAATACATTTCTCCCCGCTGGTTATCGCATCGAGTGTTCCCAGGATGGGCAAGACACCAACGTCATTGTCACTACACCTACTGGCACCACAACGACCACCGCTGGTTCTGGCATCAGCAATCTTTCTCGCGTTGCCAGCGGCGCGGAGAAGAATCCAACGAACATATCCAATATTCCTTGGGCTTCCACAAGTTTTGTACAGGACGTGAATGGATCGTCTTCATTTACAGGTCCCAACTCACAAAGCGCACCAGGCGGCATCCCGCCTGTCCAGCCAGAATTCAACCACGCCATCCAATTTGTAAACAAAATCAAGAACCGTTTCGCCCAGGAAACAGAAACGTACAAACAATTCTTGGAGATACTCCAGAAGTACCAGAAAGAACAGCGTCCATATCAGGAGGTGTGTGGAATTTCTCAGTCTTTGCGATCCAATTGCCACTCAACTCTGTGTCAGGTTTACCAACAGGTCACTCAGTTGTTCAGGAATGCTCCAGACCTTATTGAAGAGTTCAAACAATTCCTTCCGGACCCGTCAGGCGCTTCTTCGTCTGGGGGTGGCCTTTTTAGCGTGCTCTCATCCGCACGCGAGATTGACGAGGGTGAGTTACGCGACAAGAGGAAGGCTGGGAGTGGAGGGGTTGGGAACATGGATAGAACAGGTGCCCCCGCTAAACGAAAGCGCCGAGTGGCTGAAAAGGAAGTGATTCCCCCTAAAGGTTCCCAAGTGAAAGTGGGTTCATTTTATTCGCCCCTTTGTTCCGGATTACTCACTGTCCGCATCTTTTAGCGTACAAAACATGCCCATAAAGCCGATGGCGATGGTCCATATGGTCCTGGTGGCTCTCCCGGCCCCAGCGGTGTCAATGGGAGTGGCACAAATTATTCCCACCAGACACAAATCAATGGCTTCCACGTACCGCCAGCCGTTGACGAAAGGGAGTTCTTTGAGAACGTGAAGAAGTATATCGATGACAAACCCGCCTATCAAGATTTCATCAAGCTCCTGAACCTGTTTTCCCAGGAGATTATCGACGTTTGGACACTCATTGATCGAGTTCGACAGTTTTTGGGTGACGGAGATTTATTCCAACAATTTAAGGACCTATTAGGCATTGATGACCGTCATGCTGTTGAGGTGGAGGGTGGACTGAAGGGCGTGAGCGGCGTCGTGTCTGCGCTGGAACGCCCGCGCGTTGATCTGAACAAGTGCAGGAAATATGGTCCTAGTTATCGTAAGCTCCCTCGTACGGTGCGGCATGTTTCCCATAATGCAATTTTTGCACCACATGCTAACATTCCCTGCGAATTTCAGGAAGCCAAGTTGGCGTGTTCGGGTCGTGACGTGATGTGCTGGGAGGTGCTGAATGACGATTGGGTCTCTCATCCTACTTGGGCATCTGAGGACACCGGGTTCACTACCAATAAGAAGAACATCTACGAAGAAGCCCTGCACAAAAGCGAGGAGGAACGTCACGAATACGACTTCCACATTGAAGCAATCGTTCGTACGATCCAAATCCTTGAGCCCATCATGGCACGAATCAATCTGATGGATGCCGACGAACGAACGCATTTCAAACTCAAACCCGGTCTAGGTGGACAAGGGAAGAGCATTTACCAGCGTGTTATCAAGAAGGTATATGGTCGTGACCATGGCCTTGAGATCACCCAGGCTCTACACGATAGTCCAAGCATCGCCGTTCCTGTTGTTCTCAATCGCCTCAAGCAGAAAGATGAAGAATGGAAGCGAGCACAGCGTGAATGGAACAAGGTCTGGCGTGAGATGGACGCAAGGAATTATTACAAGAGTCTTGATCACCAAGGTGTAAACTTCAAAGTCAACGACAAAAAGACGGTCGCCGCGAAGCAGTTGGTTCAGGATATCGAGGCTAAACGCAAAGAACAATCTAAAGAACGAGCGAAGCTCATCGACCCCAGCTTCGCTCGAACCCTGCCCAAGGACCACTATGCATTTAAGCTTGACGATCATGTTATCCTGCAAGACATCGTAAAACTCGCCATCTCCTTCCTTGATCGAACTAGTACCGCTCAGTTCTCTCGGTCAGATAAGGTTGACATAGAATCTTCCCTTCGAGATTTCGTGCCCTTGTTCTTCGTGCTCAACAAAGGAGAGTTCGACGCTAGTTTCCAAGAAGTAGCAAACGTCGTTGTTCCTGTCCCACCGATCCCATCTGTTCGAGGCCATGAAGTAGAGAGTGATGCTGCTAGTGACGCCGTGATGGAGGAAGGAGATGACGCAGTGAGCGTGGCCAGCAATAAAGGGAAGGCCTCTCAGAAGAGAGGGCATGGAGCAGTGTCTGGTGCGGATCTTCGGAAACAACTCCTCAAGAGTGGAACCCAGTCTAGAAATCCGCGCAAAGGAACTAACAGCCAAACTCCGTCGCGAGCATCGCCCGCCCCAACACCGGCCGAGGTTGGTGCGGTGGATATCGAGATGAAAGATTCCCTTGCTCCGATCTTCGCTACGCACAACGAGCCGGTTCCCCCTCTATCCATCGAGAGTGACCAATTGTGGGTCAAGTACGACTCCAATGACGTTGAGGCAAAAAATGCATCAGCTTTCAAACCAGTGGTGCTGGAGACCACTGCTCGAAAAGTCAGCTTCTTCGCGAACAATGCATTCTATGTATTATTACGCCAAATTCAGGTGAGTTACGATGCCCATGGGCCTCATCTTCCTGAAATTTTGTTCGCTCCAGGTATTGTATCAAAGATTATATGTGTGCAAGCGCATTGCACAGGATTTAGCTTCTGATTCATCCGGTTTGTGGCTGGCTAACCCCACGGCTGTCGAGCTAGGTCTGCACGACACCGTTGGCCCTGGCCAATCACGCCTTCTTACTGAGGGACCGAATCCTGCAAAGCACTTTTATTCTTTCCTCTTGCAATGCTGTGAACAACTTTTCGACAGTCAAATGGACGTAAATACCTTCGAAGATAACTTACGATTTATGTTCGGTACACGTGCATATCTCCTCTTCACGGTGGACAAAGTTATTGCGGCCATAATTAAACAAGTATGATTGATTCAATCATAACTTGCCGTCCTCGATATTAAATCCCATCCAGGTACAAACGATAGCCGCTGATTCGAAGAGCCAGGAATTGTTATCGCTGCTCCGTCACGAAAGAGCATCCACGACGTTTTCAAATCAGCAACTTATCAGTTACCGCCGAGAAGCCGAGTCAATAGTTGGAGCTGAGGAGAATGTATACCGCATTTGTTGGGTATGACCAACAGCTGATCCGAACTGCCGACACTCACACCAGGTCCGTTACAGCTCGTCCCGTCAAACATCATGCAGATACAGCTTTTGGGAAAAGATGACATTAGCACTGATGACGCCACAACATTAACCGAGCGCTGGCGACATTATATTGAGTCTTACACTTTGGTAAACTCGCAACGTGCCTTGTCACTTAGCTTTTGCTCATGCGCCTTGTCTCCAGCCTCATCAGACCGAAGGGCTCCCATTCGATGTTAAAGCTCCTATCCTAAAACGGTTTGTGTTGTTAATGGACACCAGCCAAATGCGGTCCTCTAAAGTATATTTTAGATCAGTTAGCTCAGATCAAGACGGACTCCTGCCATCTTCTGCATATATTACTCGCGCTCGCCTCCAGATAAAGATTTGCATTAGGACTTATCGCCTCTTCTTTGTCGGTGGCACGGAAGACTTCTATTGGAGAAGACGATCGGACGAGGATATAAGAAGTATCCGATCTGAGACGTTGGACCGAAAGCCCCAGAAAAAGGCAGCGCTTGATAAATGGCTCGATGCAAAGATTTCCGCCGCAAAATCTAACCCTGGGGATGGCACACCTTCATTCACAACCGCGCCTACACGCATTCTTGATGCTGAGCCATCGGTCAAACCGGAAACAAGTGCTTCAGAAGATGTTGAGATGTTGACTGGTAGCGCTATCGAAGCGGATGGCAAGAGAGACGAAGCTGAGGGCAACGCAGCTGGGATTCCTGGCGAATCTGTGCCAACCGAAGACCCAAAAGTATCTGGGTCATCGAAGGATCTCCGCTCAAAATCTCCGCCTGCAGGCGCGTTCGTCTTCGAGCGCAAAGCTGCCTAGCGACTCCCAAATGGATGTGAACCTATTTCATGCATTTCCTGTCATTGTATCATGCATTATCTGCTTTGTTGTTATTCTGTAACTCAGATCTCAGATGAACCAGCCTTGGCCCCGGTCTCGTTTGAATGAATCCCCGACTCCATTCTGGCAAACGGGCCTCACATGTCAGACATGGCTTCATTAATTCCTCAAGGCGTTGCTACGCAAACTATCCCAGGCAAACTTGTAGCGCCTAGGAAGTGCCCTGGTTTGCCACTCATTGCCAACACGGTTCATATATTGTTGATGCGTGTTCCAAATTGTACCAACTGTCCTCCCCTCTAATTACGCGCAGCGTCCTAAGCGGGCCCAACCCGACCTCAGGACACGTTAACTACCCTGGTCCCTCCCTGTCGGTGTGCTGCTTTCTTTGATGTCGGAGCAACTTTGACACGCGATGTGCGGCTGACATTGCTCCAAGTTCGGGAACAGCATACTCTTCAGTATACTTCCCAAGAATGAGGCAACCAGAACAGGTGGGTGGTCCCCATGAGTTGTCGAAGCGCTGTTCAATGGTCATATAATGTGTTGATAGATAGTCATATTAAATTGTATGGACATCAGCTCAACTGCATAACAGCGAACGCGCATCCACCAATAATAGCCAGCCCCTTATGTTGTAGCTCAACTGTCGGAGACTACGAAGGGTGAGATCATTCGGAAGCCCCTCTGGAGCATGGACAGCCGTAACAGTGCAAACATTCCACTGAAGGAAGTGTCTCTAGAACCAGACGTGTTGCGATCTGCTTGGTAATCAACATGCATACCCAGAAGGTCAGCAAGACCATGAGCATACCCAGTGCCAAGCAAACATACCGCCATATGCCTGCCGAAGGGCTGAGTATTGGTTCGCTCAACTCTCCTATTTTGGAATCCTCTTACAGGAACGAAATGGAATCTTTTAATATATGGAGCAAGGCAAATGTAATCAAATTAAAATGAATATCTCAACAAAGTGAACTGTCGCACCCAGACTTGTACCCAGTCGGAGTCGGCTCGTGGAGTAACACGCAATTTGCCCTTTTCGCGCAAAAAAGGAGGGGGGCAAGCTGCGCGTGTTCACGAACAACTCCGCCTGAGTACGAGTCTGTGTCGCACCTGTGAAAAAATGGGTCCGAAAGGAATCTCTCGACAGAGCGAACCCCTGCACCCGTCAAGGTAAGAACGAGGCAACCAGACAGGTGGTTCCTCACGAGTTGCCGAAGCGCTGCTCAATGGCCACATGTGTTGATTGATATCGTATTAAAGTATGGATATCAGCTCAACTGCATAACAGCGAACGCGCATCCAGCAATAATATCCAGCCCCTTGTGTTGTAGCTCAACTGTCGGAGACTACGAAGGGTGAGATCATTCAGAAGCCCCTCTGGAGCATGGACAGCTGTAACAGTGCAAACATTCCATCGAGGGAAGCGTCTCTAGAACCAGACGCGTTGCGATCTGCTTGGTAGTCAACATATCCCGAGGTTCAGCAAGACCATGAGCATACCCAGCCCGGAGCAAACAAACTGTCGCGTCTGCCGGGAGCTGAGTATTGGCTCGCTCGACTCTTTCGTTCTTTAGCACCAAGGTCTTGTACATGCAATTTGCCGGACCCAAAGACTGAGTGAAACACGTCCACATCAGCCATTTTCACACTCTCGCGAAAGGTATGCACTATTCTGCAGTCAGTCAGTCGTGGTTTCACTGAGTTCGAATGTATGTGGGACAACTTAACTGTGAACGCAGTGACTGCCACCACCATACTAATTTAAGCCTGTCTATAAAATATCTACCGCATGTTGAATGACATTCTTCGCAATAATTCTCCCCGTATGCATCAATCATATCACGTTGCGACCCGTCCAAGTATCTCAAATTAATATTGTATTGCGCGCTACATGTCTGCAAATGTATTTCGCCATTGCACTTGGGCTCTAAGTGCTGCCTGCAATTGAGCTCTGAGGATCAGACTAATTATTGGCCACACACGTAATTCCGTGACACGTGTAACCCACGAATATGAACGTTGTGTGGACGAGGTCAATGAAAACAGTGACCCTCACCTCAGTCTTGTAGATGAGAGATGTCTGAGGGAACGTAAGTCCAAAAATCCTCCCCTTTACCGCTTGGCGGCGAGCTATCGAGCAAAGGATAAAAATCAAGAGAGAGCCAGGAAGATAAATTTCTGCCTATTGTTCCTTATAATTATCACCATCGGCACTTGGATGCTGAGATTATTGTTAATATGGGTGTACGCAAGGTCAGGGACGTACTGAACATTTAGAACCCGTCGACTGACCCGTTTCCCGTTTGCGAAGCAGGTGGCATTTGCGTTCTGATCTCTCTCGGGTTCGCGCTCCGTGATTTTTCTTCTCCAGGTATGCGTCCGTCTCAGCTTGCATAGCGCTGCACTTTGAGCGGAGGTGGCCAGTCTTCCCGCATCTCCAGCAGCTTTCGCGAGTGATCCAAGTGGATCTAACGTTGTACCCAGGTTCTCCCCAGCGGTTTGTGTACGAAGTTCATCTGCCTCCACATCTCTTCGAAGTTCGTCAAGATTGTACCTGTCGTCGGGGCGGTTCTGACGATGATCGTTCTATCTTCAATGCGCCCCTGGTTGCCAGTGATCTCCTTGTTGACGTGGTGAGCGAGGTTTACGAGGACTGTCGGATAGTCTGCTATGGATTTATGGTTACTAATTTTGGTGTTATCATATTTCTGTCTCGCGTAGAATTCCGCGGAGGCACCAGAGTATTCATACGCACTCTTCAGCGCTTTGAATAGAGTGGCAGCGGGACTTTTGAAGTGACGGAAGACCGCCTGTTGAACGGGTTCGCTGAGAGCGAGCCAGATTCTTCTGCGTGTGTTTCTATCGCCTACCACCCAGCCCTCATGTTCGTCTTTGGATGGGGGAGGCGCAGTGGTATTCTTTCGTTCCATGTGTGGTCCAAGGCTAATTCCAGGAGTCTATTCGTATTCTTGTCATTGACGTAAACTCGCCAAGTGTCAATGACGTATAGGCGGTAGGTGCCAGCTGCGTCATTTTCATCCATATGTGGCTAAAGCGGACCCGACGCGGACGGAGACACCAGCTTAAATCCTAAACAGCAAAACTTCGGTTCAACTGAGGCCCGAGAATTCGATTGAGAAAGTAACCTTCCCAATTAGCCTTGGCATTGATCGTTTACCAAAACTGCATGCAATAGACAGTTCGGAAAGGCTCTAGGATGCGTGAAATATGGTTACTGTTTGGTCCCCTTCATCTGGAATGTGACGGCCATAGCCAAGTATCATTAGCACTGATATACTATTGATTGTGGAATTAAAGGAAGGACAAGTGCCGGTGTTCTAGTGTCTTTCAAGGCTCGACAGATGGAGGCTCCGCCCTTCATTGAGTCAGTACTACCATTTGGGAACTGATTAGCGCTATCTTCTGACCTTAACTCGTCTATCACTTCGCGTCAGTGAGCGATCGCAAAGCCTCTGCGCGACCACAAGTTGCGAGATTCTTCCTCTCGCCGTTCGACGCACATGCGCAGTTAGCCTTCAAGCTGTTTCAGAGTGGCCTAGTCGTCTGCAAGTGCAATTCTTGGCATCCTACTAGCTATGCTGCAGCAGCTAGTGGCCTATCCATAGTATCACGCAGGCAGCGTCAGGGGATTTCATAACTGTCCCCCAGAACAAGAGGAACTTTATATTGTTGTTTTCTGGATTCGCGGGGAGCCTAGTAGTTCAAGAAGAAGTTGCGTTCCAGAGCCTGCGCTTGTTACTCAGCCAGTTCAAGATCGCGATGGGATTGTGTGAGTAGGCTTACATCGAGTGGGGGTATTTAAAGTCTCGAGGCATCGTCGCGCACGCTAAAAACACCGCTCCTGGATGAACGGGTTGGAAGAACTCTTCAATAAGATCAGGAGCATTCCTGAACAACTGAGTAACCTGACGTAGAATTGAGCGGAAATTGGAACACAAGACTTGGGGGGGGGGGTCCCACAGAGGTCCTGACATGGGTGTTGTTCTTTCTGATACCTCCGAAGTATTTCCAGGAGTTGTTCATGCGTTTTTGTAAGTGGTTCTTGATTTTGTTTACGAACTTGATGGCATGATTGAATTCTGGCTGGACAGGCGGACCGGAGATGATGCCGGGAGTGTCAATCCTATATAGACCTCTGAGTAAATCCACGTCGTAGAATCGTTCTGGAAACGCGAATCTCACGATCGTCTTTTGAAGTCCTTCATGATATCAAGAAACTGATTATAGACGTCCGGTTGGTCGCTGAACTTAGCCTTCACCAACTCCAAATACAAGAGAGCATCTTTGACAGTGAGAGGACGCGCCCCAGGGGAGACGGGTGTCATGGAGGATGAATTTACAGGCATTCTGGGAGCTAGCATCCCCGATTCAGGTAACGGACCGATCGCTGCTGGTGTCCTAGGTGTGGACTGAGCATACAGGTGGATCGAATACTGAATGGCGATGCAACAGGAAGTGGTGGAAGGATTGTGGGTCCAGGAAGCAGAGGGCTTTGACCAACAGGAAACAGCGTTTGGGCACGGGAAAGCTTATAGGCCGCTTATCAGACAGCGAGATTCCAGAATTAAGGCCAAAGCGGCCCAGGCGATAGAAGCGCTATGATCGTCCAAAGTTAAGTGAAGCCTTTAACAAGTTCACCTTAGTGGCCTTCGGCCACTCTAAGCACCTAAGTAGCCATTTAATTTCCAACAAAAATTAGGACGGAAATCGTGTTTTCATCTTAAGCCAGCTAATCCAAAGTCCGAGTCAGCATGTGCACGTCTCCTGGATCGATCAGACTCAGACCCTCCATAATTACCTTCCCATTCAAGTGCTATCCAATAGCTACAAACGATGACACCGCGTTGTTCACGAACAGCAATAATGATCTCTATATTGAGCATTCAGCACCCCTGCCCCCGATCTGCAGATAGGACATCAAGTTCTGGAAGTATGGGCGTGTGGGCTCGATCATCGTACGCGCTTGTTACTCAGTCAGTTCTTGGTCGGTCACCGGCCATGATTGACCTTGCATCGGAAAGCGCTGAAGTCCCAGACGTCATCCGTATGCCCGCGGTGTTCGACAGTGGACACCAGTTAGAAGTTGAAATGGCTTATAATGGTATTCGGCGCGGGCGCGCGCGGAGATTGGCGTGTCTTCTACACATGGCGCTGCAACAGGAACGCTAAGGCACGAAGATTCCCCCCACCTGCGCGATCAATGCATGTAAGGAAATCAAAAAAGCTTATCATGGTGATGACATAATCTGACACGTGCAAACCGACATGACTCTCTTTCGGGATGGTTAGGTACGCGTCATAACCTTTCTACTTTCCAGCCTAATCTATTTGGTAGCTCTACGAGCCCAGAGATAGGGGAACTTGACTATCGGCATTTCATTACGACTCATCTTGGAGTCCCTCGTCGACAGTGCCACCCTCCAGAGTCGATTCCCCTTCTTCCTACCATCCCTTTTGTCCGAGGAACCAGAATTTGGGCCTTTTCTGGAATTTACTGCCTCTGAACTGACTTTTGTGACCCGGAAAATCGACTACTTCCATCTGAAAAAAAAAAGGCATTGATATGCGGTCCTTCCAAACATCGGCACCACGCTTTCAGGAACGCACTGAAGCGTCACGACTTGCGTAATACAACCACCCTTCGGGGGACTGTAGGTTTCTTGTCCATGATAACCGGTTTAACCCGTGGAGCAAAGGGGGCTTTCATGTAAGCGCCCCATCCACTATATATGCCCCGCAGGCACCTAGAGTCCATCTCCTGATGCTCCCCGACCCCTCCTCATACGTCTGTCTCGCTACCCAAACTGTTCTGTCACTCGACTTCCACATCTTGGCAAGGATCTGCATTGTTGTATGTTCTTCCACTCCTTACACGTTTGGAACGCACTGATATAGAAGGGTGGGGGTGGGTACGAATCATAAGGACTACTGTGGAACAATTCTCTTTGATTCTCTCGTACGGCCTACTGAGGAGGTCACTGACTGGCTCCCTGAAAGAACGGGATTTGATCCGTCGTACTTCACCTCCGATGGTATGCTCGGCTTTTATATTGGGCGAAACAATTAAACACCTCATCGCATAAGGACCAATGGGTGTGATCGATTTCGAGATAGCCCGCCAAGAAGCCGTCCGACATGTGAATGGGAAGACCATTGTAGGGTACAAGTTATGGCAATCGTTGGACGTGTGTGCCCTCTAAGTTTGGAGGTAAATGGTGGGACTCATCTTCATTCCGATAAGGTTCTCCGATTATCTCACCCTGCTGATCTCACCCGCGATGTCGCAACGTACTTTGCCTTTCAAACGGCTTTTCGTTCCCAGTAAGCAGCCTTCTTTCTGTCCTTCGTACTCACGGTCATTGAGGGGAACAATGCAGGTCCGATGACGATGGTCTTCAGAAGCTTCTTCGAGAATTCATGCATCGCACCATCCAACATGGCTATGAGAACGCTGTGCGTAGGCTTTACTATCCCCTCTCTCCTCGGTTTTGAGAAGACAGTTTTTGCTTGTTTGCGTTCTACTGACTGCCCCCTTTACTAAACGTCTTCCCATTTGTTATATTTGTCCTTCCCAAGGTCGAAGACGCTTGCGCCACCATAGATCTCTTCCGATCCGCCCAAGACGACTGGGAGAGTCTAATCGCGGACTCTGTTTGGCCATGTCTCATCCCACCTCCTGAATTTAAACATTGCTATACTTGAATTCTGGACTTCTTGCCCCCCCTCGCTAGCGCCTCTGATGGGGAGCATTGAATAGGGGAAATGGAAGAAGACACCACTTTTCCCACCCATAAAAGGATCTCTAATCGCACGAGATGATACGACAGATGCATTTATTTGACTTGTGCCCAAAGAATGTGGCCACTTTCCCCCTCAGCGCAAGATAACATCAACGCATCCCGTATCTAACGGTATCTCCCCAGCTCATGCTCTGAATCCAAAGGCCTTTCCCTTCGTCGTACCTTGCCTACATCTCGCATGATCAGCATCTGCAATACAATTCAATAAGATTTGATCCCACTCTCCGGGTACCTGCTCTTGAACCGAGATGTGTCCGGGAGGTTGATCAGGAAGTCTGGCGCCCGTTCCAGTGGGTGCAAAGCCTTTGCAATGGCAGCTGGATGGTTTACCCAAATTCGGCAAACCAGACTTGTCACACGCCTAGGAATTCAAGCATCCGCTGATCAATAAATGCGTATGACGTTGAAGATGACTGGTCACTCTTACGACACTGAGCGGTTCTGGGCACCAAATCCAATGCAATGAAGCAATCACGCCTAAAACGCTTTGAGCTGCTTCTCGGATTCAACCTTCCTGGATATCTATGTTGATTGCGGTCGGTAATGATAAACGATACTATGATATACAGGCATGTTCATACGTCTGAATTCAGCCAGCCGAAACCCCCCAACGAACGTTGCACCCTGGTATGGACAGACGTTCAAAGGCTGCTCAGTCAACAAGCTCGTCGCGGTGGTCAGGGTACGTGCGCTAGCTAAATAAGTTTGCGTCATGTTGTGAGATGAGCTGGCTCGAGCGCCGCTACCAAAAGGGTCGTTATTGCGTGGAGTCTGGAGTCGACTTGGTTACGACATCTCTGATCAGCCCGCAGACCATTCACATGCACCAAGGGTCTTGCACACACGACACCTAGATCAACTCACTGGCGATTGCCATCCGGATAAGACCGAAGCGTACTTGAATATTTTCATCACTCGACACCTACCATAATGATACAATGCATGCTATTGAACAAAAACCAAGAAAAAAAAAAGGAAGTTCAGAAATCAGGGAAGCAAAAGTGATAAATGAGATAACTTAGGGAAGGGAGAGCGAGATCGAAAAGAGAACAAGATAAGACCCGACGGAAGCGGCGGGTAGGCAGCTGAAAGATGTGGAATGTGCGAGGCCTCAGTGAAAGAGAGGAAAAGGATTCCCGACAATCGTCCGGGGAGGGCAGCGTTTACCCTGGACACTCTAGTCGCAGTTAGCCAAAGGTGTCCCCTCCCCGTTCCGGGATGGCCGAACAACATTGTTCGACTGAATATCAAGACAGTACGCGTCGCGCTTCGAAACGATTTCGTGCGCTAGAATTCATGTTGGGGAGTAAGGTTAGAGGGGTGAGTAGGGGGCAATTATGTATCACTGCGTTGTGATGATAGCACATGGCAGTCGCAGTAAAGGCAAATTCAATCAAGAGTGTTCCGGGGGTGGGGACGATGAATCAGATAGGAATATAAAAATCGGATGAATCCAGTCAAGCGCCTGGCAAGAACATCTACACGGTCTGCCGGTGCTGATCTTCCCCTTCAAATTCTTCCTCAGGAGCTGGAGGTGCAGACGCCACTGACATCCCCTCACCACCACCACCACCCTCGAATTCTTCCTCCGGCGGAGCAGAAGGCACCATGATCATCGCACTTTCATCCTCAACAGGGGGAGCCGACGGGAGTATCCTATCATCATCATCTTGCCCGTCTGTCCTTGAACGAGGCTGGAGAAGCACAGGAGGGAGCGCAGACATCTGTTGATAGGCAGGCAACGCTAGCCCATCCACCCCAGGATCTGCCCTCCCTACCAATCCAAGCGCGCGATGTAATGCCCCATCTTCATCTTCATCCAAATGAGGTAAGGAAGGAACTATAGGGGCCGGAGGAGGGATCGGAAATACGTGTAACGGTGGTGGAGGCGGCAGCACCATTGAAGAGGACAAACCGGGTCTCACTTCGACAGCAGAAGACGAAGCAGACCACCCAGGGAGTTGTTCCCCACCGCTCTCTTCTTCTCGGTTCGTCATACCCAGGAAGAAATCATCTTTCACCTTGATACCTCTTCCACCGGGCGGTGGCGGCCCCACAAACTGAGCAGGAGATCGCTCTCCACGGACAACTTCCATCTCTCGCTCCTCAATCTCGTCCAAAGCAGGCGCCACAGCGATGCCTCCATGTTCGCCCTGCATTCCAAATCCAGAAGATGACAAGCCAGAAGCAGATGACACTTGATCAAGAGATGATGACGAGGCTGCGGCAGGTGAAAGAGGAGGTTCGCTTCGACCTATGGCATGCATGCGCTCCAACAACCTCTTATCGTCTGTTGCTATGTGCCCCTCCGAACGATTATTCCACTGTAGATGGCTTGATGACGGTGACAGCTCATTGCCGTTCTCTCCCACCGGCCTTTCCAAATCTGAACCTAGATCGAAATCGTCCTGGTCTGGCAGCCGGGGGGCGTCATCATCAAAGGCTACATAGCGTGACGAGTTCGAGGGACTTGAACGACCATGCCGTCGGTAAGCTGGAGGATCGGGAGGAACGGGAAGGAGTGAAGACGGGTTCTGGGAAGAATAGATAGGTTCAGGAACGGTGAGGGATATTGGTGTTTGCGGTGGGGAATGGCGAGGCTGTGCAGATGTCGACGGCGCCAAAAGCAGTGGTGACGATGGTAGAGATCGTCGATTGGAAGATGATGTACGACTGGATGGTGAACGGGTGATGGAGGGAGGTGGAACATGCGGGAGCGCAGGAGGGCTGTGAGCGGATGGTGAGGGCACATCTCCGCTCTCCGCTGGCACGGGTGTTGGTGGCGGGGGTTGTCGGTTGGAGGGATTTGAGGAAGTAGCGCCATTTACAGAATAACGAAGGTCCCCAGCAGGGGCTTCATGAGGCTGTGAGGTGCGCGGGAGTTGCGTTGTCGTAGAGTGCCGACTTCTAGTTCGCACAAGGAGCCGAGAGGATTTAGAAACCCGTTTGAGTCGTTCACGAAGACCCTTCTTCTTTGAAGGAGTTGCCACGGCGGAGCTCTCCCCAGTGACAGTATCTTGTAGAGGCGGAACATCCCCATCATCTTCATCTTCATCCAAACGTTTCTCCTTGAGCTTCCTCCGCTTCTTACTCTTTTTCTTTGTCCGTTGAAATAATTTGTCCAGTGCATCCCCCTTAAGTTCGGGATCCAGGTCATCTCTTTTTCGTTTCCGTGAAGCACCGAGGAACCATATAGCACCCACGATGAGGCCAGAGAGGATTATGGAGATGGCAATGATGATCGGAATAGGGTAGAGTTTTGTACGAGGATCACGCGGTTGCCAGCCCTTGGGGAGAGACGACATGTCAATAGAAGAAGGCGTGGTGGTGGTGGTGGTAGTAGTAGTAGTTGATGGGGATTGATCAAGAGCGTTGTTATGGAGCGTTGAGGTTGCCGGGTCCGTTGATGTTGATGTTGACTATGAGTGAGAATGGGACGTGGAAGGAAACGTCAATGCGTCAGTTCAGCTCCGAGGGATGTTGAAGCTCCGCACCGTTGAGACACATGATTGACGGCCATGAAATTCCCAGCAATCGCTGGCAACCCAGCTTCCATCAGAGAGAGTATGAAAGTAAGGAGGGACATCCGGAGACCTCACAACAGCGGTTGATTTTGCGGCGTAGTACTCGGGAAAATTGCGTTTCCGTTGTTTAGGTGGGTTGGGAGTAGCCCGGACGGTCTGAGATGGAATGAAGGGTGATGGTGACGGGTAGGGACGTTGAGTTGGTTCAACGAGTAAGAAGGGAAGGATAGTGTGATTTGGGTCATAAGTGGGAGCGATGGCAGCAAGAGAGGAAAGCAGTTGATCCGAAGGAGGCTTGGCTAAAAGCGAACGGGGAGGCATGTGGGTGAAGCGCTCGTCGGCGCTTTACCAAGGAAAAAACAATGACCAAGACTTAGAGCCAAGAGAAAACCCAAGTGAAGAGGTTTATCCTTGGAGAGAGGGGACCTTGGTTCTCTGTATATACTTGTGTATTCCAAGGGGATCGGCTAACAACTCCTCGTGCCGCGGTCAATAATAAAAGCGGCCAAGTAACGTGACTCGCCCAAAAATGGATCACCTAATTGTAACCCGCAGCTAAATATAGCGACAACTGCCTGGCGTTCTCCCAAATTAAATTTACACGTTCCAATCATTCTATATCGCTTTGAGCTAGCGCAACAACTATGTAAACAACACAGAGGCTGCTTCAGCTTAGTAAACAATCATATCCGCACTGTTCACAGTCTCAAATTCTTCCTATACCGAACAAAATCACGCATATTAATCGCAACTCCTTCTCCCCATCCCCTCAACTTTCTTCCTCCGGGTCTCTTCACGTTTAAGCTTTTCACCAGCTTCTTCACCGCTCCCGAGCGCTCCGACAAGATTTCAAGATAATTGCCTTGTCGAAAATTAACATCGTACGCGGATGCTTCGTCAGAGTATATGTCAATGATCTCCGACACCGCTTGTAATGTGGGTTCTGGCCGTTCACCCGTTCTTACGATGTTTATGAGATACTGCGAAACAACCTACGGGCCGGGAAAAAAATGAATCAAAGACGAGAATTATAAGGCGCATCATCTTACCTTATTGGCCTCAATGCTGCCCGGATTCTGAGCGATGCATCCAAGCGTCCCAATACACTGGACCTTGGCCTTTTCCTCTGTAACAATATCGCAAAGTTCCATAAGTATCTGGACTTGCTCAGCATTAGGGACCTAAAATAAAGCATGAGCCACCAACACGGAGGAAAGGAGACAATAAATGATCCCACCAAAGTTCCCCTACAAACCCTCGCCAATCCCCAAAGCGCCCCAACCGCAACAAGCCAAGCTTCCCCCCTCTTCTCCGTCCCCAACACAGCCGGATTCCCAAACGTAAGTCCAGGTCTCCCAGGCCCATTAACATCCCCTAACGAACCCCACACTGCATTCCAAACCCCCTCCGCACCTTTTTTGACACTCTCCTCACCCTGTCCTTGCACCTTCACAAAGAGGTTGTTCAAACACTCTAAGGCAACGATATGAATCGCGCTCAAGACGGACGTTGTAGGTGGGTGAAGAGAAGGTAATGAAGGAGGTGGGAATGACAGTGGCGTGGGCGCAATAAGAGCGAGAAGCGGAGTGCTGAGTGACAACAAAGTAATTGGCGTTCCAGCATGCAACGCATCCTCATCTTCGTTACCTTGCGCACCTGCGCCAGAGTCTTCAATATCAAATTCAGCTTCATCTCCTTCCTCGCCGTCATCGCCATCAGCCTCCATATCACTTTCGCCGATATTGCGCCCACCCTTTGACCCAGCGTCCCCTAATTAATCAATAACCATGGTAAGAAATAGACGACATCAGCCAAAATGCATGCGTGCCTTGGATACCAGGATCATCCTCGAAATCGGGCAAACTTGCACAAATGCCAGAAAGGATCTCAAGCGCAAGCTGAACCGTTCGCAATTGAGCCTCGATGCGTTCTAGCTCATGCTCATCAGGGGATTTATGATCCGATCCCGGCGTATTTTGTAAGTGTGTGGGGATCTTAGATTTCTATTGGTAAAGAAGTAAAATAAGTACGTGCGGTATGAAGCTAACAATGAACCGGGAGGCTTACAGAATGGGACGAAATGGCTTCGACGACACTCGATGCATCTCCCAGAGATACGTTCAGTAACGGCGTTAGGATCGGTAATATAATGTCCTTATCCAAATTTAGAGTCTCCCCGCCTGTGGCCTTGGGTGGTATAGGACTTATATTCTTGAGTATCCCACACACAAGTACGCGAAGCATTATAGCCTCGGTCTCCGATGACGACTTCACAGTGGTGACGGGTGTGACGAAGTCAGACTGGACAACCGACAGGAGACTAGGGACAAAAGAAGATTTCCCAGTGCGAAGGGCTTCAATCGTGGAGGCATTATCATCCGAAAGGACGTAAATGCACTGGGCTGAGGAAGTACAAATGATGATCGTCAGGGGGCGCGCGAGGGCCGCAGCAATGAAAACACGTACCTGCCGCGTTGACGAGAGCGAGCGGCAGTTGCGCACGATGTTCCAAAAAGGCCATTAAGAAGGGCATTAACCCTACATTGTTGATCGCGTTCAAAGCCTTATTTGACGTTTCTCTATTGAGAGATTGATATCTGAGCGTGTTGCGATATGTATCAGGATAATGAACTGACGATAGGCACCAGAAAAGCGTTATCAAATTCTCTGCTAGTTGGAAGACTAGATTCCTGTGCATCGAAGTTGGTGGTGCAGTCAAAAACGTTGATATTGCAGATGATATCTTGAAAAAGAAAAAAATCCGTCGACACCAGGCTGAGCTTTATCGTACGACAATGGTGTACGCACCTTCGGGATGTAGGGAGTCATAGATGCCAGAATGTTACGATTGTACATCTGTGCACATATCTCGTGCCCACCATCGATGCCCAAATTCCTGGAAGCAAAAGAAAAAAAAGGATTCAGAGCAAAACACAAAACACGTGTCTCGATCATACGATGTCGCGTTAATTCTATTGAACTCACCTTAGTGCACCAGAAGCTTCCACAACTACCTCTTCGACCGGGTCTGACAATTTCTCGATCAGAACATCGATGATGCCTTTCCCTTGAAGTAATCGGCGCGTGGATGGGTCGTTGTGAATCAAATTGCTGACTGACGCGCAGCCAAACGCCCGATCGGTAGCATTAGCGCTCGCGATCTAACCCCATGGAGCAATCAAGGAACCGGAGGACCAAACAGTCAAAGTTTGAGATCAACCGATGTTCAAATACGAAAAATAAATAAGCGCAAGTTCACCTGGTGGAAAACCGGTGGGATCGAATCTTTTTTAGTGGATGTTGACGCGGCCGCGGCGAGACCATGGGGGATATGGGAGTCAGGCACGCGAATAGGATTGTGACGACGCGCTGTTTTCTTCTTTCGAGCTTTACCCATGATTTGGAGAACTTTGTGCAAGAGTTTACTGTAGCCCCTCGGTTTAAATAATAAACAACAGACTGTGTTTCTCTGTTGATGATGGAAGCTGGAGTCCTGTCCAGTTGATGCTGAACTCCCTCGCTGTTGAAAGAACAAAAAGACGCTTACGTGAGGGGTGTCATTGAAAGGGATTCATGCATCCTGTGTGCTTGCTCCTTGGAGACACCGTTTCTCCGCCGATGCATAATTGCACCTGTTTTGGTGCCTCGGCCGCCCGTTCTCCCCCGCCGATCGCGTCGCATGGCTCGATCAGCACGTTTTTGGAACGGTGGAGGCCTCGGATTCGCAGGAACAAGCCATTTGACGTAAGCTGAGCGTTTGGACGCACGCCAACAACATCACCACTATTGCGCAGTCAGCCGGCTTCTTGCAGAGTTTGATCGACTACATGCTAGATGCATGGCTATCTCCGGCACTAGCGCTTGATGTCCCTGTCGGCGGTGCACGGCGAGGAACAGAGTAGGGGCTCGATCGCTCATCATATGTTGCTCTAGAATTATGCGGAAATTAACGGATGTTCTGACTGGACTCCAGGATTTCCCAAGCAAAGCACCCTCGATCTCGCCACACACTCCAGCGCCCCTTGCACGGAGCGGAAGATGTTGTCATTCTGATTATCTCGCAAAAACGGGCGAAGGCCTGCTCTCGACTTGGTGACCAGCGAGCTGCAAACATCCCTCTTGGGCGTATTCATACTTCAACACACCTTCTTTAATGTGCGGAGTTACCGATACCCATCCACCGCTCTGTGAAGAACGCTCACAAAGAAGGCCAGGCCTGCGCGCCTGAGCGTTCTAGACACTTAAAGAAATGGAAGATGACCCAGTTGGAAATTCAGGAGTACACACGCCGTCTCCAGAGTTCCCTCGCCCCGCTTGAGATGACCTAGATCTAGGGTACGCAGACGGGAAGCGCCAGCGCTCAGATCTCTGGGATTTGCCATGGAAATACACATATAATGACCAACTCTCCAAGTCAACCCCTTCACTCGACATCATGTCAATGAGCTCCCCGAATCACTCCGAACTGCTCCCAGCCTCGGGTTCTGCGGTTTCTGGCTGTAAGACCTGTAAGGTCCGAAAGAAGGTCAATGTTGATAATGTTGTGACTTTTCCCCCTTCATGAAATGACTGAAATATCAATGCAGAGGTGCCCGCGCGATTTTGATGCGACGGGCGTTTGTGGCACCTGCCACAGGCTGAGAGTGGAGTGCCTCCGCGATGATGCAGAATGGATGAGGGTAACGTTGTTCTTCTCATGGCGCTGTGATACAAGCTGTCGCCTCTCTCATACCTTTCTTCGCCTCCCTTCCTAAAACTTAAGGATCGAGATGACCTCCAAGCCTATAGACAGCGGTTGAGCGGGGATATCGCTTCGGGCAGGAGACTGTCACGCCGTGGTAAGCAATGATGGTGCCATTCCATAGGAATCATGCGACGCACCTTTTTCTATTGTAGTCGCGGCGGCTTCCGTCATGGAGCTACCTCCATCGGATGACGCGTATCATGCAGACACTATCGTATATATTCCTCCCCTTAACGAAGCGAATTTTAGAACGGTCCGGCGAAACAACATGATGGCGACCCCCAACGTGGATTCCGTGGGCGAGATTTTTATGCCGTCCGAATCACTTCCTGGAGCCCCTCCGTTCAGCCTCAGCGGCTGGGACACGAATTCATCGGCGGGTCCTAGCTATCAGATGGTCCCACCAGATCTGACTGACAAGGGCGGTGATCTTAGCGGGGCGAGTCCAGATATCGATGCTCTTTACGGGATGATCCCTCCATCTTCCAGGGACGATTATTGAAGTCGAGTTTGCCCGGCGGACTTTGGCCTCCGCCACTTTTTTTGTTCCATAGAAGTTGCGCCTTGACATGTATATGATTCAAACGTTTCTGCGCGCGTCCATGTACTGGACTTGTAGTGATTCAAATGATTACAAGCGAGCTATTCAATCAGTCGTTGCTGTTGTGCAGCCGATGTTCACTCCTCTCCCACCCCAAAGCTCAGCGATCCCATACTCCGCATCTTCCTACATCCCCCTTGCATCCCAGAGGGGACGAAGGGGCAACATAGAAATGAGGATACGATTGTTAAAGGACCTCCATCTACAAATGGATAGCTAGCCACTGGACGTCCATGACCGTCAGGGTGTAAGAATGCCTGCGCGACGGATAACATCTTCCAACATTGACTCGAATTACCCAAGCTGAGCCCTTGATGCCTCCCTCGTTATTTCCCTCGCGCCTGGCCTCCGTCTCCCGATCCATTTCAGCACCCGCGCGTCTTCGCCCTCCTTTTCTCTGCCTTGCTTCCACGATCAAATCCTCCACATCACTCGACGGCGTGCTGCTTGTCCCTTCCATTTCCAAGATATCACTGCTTGATATCGGACGGCACGGCGCTAGCTTACGTCTGCTTTTGGGGAGAGAGCACTCGCTAGCTCAATACGCCTCTCCTGTGCGTCCTTATGTTCTTCGTCGAAGGCGCTGACAACCACCAACCTCCCTGATCCTTGGAGACATCCCGGACCACTGAGCCAGCGCTGGAGAACGGGTAGCAATTCTTCCTCGGGTTGGTACGCCCCTACATAAACACATGAATGAGGATACGAGATACCGTTGAATATGGTATGTACCAGAGCCGTTATTAGTGATTGACTCGTACTCTTGCGACCTGCGGGGTTTGATTTTCGACCTGACAACAGATTTTGAAGTATAACCCCCCGAGGAGCCAGGGTCATTTGGAGGCCAAGCATCGACATTCCGACGCTCTTCCTGCTTATTTGGGTACGAAGGACCTGCGCTGGTTGGTGCTTCTAGGTCGCTAAGTGGTCGGAGATAGAACTCGTCAGAGTAAGCAACATCTGAGTGCTTGCTAAGGAAGTTGCCAGCCAACTCCTTCCTGGTCTCACAATTCGGCGTCGAAGGCAATTATGTATGTGTAAAGCCCATTTCCCTCACCCCACTGACACATTTCGCAGAATTGACGAGATAGCCGTTCTTCAACAGTTTCGCTGGCGTTGTCCCTTGAATGTCCGGCTCGACGACACTACATCTGGTTGATTTCCGTAGTAGTAAATCATATTGTCTGTGAATGGCGAAATTGAAGAAATCCCGAACACATTAGCGACGAATTTTCGGTTCCCGGAATAGCGGTGGCGTAGCTCTGCTGGAACTGGTCGGAGAGACGCATCCCAAGCAATAGCGGACAGTGGCTGTTTGTGCAACAAAGATTGCTCCCATTACAATTGGTCAATCATGCCCAGTTACACTTTTCCAACAGCCTATCCATCATTTTCCCGGCCGAAGCCTTCGCCCGGCGAATACCGGTATCAAGAGTTTTTCCAGCATTTTCATGGGGGGACCACTTGCCACCTTCATGTAACGGAAGACGGTACTGATCCGAATGAACAGGAAGAGATCGATGATCGGTGGGGAATCAGGTGAGAGAAACAGTCAACAAGGTCAAACTGTCTTGAGGTGACAAATTTTCATGTTGGACGGTAACTTGGGTACCTCTTTCCGAAGGATATTGGCAAGCTGCTCGCATTTGTCTAACGCGTCAATAGTGGATGATCGGAAGGCAGTGTGTTCAAACAAGGGGGTTCAGCCAACAATTTCTTGAATTGCATCATAAACGGCGCGGTTGAAAGTGTCAGATCTCTCTGGAGAGTCGATATGACGGAAGCACGGTTCATGAGTTGCCAGAGATCTAGCCAAGCCGCCGAAAAGGCGATCTGGCCGCGATTGCTCGCTTACCTTGAAGAAGGTCAACAACAATATACTCTGTCTTGTACACCCCTCTGCGATAGAATGTGGAATAGATGTCTCCCCGCCACCAGCTACCGCGGTCAGCAGCATTATCCGCTTTGCGCTTTCCGTCCTAGTGTCTTCCAAGCATGCTTCAGTCGAATCATGGTGTGCGACATCAGGGTGCCGTAGTCCATCGAGAACGGAGTCGCCATCGTAGCTCGCCAGTTAGGCCGTGTTGACCACCTACCATGGCTCACAATTTGATACCGATTGCTAAGTTCGTCCTAAGCTGCATCGGCGGAAAGTTAGAACAGTCCTGGAATGATAATACTTTGTCGAGGTCTTTCTTCGAACCATCGATCCTTCCTGAGTCTCAGGTGGGACAGTGCATTCACGAAAGGCGAACGTTCCGCTGTTTTTGCAAGTCTTCGATCAATTTTCGGCTTAATCTGCTGTAGCACGCTGCAGGACAATAGATAAGAGGCGCATCAAAGGTCGCCAACAATAAATGCAGCTCGCCTGTCGAGCCTCGTGGCACTCTCCATCTCTTCCGCTGACGCGTCATAGCACTTTATAGCTGCAACTTGCCTCCACGTTGTCGACCTATTTATTGTCCTTGATCCTCTGTGCGACTTAAACCGCGAGCCTTTGTTCCCGACTCTGCACAAATTATTACAGAGTCTCGTTGAAGATGAAGAGAGCGCCGCTAGTCGCACTTTTCAGAGGAGGGCACACACCAGCCGCGGAATCGATCGCAGTGAGAATGGGGACTGCCATGTCGCCTCCTGCTGCGAGAAGTTCATCGATCCTTTGCCTTTGCCTAAGACCGCCAGCCTTTAGCCTCAATTAATGACATGGAAGGGAGAAAATCTCAGGCACAACAACACACGTGCCGAGCCTCCAATGCAGCTCAGGACCGTTGAATATACAATTATGGAAGATCGAGCCTTACAGCTATGAAGGCGGAACGCCCTGGCGACGTCTGAACCAGGACGAATGGCAGAATCTGGCACATGCCAAGAAAAGTAACTTTTCATCCTCTGGTGAGTCATCTCTTACAGATGTCGATATCCGGATATACTTCCATCACAACATCTAGCACTTATTCTATGTTGATCTCTTTGTTACGTTACTTATGTACAACTGAGGATAAACGTCGGGTGATATGGTACTGGGAGACCTTTTGGTACGTTCAAAGAAGCGATAACGGAAATTTGCTCCGGTCAAGCCTTTCAGTGCATCACATGAATAAATATATATTCATTCTGATACGTCGCAAGGGAGGAATAGTCGTAGAACTGTTGAAGCCTTATTTGCACCCTAGAAAGGGAACTTCATCCGTCCAGAAAGCTGGAAGGGTGACCTAGCGAAACCTTGCGATTCTCCCTCCGACGGTGGATAGATCGCGCAACTGACCATGAACATCCTAAATGACTTGGCTAAGATCAACAACAATTGGAGCCGTCTGCCAGCCTTGAAGAAGGATTCGAGTCCCATCTTTGCTGGACCGAGGGCTGTACAAAAAGGTAGGATCAAATGGCACTCGATCACCATACCAAGCGCCTAGACCTTTGGCACCAGAAAAAACAACTGGTTCATACTCCTTGGGAATAATGAATTCCAATTTGCCATTGAAGGACACTGGTAATCGCTGGCGTTTTCCATTGGTTCCGAACAGTGGCGTTCTTCCGGCAGCGGACGAATGAATGTCAAGCATCGTCAACTCATCCCACTCCTCCTCACTTGGCAAGAGAACATAGAATGGGCACTTGATCCAGGACGAGTCCAAGTTATGCCCTGCATGTGTTTCGGAATAATGTGTATGTGCTGCTTCACCTTCTGTCAACGAGAGGGTAGGTCGAGGGGATACAGGATCAGGGATCCGATAAGAGCAGGTAAAGGGAACAGCAGGATTCATAATCCACAAATTGAAATCCGTCACACGATAACTCGAAATGAGCTCACCCGAACTTGTCGACCAGGTGAAAGCACTAAGGCCATCGAAAGCGCCGATATAATGTGCTCCCGGAGAAAACCCAAGCGTGCGACGGTGCGGAATAGTGAGCACTGCGTCACTTTTGATGGATGCAGAGGATGAAGTAGAAGGCTCGGAGGCTAAGATAGGAGGGTTGGAAGTTGGAGTGAAATTATTGGAAGAAGGGGGTGCGAGGTGCTGCAAGTGCGGGTCACCCAAAATGGATACGAGAGTCAGGCTGTCGTACCAAGAGCTATCAGTGTTCCGTGGGACCCGTATGATAAATAATCCATTGTCTGATACTCGAGTTACAGCAGGAAGAGGACCACTGGGAAGGTTACCAAGATTCGCGGCGGTCATATCATGGCTAAGGATGGTGACGTTCCCTTCACTGTCCTCAGCAGCAACTCGGTGGCTGCCATGGACAAATTCAATCCAGACTGGATGGTTGGGTGGATCGAGCTGGAATCGGGAAATTGTGTGCTGATGGTCAATATCAGCGAGTTCGACGACACCACTACCAAAACCAAGAGCTACATGGTGACCATCAAGGGAGAGCGCTGCACATGTCACGATACCATTACGAAAATCAGGATCGTTGAATTGGACTTCGTCCTTGGTCTCTGGATCCACAATATTGATGAGGCTTGTCGTTGACGCGGTGGACTGACTCGTGGAACTATACTGTCTATCAACCTGCTCTGGCAAATTATGTAGCTTCGCCTCCATGACCATTCGAGCATTGAGTAAATCCTCACTCAATGGGATTCTGTGCCCGGTAAACTCGCCAGAAATGGTGAAGATCCGAACGGGATCGGAGAGGTGTCCATACAGTTTGTGAAAAGGTGATGACATTGGGGTGAAAGGGAGGGTCGATCGATATAGGTGCCATGGTTTCCAGGTAGCCCCAATATTCAGATACGACACAAATTGCTTTTCTCGAGCTTCTTTCAAAAGTTTGAATGAATCGCAATTCTGTTAAAAATGACATCATATTAAAATAATCGCGACACAATGATTCTATTTACCTTGAATTCATAAAATCCATCAGGGAATCCTTTGCCAGCACATTCAATGAGCGGCACCAGGTGCATAAATGTAACCAAGTTTCGCGTGAGGAACGTATTAAACTCGTTCTGCAAATTGGACCCCTGTGCAAAGAGTTGTGAGGGATCTAAGTGTTCTAATAAGTATTGACCAGGATATCGGAGATGATGAGGATATCGAAGACGATAGGGGGGCAGACTTTCCATCTTAGGAAGATTGCTCCATTTCCCCTCATATCCAAAAGGGAGAACAGTAGGCAACCCAAACACATCCCGCTCACAACTATTATTGAAAAATTGGAGGAGTGGCAGTCCGATGAAATACCTATTCGCATCCCTGATAAAGAATACTTCGTCATTTTCATTACCAATCGGATCCCCCATTATAAATTCTTTCATTGTTGCATGATAGAATTTGATGCCTTGCATGCCCTTCGAGAAACTTCCCAACCCACTTGTCGAAAAAGGATCAATAATAATTGGTTCCAAGTCACTCTCCGAGCCACTCTCCGAGCCACTTGTCGAAGAAAGATCAACAATCGAGCCAATTGGTTCCAATATAGCTAAGACCTCTTCCTCGGCAATTCCTGACAGCTGCGATATAAAAAAAACACTTAACGGCTCGAATACCGCATTGATTGTGGCAATCACTTGGCGATACTTCTCCGCTATATGTTTACGGACTCCAGATGAGCCGACCATATAGGCACGGCGAAGTACACGCAGGTACTCCAAGTTGACGTCAACAGGGGCATCGATCAGATCACGAAAGTATTCAAACTCGGATCGAAGGGTTGCACCACGATGAGTTTGAAGGGAGACATCCCGGACTCGGATTGAGGCGATAACGGGCAGCCCACGACACGCTGAGACAAACGCATCCACTTCTTCTTTTGATGGTTTCCAGGGAGACTTGTCAATGCAACCCCGAAGGCCTTCCTCCACCATGCGGTGGATAGTGTGGAACTTCTCTTCCTTAGCGACAATGTCCACATCTTCACATGGTATGACAAGACCCTGAGCCCGAGCTCCATCCCAAGCCGATACAACGGATGACTCTGGACGGCAGCTGACCAACACGGCGAACGCAGCAGGCAGTTCATCAAGGATAAGTACTAGCTTCATTAAGGACTCAAGTTCCTCCTGAGTCCCACACTCATCTAGTCCATCCAAGATGATGACGAGGCGTTCCTTACCCAAAGACAAGAGTTTGTGCATGAGATCGACAATCAAAGATCCCATCTGCTCCTCCAGGGTGGAATCTCGGAGGTTCTTCAGTGCCGAGGACTGTCGAAGTTGACTAACAAGAAGACCCTCGTACTCGGCGTTAAATAAGGCAAGCTGACGTGCAACAGTAGAGGGAAAGTGTTCAATCGAAGCAAGTCCTTCGCCCTTCCGATTTTTGTCCCAGAAGAAAGATGCTGCCAAGCGACCCTGTTTGTTGAGAGCCGAGGCAACACTCATTGATATAGCAGTCTTCCCAGTACCCGGAGAGCCACGAAGCCAGACAAATCGGTGCTTCCGGTTCTCCAAATGACTGAGTATCGATTCCAGGATCTGGACACGCGTATTTTCCAGGCATTTCGACTTGCTTTTCACGGCAGAATATTCCGCATTTCCTTTGTAGAGTTTCGAGAGTTCATCTAAAATGTTCATTGAATCCCAAGCGGTGAAATCAATGGAGAACAACAAACAGTCTGCCGATAACCGAATTGTGTGGAGGAGATTTAGAGTTGTCGCAGCAGTCTATGGTGAATTCCCCGGTCAGTCTTCTAATGGCCTGAACATAGACAAAACGAACCGAAAAGCGGGAAATAGCATCATGGATGCACGACTTCACAGCGCATATTTCCTGGGTTATCTCAGTCGCTAAAATCACCCTCTTGGAAAGTTTTTGACGTTTGAGTGCCTCAATTTGCTTTAATTGTTGTTTTAGAGCTCTGCGACCGAGAGTTTGAGATTTGGCGAGAGAATGATGAAGTGAATGCACATACAAGTTAAATCGTTGAATTAGATCACCTATCTCAGGAGGGACTTGGCCAGTCCACAACTGGAGAGGCCTAAAAATCGTGTCGTGAGCGTTTCGAACTTCATCGTCTAATCCCTTGAGATTTTCGTCGTTGTTGTCGATCGTCTGCATGAAAACATGGAGGTTATTCATTAGATCGCAAAATCGCAACAACCTGCGAACCTCGTAAACTTGGAGCCATGTCAGGAGTATACTTGGTATCTGATCAAGGTTTGGAATAGAGACAAACTTAAGAGCAGAGGCGGCAGTTTGGAGGACGAGCCTTGTGGCGGCGATGATTGTTTTCTTTCCGTCACCAGCAGTGACGGCTGAAGATGACGGTGTTTGATTTATTGGCGATGGAGTATATAAATTCACGTCTGTGCGTCCTGGTGGTGGGTGGGGAGTCTTAGTGTTGCCATGGATGATACGCTCGCCGGGCACCACGCGAGAGATGTCAATGGCCCCTGCAAAGAGAACGGGAAATGGCGATAGATTAAGCGATGGCGGATCGGGCGTGGAAGGGTCAGATTGTCTGGGATCGGAGGTCTTCGGTTGGTCGAGATGAGTGGGATTGGGACTGGGACTTCTGCTGAACCGCTCAGTTATAGCGTGCCAAACAGACCTCCGCTGCTTCCGGCCTCGAGAACTACCACCAGTAGTAGTAAGAGGCTTAAGATCAAATCCATCGAGATCTCTGCTAGGTGTTGCATCGCTTTCAGTTGGAGAAAAAGTGATCCGGAGGTTGGGAACAGAGGGCGAGGGTCGCGATGGGCCACCGGGAGGCGCGGGAGGATGTCCTCTTTTCGAAAACTTAAAACGATCAAACATCGCGTATCAGCAAGTGCAGAGGGTGTTGTGGCCAGAGGAGAGTTGAGCCGCCGGCCACACGACATATTAGGCAGTGCACTAGTAGAGTAGGATGGCAAATATCGAAGTGCCCCTCCGCAGGTGCAAAACCTGGATAGGGCATCAGTTACACTATTAGAATGATTAACATCGGGAACGAAGGCCACAAATCCGACTACACATCCTTGAGCATTTTGCAAACGATTTTTAGCATAGTTTCAGTTGTTGACAGTTATTTGGCTCGGACCGTTGCCTCAACTGGAACAACTCTTCTAGGTGTCTTCCCATCACAAAACCCGAGGAACATTAACACCCCAACCAGAATGCCCATCATATTGTAGAGACATTCTCCCCACGGTGTTAGGATGGGATGGCCGCACTGCCATGTCATCACGAGGCCGCGGGGTAATAAGATAGATTTATCATCATCGCTTCCTCGTATGTGACGGTGGGGCTGTGTCTTACTGGATGTGCGATGCTGACACAACGAAACGATGGGAAAAATTCATAGTCTTGGGCTGCAAGACTATTGCGGTTGGACTTCTCTCTGCATGTCCACTTCCCTCAATTCTAATCGGCGATCTCGCACTTCCGGGTGTCAAGTAGTGGAGACGTCTTATTTCGCTGTCGTTCTACAACATGGAATACATCGTTGATACGAGTTACACAGAGTTTTCGCGCCGGCGAGAATATTTAATATGGCCCTTCGGTCGATCCAGATTCCGTAGCCATATAATCCTTCTTCCCGAGGAGAAGGTGTAGGGCAGGCTTAGATGCCGGGAATAGTAGGCGAGAATAGCAGGATATGTTGAATATCTTAGCCGTGCGTCCGACACCATAAATCTTATCGAAATTTGATACATGTGTAGCAAGGATTTCCTCCAGGGAGAATGCCCTTCCCGTCGACATAATCGACGGGTCGAAAAGGCAGAGATGGCGGAGAACTAAGAACCTGGGGGGAGATTGATATTTATTTCGTTGCCTTCAGTCGGCCCAACAGCGTTGGGAGTTAGTAGGCACGATCACAGCCTCTAAAGTAGTTCAGATAACCCCCTGGAGGAACAGATGGCAGCACATCCCGTTCAGAAAAATTCTCAATGAGTCCCCGCCCATAGCGTCAAGATCTCGTTCAGAATCTCGCTGCACCGCTGGGCAACTCTAGCATCCTCTCTCGTCAAGTCCACTGCATAAGAACGAAGGTTGGTTGATTGAAAATTTCCACAATAAAATCACGGAAGGACTGATGTAAGACCCGGATCGACAGGTGAGGATCCTGAACTCCTGAGAGGAGGGGAGCGAATTCCGCTAACGTATGCCGAATAGGATACTCCCGGAAAGGCGATAAAATGGCCGTTGTGCAACAACCATTGCTCCCATTACAACTGGGTAATCATGGACAAAGTCCTCCAGATGTTTGTATACACCCTATCAATCATTTTCTCAGCCGAAACCTTCGATCGGTCAGTACCAGTATCAAGGAGTTTTTCATAGGGGGACCGCTTGCCACCTTCATGTAATGGAAGACGGTACTAATCCAGATGAACAGGTCACCAGCTCTTTCCAATATGTCTCGAGTAAGTTTGTCCTCCAATCTGTCTCCCAAACTAAGATGCACTTCCTTCAATTCGCGTAGCTGCATATGGACGTAGAGCGCACAGTCCTGCGCATTAGCGTCGTCCGAGAGATCGATGCTGAGACGATCGATAGGGGAATCACCGAACCAGGCGAGAGAAGGTCGAGCTGTCTTGAGGTGGGTACTTCTTTCCGAAGTATACTGACAAACTACTCGAAAGCTTGCTATTCGCATCTGTCTAACGCATCAATAGTATGGGACGATCGGAAGGCAGTGTGTTCAAACAAGGGGGTTCAGCCAACAACTTCTTGAATTGCATCGTGAACGGCGTGAGTCGGATCTCTATGGAGTGTCGATATGACGGAAGCGTGGTATACTGGGTCATGAGTTGCCAGGGATCTAGCCATGCCACAAAAAAGGTGATCTGGCCGCGATTGCTCGCTTGCCTTGAAGAAGGTCGACAACAAGATACTCTTTCTCGTACACTTTTCTGCGATAGAATGTGGAATAGATGTCTTCCCGCCAGCCACCGCCGTCAGCAGCACTACCCGCTTCGCGCTATCCTCGATGTTGCGACACCGCCTTCTAAGCATACTTCAGTTGAATCATGGTAAGCGACATCGAGGTGTCTTGGTCCACCGAGAACTGGGTCGCGTCGTAGCTCGCCAGTTAGGCCGTGATGACTATCTACCATGGTTGACAATTTGATACCGATTGCTAAGTTCGTCCTGAGGTGCATCGGCGGAAGTCAGAACAGTCCTGGAATGATATGTGACAAAAATCACGCTAATGCTTTGTCGAGATCTTTCTTCAAACCATCAATCCTTCCCAGCAGGAAGGTGACCAGCCTCTCCTACCTTCCTGGGTCTCTCAGGTGAGACGGCGGATTCACGAAAGCCGAACGTTCCGCTGTTTTTGCAAGTCTTCGATCGATTTTCGACTGAATCTGCCGTAGGACAATAGATAATTAGCGCTAGGACTATTGATATGGCCAAACTTAGCTCGAAGCCTCAATAGTGGTCGCACTAGCTTAACACCCAAGTTCTCCGACAGTATTCCTAGAAGAAAATACACAGACAAGAAACCATCCAACCGCGAGGCCCAGATCCCATTCCCATAAGATACCGGCCCATCCAAGCACGGTTAAACACAGCTTATCCGTCATGCCACTCTACCTATCTGCAGTATTTCCGGGCCAGAATCTGCTATCAGTGAGCCGGGCGGGCGCCCGGCCGAGCTCTGATAATGGGTTATCTCGCCCGATGTCGGAGCAGGACGGGAGTCTCAACGGTCACATACACATCCCCGTGAGGTAGTCGATCATCACCTTCCCCAGATGCCTATATTCTTGGCGATGGATGGGCCAGTCGAACGCGATCCGGACTAGCACATCAATTTTTGGTCGCACATGGAAGTTGCAAGGCTAAAGACGCAGGGAAATTGTCCCAAATTTCAGACCACTGGCCATGAAGACTTCCTCCTTGATTTGAGCTGAGAATTTGGTGTGCACACTGTCGCTTTTTGCTCACGAAGCAGCACGCCAGTTTGAGCGCCAACTCGGACCACAACAAAATGAGTGGCCAAATAGAACTTCCAAACAGCTCGCCTAAGATGGACGACAAAATCCTATTAATAACACAGGTGCATGCAGAGTATTGATCAAATGAGCGAAGAATTGGACATTTGCGCGCGAATCAAAAAGCTAGCTAGGAAGACACTGCGACTACGGGGCGCATGGCTGTTCCCAAGCCTATCGGATGAGAGTGGGACCCGCGGTCGCCACGTCCTCGGTTCGGCAGTTGGGCGGTGATGGTTCAGGGAATCATAGGTCAAATTCTGAATGCTCTCATTTGGTCGGGGCTGGCAGGCCTGCAGGGGCAGGAGCTCATCGTATCCGAAAGCAGCATTCTCGTAGCCGTGCCACACAAACAGGAATGTATCTTTCATTGGTACAAAGCGATCATTCCATGCTTGCGGAGGAAATTCTTCGTAAGTAGGAAATGGGTGAGGCCTGAGGGGCACCTAAGTGGACGGGATGAAATTTGCCATCATGAGGTTGGTAGCCATGAAATGTGGCAGGGGAGAACCAAAACACAGCAAACAGAAAAATATCACAAAGGGTGAGAACTCGGGTGGTAAGACGAAACGACCAGAAGGGATCGATGATTCTTGGTGTAAGTTGATGCACATAGCAAAAAGGAGGGACAGACAGGACTCTGAGCTAGCGAACCTGTTAATGGTGGGCATGCATGACGAACAATGCTCTAAGGGAGGGGGCTCCTCGAGCCTCATAGTGATAATGGAGAATTTACTTTGGTCAAGCCTTTTAGTGCATCAAATGGACAGATATATTCGTTCTGATATGGAGTAAGCTATGAAAGTTCCACAAAAAAAAAAAGCGAATCGGGACTAACTGACAGTACAAGGGAGGAATAGTCACAGAACTGTTGAAGCCTTTATTTATACCCACTGCACCCTAGAAAGGGGACCTTGGCTGAGGAAGATGGAAGGGTGACCTAGCGAAACTTTACGATTCCCCCTCTGACAGTGGATAGAATGCTCAAGGTAAGCAGAAACTGACCGTGAACGTACTAAATGACTTGGCAAAGATCAACAACGATTGGAGCTGTCTGCCAGCCTTGGAGGAGGATCCGAGTCCCATCTTTGCTGGACCGAGGGCTGTACAGAAGGGTAGGATCAGATGGCACTTGATCGCCATACCAAGCACCTAAACCTTGAGCATCAGAAGAAACAACTGGTCGATATTCCTTGGGAATAATGAATTCCAATTTGCCGTTGAAGAGCATTGGTAGCTCCGTGTGTCCTCCATCAGTTCCGAACAGCGGGGTTCTTCCGGCAGTGGACGAATGGATTTCAAACTTCTGCCACATCCTCTGCCACTCCCCCCACTCGTCCTCCTTTTGCAAGAGAACATAGAATGGGCACTTGATCCAGGACTCGTCCAAGTTATACCCTGCATGTGCTTCGCAATGATGTATACTTGCTGCTTCACCTGTCAAGGAAAGGGTAGGTCGAGCGGATACAGGATCAGGGATCCAATAAGAGCAGGTGAAGGGAACAGCAGGATTCATGATCCACAAATTGAAATCCGTCACACGATAACTCGAAATGAGCTCACCCGAACCTGTCGACCAGGTGAAAGCGCCGAGGCCATCAAACGCGCCGATATAACGTGCTCCTGGAGAAAACCCAAGTGTGCGACGGTGCGGAATGGTGAGCACTGGGTCATTTTTGATGGATGCAGAGGATGAAGTAGAAGGCTCGGAGGCTAAGATAGGAGGGTTGGGAGTTGGAGTGAAATTATTGGAAGAAGGGGGTGCGAGGTGTTGCAGGTGCGGGTCACCCAAAATGGATATGAGAGTCAGGCTGTCGTACCAAGAGCTATCAGCGTTCCGCGGAACCCGTATGATAAATAATCCATTATCTGATACTCGAGTTACGGCAGGAAGAAGGTTGTTGGGGAGAGTACCAAGATTCACGGCGGTCATATCGTGGCTAAGGATGGTGACGTTCCCCTCATTGTCCTCTGCAGCAACCCGGTGGCTGCCATGGACAAATTCGATCCAGACTGGATGGTTGGGTGGGTCGAGCTGGAATCGGGAAATTGTGTGCTGATGGTCGATATCAGCGAGTTCGATGACACCACTACCAAAACCAAGAGCTACATGGTGGCCATCAAAGGAAAGCGCCGCACATGTCACAATACCGTTACGAATATCAGGGTCGTTGAATTGGGCATCATAATCAGTCTCAACACCCCAACTATCAACCTTCTCTGGAAAAGTAAGCAGCTTCGCCTCCATGACCATTCGAGCATTGAGTAAATCCTCACTCAATGGGATTCCGTGCCCGGAAAACTCGCCGGAAATGGTGAAGATCCGGACGGGATCGGAGAGGTGGCCATACAGTTTGTGAAAAGGTGATGACATTGGGGTGAAAGGAAGGGTCGATCGATGGAGGTGCCATAGTTCCGGGGAAATCGCAACATTCAGATACTTCACTGATTGCTTTTCTCGAGCTTCTCTCAAAAGTTTGAATGAATCGCAATTCTGTTAAAAATGACATCGTATTAAAATCACCGCGACAACGGATTATGCTCACCTTGAATTCATCAAATCCGTCAGGGAATCCTTTGCCATGTTCGGCAATCGGCACCAGGTGTATAAATGTAACCAGGTTTTGCGTGAGGAATGTATCAAACTCGTTCTGAAATTTGGACCTTTGTGCAAAGAGTTGTGAGGGGTCTAAGTGTTCTAATAAGTATTCACGAGTATATTGGAGGTGACGAGGGAGATGATATCTTCTCTTCCGAAAATCGCTCCATTTCCCCTCATCTCCTAAAGGGAGAACAGTGGGCAACCCAAACACATCCTGCTCACAACTATGATTGAAAAATCGGAGGAGTGGCAGTCCGATAAAATATTTATTCGCTTCTCTGATAAAGAATATTTTGTCATTTTCATGACCAATCGGATCCCCCATTATAAACTCTTTCATTGTTGCATGATAGAATTTGATGCCCTGCATGTCCTTCGAGGAACTTTCCGAGCCACTTTCCGAGCCACTTGTCGAAGAAAGATCAACAATTGAACTAATTGGTTCCAATATACCTAAGACCTCTTCCTCGGCAATTCCTGAGAGCTGCGATATAAAAGGAACACTTAGTGGCTTGAATGCCGCATAGATTGTGGCAACCACTTGGCGATACTTCTCCGCTATATGTTTACGGACTCCAGATGAGCCAACCATATAGGCACGGCGAAGTACACGCAGGTACTCCATGTTAACATCAACAGGGGCATCGATTAGATCACGAAAATATTCGAACTCGGATCGAAGGGTTGCACCACGACGGGCTTGAAAGGAGACATCTCGGACTCGGATTGAGGCAATAATGGGCAACCCACGACACGCTGAGGCAAACGCATCGACATCCTCTTTTGATGGTTTCCAGGAAGACTTATCGATGCAGCCCCGAAGGCCTTCCTCCACCATGCGGTGGATAGTGTGAAACTTCTCTTCCTCAGCGACAACGTCCACATCTTCACATGGTATGGCAAGACTCTGAGCCCGAGCTCCATCCCAAGCCGACACAACAGATGACTCTGGCCGACAGCTGACCAACACGGCAAACGCGGCCGGCATCTCATCGAGGATAAGTACTAGCTTCATTAAGGACTCAAGTTCCTCCTGAGCCCCACACTCGTCCAGTCCATCCAGAATGATAATAAGACGTTCCTCACCCAAAGGTAAGAGTTTGTGCATGGGATCAATAATCCAAGCTCTCATTTGCTTCTCCAGAGCGGAGCCAGGAACATCCTTCAATGATGAAGGCTGTCGGAGTCGACTGACGAGAAGTCCTTCGTACTCGGCGTTAAACAGGGCAAGCTGACGCGCAAGAGTAGAGGGGAAGTGTTCAACCGAGGCAAGTCCTGCGCCCTTCCGATTTTTGTCCCAGAAGAAAGATGCTGCCAAGCGACCCTGTTTGTCGAGAGTTGATGCGACTCTCATTGATATAGCAGTCTTTCCAGTACCCGGTGAGCCGCGAAGCCAGACAAATCGGGGCTCCCGTTTCTCCAAGTGATCGAGTATTGATTTCTGAATCTCGACACGAGTGTCTTCCAGGCATTCTGACTTGCTTTCCACAGCAGAGTATTCCGCGCTCGCTTTGTAGAGTTTTGAGAGTTCATCTGAAATGTTCATTGAATTCCAAGCGGTGAAATCAATGGAGAGCAACAGACAGTCTACCGATAGCCGAATTGTGTGGAGGAGATTTAGAGTTGTCGCAGCAGTCTATGATGAATTCCCCGGTCAATCTTCAAACGGCCTGAACGTAGACGAAACGAACCGAAAAGCGGGAAGTAGCATCATGAATGCACAACTTCACGGCACTTATTTCCTGGGTTATCTCAGTCGCTGAAATTATCCTCTTGGTAAGCCTTTGACGTTTGAGTGCCTCAATTTTCTTTAATTGTCGGTTTAGAGCTCTGTGACCGAGACTTTGAGATTTGGGCGAGAGAACGATGAAGGGAAGGCACATACAAGTTAAATCGTTGAATTACATCACCTATCTCGAGAGGGAATTGGCCAGTCCACAACTGGAGAGGCCTAAAGATCGTTTCGTGAGCGTTACGAACTTCATCGTCTAATCCCTTGAGATTTTCGTCATTGTTGCCGATGGTCTGCATGAAAACGTGAGGCTATATAATTAGATTGCAACGTCCTGCGAACCTCGTAAACTTGGAGCCACGATAGGAGTGTATTTGGTATCTGGTCGAGATTCGGAATGGGAGCTAACTTGAGAGCAGTCGCGGCAGTTTGGAGGACGAGCCTTGTGGTGGCGATGATTGTTTTCTTTCCTTCACCAGCAGTGACGGCTGAAGATGACGGTGTTCGATCATGATCTATTGACGATGGGGCATCCAAGTTCCCGCCTGTACGTCCTGGTGGTGGGTGGGAAGTTTCAGTGTTGCCATTGATGATACACTCACTGGGAATCATGCGAGAAATATCAATGGCCCCCCCAGGGAGAACGGGTGATGGTGATAGATTAAGCGATGGCGGATCGGGCGTAGAGGGGTCCGGTTGTCTGGGATCGGGACTGGGACTTCTGCTCAACAGCTTGGCTAGAGTGTGCCGAATAGACCTCCGCTGCTTCCGGCCTCGAGAACTACCACCAGTAGTGGTAAGAGGCTCAAGACGGAATCTATCAGATCCACCGTGATCTGTGTTAGTTGTTGCATCGCTTTGAGTTGGAGAAGAAGTGATCTGGAGGTTGGGAACAGGGTTCGATGGGTCACCGGGAGGCTCAGTCCTTTTAGAAAACTTGAATCGATTAGACATCGCGAATCAGCAAGTGCAGAGGATGTTGTGGCCAAGAGGAGAGTCAATCGAGCCGCCCAACTAGTAAAACAGGATGGCAAATATCGAAGTGCCCCCTTTGTGGGCGCAAAACCAGAATAGGGTATTAGTTACACTATCAAAATCATTAGCATTAATAACGAAGTCCACAAAACCGACTACACACCCTTGAGCATTTTGCAGACGATTTTTTCAGTTATTGATTGTTATTTGGTTCGGAACGGCATCAAACAAGTCACAGATTGAGTCATACGAGTGAAACTTGAGTCGCAGCAGCTCCTCGCCCCCACAGCCACTGTCCACTCTTTGTTCACCCAGGACCTTGATGCCGCCTTCTTCACGCAAGGGGATAGTCAAATCTGGAAATGTTGGGAACTCGTCAAAGGGAGCCCCCAAGACTCCAGATCCTGAGAAGAAGGATAGCTTGGAGAGCAAACCCCTTTTCCCACCTGGCTTCAAAACCCCAATAAGTTTACTTCACGAGAGGTACTTCTTCTTTCAGCTATGCAGCTCTTTTGTGAGTTGTAAGCTTCGCTAGCCACTCGGTACACATCACTTGCTTGTGTAGTCACAGAGGAGGCTTTGACGGTCCCGTTCCAACTTACATCTGTTCTTCGATGCCAGGTGCCAAAAGTTAGGGTGGGACAAACCAAACGTGGAGCCTGTAGGGAATTCTTATATGGATAGGGTGTGTGCTTATCATGTGTTTAGCGCCGCCATGGCGAGGGATTCACTTGTTCAATCACCCTCTCTCGAGATCACAAATCAGAGCGTGAGTCTGTTCGATTCGTCCCCCACCCTCCGCTATCCAGGCCGACTGCCATCGAGGCAAAGCATTGGGGAGCCACTTATGCATTGCACCGGTTTTCCAACAATCTTCAGCTGCACAGACTGCTGCCGCCAGGGCCCCGAGAATATTGGGCGGATCTCGAAGCAGTAAGGAGAGCTGCACCCGAGCATCAGAAGTGGATGTACGACTCCGATCCTTTTTCGGCCCAAAAATCTGTGAAAGTCCGCCAAGAATTAGCCGCAAAGAAGAAGCAGAAAGAGGAAGAAGGGGGAAATGCGGCAAGTTCGTCTGGCCATAATAAGGTTGATCATACACCCGAGGTTCGAATGGCTGCGACCATGCGAGACTCTGTCGAGAGAGTGATTCGAGAGGTCAGTGTCTCAGTACGTCCTACTAACATTCGACAACAATTGCTTTTAGATGGCATCACGGTATCCGGGAGTCATTGCAGAGGACACTTACGCGCCAGAGGCACCATCTTTTCGTCGAGTTGAAGTTGAGGCTTCTCTTCGCACATTAGGTTTCCAGCGACATCAAATCGAGAAAGCTTTGAATTATATTACTGCGCCCACTGATAACCCATCGCCATACCTCGCCTCACTCTTGGCACTGCCGCCACTTGATGCATGTGTGTCATATATGTTACTTCATGTCCCGGAATCGGATCTTCCAGTTCAGTTCAAATCTCAGCAGACTTCTTCCGATCCCTTTGTGAGGAGTGGCAGCTCGATGAGTGTCCCGCTTGCACTGCAGTGGTCAGCCAACCGTGCAATGAAAGAAGGTGGCTGGCCCGAGAGGTCAGTGATGGATACCATTCAGTCGGGCACCACGGACTGGGGCCTCATCATCGAAAAACTTGGAGGGAAACTTCTTGGTTATGCTGCTGAATTCGGTTCAGCTGGAGAAGGCGGTTGGGACATGAGTGAGCGGTATGCGAAACGTTTGGAAGAAATCGAGGCTGTTCAGTCTGTCTATCCCGATGCTCAATATGATGCAGAGAAGGCGGAGCTTAGTGTCCCACTCCCTAACAATCCGGATACTTACCTGAATGTCGTCTATTCTTCCCTCCATCCGTACCCGAGCCCAAGCGCCCGCAGTCCTCCCTTGTTTATTTCCTCCGCCAAGCGCCCATCATACATTAGGCTTCATCTGCTGTCACGGGTTCTCTCCGCTCTGCAGCCTGATGGTGAATTGGAACCTTTATTGCTAGCAGGAGAGGGAGCCGTGTTTGGAGCGATTGATGTTGCAGACAACGAGCTCCTTCGAATACAGGATTCGCCTCCCGAAGTTAGCGATGTCATGAAGCATCTTATTCAAGCATCTCAAACTACGACAATGGTTAGCAGAGGCAAGGACAATCCGAAACCCCCGCGGAGTCGAGGTCGTTTCAAAGACGTTGTTTTTGATGACCGGTCCGAAGAGGATATCAAGCGAGAATTTGAACAATCAAGGCAATCCAAGGAATACGCCCACATGCTTGATGGTAGAATGAGGCTCCCAGCATGGAACTCTCGAGACGAGATCGTTCGTCTCGTTGACTCTTCACGCGTAGTAGTGGTGGTAGGTGAAACAGGTTGGTGACACCTAGCTTCTGTCACTGTGATTCTTACATGGTGTAAATTTCAGGTTGCGGAAAGACTACACAGCTACCCCAATTCATTCTCGATGCCTGCATCAGCAAAGGATGTGGGTCTCAAACCAAGATAGTCGTCACGCAGCCTCGTCGTGTCAGTGCCCTAGGCGTGTCAGCGCGTGTTTCTGCTGAAAGAATGGAAGATGGGAGTGTTGGCTACTCCATCCGTGGTGAAAGTAGGCAGAACAGGCGCACCAAGCTTCTGTATGCCGATTCCTTTTCGTTCAGCGTCTTCACACTGAGCTTCCGCCAGCTTCTGCACAACAGGTGTCCTCTTACGTCGCTTGACGACCTCAGGCTACCTCTCTGGTGTTAGCCACGTCATTGTCGACGAAGTAAGCGGGAAACGGTGTAAACTGTCCGACAACTCACATCCCACTCCATTCAGGTTCACGAAAGATCGGTCGACAGTGATTTTCTGCTTTTGGAGTTGCGCGAACTGCTGAAACATAATAAAGAAATTAAGATCATATTGATGAGTGCCACTATAAATCAAAGCATATTTGTGGAATACTTCAACGGTGCTCCCGTGTTGGAGATACCCGGCTTCACTCACCCAGTGCAAGACATCTATCTTGAAGATGTAATCCCGAAGCTGAAGTACTTACCGCCCCCTGCCAAGGGAGCACCGAAGCAGACCGAAGAGCAACTAAAAGCTTTCCGGGAGGAGTTTGAGGCCACTGGGTTAGGCGCATCCGCTGGTCATGCCATTGTAAATTTCACGCGTTCCGACAGATTGGACTATCATGTGCGTTATATCGTTCGGTTTCTCGCTGAGGTCATTGATTCACAAACACCCAGCTGATTTCCAGCGTGGTGAGCTACATCGTGCAAACAGCAGAAGATCCTGACGGCGCAATCCTCGTTTTCCTCACTGGCGTTCAAGAGATTCGTCAATGTATGGATGTTTTGCGGTCTTCTGATGTCAACGATGCTGCAGAGATCCTCCCTCTACATGCTAATCTGTCGAGCGATGAACAACGTCGCGTGTTTGCAAAGACCCCAAAGCGCAAAATCGTATTGGCTACTAATGTTGCCGAAGTATGTCATATTTGGATATACTGTTATGTTTCACGCATCTAAATGAACTTTCTGAAGACCTCGATCACAATACCCGAAGTGGTGTACGTTGTGGACTGCGGAAAGGCGAAGGAAAATCAGTACGACGTAGGGGCTGGGCTATCCCGCCTGGTCGAAACCTGGGTAACAAAAGCAGCTGCGAAACAGCGCCGTGGTCGGGCTGGCCGAACTCGGCCAGGGAAGTGTTACAAGCTATACACTCGCCAACGGGAAGCTGCGATGAAAAACTTCCCAGTTCCTGAAATCCTGAGAGTACCATTGGAGTCACTGAGTTTGCAGATCAAAGTGATGCGTGAGAACGAGGATGTACGGGTATGCATGAAATGGCCTTGATTGGAGTAGCACTTCTTCAATCCGACATTTATCAGCTTTTTTTGGCCAAAGCGCTCGACCCGCCTAAGGTTGAGGCAATAGACCACGCGTGGAATGTTTTGGAGGATCTTGGTGCCGTCGATTCTGGGGGCAAGCTCACTGCGCTTGGACAGCAAATGGTGCGCCATCCAAGATTTACATCGTTTGGCTCTGATTTGTTATTATATTCTTCTAGGCTCTTCTGCCCGTTGATTTGCGTCTTGGGAAGGTATGAGTTAGCTTCGCAGTCTTCCCGGGATACACGCAAACGTGACCCTGTAGATGATGATCCTCGGGACCATTTTTCGCTGTCTTGATCCGATTTTGACGATAGCTGCATGCGTCTCCTCGAAGCCACTATTCTTGAGTCCCATGGATAAGAAAGAAGAGGCAAATAAGTAGGTTGCTTGATACTCGAGTGACATGTTCGGCTAATCTCTAAATTCGTAGGGCTAGACTACAGTTTGCTACAGCAAATAGTGATCTCTTGACAGATGTCACTGCCTACAATAAGTGTAGAGCGTTCAAGGGACAAGGCAACACTCACAATGCACAGCGTCGTTTCATGGAAGAGGTGCGCCCATACTTGCATCCCATCGCTTCTCTTAATCACATCGTTGCAGAATTTCATATCTGCATCTAGCATTCGAGATGTCACTTCATTACGACAGGACTTCCTCTTAGCACTCTCGGATATTGGGTTCATCCCACTGAACGCTTCCGCGACGTCTCCCTATCTAAACGTGAACAGTGATAACACGAATCTTGTGAAAGGGGTCATATTGGGTGGTCTTTGGCCTCGCGCCACACGTATCTCCATGCCGAAAGCAACGTTCGACCAAGTTGCCTCGGGAACAGTACAACGAGATCACGTCGCGAAGGAGATCAAGATTTTCGATAAGAATGAAGGTCGGGTGTTCTTGCATCCTGGTTCGGTACTGTTTGGAAACGCATCGTACAAATCGCCATATCTTGCCTATTTTGCAATGACGGCTACGACAAAAACATTTCTCCGGGATGCTACCGAAGTAAATTTTCCCCAGTGTTTTGGTACGACAGATCCCCTTTTAAAATTTCATTTCCCCAATTAGGTACCGCTCTACGCCCTTCTGCTTCTTGGAGGGCAAGTCACCATAGATCACATCAAAGGAGGAATCACAGTAGGAAAGCAAGGCTGGATTAAGATGCGAGCATGGTCACGCATTGGAGTGTTGGTCAACCAATTGCGCCTTCTGCTCGATGCTCAACTTCAGGAATCGATCGAGCATGCGGAAATTGCTGATGTCGGGGAAAATAACCCCGTCATTCAAGCGATGGTTGATTTAATTACGAATGACGGCTTGGTTGGAGATTGAAACTTCGTACATGACAGCCCTTTTGAAAGAATCTGTCAGTTCAAAAAATGAAAGGGGTGCCATTCGTATTTTATGTAAATCTGTGGAATTTTTATTCTTTAATCCAGTAGAATTATATTCCAATATAGTAGAATTAGCGCCGCAATAGCCATCCCGGTCCCACGTTCCCCGTTAATGGGTGAGTACAAGTGCTGAGAGACCCAGCTCTCTGGCGCTTGATCCTAGTCATCCTATCGGGAAAAATAATGTCAAGCTGCTCACTATAAAGTACACCACTCCAGACACATCGTCCTGATGTCCGAACCCCTCTTTATCAATGAGCTACCATCTTAGTGAACGCACGGTTCACCGTATTCTGTCAGCTCACAGGCAAGGGATCAGGGACAGTAGCAGTAGGCCCCTCCTTTGTCCGTGCTGTGTAAGCTTCCTGCTCAGCTTTCTACCTCCGAACGATGAATGCTTCGCACTGGATGCGTGTCGGATCATCTAATGGGAGTGCGATAGTAGTCAATAAAAGCGTAAGCACTGTCCAACGTCACCGAACTTTCGTGTGATTGGAAACAAGGGAACGGGGTTGGCCTGCTCACAAGATCTGTCCCACCACTCTCTCTCCCTACCTCAATTGGAATCTCCGCTCAAAGTCTAACTCTCCTCCATCAGCTGACCTGAAGGCCTGCACCCACGGAACTACAGGACAGCCATGTCCATGACCCATATTATACATGTGTTTGCTGTCCGTCAGCCCTGAGACGTGAAATGTTCATCAGAGGTGGGAATGAGGGCTCGGATATCTGCGGCCACAGGGCTTGGGAAGCACCGCATCCCGTCTGATCTGCGGAGTTAAGCCGAGTACCGCTCAGTTAGTACCATGGTAGGGGACTACATGGGGATCCTGAGTGCCGCAGTTTTTCCTTTTTTTTTTTTTTACTTTTATTTATTTTTGGTTTCCTTTGGCTTTCCACCACTTCATCCAGATCAAATCAATGCTTATCTTTCTCTGTCTCTCATCTATCGTTTGTTCTACATTATTATTCTCTGATCTTTTCTTTTTCTTTGTTATAATCGCTCATCCTCTACATAGTTTCTTCGGAATGTGTTTTCACCTGGTCTAGGCTCTGCTGTGCAGGTTGCCGCAATGCAGCGCGGGCATTCTAGTAAGAGAAGGTAGGTCATTTTCTGGAACTGCACATACATCAGAGAGGCGATATGAATTCCCACACTCAATCCGCTTGGGTTAGCCGTGTTCCTGTCGTCAAGGGATCAATGTGTAGAACCACTCGTCGTAGCACAGGAACAAGTCAGCCCGCGAGGCAAGCCGCACCGACCAGAAGCGACCGGGAGCATGGACATGTAGCGTGGGGAGTTATTTCCTTCGCTTGTACATCATCTGGGGGAAATCTTCAGCGGGGCATAGATAGAGGTGCAGTCATGTAACGCGACGAAGCGGGGACATATTGGGAAGAGAGATGCAATTGCCAGCGCAGGCGATTCAGCTAATAAAAAATCTGCGAATCACTAATATCTCACTCGGCGGCCTGAATGTGTGCATGCCATAGGCTTGGCAACGCATCTTTGAATCCTTGTTCGAAAGGCTGCATGATCTATTTCCACCCCCTCACCAGTAGTAGTTTGGTGACGCTTCACCTTCCTGTACTCCGCAGGACGCCAGAGACCCGCCAAACTCGCAATGATGTTATGTACATTACGTTACAAATATAGTGAATGATGCACACATCAAGGACCGTCCACAATTCTAAGCAGCGTTGCAGCAAAGGCATCGAGTGGGTGGCCAAGGGGGTGACGAGTAAGCACTGCTAACGAGCGCACTGGTAAATGCTAAATGATTTGGCTAATATCGATGACAATTGGCGCCGTTGAACGGCCCTGGACTAGAAATCGAGTCCCATCCCTGCTAGACTGCGGGCGGTAGAGCCCCAGAGGATCATATGGCACCCGATAACCGTAATAGGGACCATAGTCCTCAAATACCGATCCATATGACCCTTGGAGCTCGAGTTCTTGCCTACCATTAAGCCACACAAGGGACCACATTGAAAAGCGGGACTGGATTAGTGAGGTTTTAGTTGCGGCAGGCAAACAGCAGAGCTCAACGGTCTCTTCTGAGTTGCTTGGTGAGAGGTCGTAAAATGGGCGCTTGATCCAGGACTCATCAAGGTCATGCCCCGCATCCGCATCGGATTGATGTGCATAAGCCGAGCCACCTCCTACTAACGGGAGAGTGGATATAGGATCAGGGATGATACATGAGGGAGGTGGAGGGACAGCAGGGTTAATAATCCAATACTTGAAGTTTGTCACCCGATAGCTCGCGAGGCACTGGAATGATTCTGTCGACCAGGTAAAGGCATGGACGCCATCAAAAGCACCAACATATCGTGCTCCTGGAGAGAATCCAAGCGTCCGACGGTGAGGAATGGCCAATTTCTCAGCCTCTCGAGAGGATGAGGAACCGAGCGGATGGTGGGAGGCCAGTTTCTTATCACCAAATTGAGAGAACGGGGAAAAAGGAGAGGCAAGGGGCTGAATGGATGGGTCCTCAGAGGCGGATATGAGCGTCATGTGGTCGTACCAAGCCTTGTCGTACCAAGCATTGTTGTACCAAGGATTACGTGGGAATCGCACAACAAATAATCCGTTATCTGAGACCGTGGTTCCAGCAGAATAGAAACCGGTGGCAAGAGTGCCAAGCTTCACAGAGGTCATATCATCGCCGAGGACTGTTACGTTCCCATCGATATCTTCGGTAGCGATTCGGTGGCTGCCATTGACAAATTCGATCCAAACGGGGGTCTCGGCAAGATCAGGCTGCAATCGACAGATTGTACGCTGATGGTCGATGTCAGCAATTTCGATGATGCCACGATCAAACCCTAGTGCAACATAGCGGCCATCAAGGGAGAGTGCAGCGCACATCACAATGCCACTACGAACATCATGGAATTCAGGTTCATCCTTGAGCTTCCATTCATCACCCGTTGGCATTTCATTCAATTTCGCCTCTATGACCTCTTGGGTCGTGAGTAAATCCTCGCTTAATGGGATGGCACCACCAGAGAACCCTCCAAAAATGGAGAAGATCCGGACAGGATCAGAGAGATGGCCATATTGTTTGTAAAGGGGCGATGAGAGTGGGATGAAAGGGAGACGCATTCGATAAAGTTTCCATGGTGCGCGTGCGGCAGTGTAGGCCACCTCCTCTAACTCTTCCAGAAGTTGGATTAAATTGTGATTCTATCAAAATGACATCAGACAAGCAATCAGATGAATCATTTATACTCACATTGAACTGACGTAATTCTTTAGGAAGTATCTCGTCCACCTCCGGGCGAGGACTTTGCAAGTGGGTCCATGTCAACACATGGTTTTGCATAATGAAGGAATTAAACTCGTTTTGCAACTCATTTGACTCTTGTAAAAAAAGTTGTGAAGGCTCCAGGTGCTCGAATAAGTATTCAATAACATAGTTGAAGCGCCTGCGATGATCATCCCACTTTTTCTCCATAAATTCCTCCCATTTGCTTTCATCTCCTAACAGGGGACCAGTGGGTACCCCAAACACGTTCCGCCCACAACAATCGTTGAAAAGTCGAAGAAGCGGCAATCCAAGGAAATACCCTTTCACGTCATTGATGAAAAATACTTTATCATTCTCGTCACCAATTGGATTTCCTGTAACGAATTCTTTTGCCGTTGCGTGATAGAAGGAGACACCCTCTGTGTTCCCTGAAGGAAGATCTACGATCGAGCTGATCGGTTCCAATGTTGCACGGATCTCATCCTCCGGAATCCCAAAAACCAGCGACATGAAAGACACGGTCATTGGCTTATGTGCCGCAACAATTGCACCAACCACCAAGCGGTAATTCTTGGCCACATCCGAGGGAACTCCAGATGAATCCAGCACATAGCCTTGTCGAAGAATTCGCAAGTACTCCCTACCAAGGTCGGCAGGCGTGTCAGGGAGGTTGAGCAGGTTCTGGAACGCCGATTGTAGGGTACGGCCACGCCGTGTCTGCAGGCCGACATCGCGAACTCGGATAGATGCCATAACAGGTAACCCACGACAAGCTCGAGCAAAAGCGGTGAGTCCCTTCTTTGTTGGTTTCCACGAAGATTCACTAATGAGCTCCTGGAGGCCATGCACCACCATACGCCGGACTGTGCCAAAAGCTGCATCTTCCACGATGTCGTCCACATCTTCACATGGGATGACAAGACCCTTGGCTTGAGCCTTAGACCAAGCTGAAATTACTCCTGGCTCCGGACGACAACTAACTAGCACAGCGAATGCCGGTGGCAGCTCCTGAAGGACAAGAACTAGCGTCATCAAGGACTTGAGTATCTCCTGATTCCCACACTCATCGAGGCCATCCAAGACAATGACAACGCGATCCTTGCCCAAAGACCATATGTCCTTCAGCTCATGCATCGGCTCAATCATCAACATTTTCATTTGTTTTTCCAAGGGGAAATTTTGAACTGAGGCCAAAGTCGGTTTCTGAAGGTGTCTGACAAGCGACAATTTGAAGTCCTCGCTGAAGGATGCAAGCTGGTGAGCAAGGGTAGAGGGAAACTGTTCGATGGAATCCAAGCCCATTTCTCCCTGGTTCTTATCCCAGAAGTATGACGCTGCCAGAGTACCGCATTTCTCGAGAGTGGATGCGACACTCAAAGAGATCGCAGTCTTCCCCGTCCCGGGAGAACCCCTTAACCAAACAAATCGGTTCTCGGGATTTTTCAAGTGCCTGAGCAAGGATTTTCGCATCTTGGCCCGCGTTCCCGGTAGACAGTCTGATTTGCTTGTCACACATGTGTGCTCGGCCGGGGCACACTTAAGTCTCGATAACTCAGCTGGAATTATCGATGATTAAGCAATCTATGGGTATGTGAACAGACACATACACTGAACGGATGAATGCTCGGTACGAAGCAGAATTAAAGTCAGTGATCTCAGCTGTGACAAACACGGTGAGTCAGCATATGACCATTCAAAGGATTTCGAGTACGCAAACCTCAAATCGATGAATGGCATCATTTAGGCAATACTTCATATTCATTATTTGCTGTGTTATATCGGACGCTTGGATGGTCCTCTCGACAACATGTTTCTTCTGGACTGATTCAATCTCTTTCACTTGTTTTTGCAAAGACCTACGAAGAGAATGAGCAAACGTGATCGAGAGGAAGATAAGATGCATACATGTGGAATTCCTGCACTAGGGTCTTAAGCTCAGGAGGAATTTCTCCGGTCCACTCCCGGAGGGGCTCAAGCACTGATTCTTGTGTTTTCTGAATGACCGTGCACAACTGATCGAGTTCCTCGGTGTTTCCGCTAACATTCTGCATGCATCAGGTGTGAGAGGCGACCACGATCAAGATCATCAAGAAGAGGATTCACGAACTTCATAGATGTTAATCCATGCCAGAAGCGTGTTGGGGATTTGATCAAGATTGGGAATGGGGACGAGCTTGAGCGCAGTGGCTGCGGTTCGGAGGAAGGCTTTGGTGCCGCCGATGATCTGCTTCTTCCCATCGCCATCGGATATAAGAGGTGCTTCATCCGTGACAGCGGATGAAGCAGCCAGAACTGACGGCTTGATATCTGGTTCGTGCTGCGTGCGGACGCTCGCGCTCGCGTCGTCGTCACCACCAACAAGTGCAGGCAGAATCATTTCGGTAGAGAGGAATGGCCATGGATCGTTCGGGGATGCCTGGACGGGCGTCGTCATAGGATAATTCGGCTGGGGCGTACTTGGTTGGGTGCAGCGATTGGCGCTTCTCCGGAACAGCTTAGATATCCTGTCTCGAAAGCGCGTTGGTTGCTTCGTGGCATCATCCTTTGAGGTGCCACTCGTGGGAAGGGTACCAGGATGTGAACCTGCGGATTGATTATGATCTCCATGAGTCTTTCCGTCGTCTTCAGTTACAGAAGCCGTGATCTGGATGTTGGAAACATTAGGGGATGGTGCCTGCTGTCGATAATTAGGAGACTCAGGGGCGTGCCGTGGCTTTATCCAGGAGGGGAAGCGGTAGGATTTACGGTCTTTGGGCATGGCGCACTGTATGTAGCTGGCGATCACAAACGGGTGTGTTGAAGAAAGCGTTCGGTGGCAAGAGCTGCTCTTACATGATCTATGTGTGAACCTGAGGCTGTTCGCCCTTAGTGGACGTAACGATGTTGACCGCCAGACGATGAACTAGAAATTGGTGAATTAATCCTCTCCCAAAAAGGATCAACACACACGTGTTCCCCAACAGAACAGAGCGACACTCATGAGTGCTAGAGCACTCGAGAGCCTTGTCAGGTTTTCCTGATGAAATTCGACGTGCGCTTCCACTTCCATGGAGCAACCAAGCATCGGAGAGTATGTGAAATAGTGTGTGTACAGGGTAAACCACCCCAAGACAGCGATGAGCGAGAAAGCGCCACTGGGATATATAACTTGGCACCGAATCCCAGTCTGTACTCTGTACTTAGGCAGGATTCCAGCCTCTGTGACTTCGTAATATCAAATAGACGGAGTACCATAGCACACAAGCCTAATTTAATCTCGCACCCCCATTGAATGGATACTAATTCCCAATTTTTTGGACCTTCTCAAGCTCCGTACTACTCTTGGGTAATAATCCTTTCTTCAGATCGCCACCCACGCGCAGGCAAAATTACGACAGCGTTGCTAGTCCAAAAAAAAAAGGGAACTGATGTACAAATTGCATCGGAGCGAGTAATTTCAGGGATAAAGCAAACCAGAAAACAATAAAAAGGCTTTGCTCTATACCTTCGTGAATGCAAGAAAAAAAGAAGGATGAATGGAAAAAAAGGAAGGGGGTGTGGGAGGGGTTGGGGAAGGGGGGGAGCTGAAGGGAATGGGAATCGAAATGAAAGAAGTTTGGAAAAAAGAAAAGTTAATAAATTAAAAAGGTGAAAAAAAAGTGTCGTAAAGTGAGGAATAGATAGATAATGCATTTGTCAAAAAAACCCGTTTGGGTCCGTGCGAGGGGGGTAACAATGCAGATGAGAAGAAAAAGAACAAAAGAAGAGTGAGAAGGAAGGGAAACGGTGGGCGGGGAGGAGCCAAGTTTGATGATATCAGACTGTTTAACAGAGACGGGGGGGTTGGGGGGGAGAGCGGAACTTACGGAAGAAGGGGAAAAAAGAAAAGGAGCGTCTTTCCGGCATGATTGTAAGTTCCAAGTGAGTGGTAAGAGAAGTCGCGCACTTGCACGTGTTTATGCAATCGATCAGGAATTAATGGTACGAAGGGATAGCGTAGCTTCATGCAGGGTCAAAAGAATGGTGGGGCGGGTAGAAGTGGAGAGTCAAAAGTTGGAAAAAAAAAATTGGGATGAGGGGTGGGAGACCCGATTTGGCCCTTTGGGTTGGAGAAAAGAGACGAGGGAAGCGGAAATGAGTGAAAAACATGGAAAGAGGTTAAGGGCGCAAAGCGGGGAGGTTCATGTTTAGACAGTATTGAAAAAAAAAAACCAATATATTGGTACCATAACTCAATGCATCTTCCAACTCGAGGGAGCTTGCCTACTGGATTGACCATTTCGGGCAGCCGGAAGGGCTTGCGAAGCAGGAGCGGTCCTCGTTCGCTGACGAGGTCTAGGTAGTCCTCCCGCCTCAGACGCAGCAGATTTATTTCCCCCTGTCCCAGCACCGGATTGTCGAGGGAAAGCGACCCCACTCGTCCGTCCTGTAGACTGCGCGGCAGGCCCGAACGACCCTCCATAAACGGAAGCAGATCCCCAATTCGAGGGTTCACCCAAAACGGAACGTCCAGTGCCGCCACCATACATTGACGCCGGAGAGGACGGGAACATCGGCATACCCATCGGCATACCCATGCCCATGCCCATGCCCATTCCCATAGGCATAGACATGGGGCCCATGCCACCCATCAAAGAGGGCGTGCCCATCACACTCCCTTGCATCCCAAACGCAGCCGTAGCATTGCTCGATCTCTCCCACTCATCATTGGCAGCTGCTAGAGCCTGCTGCGCAACTGCAAATTGATACGTCTGCTTCGCAATAAACATGGCCTGTTGATGAGCCGCAACGTACGCCGGGTCCATGGTCGTAGGTGTGGGAGGCATGGCAACCGGGCCAAACGCACCGGCACCCGTATTACCAACACCAGTATTCGGCCCCATGAAAAGAGCTTGAGACATCCTCGCTTGAGCTTGAGTCCAAGCTTCCCAGGCTTGTTGAGGAGTACCAATACCACCCCCAAGATTAGCAATCGCATCATCATGATCAGTGATGATAGGCGGAGGACCATTGACCAAGTTCCCAAGCTGCCATAATAAGTGACGCAAAAAGATCCATCAGCATGATGGAAAATTCATCCCAAAATGGCTCATGTACGCACCTCAATCGCAGCTTTGGCCTCACTTCGTCTCCTGTCCATCCTCTGCATTTCCGGATCTTTCGCCTTCTCTATCTTAGCCAAATCCGCACCTCCCTTCACGGCGATACTGGTATTTCCGCCCCCACTCCCAATGCTCGAGCCCTTAACATCCGTTTCAGGGGTCTCGAATGAAACACTGCGCCTCTTTGGATGATTGGGTCTGGGCAATCCCCCATTCCCAATACCGCCTCCATTGCCTCCGCTATTGCTCATCGCGCTAACCCTCGAAATCACCGCACCACCACCACTCGCGGTCGCTCCATTACTCGTCCTTCCTTTAGCAACACCATGACCAAACGAAGCATACGCACTCCCACTCCCAAGACTGGGTTCACTTCCGTCTCTAGGCGTAACAGGGAACTTCCCGCTACTCGAATCTCCAACAGAAGAAGCCGGTGAAGAATCAAAATGACTCTGCCTAAACGCATGTGAGAATGGACGTTGTTGTCCAACGCCGAGAGAAGTGGTAGGAGGAACGCTATTGGAAGGAGGGAGGGAAGGTTGAGATTGATGCGCCAAAGGTTGTTTGGATCCAAGTGACAGGCCAGCATTATTGTTACCTGTCGTCATTGCACTCGACATCCTCGCTTGCGAACCTCCAACACCCGCAATAGGAGATCCAGAATTGGGTAAAGGCGGTCTCCTGCCCACAACTCCGGGCGAATGGGAAGTAGAAACACCCACATCGGATTTGGATGATGAAGGGATATGATTTCCAGCAGGAGTAGAAAAAGACCGTCTCGTTGCGGGCTTGAGCACAGAGGAAGGGGGTCGATTGGCCGCGCCGCCAGCAGATCCAGCTACACCTTTCTTGCGCGAAGGTGAAGGTGCTAACCCACCACCACCGCTACCAACACCAGAAGCAGTTAATCTCGTCACAGACGTAGACACGCTCAAAGTAGACATCGACGTCCCAGGTCTCTTAAGCCCCGTAAGACTCGACAACGGTGCATCCTCATCACCCTCTTCCCCTTCCTTTCCCTCATCATCATCATCACTATCAGCCTCCGACTCCTCCTCATCACTCGTCTCACTTTGGTCCGCAAACATAGAAACAGCACGTCTCGCAGCGCCAGAACTAGGCTGCGTCACCTTCCCTTTCCCACCCTTCCCACTCTGCCTCCTACCACCGCTAGCACCAGCACCAGCACCTTCCGGGGACGAGGCACCAAGAATAGGCGTGGACTTGGACCCTTGGGATCGACCATAACTCGCTAGCGAGCTAGATGCCCTCGCCTGTTCGCCTACATGACTCGTACTGCGGTCCGTCACAGTCGACCCAGACTCACCACGAGAGTGAGACGCCTTGAACGGTTTAATGCCGGTTCCTGTACCTGTGACCGTGACCGTACCCGTGCTAGTCACCGTCGATACGGACGATTGTCGGGGCTGAGCAATAGCCGAAGCAGAAGCTCCAAGCAAAACAGAAGCACTTGGCGGAGGCCGGGCAGCACTTCGCATAGGTCGAGTGGGTGAAGGAGGAGATTGAACAACAGGACTCGAAGGTTGGGAACGCGATTTTTGATAAAAGGCTGATTTCGACAACGGTCCTGGATTCTTCGCAGTGATCGTATCCTGTCTCCCAAGATTCGACTCGGAACGACTGAATGAACTCTTGGCATTACTGATAAGGCTGTTATCACCACTGTTTTTGGTGGGGCTGGTGTTGTTGCTGCGATGGTGGTGGTGGTGATGATGATCGGGACTTCCATCCTTGCTATCATCCTGAGCAAACGACGACCGTCGAGGGCCATTATTCGATGCAAACGTAACAAAAGACTTGTTATCCGCCCCACCCCCAGCCGTGGATAACCTCAACCCTGGGCCCACAGGCGAAGAAGGTTGCTGCTGCTGTTGTTGTTGCTGTTGCCCCAAATCCCATCCCAGCCACAAAGACGTCGCAGCAGACATCAACGAAGACGCATCCGCATCCAACGTAAAAGACGTCCGATTAGGTAACGGAGGTTCATCCCCCGCGGGCCCTAGGATCGGCGAACCATTCATATGAACAGAGCTTCGTCTGGCTTGTGCCTGACGGAAGGCTGCAACGGTAACCCTTTGTGACGATTCTGAACCGACGCTATCACCCCGTGGTCGACCGATTGGAGGCAGTGCTGCATCAAGGGACGTTCGTGATGGTGACAAGTTGGTGGTTGTCGAGAGTGGGTGAGAAGATGATGTGGTGATGGGTTTGGAAGGACCCGGTGATACAGGTCGAACTTGTCTGAATCCTTTCACTTTGAACGTATCCGAATCCTCATCGTTATTAGACGTGGACGAAGAGGAAGTGACTCCACCTGTCAGAGATCCCCCGGAGGCGAGCAACCGTGTCCGGGGAACGGGCGGGATGGCCGAACCAGATTGTTGAGATGAAGACGATGTGTTTTCCGAGCTTCCCTCGGCACCACCATTACGACCCTCCCTGGAATTGGATTTAGATTTGGATGATTTGAACCACCCGAATATTTTAGATTTGCTTCGAGTAGACTTGAATGAATTCTGACTTCCTTCTGTCGAGCTCCTTGCCCTTTGATGCGTGAGGCCACGTTCCGAACGCGTTATTGCACCGGAAGGAGTTTTGGGTGGTGATCCGGAATGGGACGGGATAGCATCAGGGAGCGATTGTGATGATGTGACCCTCAATAAACCATCACTATCATCACTATCACTATAGGCATAACCTCCAAAGACAGCGGATCGTGAAGGAGGTGGTCGTAGCGAATCCGAGGAGGCGAGATGAGGTAACGAAGGTGATGTTGTCCGTTGTTGAACACCGCGAGGCGACGGCTTTCCGGAAGATTGTCGATCTGGAGTATGTAATGTTGTCACATTGAGTGAAGGTCTACTAGGTAATCCGTTCCCAGCCGCACGCCTTTCGCTTCGAGAGGGATTATCCGGTAGCCGTTCGAGACGTCTAGGGTAAGAAGAAGGATAGTTACTAGATGAGTCGTCGCCATCAAGTCCATTCGGCGAGGGTGAGGGACGGGTGAGTGGCGAATGAGGGGATTTGTGTCGACGAGGAGGAGGGGTAAAAGGGGGAGGAGGTGTTGTTGACTGAGGAGATATCTGGTCATCGTACTGAACGTTTGTGCTCTGCTGCTTGCCCTTCTTTCCAAACAGACCGCCGAAAAATGGCATGGTTTGAGCTGGAAAGGCCTGTACGCCCATATCACGTTGCATGCACCCAAAACAAAGGAGGTGGAAGATTATTATAAGAAAGAGAAAGGAAAGGTGATTAGAACGTGTCAGGAACGAGCTCGATAGAGTGGAAAGAAACATACTATAAGCTAGCAGGTTAGGAGAAAGAAAGGAGAGGGAAGGATGAACGAGGCGAAATGTGGTGGTTGGTCGAAGAGTTGGGTCGTAAAATTAGTGGGAATTGCCGTAATTTCTGACGAACCCCGTAAATTGATCGTCAGGTCGTTCCGTACAGCCTCACTGGGAGGTTTTGGATAAGTTTTCCGAGGTAGGTTGCGGGGAGAGGGAGAACCCCAAGTTGTGAAAGCGATGGGAGCAGCAGTGAAAAGTTGGCTCGAACCACCCTGGGTGGTATATAGCGGAATAAGAATGTGTGTGTGTGTTGAATTTATATATAGCATGTGTTTGAATCTCACATTCATTTGCCTCTACTAATATTTTCTCGCTTTACGTACAACATGATTACTGTCAAACGCTTCAACTCAAAAACGTGGATGGATATCCTTTGCAGACATCATTCACACGAGCCTATTTCCCATAAACTGCACCACCCCTCATGCAACACCTCGCGGGCTCAGAGCGAACCTAAACAGAAGCAAACACTCCTTAATCGCTCGTTTAGGCAGGAACCCGAGCTTGGCACCAAGTATCCCTGCATTGAGGGGGGGGGAGATAACATATAAACGGCCATTTTGAGCAACGGACCTTTCCTCAAGAACCATGGCCGCGAAGACGTACATAGCAACATGACCATTTTCAGAAATGACGTATATATAGGCACCAACACAAATCGAGTAATACCCAACGCCGGGCCACAGTATCGCTTCCGATGGGCGCTGCCCCTCCGGCCATAGCCTGCATGGCAGCAACCATCATCAACTCACCAGATCTTTCCCCCACGCCACTGCTTTTCCAAGGTACTCACCGATCTCCGTACACCCGTGGCTTTTGCTTGCCTGACTAAAAAAAAAAACTCAGTACATTTGTGTTCTGTTCGGGCACTCGTGCATCGTCCCCAGTACAATACATACAATCTGCCACCCAGCCAACACCATCACGGAGAGAATGTTCCGTCTGCGCACACGCGACTGTCACGCAACCGGTAAAACAACTTGACGGGAAGATCATGGCATGCTTTTTGAGTGCGCTATTATACGGCAACCCAAACGGCGAACTAGAAAACTAGAACGCAGTGCGCGTTCGTGCGTGCACATCAATATATATCCCAACCCCCCCGCCGGCACGCCCCCCAGTACCTCAACGTTGGAACCCTGCCGCATGCAAGGCAGCCAAGCCGAGCTTGAAGCCGAGCATGATGAACGTGCGAGCCATGGCGGCATACCACAGCCATAATATTTCGCCATCAAATGTACAAGTCATCCTACTTCTCCGCTCTTCCAAGCTGCCGCTGCATTGACGGCTTGGAGGCTTACTTATCAGTCAGCCGGAAAATCGCCAGTTCGACGGTGCGGGCCCCTCCAACACGCTTCTCACATCTCCGTGTCAGTCCGAATTGAAGAATCCCCGAGCTTCTCTTCTGGCCGCGCGTCTGGCAGCTTCACCAACCACCCCCTCTAGGCTTGCCAGCTCTTCATATCATATCATATCATATCATATCGCACCATGCATAGCCAGTACGAGCAATCCTATTCATACAATTCCGCAATACTTTCGGCGGCATACAAAGCAATTATGTGTAAATGTAGGACTGCGCAGCCAACGATGTCTCTTATCCCCTCCTATCCCTTCTTAGCCACCTCGGCTCTTTCCCTCTGCTCTTTCTCGGCTCTCTCCAGCTCCATGTTTCGCCTCAACACCTCGGCATTAAACTGATGCTTCCTGTACGTGCCCCATACGTACGTAGCAATAGGACGTAATTAAGGCACACACACAGCATACCCATTGCGATCGCGTTCGGTCGACAGTAACATGACCCCACCCACGCACCCACCCCAAAAGATCGCGATGAGAGAAGACCCGGGGGGTTTTGCAAAAAGAAAAAGAAAAGAAAAAAGGACGAATTGGTCGTCAGTAATCAAGTCGAGCATACAACTTTCCAAATAAACACCCAGAGCACACAGAACCTTCACACACACACAAACAGATAAATCAGACTACATATGATCGCAGGAACGGGGAAACCGGCTTCGCTCGCTGATCGTCAGGGGATCCGGCGAGCGAACGAACGTTCCTCGCGCGCACTGTATGTACGAGTTATACGCGTCCATACAATTTTCCCCCAACAATAACAAAAAAAAAAAAGTATATGACGTTCTCACGCGTAGAATTCGCGAAGGAAGGAAAAAAAGAAGATTATTCACGCACCCTATTGCGTGATCCCTCATTTGTCGAAACTTAGCAGCATCCATCACGGGGCGCGTTCCGGCATGAGCGCCGGCGCCGCTCGCCGGATCCGTAGATGACGAGTGTTGAGATGACATTATGATATGATAGGATGATGCGCGATTCTTCTTTATGCGCGGCGATAACTGCGTCGCACGTTGTTGTTGTTTTTTTTTTAGTCAGATATGGGTAGATCTGAGTGTCACAGCGCGCGCGCTACCAATATGACCGGTAGTTGTGGTGGTAGTGAAGCACGATGACGGCAGGATCTAACCTCTATTTATACATCGAGCTCTTTTATCCGAGTTTATACTGTGATTATTACTGATGCCGTACGCAATATAGACAGGGGGTGCCCCATCCTATGACTTGTGACGCAACTCTTTTGCACCGCTTGCAACGACTTTGACTGACAGCACAATTACAATTATTTAGCACTGACGCCACGACAATTAACGATTTGTTCCGGCCTTATGCCTTATCGCTTACCGGCTACTTCCGAAGCCAGTTGTAGTTTGTCACAAGGTCAAATGACGAAAAAGTAACCAAGTACGGAGTAAGTAACCTCTCCGGAACCTTTTTGACAATCGAACTCCGCCCCTTCCCCATTCTTCGCTTTCCTGTGCAAATCAATTACGTGTAGGTCCCTCTAACCCATAGCAACCTTCATTTCACCCTGTGGCTAGGATCGCGAGCGTGTGGAGCCCTCGACAACGCGTGGATAGCGAACAAGCCTCGATCGATCAGCTGCGCCCACATCGACTCCCGACTGGGTCGGGCACTCCACACTACTATAGAGGCTGGTCACCTGCCTAGTCAGACACGCCGCAATCGTTCTACTGCTGCAGGGCTTTTTTTAATTACACCAACAGAAACAACTCCCACAATTGGTACTTCCCAAGTAGCTAGCAGCGAGCAAACGGGAAGTTGTTGTGTCCAGTTCTCGATTTGCTGGCAAAAGATCGAGCTAGCTGGGCTGTACATACATACATGCACCAACTCCATGACTCAAAAACCCGTTCCTCCCAGCGAACTGTGACTCATTCATGATCTAAGCTACTAGCTACGACTTCGCATTCTTAACAACCTTAGACTCGGGGACCATTAACTGTTTGAAAGCTTTGATATCAACTACTATGGCTTCAACAAAGTCAAGGGATTCCCTTAACAGTACTACTATGTTGGCGCATTCTCTCTCCGAAGTCCAACAACTGAATGAGTGGTACTAGCTTTTGTTGTGTTTCTTCGATCGAAGGGGTATGAAACTTCGTTTCCTTATTCGTGGCGACGAAAGGTCTTTCACTCAAATGAACAACAACAACAACAGGCTTGGTTTACAGAAATTTGCGGCTCGGCCTGGCCTTGAACGGAGCCGAGCGCACTATATAGAATATATTAGTACTCAACACAGTCCACCCTGGGAACATCTGAAGGGTGTGGAACTCGAACGGCTCTTGCTTAGCACTTACCTATTGGAAATCGGACCTCGGATGTTCTCACATCATCGCAATATAGCTGGCACACCATAGTGCTCGGATATGCTTGGTATGACCGACTTGACCATGCACCCCCTCGATCCTATTCCTTACACTCCGATGGAACTCGTCAAATCGTCATGATACATTCATCAGAGAAATCACAACAGCCACCATGCAAGATATACAAGCAATATATGCATCTCCAAAATGCCGGCTAATACCCTTAAAATAAAACCGTGTTGTTGGCGGTAGGTGTGGATCCCACCCTTTTTTTTAAAATTTGAACACCTCCGCTGAATATCCCAAGATGGTGGGCAAGGCACGACTGATCGCAATATCAGTCTCACTCTTACGCACCGGATCCGTCTTCCGATCCGGCATCACCCCGCGCTTTTTGTCCGCCTCTCGTCCATCAACCACCTCACCCCCCCCCCCCTTTCATTTCTTTCCGTTTCTTATCCTGACCCAAGTTCGTGATCTTTGTCCTTAAGGTTTATGCGTTGAATGAGGAGCAGGGTCTTTGGGTGTGTGTGTACGTTGATGGATCGGATCTGCCCCTCTTCAACGCCCTCCTTTTTGTCCGCCTTCCGCTTCTTTCCGAGGGGGTCCTTCTACCGCCAAGTCCACTTTTTTCGACATTCTCTCCACTACATATGTAGGGATTTGATTTGGAAGAGACGCGTATGCTGGAGGATCACATTTGACCTCTCCATCATACCTCCTGGGTCCTCTTTCACCACCGCCACCACTACCTCCGTGATAACCCCCATTTTATTCATTCTCTCCACTACCTCTTAGTGACGAGGTGCGATAGTAGTAACGCCAATGAAAGCCCTATAAGCCCGGACCAAGCTGACTGCAGGTTCAAGTCCTGCCATCATCCCAACAACTTTCACTTTTCTCCACTACCAACATTTCTACCACCGGCCTCTCTGCCACATGCTTTCATTCTCTCATTCCTAACTTTTTTCCCGTTCCTTCTCCCGACAATAAGGCCGCGTTGAAAATCCTTACCCTGCCGGCTGAAGATCAGGGCCTTCAGCTGGACAGGCCACATTATGCATATGCCGGAGGTTCAAACTTGACCTCTCCAACATGGCGTTTGGCCTCTTTCTGTAAGTTTGATTGAAAAGTTGTCTCGTGAGCGGTGTAACTGGCGCGTGGGCTGGCCAGGGGGTCGTTGTTGCGTCGAGTTGGTAGCTCCCTCGATAAGACGTTTTCCCATCTCGCCAATGGCCTCAAACATGGAAAACGTAGTAAGTACGTTTTTTACATAAGAGATGCACTAACTGTTGCCGTTCCCGTGAACTCTAGAAGACCGCAATGCCAA